GTGTCTGGACAGGCCTGGCCGTCCAGATTGCTTCAGAAACGATTGCACTGTTGCATCAAGCGCAGCTGCTGTTTCTGGGCACTAAACGTCTCTTCCAAGTTGTGCATCGTTCCCTGTTCCCCAAGCAGTTTCATTCAGAGGGGCTCCGAGACAACAGGCCCGGGGTCCTCATCCAGTTTAAATCACCAATTAGCGAATCTGTTGCTGCTCCCATGCCTTGCCTTCAGTCTAGCAGGCCATGGATGAGAAAGTGGGACAAACAAACAAACACACCCACCCAAATCCCTTGCTCTTTCTCCCACCCAGCCCACCCGAAGTTACGCTCTTTCTCGTCCCCACCCCAGGGCCGCAGCTAGGGGGTGGGGAGGAAGGCCCCCAAGAAGGCCCCCACTAGGGGCGCAGGCGAGGGGGGGCACAAAATCAGCTTAAAAATATGTCCATAAATATGTCTATAAATAAAAATATTGATTATTGCCTCATAATTGTTGTTTTTGTTGTTTAGTCGCTTAGTCGTGTCCGTCCCTTCATGATACCATGGACCAGAGCACGCCAGGCACTCCTGTCTTCCACTGCCTCCCGCAGTTTGGTCAAACTCATGCTGGTAGCTTCGGGAACACTGTCCAACCATCTCATCTTCTGTCGTCCCCTTCTCCTTGTGCCCTCCATCTTTCCCAACATCAGGGTCTTTTCCAGGGAGTCTTCTCATGAGGTGGCCAAAGTAGTGGAGCCTCAGCATCAGGATCTGTCCTTCCAGTGAGCACTCAGGGCTGATTTCCTTCAGAATGGAGAGGTTTGATCTTCTTGCAGTCCATGGGACTCTCAAGAGTCTCCTCCAGCACCAGAATTCAAAAGCATCCATTCTTCGCCAATCAGCCTTCTTTATGGTCCAGCTCTCACTTCCACACATCACTACTGGGAAAACCATAGCTTTAACTATACAGACCTTTGTTGGCAAGGTGATGTCTCTGCTTTTTAAGATCCTGTCTAGGTTTGTCATTGCTTTTCTCCCAAGAAGCAGGAGCCTCATAATAAAAGGTTTTAAATAGTGGGTCTTTGTGATATGTGAGGGCCCTGTTTTTCCCTATTTTTTTCCTGTGCTACATTCCTAGGGGGTACAATCTGGATCAGGGGTAGGCAACCTAAGGCCTGTGGGCTGGATCTGGCCCAGTTGCCTTCTAAATCCGGCCCACAGACAGTCCTGGGAATCTGCATGTTTTTACATGAGCAGAATGTGTCCTTTTATTTAAAATGCATCTGTGGGTTATTTGTGGGGCATAGGAATTCGTTCATTTTTTTTCTTCAAAATATAATCTGGCCCACCACATGGTCTGAAGGACGGTGGACTGGCCCACGGCTGAAAAAGGTTGCTGACCCCTGATCTGGATGCTTCTGCCAGGGGCGCAAGTTCACCTAGCTACAGCTCTGCCCCACTCCACCCCAATTCCTCATTCCTTCTCTCACCCATCCCAATGGAAGCCATGTTCTTTCTCACCTCCACCCACCCGATCTTCTTGCTGCAAGCACCCCCACCCGCCACCTTAATAATAAATAATAATAATAAATTTTTATTTTTACCCAGCCCTTCCCGGTTCAAAAACCGGGCTCAGGGTGGCTAACAACAAATTTAAAACAATTATAAAAGCAGTGTAAAATACAGTATAAAAACATGAATAACAATAAAATTCAAAAATCAACTAGATAATCCCCAGGGCTAGCTGGCTGAATTGGTCCTACTTGGGCCAGCGAGGAGGCCAGGGGAGAATTAGCTGTGGGGTCTCAGAGCGGGTGATCTTCATAAAGGGTGGGGGGGAGTGAAGAGAAGGGAAATAAAAGATCAGGCTGAATTCAGATTAAAGGCCAGGCGGAATAGCTCTGTCTTACAGGCCCGGCAAAAGGAGGTTAAATCCTGAAGGGCCCTGGTTTCATGGGACAGAGCATTCCACCAGGTCGGAGCCATCACTGAAAAGGCCCTGGCCCTGAAAAGGCCCTTACTAGCTGTCTCTAAGCCACCGTCGCCACAGCAGCTAGGCCTCGGCCATAGGGCTTCTCCTGGCCTCTTCTGCCTCACTGCAGCTGGAAGAAGCGGCGTTCCTGCTTCCAGAAGTGTGTTTCTGGATATGCTGTGCCCAATTCTGGATGTGTGGTGGCAGAGGCCATGACAGCCACAGCCACCCCAGAGGAGGCAGTAGAAGCGAGGAAGTGGAAGCAGGACATCCCAGAATTCAAACAAAAGTTGCCATGGCTTCTGTGAATCTTGTGATGTCCCATTCCATTTAGGACTACTGAGTGGAATGACATGTTGGCTCTCTTACCAAACATTTCTGTTCAAACTTTTCCATCCTGTCAATTCTTCTGCTGTGGCCTTTTTATTTTGCTTAGGTCTGTGACCCTCCCAGATGGTTGCTGGATTTACTGTTGACGCTGCCATGTTTCTCAGCTGGAAGAAAACTTGACTGCCTCTTTTGCACCCTGAGTTCTTGCAATATGCCAAGGGATCATTTTTACATGTGGACTCTTAATGCAGTCGGTACTAACTTCTGTGTTTTATGACAGTTTCCAAGGACGAAAACGTTTTCTTTTGCAAGAGACTAAATGCGTCCCGGTGGAAGAGCTTTATAATCACGAGTTTGATTCCAGGGGCAGGGCTTTTGTTTTCCTTTTCTGCCTTGAATGTAACCATGTGTGGAAAAACTGAGCAGCCAAAGTTCTGTTTGCAACTTCGTCTGGCTGTGTTTTCCAGTGATGCTTTAGTCCAGCTTTAAATTCATGCTTTACATCATCTTTGCCTTGAATTGAGCTAAGAGTTAAAAAAACATGTTGAAGCCCACAGAATCATCAACAAGAGATTGTGGCACTTAACTTTGGAATTCTTCAAATTAGTGTACTCCTGTTACTTCTCTCCTTCGAAATTATTTAATGTGCCTTTCAGGAAAATAAAACATCCTCTTGGGTCTTTTAAAATCCCGTCTTTTAAAAATGAAATATGGAAAATCCAAATACTGACTCCTCTCTTTTTGGGGAATTTCCAGCAGCAGAATACCACATTCCATCAGCTTGATTTATTCATAGTTTTAATTTTTTCTTCTCCGATAAATATGATTAAAGTGTGAGATTCAGAGTCTCATGCTCTATTGAATGACCTATCAGTTTGAAACAAACAACAGCACATATGTAAAATAAATTCAGATCCAACACAGGCACCAACTGTGAATAAAAACTATCCGTTTAGAAAGCACCTGTCTGATACATAAAGGGAGGGATATGGTTTCTATTATGTAGTTTCTGTTTAGTAAAGAGGCAGTGGAACCCAACCCATTATTAACCCTAGAGAGCAAGCCAAACTCCCTCCCCCAACCTCCCCAGCCCTGTGGGGCTTTACAAAGCAGCATGGGCATCATTGCATCTACAGTCCTTCTGCGTGTGGACAGGCCAATTATGACAGCCATCCCTAAGCAGGTTCAACACGCAGGGCCGTCTTACCCATAGGTGCTGGGGTGCGGGGCACCCAGGCGCGGGGCTCTCAGGGGCGCCAGGCCAAGAGTCCGGGGCCCAAGAGTTGAGTCCGGGGAAGAGCCCACCCGTCGGCCAGAGCGCCGTGGCAGGCTCTTCTGTGCCACGAGTTTGGGGCCGACCGAGCCAGCAAGACGCTGAGGCAGCCAACCAGTTCTGTCCTCCTGTGTGCCTGGGATTGGGCAACCTGGGGGGGGGGCCCACTGGGCAGATCTTTGCACCCCAGTGCCGCATATGCTTAAGACAGCCCTGTCAACACGTGCCTTACTTTACAGAGGAATCATAGAATCATACAGCTGGAAGAGGCCCTGAGGATCATCTTTTTTAATTTATTTATTTTATTAAGAATTTTAACAGTAACAATTTATCAAAAACATATCATCCTCATTTCCCCCCCATTTCCCCCCCTCCCCAAACCAGAACCCCCTTTCCCACACACCCCCAGACTTCCCTCAGCTCCTCTCTCTGGTTTTTCAGCACATGTTAATCTCTGCATATTATAGAATTGTAAAGATCCTTAATTTATCTATCTATATGTTACCAATAGGGACAGTGGGACGCGGGTGGCGCTGTGGGTTAAACCACAGAGCCTAGGACTTGCTGATCAAAAGGTCGGCGGTTCAAATCCCTGCGACGGGGTGAGCTCCCGTTGCTCGGTCCCTGCTCCTGCCAACCTAGCAGTTCAAAAGCACGTCAAAGTGCAAGTAGATAAATAGGCACCGCTCCAACGGGAAGGTAAACGGCGTTTCCATGCGCTGCTCTGGTTTGCCAGAAGCGGCTTAGTCATGCTGGCCACATGACCAGGAAGCTGTTCGCCGGCTCCCTTGGCCAATAAAGCGAGATGAGCACCGCAACCCCAGAGTCGGTCATGACTGGACCTAATGGTCAGGCGTCCCTTTACCTTTAGCTTTTATGTTACCAGTAATAAATTTGTGTATGTTTATTCAAAAACTGCCAAGGAGTCCAGCTCAGAGGCCCTGAGGATCATCTAGTCTAGGGTTGCCATCTTTCAAAAAGCTCTATTAGGAAGACCCCCAAATTGTTGAGCCTTTAATAAAAAGAACACCACCAGAATTGCTGAGCCGCTTTTCGAATGGCTTGCCTAACGTCCGGCAAAATCCGGCAGCCCTCTGTTTGAAGTGGTTTGGAGAGCCTAGCTGTTGTGCCGGCATCTTCGTCACAAATAGTAGTACCACCAGGACTGTGTGTGTGTGTGTGTGTTTACATGCACCCACCCACCGCCGCGAGTGGATCCCTCTCCCGCTTGCTCTCTGACTCACTTTGCCCTTGTAGTTATTCTCTGCCTCAGAGGATCATATGCCACTCAGAGGCAGGCTGTTTACTGCTGGGAGACCCACCCTAGCCTCAGGTGGGTGGGGCATGCATATATATAGCACAGATGAAATGAACCCCTTCACTGACTCATAGCCACTGGGATTGCTCCTCTTGGAAAATCTGCCATTCCCAACTCTTCTCAGCTCAGCAGCTACATGATGGCCAGACTCCTTGTCCTGTGTGTTGCAGTTCTTGCCTGCATCAGTATTGGTAAGGCAAACATCCAGCTTTATCCCTGTTCTTGTATATTTCCTAATGGATTTGTTTCTCATCTCTTTACCTCGCTGCCACCCTCAAATTCCTTTACTTTGTGGCTTGCCAGAATCTTTTTAACTAGGAACAATTCCTCATTCGACTGACCAAACTAGGAAATGTACCAGCAGGGAGAGCAAACTCTTTATTCTTGGTAGAAATAGTCTCATAAGGGGGGGTTCAAAGGTATTGCCCTTTATATATTGGGGCAAGGGGTAACTGTCACCAAAGCTGTCATTCCCTTAGCTGCTGGATAAGAGAAGTAGAAAACTTCTGCTTTTGTGGCAAACTATGTGTTTCCCACTATATCTGACCTGGATAAAGAAATAAGTTGTTGTTGTTTTTTAAAAAATGCATGGATTGCAACAAAATGGGAAGGAAGGGGAAAGGTTGTTTTTGCTGTGCCAAATAAAGGCTTGACCTTTTTTTAAAAAAACAACAACAAACCCTCCAAACTGGACAGCTCGAAGGAAGACAGGAAACAAGGGCAAAAAAACCCCGCTACCTAAATAAACTTCACACCGGATTATTTGTGAGCATATGTACAATATTTTTGAATGCGATGTTGTGCAAATATTTTGTAAGTCGCTTTGCGATCCCCTTGAGGCTATAAACTGGGGTGGAAGTATTCTCAATAAATACATTAAAATAGCTCTACATTGCAAACTAAAAGGGGGGAAAATGGGCTCAGTGCCATCCCTTAGAAAACAAGGAGTCCCAGTCTCCTGGGTTTTGGCTACTAAACAGCAAACCTTGATTCTAGCACCTCTTTCCCCGAATCTTATCTTTGAGTTGTCAGGATGGTCTGCCTCCTCCTTATCTTTGAGTTGCCAGAGTTGTGCCCTGCAGATGTTTTGAACTACAACTCCTACCAGCTCAGAGGGTTTACCTCTGTTAGTTTTTGGCAGGAAAAAAGGGTCTTCTTGTGGCATCTTAAAGACACAAAAAGATTTGTGGCTCTAACTGTTGTGCATCTCTTGAACTGGGGTCTAATCTACAAAAGCTTAAGCCACAGTATAAGCCAATGTTGTCAGCTGCTGCCCCTGGGGTCACACTGGTGACAGAAGAGTGGGAGAGCTATATTTTGACCATAAACAAAAAAAACAAAGAAATCTGTTATCCTTAAAGTTGCCACAAGACTCTCTCAGGGCAAAACTTTCTCACTTGTCAAGACTGATCAATCTGAAAGTCACCCAAGGTGGATTAAGATGGAGATACACGCATACAGATCTTTGGGTGGTATCCAAGTAAGCCTTGCTCAGAGTAAACCCTATTGATATTAATGCACATGACTCAGTTTTCTCCATTGGATGGGGTGGGTCTACTCTGAGTAAAACTTACTTGACTACCACCCATTCCCCCCCAAAATATATCCCAGGGGCCATTTGAAGAGGTGATTTGATTCGCTTTTTTTGCACATGATATTGGCCCGAATATAAGCCACACCCAAATATAAGCCACACCTTTGAAATTGGGGAGGGGGGGGAGCAAAGAAAGAAAAAATACCTGAATATAAGCCACTCCATTCCTTGCTGCTCCTGGCTGCATACTGGGGGGGGGGGGGGAGCCGGGCTGCTTTGCCGACAGCCTTTCCCTTCCTCGCTCTCTCCCTTCCTGGCTTTGGGGGAGAGACGCATGGGGTGGGCGCCATTTTGCCATGCTCCTGGCGCTGTTTGCCCCGCGCCGTAAAGTCGTGAATATAAGCCGCACCTTAGCTTTTCATAGTCAGAATTTGGGGGGGAAGTGAGGCTTGCATTCAGGCCAATACGGTAGTTAAGTTGTGGGATTTGCTCCTGTAATAGGTAGTGGTGGCCCCTAACTTGGGTGGCTGTAAAAGAGGACCAGACAAACTCATGGCAGTCGCTACCTACTAATCATGATGGCTGTGTTCTACCTCCATTGTCAGAGCTGGAATGCACAGCTGCTTGGAATCACTGGTGTGGACTGAGCACTGTTGCACCCAGCTCTTGCATAGACATCATAGGCTTCCCATAGACATCATAGAGGATGCTGAAAAGACATGAGCCCCCTTTGACCTGTGATCCAGCAGAGCTCTTCTTGTGTTCTTATGCCCCTCTGGCCATTTGGGGGTGGTCTCCAAAGACCACTTGCACAGGCAACCGATGACCCTACTGCAATGTGTCCCTATTGCAATTCAGAAAAAACCAAGGCATCCCAATGTTCCCTACGTCATTCATTTTTGCAAGTCCTGTGTGTGTGTTTTGTTTTTGTAATGGCACCACCAACTGGTCACCTCCCTATTGGGATCACCCCCAAACCTCCATATTTCTACTGTGCCAAATACCTTATTTTTCCGTGCATAACACGCCCCTGTGTATAAGATGCCCCCTATTTGGGGGGACTCAAAATTAAGAAAATGGGGGGGGGATTGCCCAGAGTTGTTGAATCACTCGCACTACCGTCGTCGCTGGCAATCTCCTGCTCACGGCAGCGACCACTCATATATCCGTGTATAAGAAGACCCCAATTTTTAAGCATTATTCTAATGTACTAAAACCTCGTCTTTTACATGGAAAACTACAGGTCATTTGCCTCCCTGGTGCTGCCTTGCCACACCCTGCTTTTTAAGAGTCGCGGCTTTGAAACTCTCTTTGAAACTGTTGAGAAAGCACGGGAAAATAAGTTAAGGAGCTTAAGGAAAAAGTGGGCAGGTGGAGAGCTTGAAAGCATTGGACTTAAGACGGAACGGGGGGGGGGGGAGTCATAATCAGGTAACAAGTTTCTTTTTTAAAAAAGAGAAAAGAGGAATGCCACAGACAAGACAAAGGATATATTGTGGAGTCTCTAGAGAGGGTGGGGATCTTTAGAAACAGGCAAAACACCCATCACATCAGGGATGGGCCAGGGATAGCTCCCATGTTTAAAGACTAGTTAACAAAATGCATATCCAAACATGTAGCGTTCTGGTTCCTCTTCAGACATCTATTTTTCCTTCCCCAACACCATTACTCACACCATGGTCAGCCAACTTGAGAAAAAAGAAGACGAAGAAGAGTCGGAAAAAACCAGGGGATTTTTCTTCTTCCCCAAGCACTTCTTCTTCCTTTAACGATGGGCGAGGGTGTCTAAAAGTCTTGAGCCAACCTTAAGATTACCAAACGTATTGCAGCGTTGTGTAGGCAAGGCTTCCTCCCTGGAAGTAATCGTAAGTGGGTGTTCACGCAGGAAAGTTGACGTTCCAGTAAAAAGGACTAGCCCTTAGGGTGCCACACAAAACTTTTGGAACTGAGGGTTATTCCACGCTTCGGCTTGCTCCGATTCTAGACAACGCAGGTCTGAGCGGTTTCCCACTTGAACCATTCCTTTCCGAGGGACAACTCGATTGTTACTTGCTCCGATCTGAGCACTAAATAGCCGTTTCCCCCTCAGGGGAAAGCAGTGGGATAAACGTTTATTCACGGTTTCAGCCCGCACCATTCCAGATTATGCTCTTGAGTTTTTATAGGTGTTTTGAAATACAGGGCTAAGAATGCAGACCTTCGACAATTGTTTTCTTAGCACTTCAGTAAAAACAGGATAGTTTTTTTGGTTTTTTTTAAACTCGCCCTCAGCATTCACATTTCTGCTGAAATTCAGAAGTTGGCCTCGTTTTTTTCTATTGGCAGATGTGAATTCAAAATTCTTTGTGAGGGAAGAAAAGAATAATAATAATAATAATAATAATAATGTATTATTTATACCCCGCCCATCTGGCTGGGTTTCCCCAGCCACTCTGGGCAGCTCCCAACAGAATATTAAAAACACAATAAAACATCAGTCATTAAAAACGTCCCTAAGCAGGGCTGCCTTCAGATGTCTTCTAAAAGTCAGATAGTTGTTTATTTCTTTCACATCTTGTGGGAGGGCATTCCACAGGGCAGGTGCCACTGCCAAGAAGGCCCTCTGCCTGGTTCCGTGTAACATCACTTCTCACAGGGAGGGAACCGCCAGAAGGCCCTCAGAGCTGGACCTCAGTGTCTGGGCTGAACGATGGGGGTGGAGACGCTCCTTCAGGTAGTCTCATTCCATGATAGCTCTCTGCCCTACAGTGGAGGGCATGGATAAGGGAAATTTGGTAGGCGGGTGGGTGGGTGAGAGCATTGTCAGTGTGGGTGCCTTGACAGTTGACTCTGAGCACGCAGGAAGGCCTAACAAACCTTATAATCAAGGTGTAGCAAAGGCTGTTATTTAGATGTTTGTATGTTGTATACTAACATGAGTTTGACCAAACTGTGGGAGGCAGTGGAAGACAGGAGTGCCTGGTTTGCTCTGGCCCATGGGGTCACAAAGAGTTGGACACAACTAAATGACTAAACAACAAAACAACAGATGTTGTATATCTTGCTTATCTCCCTTCTCATAACACTAGAACTCATTGACAATGAACTCATTTAATGAAGATTAAGGTTGGCACTTCTTCACACAGTTGAACTTTGGGTTTTGCTCCCACGAGACATGGTGATGACCATAGACAGGATTAGGCAGATTCCTGGAAGATACAGCTATTAGTGCCTCCTAGACCCAATACCTCTGTTCTTCCTACACTGTCTGCATGCCTCCCAACATTGTTGTTGTTGTTTAGTCGTTTAGTCATTTCCGACTCTCTCATGCTGATAGCTTCAAGAACACCGTCCAACCATCTTGTCCTCTGTTGTCCCCTTCTCCTTGTGCCCTCAATCTTTCCCAACATCAGGGTCTTTGCCAGGGAGTCTTCTCTTCTCATGAGGTGGCCAAAGTATTGGAGTCTCAGCTTCACGATCTGTCCTTCCAGTGAGCACTCAGGGCTGATTTCCTTAAGAACGGATAGGTTTGATCTTCTTGCAGTCCATGGGACTCTCAAGAGTCTCCTCCAACATCTCCCAACATTAGTTGCTCAGAATTACAAATGGGAAGAGCCTCATTTCTCTTCGGTTGACCACTGTGAGGTCAGGCTACAGGACTAAATGGGACTTTGGCCTAATCTCGTTGGGCTTCTCTTCCGTTCTTACGCCACGCAAAGTGGTTCGTGTCAGGAAGCAAAAGAACAAGATGCAAATTTCGCAATTGCGAATGCGGGAAAGAAGCGATGGGTTGTATAACCAGCTAAGTCAAGGGTGCGGAACTGGATCCAGACAGCAAGCCAGAACCTGACGTCCCCTAATACCTATATTTGCGAGGCAGGGCCGCTTTCCTGTCAATTGCCCAATATCACAATGAACTGATTTCTTTTGCAGACCAACTTGAGTTCACTGCCCATTGTCTTGGGTTGGTGAGTCACTTAGTCCCTAGGGTCCCAAGGCATTGAAATCAGTAGATTTTTGTTAGTCACCAGCTGACGCCCATTGGTTTCAATAAGTTCATGACTTATTGTGTTACTGTCTTAAGAGAGCCAGTGTGGTATAGGGTTAAGAGCGGTAGTCTCATAATCTGGGGAACTGGGTTTGCGTCTCCGCTCCTCCACATGCAGCTGCTGGGTGACCTTGGGCCAGTCACACTTCTCTGAAGTCTCTCAGCCCCACTCACCTCACAGAGTGTTTGTTGTGGGGGAGGAAGGGAAAGGAGAATGTTAGCCGCTTTGAGACTCCTTCAGGTAGTGATAAAGCGGGATATCAAATCCAAACTCTTCTTCTTCTTCTTCTTCTTCTTCTTCTTCTTCTTCTTCTTTAAGTATGTTTTCAGGGAAAAGGGGAGTGGGGCTTCTATCACATCCCCATCACTGGGCAGACCTCCACCCACCACTGACAGCTTGTCCATCTTGTTGAGACGGATCGGTTGCTTATGGAATAGCTAGCAGGATCAGCAATTAAGAAGGGAAAGGAAGGAGAGGTAGCTGAGCTCACATTTAAGCAGAAACAGTGGGCCAGAAACCCCAACAACAGGGGGTTCCATGGTTCTCAGAAGCCTCAAAACACAGGCAGAAATGCCTCCATATCTGGGAAATTGGGAAATAATTAGGAAAGTGCTGTTGCTTTCAGGCTTCCCATAGGGGCGTCTGGTTTTATAATTCACATTGTTATTCTGGTTGAGAACAAGATGTTGGATCAGACGGGCTCCCTTTGGTTTGATCCAGCAGGGTTCTTCTCCTTACTCTGCTTTCCTTGCAGGTAAAAATGTGAGCAAACAACCTCATCTATTCACAGTCTCATCTGTGTGTCTACTGGTGGTGGTCCATCCTGTTCCGCCACCTGAGGCAAAACAGGAAGTGTCGCCTGGCCCTGCCACCACTGCCTGCACCACCCGCCCTCCACAGGTGGCAGAGAAGTGGCGCTGGTATCAGTGCCAGTTTCAGGCAAGATCTCATCAAAATCTCAAGAGATCTTGTGGAGCGCACGAGATCTCACCTCAGATCGGTGCCAGCGCCACTTCTCTGCTGGTGGTAGAGGAGGCTGCTGGGATGGTTGCCTCACCTACCTAACAGCTGGCCCGGCCCTTGAGTGTACTGGAATCTGCTGTCGCGTCTTGGGCTGGTTGCTGTTGACTTCACAGTTATCTCTGTCTGCCACACAGAAGGGTGATCATGGGATCAACTCAGCACACCTGTGGCTTAGAGATAAGCTGAGAGTCTGCGTCATTGTTGACTTTCAGAGAGATTCAGAAAACATTCCTCTTTACCCCAAAAGATACCAATCCTGGCAACCCTGAGGAAATCGTTCTTAGAATGTTTTAACTGTTTTCGGAATGTTTTTCCCCTTTTTATTATTGAAGCGTGGCTCTTCCTGGAGGAAGAGCAGGATATAAATGGAACAAGTCAATAAAAAGAAAATTTATACGTGTGCCCTGCCCTTGGGAGAAACCACAGGTGGGCACGCCCTAAGTACCAAAATGGGAATAGATGTTTCCAGTAGGTTTCAACCAAGAGAAGAAAAACACCGTTTTGGAATTTATTAATGTAGAGACTGAGGTTGTGCTTTTCGACCGAAGTCATCACTGTGTTTGACAAGAGCTCAATGGGACTTATTGCCGGATAGGAATATGTGAGATTGCAGCCCTCCGTGTATCTGCGTGGATATTATTGGTTTCCTCTGAGGCCCCTCTTCTGGTCCGCTTCACCTGTGGAGCTGAGGGCGAGGGTGATGAGAGAAAGAGCCTTTTCACTCATGACACTCTATTTTTGGAACAGTTATCTTACGTTGGCTTGCTTGGCCCGGTTCCTCAGCCTCCTGGCATTTTAACTACCAGATGAATACTTCCCTTCCCCCCTTTTCTCTTTTTGCCATGGCCTTTCAAATCTCCTGCTTTCAGATTTATACATTTAACCTAGTGCACGTTGCTTCGTTTTGTGTTGCTCTCTTGCTGTTTCCCCTGCCATTTCCTTAAACCAGCTGTTTTGAGGCCCAGGATCAGGACAGAACACAAGAAGAACCCAATCGGGCCAGTGACCCATCTAGTCCATAGCTGTCAACTTTTCTTGCGAGGAATCCTATTCGGAATAAGGGAATTTCCCTTTAAAAAAGGGAAACTTTGACAGCTATGATCTAGTCCAAAATCCCATTTCCACAGTGGCCAACCAGTTGTCTAGGGAAAACCCACAGGCCACATAGGAGCGCAGGAATCATAGAATCGTAGGATTGGAAGGGACCCTGAGGATCAAGTCCAATCCCCCTGCAATGCAGGAATATGCCACTGTCCCATACAGGGATCGAACCTGCAACCTTGGTGTTACCAGCACCACGCTCTAACCTCTTGAATTCCCAGGCAACTGGTATTCAGAGGAGTATTCAGAGGCAGCATACAGCCACCCTGACCCACGAACTTGTCTAATCCCCTTGTCAAGACTTTTAACTTGTTAGCCAGAAATATAATAAATAAAATAAATATGTAGCCCTACTGGCTTACGTTAGGGATGAAATGTAGTGTTCATTCGATCTAGGCTTTCTTCCAAACAATATTGGGAACTGTAGTTTGCCCCCTCACAAAGCTACTGTTCCCTTCTGGCGGTTCCCTCATTGCGAGAAGCAAAGCTACAGGGAACCAGGCAGAGGGCCTTCTCGGTAGTGGCGCCCACCCTGTGGAACGCCCTCCCATCAGATGTCAAAGTGATAAACAACTACCGGACATTTAGAAGACATCTGAAGGCAGCCCTGTCCAGGGAAGTTTTTAACGTGTGACATTTTAATGTATTTTTCATCTTTGCTGGAAGCCACCCAGAGTGGCTGGGGAGACCCAACCAGATGGGCGGGGTACAAATAAATTATTATTATTATTATTATTATTCCCTGCACCCTTGACAAGCCCCAGTTCCTAAGTTTAATTGGGGGAAGCCGTGTGGTTTCAACATATGGTGGAGATGTGGCCCTGGACCAACGGTGTACCTTGGAAGTTTACCCTCCATGAGAAGATCGTTGCGGAAAGCTTGCACAACGTGACTGAAACTCCCTTGCGTGTGTGGCTGCTACAGAGGAATGTTATTGAGGGGTGGGAACAAGGCGTAACCCCACAGCCTGGCCAAACTGTTGCCGCGCCTTAGAATACACCCCAGGGTCTCATTCAATCGCTCAGCGATTTCCTTGGCAAAGACTGTAATCGAGGCTGAAAAGATTCCTTAAGGATGGAACATTGGAAGCCCACTGGTCTCGAGAGGCTGAATAATAATAATAATAATAATAACAACAACAACAACAACCCGTTTTCCTCAGCCAGGCCCCTGCTCCAAAATGTCTTCTTCACATGGTCCACTTGAGTCAACACAATCTGTCCCCGCCTTTTAGGGCAGGAATTCCAAAACTGCTCTCACACAGAGAGAGTCGAGCACCTTCAAGAATGGTTTCACAACTTGTGGGGGTTCCCCCCACCCTCACAATAAATTGCAACCCTCCTTCGCTTTGCAACCCAAACATGTCTCAACCAGTTTCCTGCCTCACTTCCATGGGTCCCAGTATTGTCCAGCCAGGAACTGGTTGTTGATCAAAGGCTGCCGCCCTTACAGAGAAATCTGGAAATTTCCGCCTCGAGCTAAGCTGGAGTGTTGCGGTTATTTCCCCGATGACTCAGAAACACACGGCCCCCTCCCAGCCCTTCTTCGCCAGCATCCCTCCTGAGTGGAATTCTTTCAGCTCGCTCGCATTTATCGGAGAAAGCCGTTGCTAAAATCTTCCCCCGTTACTCATTTGCCACACCCCGAAGCACGCTGCCTGTTATGCAAACCCTTTTGGCTGTTTTCCTCTGCCTTGCGGAGAATGGAAATAAAAAAAGCTGGAAAGCCGTTTTCATAAATCACAAGTACAACTGGGCCGCGACGACCGCACTACAAAAAGAGAAAAGTGCAAGACTTAAACTGGTTATCAGGGAGGTGGAGGCGCTAACATATGTCCAGATTTCATTAAAAATGTAAGATTTGGCCTAAGAGGGGGCATCTAATCCATCATATTCTCAGTGTGCGCAACCTGATGCCAATGGGAAAAATGAAAGTAGCACATGAAAAACTTAATTTTTATCTGTTTATGTGGCTGGCTTCTATGCAGTAACACCATAACATGAAGGCAGTCTTTAAATAAAGATAGTTGTTATAAGATTGAGGTTTTTTTGGGGGGGGTCTTTTGGATGTCCTCTGGTGACCCCATCAGTCTAGCTGTCCCCTAAGCTTTGGTACCAGAGTTCGCTTTGTTGCATTAATGGCTCTAGCCAAATCTTTTAAGTGACAGCAGCACTTCCCCAAACCGTTATTTTTTCCTCCTTCCGCCCTTCGGGGCAGGATATGTAGATACCGTAATTGTTATTTTCCTGCCTGAGCCTCTCTGTGAGCTTGCAAACGCTTGCTTGCCTTCACAAATTGCCCTCTTGCTATTTAAAAACAAACCCAGGAACTGGTAGCGGATGCATCTGTTAGCAAATAATGTGTCGTTTGGTATTGGCCCCAGAACTACACCCTGTGAACACGGCCTCCAAATCTGATGTCTGTGCCAGGCTCAGTCGTGAGGAAAAACACAGTGGGGAAGGACAGGGAGGTTTCCCAAACCACAGTGTGGCTTCTCAGTCTGTGGGAACCGGGGACCAGGCAGGTGGATGCTTCCAGGTAGATTTCAGGCACTTTACTGCTCTCTCGTTTCAAAGGCAGTGCTTTGCGTGGACAGGCGGAGTCCCCCAAACCCTGGTCATGTGGAATAACGACTCAAGACAATGTGCTATGGGATTAAATTGGCCACAACTTTATTATATTTCATATGTGGGTAGACCTTGGCTCAGGCATTGGGCGTTTATCCCTCCCAGTCCCCAACTGGGGATCTGGGGAACATCGGGGTTATCCAGTGTGGGGGGGGGGATGGGCCGGCTCTGGAGAACATATGTTCAAGCAGAGATAGCCGCCCCCGTTACGCCGCCGTCGCAGGGGAGAGCAATGACGACCTCTCGGTGTACAGTCAAAGCCTCCCCTCAAAAACCCCTTTAAGGGGGAACCTGGGTATCGCCTCCGCAAAGAGGAAGGGGGCGTGGGTCACCACTGCATGCCCCTCCCCCCATTCAGGAAGATAGACTAAAGGATTCCGCCCAAGGCCTGATACTGCCAAAGTTGTGAAATTTTGCTACGGGAAAGGCAAAACCTGCCAATGCAGGGGAATTCCTTTCCGGCCCTTCAACAGCGACCTTGACGTAGCAGCGCCCGCATACCTGTGAAGAAAAGGTTAACCTGCAAAATAAGTCTTAACAGAGGGTGGGTAGGGTGGGAGAAGCTCTGAAGCCAACTGAAGATTCCCAGGTAAGATCCTCCCTCTATTGTGTGGCAGGTAGTCCCTCCCCTACCTGGCCTGGTCTCCTTGGCAACGCTTCCCCAGGTGGAATTGGACAACTGGCTGAGGTAGGCGGAGACCTCCAGGTATCCCACCTGGGGGAAGGCAAAGCCAAGCCTGTGCTAATGGAGCCACACAGGGTCCAGGGGCTGTGTGCATCCACGCAAAGGGCACCCCCCATTTAATGTGGGGAGTGGTCATTCTGTCCTCTAACCAAATACAGTGGTACCTCAGGTTACATATGCTTCAGGTTACAGACTCCGCTAATACCTCAGGTTAAGAACTTTGCTTCAGGATGAGAACAGAAATCGTGCTCCGGTGGCGTGGCAGCAGGAGGTCCCATTAGCTAAAGTGGTGCTTCAGGTTAAGAACAGTTTCCAGTTAAGTACGGACCTCCGGAACGAATTAAGCACTTAACCTGAAGTACCACTGTAGTGTCTTGTCAGCAGGGTTTATCTGGTATGCAAAAGGATTCTGATCTGCAGTGTGGGGAAAGGGACAGCAGGCAAGCAAATGTTATACTTCCCCTCCGGTCTGACTCAGAAAAGAGTTACCTTCGTACAGGAATCCCTTCTTTCCCCACAAACGTTGCCATCGCCTCCCCTTTCAAGGATGCGGGCAAACAGGGCATACTGTTCCAGTTTGCAGAAAACACACATTTTAGAGGCCCTGGGAAAGGTCTTGTTTTCCACGAAGGGCTGTGGTTTGGAGCGGAGCTGTTTTTTCCAGACTGGGCATCCGCTTGGTTCCTGTCTGCAATGTTTGCTTCTTGCAGCAAAGCTCACCGCAGGCTGCTTGCTGGTCCTGTTTGTGTGTGTGCTTGAGATTATAGTGTCTTATTTGTGCGAGCCTTTGGCGGGGCATCGCTTGCTTATTTAAAAGAGCTGTGTATGCACATAATCCCGCTCTGCAAAACACCTAAGGCATGAGGGAATAGAGAGTTAAAGGGTGCAAAAATCACAGGCAATTTTGACCCATGTCCCTGTATCTCTGGGGACCAAATCCTACTTGTGGGATTATCTGTGAATCTTTTGTGACGGGTGGGTGTGCCTTTTTAAAATGCCTACATTTGGTGGTGCGTGCACCTTCATTTCCTCTTTTTTTCCTTATTTAAAAAGGTTTTATTACAACTTTTTTCATAGTGCAATAAGAAAAAAGAAACAGAGTACTCCCTCAAAGGTAGCTCTTAGCCAGGCATAGGAAAACTCGACCCTCCAGATGCTCTGGGACTACAATTCCCATCATCCCTGACCACTGGTTCTGTTAGCGAGGGATGATGGGAGTTGTAGTCCCAAAACATCTGGAGGGCCAAGTTTGCCTATGCCTGCAGTCTTAATTAACCCTTTATTCACACAGAAAGTTGTGAACCCTCCCGACTCTAAACCTGGGAACTTTCCTTCCTCCTCCCAGTCTCTCACCCTGGGAAGTCTTCCCTTCCCTGTATTTCCTGAAAAACGATAATATTTAGGAAGTCTATTCAGTCAAGTGGTTGGGTCCTTCAGTTCTTCAATGTAAAGATTAGAGAACCTAGGCAAGACCATGCAAGTACATTTCTATGCTATTATTTTTTATTATTGCATATTATTATTATTATTATTATTATTATTGGGTTTATATTCTTTACTCAAAGGCACTCAGTGTGGCATGCATGGTTCTTGCCCTTCTCATTTCAGTCCCACAACCCAAAATGTAAGAAGAGTCTTTTAATCATTTGTCCCGAAGCAACACTTTTTGCAGCTCTTTTTCAGCTCTAAAGGCAGACAAGCCCGTACAGCTGGAACAATTGCTTTTAAAGGTCTTGCATTAGCCCACCTCTTAGTGCGTCATTTTCTAATCCCATGATGGAATTAAAAGATAGACTTTTTCGTAGCTTGCTAAATTGTCAAATGCCGCCACAGTGACAGCATTCAAAGGGCTGCGTTCGCCACAGAGATCTGTTGCTCTTTTAAAGGGGGAGGGCGCTATGAATCTCTAGCAGAGATGTCTTTCTCTGTATCTTAAGCAGAGTTGCCCGCAAATTTCACTTCAAACGAAATCTGAGGTGGATCTGGAGAGCCCTTCTCAGTCAAAGCTTCCAAAGGAATTTCAAGCGGAGCAAAAAGGACCTGGGCAAGATGAGGCACCCTCTCTAAAGACAGCCCTATCTGTTGTCTGGCGTAGGCTGATAAGGACTGTGGTTCAAAATATCTTGAGGGCACCAGGTTGGTAGAGACAGTCAGGCGATCCAAATTTGTGATTTGGATCACAAATAGGGAGAGTGCTGTCACACTCATTTTATATATCATGGTTTTAACTGTATTTACAACATTTTGGAAACATCTGAAGGCAGCCATGTACAGTGGTACCTCGGGTTACAGACACTTCAGCTTACATACGCTTCAGGTTACAGACTCTGCTAACCCAGAAATAGTACCTTGGGTTAAGAACTTTGCTTCAGGATGAGAACAGAAATCGCGCGGTGGTAGCTGGAGGCCCCATTAGCTAAAGTGGTACCTCAGGTTAAGAACAGTTTCAGGTTAAGAACGGACCTCCAGAACGAATTAAGTACTTAACCTGAGGTACCACTGTATAGGGAAGTTCTTTAAGGTTTAATGTTTCACTATGTTTTTATATATGCTAGAAGCCGCCCAGAGTAGCTGGGGCAACCCAGTCAGATGGGCAGGGTACAAACAATAAATTGTTATTATTGTTATAACAGTTTTGTATGTGTTATTATATTGTCACAAAAGTCGGGTGCCGCCCCCATGGTCTACCAGAGAGGCCCAGGTTACTCCCAGCTTTTGAGGCCCCTAAGCATAGCTGTCAACTTTCCCCCTTTCTTGCGAGGAATCCTATTTGGAATAAGGGAATTTCCCTTTAAAAAAGGGAAACGTTGACAGCTATGCCCCTAAGCATAATAAATATTAAAAGTGACAGCACATGAAACCAAAATAAAGCACTAGAATACAGTTATTTCTTAAGAAAGAAATGTTTTTCCAGCTGGGAGAGTATGCCACATTTTGGTCTGGTGCACCTAAAAAAAGAAATTGCAGACCTTCTGACAGAAAACCAACAAATTTCTAAATCGGAGGTCCAGCTTTCAGCTAGAGGCTTTCAGCGAAGGGCGCCCCCTGCCCCCCGCTAGCCCTGACCAAAGTCCTAAGACTTGTGCCCTAATGTCTGATCAGAAGATTTCTCAGTTATATCTCTCACCTTTTAAAAATATATATTTCTCTGTGCTTCAGGATCTGCTCTGCAGTGCTTGAAATGTTCATTCACGTTTCACGGAATGCCCTGCCATACATCCACCACCACCTGCCAAGCAGGAGAGGTCTGTGCTACCATCCGGGGAGCAGCAGGTAAAGATACTTCTTTAATTTCTCAGATTATTCTCTCCCCCCTCAAACCCCACCCTTTTCCTACTTCTGTTCTCTGCCCTGCCGTCCCCCGTCCCCCAATGAGCCGTTCCTGGCATAATTTTTTCCCCCTCCCTGAGAGAGCGTTTGGGCCGGTCCCCATGAAAGAGTCACACATGTGGAATAAATTACAGTGCTATTTAGAGTCCACATGCATAAGCCTGGCAAAAAACTCTCCCATTTTCTTAAAGCTGCTCGGCCATCTTAAATCTGGCTGACTCAGATTCATTACAAAACACTGTTTATGTAAGGAAGATCCACCCGCTGAAGCCAGATAGATCCTAGTAGCATGAGGCAGGGATGTGGTGCGTAAGATTTGAAATATACTCGGAGTCGAGAGAGGATTTCATGCTCTTTATTCAGCTCATAGTGGTGAGGAGGAATGGATGTTCCCCCCAAATATCTGCATTATGTACATTATTTACACAATGGGCCCCACGTGATTGGCTAATTCCGAGATTCTCCTGTAGGCCAATCAGGTTGTGGATTCACTTCCACTTGGAGCTGGATTGGGTGGCTCCTGCAGACCAATCATACTGCTGCATTGTTCTAGGACCAATCAGACGGCTGCATTTATTCTGCAACATGTTATTGCAAAATAATAGTGCATTAGCGACGGATATCGTCTGCTTTCATTTGTGCTGTAGTGAAACAGAAGTGTGAGGGGGAAATAGCCAGAACATTTGCGCGATGTCAGCGGGAAGTTACAGGATATGCACTGATTGGAAACGAAGCAGTGTGACCACCGCAATACTTTTGTGGGCACAAACAGCAGCGAAAGAGGGATTTTGTGCAACTGCCCCACTAGTGTTATGATTGCAAATTATCATGAAGGCACAATAAAAAGGGCGTTTGGAGGAGCCTTTCAGGACTCTGTACAAGACAACGCTATCCCTATGAGTTGTTCATTGATTTTTATGGTTATTGCTGTTTTTCCTTTTGTTATTTTTCTGAATGATGCCATGGCCTATGGCTAGAGCAATAAAAGTCTATGATGATGATGATGAGTTGTTTGTTTTGTGCTGCAGTGGCAATCTCCCTTTTCTTCCCCCCCCCCCGACATACGCAGACCAGGATGGCTCAGGAGTGCCAACTTGGCCCCACAACTGTGGGTGCCATGCAGCGTGCATGCCCCTGGTGCTGAAATTTGTGGGTGCCCGGCCCCTTCATGGGGAATCTTGTGGGTGCTTGGGCACCCAGGGCCCCAGGGAATTGGCACCTATGCTCAGGCAGGTGGGAAGGAATTGTGGTCCAAAAACATCTGGAAGGCATCAGATTAGAGAAAGCTGGTCTACAGTGACCGTGGACTCATGATCTCTTCTTGCCCCCTGCTTCCCCCCAGGAAACCTGCTCTTTACCACGGAATCGGAGCAAACATCAATCGAGTTTTCTGCGGATAGACATTTGCTCTGATTCTGCAGTAAAGAGGGGTTTCCTGGGGGGAAGCAGCGAGGCAAACAGAAAAGCACTAGGACCCCCTGCGCAGAAAGCAAAGGACAATTCCTGCATTGAAGGGGGTTGGACTAGATGACTCTAGGGGTCCCTTCCAACTCTACAATTCTATGATTCTAAGTGGAAAACTTGAATCCATGCTTTGTAGGCACAGGACCAAGGCTTGCCCAAGACATTTTGGTGCCTGAGGGGAACCACAAAATGGTGTGTGTGTGTATGTGGGTGTGGGTGTGTGTGCGCGCACACACACACACTGCCAGGAAGGAAGGTGTGAGTGAAGATGTATATCAGGAACAAGGGAGGAATCGAATCAACCTTACCTGTTGGTTGAATTGGGAATCAAAGGCTGTTGCGGCGGAAAGAGGCCCTCTCTGAATCAGGCTGGCTGGGTGTAAAGCCCAAGAAGCCCCAGAGGGCAGCTTCTGCCATTTCCTCCCTGGGAGGAGACCAGTAGAGTCCCCTATTCACCAAGAAGCTGCTGTAGAGGTGGCATAGCTGGGGTTGCTGAGGAGGTGGCAGATCTGGCCTCTAACTCGCATGCCCGTGCAGCGGCAGATGCATTCCTTGGAGACTGGATCTGCTGTCCCCCTATGGATTCTGCCATCTGAGGCGGCCGCTGCACCTTGGCTCTGTTGGATGCGTCCAAGGAAATGGGGGCAATTCACAAGCCCCCAGCTGGCAGCCAGGCGATCTCCGGTCCTTGGCACAGCATAAAACAGTGACTGGGGAAACCCAGCCAGATGGGCGGGGTACAAATAATAAATTATTATTATATTCACAAGGGCAGAAAGAGGCGTATGTAAAGCATATTTACAAGCAGTTTATTCAGGACAAAGGAAAAACATGACTTCTCCCTTTCACGTCCAAGCAAGCATAAGCAAAAGCTATACACAAACAGAAGTTCCCAGCAAGCTGTGCTGGAAAGTAAACAGGCATGTGACACACAACAGCCTGTTCCTCTTAAGGTGGAACGGAATATCTTAACAGCCTCATGTGTGAGCCGGCCCTGCACGGGACAAGCGAGGTGCAGACGAGCCTTACCTGGGAAGCAATGCCTCGCCAAACCACATTCAGCTCCCTTAAATATTATGATCTGGTCTTTCTCAGGCAAAACCTTTCTAGGGCTGCCATATGTCCAGGTTTTCCCGGACGCATCTGGGAATTGGGTTGCCCAAACTGCATCCAGGCACATTTTCGTTGAGTTGAAATGCTTCCCAAAACAAAGCTCAACAACTTCACTGCCCCCCCACCCCCTCAGCAAGCTCAACAACCTTGACAAAAAAAGAGCTTTGTCCAGATTTTCACTTTGGGGAATATGGCAAGCTTACTTTCATGCATTCGCTAAACACACAAAGGGTCCCGCTTGCCAAAATGTTTGTCTTCCTCAACTAGGGCACCCTCCAGATGTTGTTGGACCAAAGCTCACCATCCTCCCTAACCCATAGCTGCCAACGTTTTTCTTTTTTTAAAGGAAATTCCCTTATTCCGAATAGGATTCCTCGCAAGAAAAGGGAAAAGTTGACAGCTATGCCCTAACCATTAGCCATGCTGGCCTTAGGCGATGGAATCAGAGAAGCTTCCAACATGTGAGGTTCAATGAAATGCACCTTATTCATTGCCTTTTGTTTGTTTGTTGTTCCTTGCTGCAGCTGGCCAGGGGCTTATCATGAAGAGGAACTGCGTCGCTAGCGAGAAATGCAACAAAAACGAAACTGAAACTTACTTGGGTGTTAAGTACACCACCACTTACTACTGCTGTGAAGGCGATTTCTGCAACTCGGCTGCCACCCTTCCCACCAGCCATCTTTCCCTGCCAATGGTTCTGGCTATGCTGGGCGTCTGGCTCATTCGCCTCCTCTAAGCCCTCTCCTGAGGAGGAGGAAGCAGCAGCAATTTCTACAGGATAGCAAAAAAAAAAAAGGCCCCCAAATAATAATAATCCAGTCATACCGAACACTGTATCAAGTAGATTTACCCCTTCCTTCCTTCATTTTGTTTCTCTATACTTTAAAAAAAGGCACTTGTTAATGAATCATGGGCTGTGATTTTCTGCTCCCTATCTCAGATAACAAGAACCACGTGCAAGTGGGTAAGGTTACAGGCTGGAAGGGAGAGACTAGGGCCATATTAGGAGAAGAAAACTTCCTTGCCTTACCTGCCAACGCTTTACGCATCCACTTTGTTATTTTATTGCGAGAAGATGCAGAGGCGGCATTTTATTCTATGTTTTGCCGCACATCTCTGCCAGGTGCGTGGCGGAATTCTCCTTACCATTTGACAGGAAGACACAAAGCCTCGTTACGGGTCATTTTTAACCACACATTTCAACCTGACAAGCGGTTAAATAAAATTCTTGTAACCGCATGGCAGTTTGCTTGTTCACCTTGGGCACAAGTACAAGTTGTCTCTGCACTTGCATGTGTATAAAAGAGTGGAGATGGATGTTGATTTGTACAGCTCAGCTGTTGTGTACGGGTCGAACGTTGCGTGTGAATAAATATATCCACGTACGGCTCAACCCTCACTGAACGAAGCATGTAAATACCCCTAAGGATGGTACAGAGAATGGTTGCGGACAACCTTTTTACCTGACATCTAACTCCTGGTGTGTGGTAAAATTCTGCTTACCGCCTGACAGAATAATACAGAAAATGGTTGGAGATAATCAACATTTCGCCACACCTGGGCCCATGGTAAAAATTATTCCTGTCCTTGGTGGGATGATACAGATGAAGAAGCTACCTCAGGGTGAGAGCGTTCACCCTGAGGTAGTTTGTCAGATCATCCGGGTGGCTTTAGAAAATTGGATAACACATGGCATTGTGACAGAGTCAATGGCCGGTAAACTGGTTGCCTCCATCCATTCCCTGTCTGAACTTTTTCCAGGTCTGGCAGTTTCCATTTTAGGAGCCCACAGAATGTGAAAGTGCCAGGGAGTCCCTTGCGCTTTTTTTTGCACAAAATTGCTGAGCATGGGATCTACCTAGACCACAGGCAGTGCTCCTGATGTTCATATTTTGCTTGGGGCCCATAAAAACACGAGACTGGACCTAGTTTTATCCCTCATCCTCCCTTTCCATCTTCTTTGTATTCTTCTTTCTCTTGTTCCCTTTTCACTCGTTCTTGTCCAGTGCCTTTCTTTCTTTTTACAGATACACTTTCTCCTCAGGCTTTCTTTTTGTTACCTGTTCTTGGGCCTTTTCAACCATTTACACTCTGTTCCACATTCTGCTTTGACCGCACCGCTCTCTCTCGCGCTCTCTCTCTCTCTCTCTTTCTTCCTTTTTTTGATTGTTGTTAATGGACTCTTTATAAGCTCTTTCATTTTATAGCCGCCTAGGGCGGCAAAAGGGTTGTTGTGCTCCCCTCACAACTGTCTGCGGTCTCTTTGTCACATGAATCATCCAGAATATGGTTACTCATAACCACTCCTTCCCTCTCAACGTGGCTGTGGGATTCATCACATATTTTTTGACTCTCCCCTGACTTCTCCTGATGACAAAGGTGTGTCAATTAGGGAGACAGTTGGAGGGAGATCCCAGAGGACCCTCCTCCCCCCTCCCCACAAAAAACCCTCCTCCCCTCTCCCCACAAAAAAAGGCACTTTTACAACATGGGTAGCGTCCAAGTGCCCATCTACAGAAAGAGGGGAGAAAGAAACCCTGACATTCGAGCTGCAACCACAGCGATGGGCTCACAGCTCCACATTTTGCCTGCCCCAGGGGTAAGCACCTGGGGACTGATGTGTCCATTAGCGCACACTTGCAAACATCCAGCTGTGCAATTGCAGCTGCACTGCGCACACACATCTGGAGGCAGAAATGGGCTTAGTTCCCACAACACACACTTTGAGCTTGTCCACACTTCTGCCGGTGCCACCACTTCCCTACGGGGAAACCCAGTCTTTCCGGCTGAATTGGTGCAAACATCAATCTGGTTTTCCTGAGGAAAGCCTGATTAGGGAAATGGAAAACTTCTCGGCCCCATGGTTTCTACGCACGGGACAAGCAGAAGTATGGACAAGCCCTTTGCCTACTTACGTTACAAGTGTCAGAAGGGAGAGCTGTGTGTAGTCGTGTTCTTGACAGTTCAATGCCACACTTTTATTGCTGATATTTGCCTCCAGCCTCACCATTTCAAGAATCATTTTCCTGTCTTTTCTGTTTCCCTTCACACCTTGCATGTGGACTTTCTGAAATCGTCTGGAAACAGGACGCTGGATTAAAATGGACCCTTTGGGTTGATCCAGTAATGTTCTTCTCCTGCCTTTTAGCTTCTCAAAAACCGCATTTTTTTTTGTCCACAAGACATACATTTCATGCCAGCCACATAATCAAAGATTTGGAGACAGGAGTTCGCAAATATCCAGACACTGCAGGGCATTGAATTAGGTAGGGAAATGGGTTTCGTAATTCATGTAGCAGGGGAAGAATGTACTTTGGCGATGTTTTTTAAAAAAATCTAAACTTGGTTTCCATGTGCAGATCCAAACACGTTGATTGTTTGAAGAGGATTTTTTTCCCTTCCAAAGTGTGTGTTAATTATAATTAAAGCGCCTTAAATCACATATTTCTGTTTTCTCACTAGCAAAGATGAGCTCAAATTATTATTCATGAAAAAAATGCTTTTTTTAGAAGAGAGGAATTTGATACTAGAGTTTTAATATTTTGTTTATGAGGGCATTGGGGAGGAGAGACGTCCCCAATAGCAGGTGCGATCTCACCCTAAGGAGTTGAACACTCCCTCGGGTTTCAACATTCAAATGTATTGAATCGTTCATTTAAAAGTTGGGGGTTTGAACACGGAGGTTTCCACATGCAAAACCAAAAATGTGAGGAGGTTCACCTTCCCCTCGCCACCTCGTTTCCTCGACTTTCTTATGGCTCCAAACAGCAACTTTTATTGTATCAAAATAAATATGATTCCTCCATATTTGAGTTTGATTCCTTTGTCCTTTTTCTCATTCCAACCATGGGCATAGCCAAGGTTTTTGTTGTGGGGCAGGCTTTTGTTAGGGGTGCAGAACCTCATATTTGTATTGATTTAGGGAGAGCAGCTGCAACATTGCCTTATTTTGCACCCTGCTTAAAAACACAGAAAAAGCCATTTCCCACCAAACGGGCCACGGCTGACCTGCATATCAGGCCCTCCAAGTGTCCCTATTTTCCAGGGACAATCCCGGATTTACAGAAGCCGTCTCGGTTTCTGATTTGATCCCGGAATGTCCCACTTTTCCTTAGGATGTTCCTATTTCCATCGGAGAAACTGTTATGTATTCAGTAGCTTGTGTTTGCCTGAGCTTGAGTCTGGACTAAGGATTCTGAGCCCCTGTGTTCTGATTCGATACATGATGTCCAATCACAGAACATTTCAGGATTTGGGCCTCTGCCATTGGCTCTTGAACTCTGAGCCGTGATTCGCAGCTTGGAAGCTTAGACAGCCAATCACATTTGGAGTGGGAGTGGCCCAGGCTTTCAGGAATGTATATAAGCAGTTGCTTTGCCCCTGTTTCCCAGTTATGTAGCTCAATAAAGGTTCTTGTGTTATCACTACGTATTGCCTTGTGAGAACCCACCTACACTTCAGAAACGTTCAGGTAGGTAGCCGTGTTGGTCTGACGCAGTCGAAAGAAATTAAAAAATTAAAAAATGGTCCAGTAGTACCTTAGAGAACAACTAAGTTTGTTCTGGGTATAAGCTTTAATGTGCATGCAGAGTATCTGAAGAAGTGTGCATGCACATGAAAGCTTACACCCAGAACAAACTTATGATCCAGCGATCGTGATCACCTAGGGATCGACCTGTTGATCCCGCTCGACCGGTTGGACATCCCTGAGGTAGATAGTTAAGAGCTTAGGCGGGTGCCTGGCACCCCCCAGAATTCAGCGCCCAGGTGCCCCACACCCCTTGCACCCCCGGGTAAAGATGGCCCTGGTCATTGTCATGCCTGGGTGAATTGCAAGGAAGAAGGCAGGCAAGTGGGAACTGAACTGTAGTTGGGCGCTCCCCTGTTTGCCCTCATGTATGAGCCTCCTCTCTGCAAGAGACAACACTTGGCTACTTCGATGAATGGCAGAAGATGTGTTTATATATCACAGCTTAATGGGCTTCCTCTTGTAATCCTGTGAGCATATCTAAAACTAGCAGACTAGGAGCACAGTCATATTATACCTGTCTGCTCAGGAATCCCATTGAGTTCAGTTACTCCCAAGTAAGCGGGTATACAACTGCAGCCTAAAAAGTCCTCTCCCTTAGGAGCTCTGACGATTGTAGTTCTGGGCAGGAGGGCAAAAGAATATTTCAAGGAGTAATAACAATTCCTAGCATACTTTGGAGGAGGCAGTGATAACGGTTACACCCAGCACTCTCCAAGTGCTGAGAAATTTACTAGTGAGACCTTTGCTTGGTTCTGTTTCCTTTGAATAAAATGCCTTGAAGTTTACTGGTGTTTTGAGACAGACAGACAGACAGACAGACTACATTAGATAGACAGATAATTTATTACAGTCAAAGACCACCTCACATAACATAACACAATAAAAACAGCATTCATAAAGATAAAATATACAATCGGAGCAGATTGCAGCAATAGCTCGTGAGTTAAAATTGAGATACATACATACACCCGTACAACTGAGATTTGGGCTACCATAAAAAACTGACCCTGAGGCGCCCCAAAGGGAGACTTCAGCATTTCCCTAGTAAGCTATTTTCTAGAGGATGATCTGTGCCTACAAATCTGGGTGCAGAATCTGACTACCTGCCAGGTCGTCTTGTGATCTTTGCCTAAGACCCATGCATTTGAAACGCATCTAGGAAATTGCAGAAGGGCTCTGAGGAGTTTGGATTGCACTCTTTCAAGGGGAATAAACGAGGAGGGAGGCGGGCCCAGGACAGACTACATTACAGAAGTTGAGCGTATGGTTCAGAGCTCTAAACACACTCACGATTGACTGTTCCTCTCTCTGATTTCTATTGAGGGTGTTCGGTCACCGATCCTGTAGGATTCTTGCAGACAGCAAGTCGCCTTCTCCAGTGCCTCTGCCAGCCTGGCTTTAGCTGAAGATCCAGTTTGCAGAGAGACAGCTGGATGGCATCATCCCCACCCTGGCAGGGGGAAGCGAGGGGGAAGCAAGAATGGCCACCTTGCACAAGGAACCTCTGTCCGTTTCTTTACTTATGCAAAGGCATTTGGGACCACCCGTGCCAATCCCCCGGCAAAAAAAAGGGAATGTGCCAGGCTAAGCTTCTCCAACCACACCGACCTACTCTAGCAATCTCTTTTTGCAGAGTTGAGGGCAGGTGGAGAAATCGTTCAGACTGGCCTGCCCCCCACCCCACCCCCTGTCTCATTATTATAGTTCAACTGATACAGATATATAGTTCAACTGGTCCAGTATATCTGAAGGAGCGTCTCCACCCCCATCGTTCTGCCCGGACACTGAGGACCAGAGCCGAGGGCCTCCTGGCAGTTCCCTCGGTGCGAAAAGCCAAGTTACAGGGAAGCAGGCAGAGGGCCTTCTCAGTAGTGGCACCCACCCTGTGAAACACCCTCCCATCAGATGTCAAGGAAATAAACAACTACCAGACTTTTAGAAGACATCTGAAGGCAGCCCTGTTTAGGGAAGCTTTTAATGTTTAATAGGTTATTGTATTTTAATATTATGTTGGAAGCCGCCCAGAGTGGCTGGGGAAACCCAGCCAGATGGGCGGGGTATAAATAATAAATTATCATCATCATCATCATCATTTCCGGTGTCTTTTGCGGAAGAGCTGCAGAATCAATGTATCCGGCGGTGCCCCTTAGTAGTGTCTTTCATTTTTGCATGACCGCAAAAACAGAAGACGGGCATTATCACTACCGCACTACCGCTTTCTATTTTTTCATGTTAGCATTTTTAGCTGTTCTCCCCTCAAAAGCTCAACAACTTAGACTTGCGCACCCATAAAAAAAGCTCAGCAACTTTGACCTGGGGGGCGGTGAGTGGATCTTTGCACCCTGGCACCGCATATACGAAAGATGGCCCTGACAATGACAATGATTCCTCCTTCTCCTCCTTAGTCTCAGGGTTGCCTTTGCAGAACTCAGCAGGGATGACAGGGATCAGTGGAGAACCTATTGGCTCTTGCCTGTCTTGGGCTTTGCCTTTGCCTGCGACTGACCTCTCTGCCGTTCCGCCCTGCCGGTCCCAAGTCCCTGCCACACTTTTCCAGGATATGCAGCACCTGGGGGGAGATTCCCCTTCCACACAGGGGTCATGAAAGCTGCCAACTTCTTCCAGGACCCCAGCTTCTGTGCCTTTAACAGCAGCTTGGCTGGTGCTTATTGTCAAGCGACAAGGCTCATGCCTGGTCTCTGGAAAGCTCCACATGCTGATGAACTGGAAAAATAAAAATGCAGCTCCCTTTCATGATTGAAGACATGTATAAACTTTGTGTAGAAACATAAACTTGCTATGGACAAATTTAACATTTTTTGGAATTCATTTTTATAAATACTGTATTAGATTAAGGTCTGGTTAACCACAATAACAAATTTCTCCCCTTTTTTGCAATGCACACAATATTTCTTTGTTTGCTTGTTTTCAACATGGGTACTATTTCTTGTTTCTTCTTCGTTTTTGTGATTCTGTGCACTTGTAATTTCGTACTTTTTATTTTTCAATAAAGAATATATATTTTTAAAAACTTCACATGCTGACATATAGAATTATATTCAAGGTAAGTTAAAGCCACTTAGCAGTGCACCTATTCCGCTAGTGAAATGTTTGGTGGCAGTGGAACATTGCTGGAAGAAGAAGAAGAGGAGGAGGAGGAGGAGGAGTTTGGACTTGATATTCCACCTTTCACTCCCCTTAAGGAGTCTCAAAGCGGCTAACATTCTCCTTTCCCTTCCTCCCCCACAACAAACACTCTGTGAGGTGAGTGGGGCTGAGAGACTTCAGAGAAGTGTGACTGGCCCAAGGTCACCCAGCAGCTGCATGTGGAGGAGCGGGGAAGTGAACCCGGTTCACCAGATTACGAGTCGACCGCTCTTAACCACTACACCAGGCATAAGCAGGGTGCTTTTCCACACTTTCCTCCCCTCCCCCCCCCCCGCATTTTTTCCAGGCATTTTTAAAGCTCTGTGTTCGAGCTCCACCACCCCCCGGAGCTTTTCCCACAAAAACCTGCTTTTTAAAGCTGAAGCAAAACAATGGCAATTTCTGGTTTTCTGCGGATTACAGTTTGCTCTGATTCGACAGTAAATAGCAGGTTTTCGTTGAGGAAAAAGGGGAGCTCGGACAAAGAGCTTCAAAGTGCACACCTGTGTGTGGAAGGAGCAAGGCAAAAGATAAGTGTGGCTAAGCCCCAACTGTTAACAGTACAACCGCTCCCGAAATCCTGATGCTGAAAGGATGGCCTCCCCAAATATTCGACATGAGACCAGGCAGGAAACTGCTTCAAATGAAAAACGGACACAGATAATAAGATATCTTGCAGGGAGAATTGCTTTCTGTGCCTGATCCTTCCACCTACGAGAATTATGCAGAAATCTAGGGAAGGTTTGGCAAGGTGTAAAGTCTTCCCTGGAAGGGAAGGACAGATAAAATCAGATGCCTGGAAAAAGTTAATGCCGGAGGGTCATAACAGCATACAAGCTCCACTAGGTGTGGTCCAGGGTTGGCTGACTCATTGGGAACCAAAGGCTTTCCCTCGCCACAGCAGGGATTTCTCATCAGGTCCTGACATTCACATAGACTTGTGATGTGCCGTCCAACTTGGAAACATCTGTAAAATGACAGAGGGATGAGTCATTCTGTTTTTCACCTGTGTATGCTCTGGGCTTAACAATCAAAATCCCGCGGAAGGTAATTATATCAAAACAAGGGGTGTTTGCCACAGCCAGAATCAATTATGCAATTGGTTGTGTTTGCTTAGTTTGCAAAATGCATTACAGTGGTACTTCGGGTTACAGATGCTTCAGGCTACAGATGCTTCAGGTTACAGACTCCTCTAACTCAGAAATAGTACCTCGGGTTAAGAACTTTACCTCAGGATGAGAACAGAAATCATGCGGCGGCAGCAGGAGGCCCCATTAGCTAAAGTGGTGCTTCAGGTTAAGAACAGTTTCAGGTTAAAAACGGACCTCCAGAACGAAATAAGTTCTTAATCTGAGGTACCACTGTATTTTGCTCAGAATTTGGGGGAGGGATAATCAGCTATTATATGCTTCTGTTTTGAAAAGAAAAAGAAAGCGTTTCTCTGATGTTTCTCTCAGTGCTGAATTCTGATCACAAATTTCACATCCGCTGTGCGATGGAATTGTAGAACTCACAGAGACACAGAAACTAAAACATTTCTGCTCTCAAAAACCCTCTAACGAAACACGCAGTGTGGCTCACAGGCAGACACAGAAACAATAAACTATTATCCTACCCCAGGCATGCAGATCCACACCACGTATTCAAACCACATGACTTCCCCCAAAGAATTCTGGGAACTGTATAGTTCCAAGCTACAAATCTCAGTACCCTTGACAAATTACAGTTCCCAGGATTCTTTGGGGGAAGAAGCCGTGTGCTTGAAAAGTTTGACGTATGCTTGAGTCTAGGGATGCGGGTGGCGCTGTGGGTTAAACCACAGAGCGTAGGACTTGCCGATCAGAAGGTTGGTGGTTCAAATCCCCATGACAGGGTGAGCTCCCGTAGCTCGGTCCCTGCTCCTGCCAACCTAGCAGTTCGAAAGCACGTCAAAGTGCAAGTAGATAAATAGGTACCGCTCCTGCGGGAAGGTAAACGGCGTTGCCGTGAGCTGCTCTGGTTTCACCAGAAGCGGCTAAGTCATGCTGGCCACATGATCCAGAAGCTGTACGCCGGCTCCCTCGGCCAATAAAGCGAGATGAGTGCCACAACCCCAGAGTTGGTCACAACTGGACCTAACGGTCAGGGGTCCCTTTACCTTTACCTGTCTAGTTCACACAGAAAGCAGATACAGTTTCTGAACAGGGCTGGGCCAATTCAGAGGGAAGTGGGGGACTGCGTAGCTCTCTCGCTTAAAATATAAACAGACTTGAGGAAAACTGTTTCTAGGATAACCTCTCACTATTTTTAGTTCTGTATGTGCTGTGATTTATTTATTTTTTACTGAGAAACCATGCATGCCCCTATCTGCAATCTGGCACACAGCACAATGCAGGGGCAATTTTACCACCTCATCATTATTTGTGCATAGTCGGTCTGACTTGCCAAACACTCCCACCTATTGGATCACAAAATTATGGCACCCAATACTACTTATAGTATAGGTATACTATAAGTATACAACTTATTAGGGACTCGGGTGGCGCTGTGGGTTAAACCACAGAGCCTAGGACTTGCTGATCAGAAGGTCGGCAGTTCGAATCCCCATGACAGGGTGAGCTCCCGTTGCTCGGTCCCTGCTCCTGCCAACCTAGCAGTTCGAAAGCACATCAAAGTGCAAGTAGATAAATAGGTACCGCTCTGGCGGGAAGGTAAATGCTCTGGTTCACCAGAAGCGGCTTAGTCATGCTGGGCACATGACCCGGAAGCTGTATGCCGGCTCCCTTGGCCAATAAAGTGAGATGAGCGCCGTAACCCCAGAGTCGGTCACGACTGGACCTAATGGTCAGGGGTCCCTTTACCTTTTTATACTACTTATATTTTTCACTCTTCAGCAGAAGAAGCAGGAGGACTCCCGCATGTAGCAGTGGAGCATGAGTAACCGCCTTATACAGAGTCAGACAATTTGGTCCATCTAGAGCAGGACTGTCTACCCTGACTGGCAGTTCTTCTATGGGGTTTCAGGCAGGGGGTCTCTGCCAGTCCTACCTGCAGACGCAAAGGAATGAACCCAGGATCTTAGACTCTACGAACACTGGGATTTGGCAGTACCCCAGGGCTGGCATACCACATTTGGAAATGAGTGAAACAACAAGCATGTTCATTGAAAGAGCACCCTACACAACCCAGAGTCTAAAATTCCTGTGTCTCCCATCCTATCGTTGGACTGTTAGGATATTGATGTTCCGTTCCGCCTTAAGAGGAACAGATATGTGGAGTTGTTGTATGTCACATGTCTGTTTACTTCCAGCACAATCTGCTGGGAACTTCCGTTGTATATTGCTTTTGAAATGCTGCTGTTTTGCTTGGACACGGAGGGAAGAAGACATGTTTTTCCTTTGTCCTGCTGCTGAATAAATGCTGTAAATATGCTTACACATGTGTCTGTCCGCTACTTCTGTTGCAAAGAGTTCTTTTTTAAAAAAAATATTTTTATTAATAAACCAATCAAATCACATTAATTCCAAATTACAAAACCGAATTTTAAATTTTTGTTGGGGGTACCCATGCTTCGAGCTCAGAAAGGGATCCAATCATTTTTATTGCTGCTGCTTTGATGTTCACAGTTCTGTCCGATTAGTATTCACTCTCTTTGTTATTTTCCTCATCTCTTCTTGTTGTTATTGTATATTTTTCCTTTCTTTGTAACCTCTGATAATCTCCACTAGCGAGTTGAAAACAGTTATAGTCCTGTGTGTATTTTCGCATTAATCCAAGAATCATATTCAAACAGCAGACGCCATATCAGCACTTCCATAGAAAACAGTCTTAGCGTCTGCTCATTAATCTTCTCAGGCTTGTCACTCCCACCTCGATCTTTTCAGGGGGTTCTGCCAGGTCAGACACAGAGTCCAATATGATAACAAAGCCATGGCTTCCTCCCCCTCTTGATCATCAATCCTGCAACGAAGCCTGCCTGTCATGGCGAATCTCTTTTTAAAACTGCGTCATTCCAAAAGCCTTCCATTCCTTTCCAAATCTCCACAAACAAAGCCTTTGATTAATAATTCATTTCCACACAGTTCATAATCATCCCGCTTATTATCAATTGTTGCAACGGTTCTTCTTGGGGGGGATTGTTAGGTAATCACATAGAGGAAAAAAGAAAAGTCCCCCCCCTTTCCATCCCGTTCCGACATACCGACATCTTTGATATATCTTCTTCTTGATATCTTTTCCTGTTGAATCCATCCCGTCGCTCAGCTTCACAGAGGTCACTTCAATTAGCAGTCTAAACTCCCTTTCTTCACTCGAAACATGTGCATTTGCTGCTCTTTAATTGTTTATTTTGAGCTCCTGCAACCAGGTCGCATGATCAGAGACGGCGTCCGGGAGAGCGGAAAAAACTCACACGAGTGCTGTGCGTCTAGTGCCCTCACCCCCTCCTTCTTTCGAACTCGGAGGTGATTTATCGGCAACCGCAGGCAAAGGCAGTGTTTTCCCAATTCCCTGGAAAAACTCGGGAGGCTAATTACTCCCATATTAGCCTCTTAATTACCTTATGTGAGCCGGAGAGATGGTATTGTTGGCCATCTTCCAATGTGCCCCTAGCGGCCCCCTGCTGCAAAGAGTTCTTATCTCTGCTGGATTGTGTGCCCAGTCTCTCAAGGTTTCTGAGGCTTGAGTCGCAGTTTTGATGCTGTTCTGAGAACCAGAATTTTGCCCAGCTGCCAGCCAGTGGCTGGAGCCAGCTGTGGGCCTGCCAATTGCCCCTGTCTCCCGGCAGCATCCCAACAACAGGGTTATGGGCCCAGATCCACAGCGCTTACACGAGCGTAAGGCTGCTCATGGCTGCAATCCTACCCGGCAGAGACAGAGGTATGTGAAGCGTCCCGGTCGAGGCTAGAGGGTTTTTGATGTCCATGCCAAGTCGCAATTAGGCCAAAGATATGCAGGCCTCGTACTGCGAGGGTCAACCCACAACCCTCCCTGCTCCAACTCACTAGAACTCTCCCCTAGCCAACCCAGAATTCCTTGCTCCAGTTGCATTACCAGCCACACTTTCCTTTGCACTTTCCACCCCACATAATAATAATAATGTTTACCGTATTTTTCTGTGTATAACACACCCCCATGTATAAGACGCCCCCTATTTGGGGGTACTCCAAATTAAGAGAATGGGGGGAGATGGCCCAAAGTTGTTCAGCTTTTTTAATGGGGAGTGGCCCAGACATTCTGGAGCTTTTTTGGGGGGGACTGCCAAAAATCACTCACCTGACTGACATATGCTGCCACTAGCACGAGTCGCAAAAGCCACCTATCGTCTGCCCCCTCGCTGGCAGAAGCCGCCAATCGCCCACCCAATTGCCGCGGTGACAGCCAATCAACAACAGCCCTTGCCACAACCACCAATAACACACCCAGTAGCCGCTGACAATCTCCAGTTTGCGGCGGCAACAAATCACACACCCACTATACACTATCTAGGTATAAGACGACCCCCAATTCTTAACATTATTTTTTAATTAAAAAAAAATCTCGTCTTATACATGGAAAAGTACGGTATATGCCAGCCATCTGATTGGGTTGTCCCAGCCACTCTGCAGGCTCCTGAACAAAATATTACAAACACTATAACTAAAATAACATATTGTAATGTCCACACAATATATTTTTTTCTGTTTTGTTTTGTTTTCCAAATGGGTACTATTTCTTGCTGCTGCTTCTTGTTTGTGTCTTACTCTGCGCACTTGTAATTTTGCACTTTTTACTTTTCAATAAAGAATTAAAAACAAAAGCACAATAAATGTCAAACGTTAAAAACTTCCCTGCCTTCAGATGTTGAAACATCCCTGAATGTAGGCACAGACGCCAGGGAACCTCCAATCACGTACCTTTCCTGAGCTCCTCAAGGTGGGTTGGATGCTTCTGGCTGCAAGGAGAGATGGGAAAGATTGACTCAAAAGGAAAGAAGAAATGCAAGTGTGCCGTCCGGTGTCACCCACTGGCCAGCAGGGCAACTTCCAACAGTACTCAGACTTCCTGTCTCACATTCACTCAGACACTCACATGATCTACACAAAACATAGTACAGTCATACCTTGGGTTGAAGTAGCTTTGGGTTGAACATTTTCAGATTGTGCTCCGCGGCAACCCGGAAGTAATGGAATGTGTTACTTCTGGGTTTTGCCGCTTGCGCATGCACAGATGCTCAAAATGAAGTCATGCGCATGTGCGGAAGCAGCAAATCGTGACCCGCAGAAGCAGATTGCGTTTGCTTCAGGATGCGAATGGGGCTCCAGAACAGATCCTGTTCGCATCCAGAGGTACCACTGTACAAAAGTACCACTTGCTGGAGCAGCTCGGATAGATAAAAACCCTAACAGTCACATAGGTCTCATGCTCGCTGTACATTAAAAACACATTTACAGTGGTACCTCAGGTTACAGACGCTTCAGGTTACAGACTCCGCTAACCCAGAAATAGCACCTCAGGTTAAGAACTTTGCTTCAGGATGAGAACAGAAATCGCACAGTGGCAGCGGGAGGCCCCATTAACTAAAGTGGTACCTCAGGTTAAGAACAGTTTCAGGTTAAGAACGGACCTCCAGAACGATTTAAGTTCTTAACCTGAGGTACCACTGTATACCACTTTAGGGACTCCTCCCAACGAATTCTGGAACCGTAGCTGTAAATGGCAAGCAATTTTGATGGCTGTAAGTTGTTCGAAATGTTTTTTTTTAATATTGTGCTTTAATGCTGTAACCTGCTCTGGGGACTTAGGGTGAAGGAAGGGTTTGTTGTTGTTGTTTAGTCGTTTAGTCATGTCCAACTCTTCGTGACCCATGGATCAGAGCACGCCAGGCACTCCTGTCTTCCACTGCCTCCCGCAGTTTGGTCAAACTCATGCTGGTAGCTTCGAGAACACTATCCAACCATCTCGTCCTCTGTCGTCCCCTTCTCCTTGTGCCCTCCATCTTTCCCAACATCAGGGTCTTTTCCAGAGAGTCTTCTCTTCTCACGAGGTGGCCAAAGTATTGGAGCCTCAGCTTCAGGATCTGTCCTTCCAGTGAGCACTCAGGGCTGATTTCCTTCAGAATGGATAGGTTTGATCTTCTTGCAGTCCATGGGACTCTCAAGAGTCTCCTCCAGCACCATAATTCAAAAGCCTCAATTCTTTGGCGATCAGTTTTCTTTATGGTCCAGCTCTCACTTCCATACATCACTACTGGGAAAACCCTAGCTTTCACTATAAGGAAGGGTGGGGAATAAATAAATAGATTGATAGATCACAGAGCTAACATCCTTAACAGTGTGCAGGATCCTCCCGCGATTTAAATGTCTCCCCGCTTGAAATCGAAAGTGGAATTTTACAGCTGCATCGGAAGAGTTGAGAACAAAGGGAGAGACCTCTCCAGAGTAACTCAACAGAGCCATAAGGCACAAAAGAAATCAGGAATAATTAATGTGGACATAATATTTGATGAAGAATTAAAGGAACAATTGATGGAAATTAAAACCTCACACAGGAAGAAGAAAGAACTTCATTTGCGAACTTACAAACTACTATATGTGTTAATGCAAATTGAAGTTAATTATTGTAGCTGTGGTATAAGGGTTTTTATCAATAATGGATTGTATATGGTTTGAGCGATAGTACAGCACATGGGAAGCCACACAACAATTATCATTGGCTATGTAATTGATTTGTATTTGAATTGGTATTGCTGTTTGATATTAATATAATCTGGCACATATGGATTTGTTGTACGATGGTACCTCGGGTTAAGTACTTAATTCGTTCCGGAGGTCCGTTCTTAACCTGAAACTGTTCTTAACCTGAAGCACCACTTTAGCTAATGGGGCCTCCTGCAGCCACCGCGCCGCTGGAGCACGATTTCTGTTCTTATCCTGAAGCAAAGTTCTTAACCTGAAGCACTATTTCTGGGTTAGCGGAGTCTGTAACCTGAAGCGTATGTAACCTGAGGTACCACTGTAACTGAAAATTAATAATAAAAAAATTAACAAAAATACAGTAAATAAATGTGTGTTAAATGCAGGGTGTGGGTTGAAGTGGCCTGTGTCTGGTGTACAACAGGGACTGGAAAGCTGTGGCCCAGAAGCCAATTGCAGGCCTTTCTGTGTGGCCCTCAGCACTCTCCCTAGGCTGCCACCCCCTCACCAGTCCTGATTCGAACCCCAAGTGGCTGGGATGTTCCCTTGAACTCAGGTGAGGCCTCTTCCCTCTTTCAATGGAGGCCACCGTGGGGTGCAGGGGTGAGGACATCAACTAGCCTACTGTGGTAAAATGTACATTTCTTGAGATGCCCATTTTTGCCTCCAGCCCTGCCTACCACTGAATAGGAGCAACATTTGTGCCTTTTCCTCCTAGAAGAAGTGCTCCAGCCAGTCTGGCTTTTTCTGCACCTTTCCTAACTCTGCAATTCCCTTTTTGAGATGCTGTGATCAGACCCATACACACTTTTTCCAAACGTGGTAGCCACAGAGACTTGCACAATGGCGTGACAGTTTCATATCTTTTTTTATCCTTTTCCTTCTTACATTTCATGCAAGTCCCCTAGATCAGCTCGCCATCTTGCTCCTCGCTGGGTCCTTCAGACCAGCTATCTGCCTTTTTTTTTTGAAAAAATTACCGTTAATAAACCAGCACAAGGACCTGTTTACACACCCATTCTTCACCTGTGCACTCAAAACACACAAATGCCACCAACGCTTTGCAGAGGTGGTGACATCCCAGGCGCTGGCCAGTAGCCACTCTCCGCAGCTGACTTTTCCTGGCTCAAACCAACTGTGTTGGAAATGAGCAGGACTGGTTCTACAGGACTTAATGCAGCTTGGGAAAAGTTTTGTTTGTATTGAATGCAACGAGGACTCTTTGAAACCAGCCCCGCTTGGTTTCCTAGCTCTGTACCATCTTTTCTGACCAACAACAACTCCCTACGACCTCGATCCAAGGTCTTCCCTTCTTCCCTTCCTCTTGATGCTCACAAGCTTGGTCAGGACAATTCTCCACTTACCGACAGCTTCTCCATAGCAGCACTCCCAGCACGAATATGATTAGAGACTGCAGAGTGACACAAACAGCCAGTGGGATCCAGGTGCCCCCATTTCCTTCACTTTCTGGACATGGAGGCGTTAAGCAACCTTTTACTTTTCCTACAGGAGAGAACAAGACCATGAAATCCTGGCTCCAGCTTCTCCCCCACAGTGCACCAGAGAAGGTTTCCAACCTTTTGATTCCCAAAATGTTGGTACAGTGATACCTTGGGTTACAGACGCTTCAGGTTACAGACACTTCAGGTTACAGACTCCGCTAACCCAGAAATAGTCCCTTGGGTTAAGAACTTTACCTCAGGATGAGAACAGAAATCGCACAGTGGCAGCAGGAGGCCCCATTAGCTAAAGTGGTACCTCAGGTTAAGATTAGTTTCAGGTTAAGAACGGACCTCCAGAACAAATTAAGTTCTTAACGCGAGGTACCACTGTAGTAGAGTGTCAGGATCAGGTCAGCGATAAAATGCCCAGTGCCTTAGAAGTTAACTCTTTATTCAAAGAAACCAGAACAGTGCAGGCCTTGGGATCACAGCAACTCTTCCCAGTAGGGAGTGAATGTCCCCACCTTCCCACCGCTCTCTACAGCTCCTCTCCTGGGTCCTTCCCCAGCAACCTGAGACTCCTTCATCTTCTCTCTCATTGTTCCTCCCACTTCATGCCTCTTCTGGTCCTGAGAGACCAGGGGGAAGATGAGCTTGTCACAGCAGGAGGGGGAGATTCCTTGGCTTCTTCACCACTCTGCCTCTTTGCCCCCTTCCTCTCCAGCCTCCGCTTCTGCCTCTGATTCTGGGCTGCTCTCTGCCACAGACTCTCCCTGCTCACTAAACCCTGTTACCTTTTCAGCTTCCCACACCTCCGCCTCCCAGTCTTCCCCTTCTGACCGCTCACCGTTGTCCCACCACCAAGCCTCTGTGTCATGCGTGGAGAGTCTGCCTCCCCCTTTGGTAACTTCACAGATAAGAATTATCGAGCAGTTTATATTGTACAGTCCTTTTTATTCAGGCATCAGGTCGCAAGCAAAAATCCACTTCCCTCCACAAAGAGAGCAGTTGGCTACTCCAATTCTTCCCCCTTCCATCTTCGGCAACATCCTGTTCACCAACAGGAAGTTCCTCCTCCTCCTCTCTGCACCCTTTGTTCTCTAATACATTCGGATCTCCTAGTTCGTGGAGAGGGAGGGTCCTGCACAGTCTCAAATAACGTCTCTGCTATCTGTACCCTCCCTTCTTTTTCTCTTGTCATTATCTCGTAGCTAGGCAACTCCTGTCTAATCTGCTCTGTGTCTGTGTCTCCCTCTGCTTCTGAGACTGCTGGAAACAAGGGGGGGTGAGTCTCCCCTCAGCTCCTCTTTTGAGGGAAGCTGATCTGCCTGAGCATACATTCCCCAGTCCTCTGCTTCAGACCTTTCCCTGACACTCTGGCTCTGAGCCTCCTTCCCCAGGGGATTCTCCAGCTGATGCCTCCCATCAATCCTCTTTACCCAGCCAGTGTATGACATCGAGCAGGGAACAGCGTAGGAAGCTGCCTTACACTAGGGTTACCAGACGTCCCCGTTTCCCGGGGACAGTCCCTGGATTTGCAGATAAGTCCCCAGACAAATTCCATCCCCGGAATGTCCCCAGATTTCATCTAATGTCCCTGGGAAACGCAGCAGCGGCAGTCTCAGCAGCCCGGAGCAGTTGGCTCTGGCTGGCTTCAGGAGCTGCTCGGAAGTCCCCATGTGATGGTGGTGCAGGAGCTTGAAGATGCAGCTTCCGGGCTGCCTCCACCTTCCCTGACCCCAGCAACTGAGCTGTGAAGGGAGGCTTCATGCTGCCTATCTGAGCAGCCTCCTGACTCCTACTTGCGTGCAAGCAGGAGCGGGGCGGGGATCTCTTAGTTAGGTAACAGGAAGCTTCCCTTCCCAGCTGAGGGATCTGTGCCCCCTCCTGCTTGCACGCAAGTAGGAATGAGATTAGGGCTGCTCCGATGGGAAGGGAGGCATCTCGCTGCCCGAGCCTCACTGCCACCGCCACTCTCGGCCCTCCTTCTCCACCTTCCATGCCTGACCCACAGCGCACTGCTTCCCCACCACCACCACCAAAGAGCCAACAACTCAGGGGCTGCTCAGGCTCATGGAGAAAGGAGATAGAAGCCTCAGAGGAAGAGGAAACGTGGCGGTTGAGGTCAAGGTGGTGGCAACCCCTCTGCCACCGCCATCACTGCAGCATCAACATCCTGAACGTGTAGTATTTATTTATTTATGTATGTATGTATGTATGTATGTATGTATGTATTTATTTATTTATTTAAAGTGTCCCCAGATTCATGGGGGGGGGGGAATCTGGTAACCTTACCTTACACCGAGTTAGATCATTGGTCCACTTAGCTCAGTACTGTATACACTGACTGGCAGTAGCAGGTTTCAGGCAGGGTACAGTCCTATTCCTATCTGGTGACTGAACCCAGGACCTTCTGCATGCAAAGCAGATGCTCTGTTACTAAACTAGGGGACCCTTTCCAGAATACTGGTACTATTAAACAATACCGTGTTGACCAGCTGATGCAAAGGGGGGGACACTATTCAAGCATTGCATCTAGGACCCCTCCAGACATCTTTTTTATTGTGCATTAATGGTGATTTGTGCTCATGGTAGTTTTGGAGTAGTTCTGTATGATCCTGCTCTCAATACAGCTTGCACCTGCAAAGGTTTTGGGACAGAAACATGGCTTTGTTTCCAGTTGGTTGCATTTTCCACGCAGTTTCCTGATAAAATCCTGTTAACTTTGCATATTACAAACATTCCAGAGTTTTGGGGTGGTTTTTTTTGTTTTGTCCCATTTTGTTGTGCTGTAATTCAAAAGTGCACCTCTAGATGGCAATGGCACCATAAGTAACGCTACTAGCAGAACACTGCAGAACTAACAAAGCAGAATTATGTGTGGATGGTCCAGAATAAATCTAAGATGGCTACATACACACCAAATGCAGCTAACTCGCAACTTATGCACATTTAACTTGTGCACATTCAGCTTTATGCACTTGGCAAAAAAATATAAATAAAAATTACAAAGGGTTCAGAAAGCAAGTGAGTGTCCAGGAGAAAAGACCTTAGCAATCCCACTCACCACTGAATACAAACAATTTTGGCTATACATGCTAAGCCCGGAACGTAACCCCCACCTAAGTTGTGAATCACCTATATTGTGAGTCACATCCCCGCCTCAAGAATCCTGGGAACAGTAGTTTACCCCTCACAAACCTGTATTTCTCAGCACCCTTAAAAAACTACAGTTCCCAACATTCTCTGGGGTGTGTGGAAATCTGCTTTAAATGTAAGATGTGCAAGCAGCCTATTATTGCACCAATAAAGGTAAAAGGTAAAGGTAAAGGATGTCTGGATGGTTAAGTCCAGTCAAAGGCGACCATGGGGTTGTGGTGCTCATCTCGCTTTCAGCCCTAGGGAGCTGGTGTTTGTCCACACACAGCTTTCTGGGTCATGTGGCCAGCATGAGTAAACCACTTCTGGTGCAACGAGACACCGTGATGGAAGCCAGAGCACACAGAAACACCATTTACCTTCCCACCGCAGTGGTACCTATTTATCTACTTGCACTGCTTTCAAACTGCTAGGTTGGCAGGAGCTGGGACAGATTCGAACCACCAACCTTCTGATCAGCAAGCCCAAGAGGTTCAGTGGTTTAGACCACAGCGCCACCCACTGTTATTGCAACAATAACATATTGCAATCTACAGCCGTGCAGGCATGTAGCCTTTGAAACACACAGGAGTAATTTCTTCACAGGGCACTTTTGTACACAGCGGTTTGCGACTGCATGCACCTTTGTGCGATAACATCGCCTAAAGCAGCAGCTACTTTCTGTGTCGTCTGTACACAGACTTAGGTGTGTTTTCAAACGAGGCTCTATGTTTCCCTCCCCTCAGTTAGCGATTCCACAGCCCTTTCAAATATATGCATACAGTCATCAATATCTCATAACTTTAGCTACCCCCTCCCTAAAGAGCAGATTCCCTGCAAAGTAGCCCAAATACCTAGAAAGCCCCTTACCTGGAGGAGAGGGCAGCCAACCGCAGCAGCCGCACGAATCCTGTTCCCTCCCCGTCAAACGGAAGGTGATTTCCTGCTTCTCAGCAAAGCTGCACTTCAGTCTTCTCTCTTTGGTCTCCTTCCCTTCCCTCAAGCAAATGTGGAGCTGAGATGCCCTGTGACCTTTGAAGATGCTGTAGTCTCTCTCCTTCTCGCCTTGCTGGAGAGCCTTCTTGCCCTCCCACCAGCTCACCACATTATTGTCTAATTTCTTGCTCGAGACAGAGCAGCTCAGGACGTAGCACACAAGATCGGACAGTCTGCTCTCCAGCATCCGCTTAGTGCCTGGATGAGAAAGAAGCATCTCTGGTGTGCCATGTTCAATTTAAGAAGCATTTGGGACCGGGGCAGTGTGGGAATGTTCAGGGATGCAGGAGAGGATATATTATCTGATTATATCCTTATCCAACTTGTGTTAACAAGTTTCCAATATCAGCAGAGTAAAACATTCCCCTTTATTTTAAGTTTGCAATGGCAGCGTTTGCTCAGGCTCGCTTAAGCCTCTATAATAATCACTCTGGTAATTTCCCCTTATTCCCTCTTAAAATAGAAGACACGACACAGTCCTTTACAAAAGTATAAAAAGAGTTTACTCACATTCTGTTCACAATCAGATCCCAGAAGGCAGACTTAGGCTTAGTGAAGTAACATACATTTAGAATCTATCTTATAGGAAGATAGTCCCTTTCTCCTCTCTTGGCTGGGAGCCAAGAGGGCATCTTGCACTCAGGAGATGTTGCTTGTTCAAAGGAAGAGAAGTAAGAGAGAGATGGCTGCCCCTGCCCTGTGCTTTTGTCGTTACCTGCACAGGTGAGGCCACACCCACCTCTAGTCACATGCGGAGGAAGTCTGTCCCAGCCCAGAAGGAAACAGGAAGTTTACCTGCCCATGTCCCTCCCCATGTCTAAACATGTACACTCTAGGAATGTTGTAATTGACTGCTCCTGTGTTTCACAGGAGGTGGGCAGGCTTAGCGCCTTTCTCTTCGTTGCCAGGGATCCAGGACTCACTGGTTCAGAGACAGGAGGGTCCGCCAGGGTAGGGCTGGCCTAGCAAACTCATTATCCCACCAATGGCAGCGGTTATTGGGAACAGAGAACGTAGGAAGCGGCCTTATAACGAGTCAAACCATCAGTCCATCTGGTTCAGCATCACCTACACTGACTGCCAGAGCCGGCCCTATGATGAGACAGAGCGAGGCAGCTGCTTCAGGCGGCAGATGCTGAGAGGTGCAGAGCGGAGAGAGCGTTGTTGTGCCACTTTGCCTGCTCTGCCCACCCCCCTCCAGAGCTATCCTGCTGCCCTCAGGTGTGGCAGAGGCATAGGAGCCAACTCCTAGGGGCTAAGGTCTCTTCACACACACCCAATAAAATATTCGAGGGGACTGCCCACCCCGCCACAAAGTTAAGAGGCATTGCCATTCAAATGGTGTGTGTATACTGAAAACAAAGATCGTGGCCCCTGGTCCCATCACCTCCTGGCAAATAGAAGGGGAAGAAATGGAGGCAGTGAGAGATTTTACTTTCTTGGGCTCCATGATCACTGCAGATGGTGACAGCAGTCACGAAATTATTAGACGCCTGCTTCTTGGGAGAAAAGCAAGGACAAACCTAGACAGCATCTTAAAAAGCAGAGACATCACCTTGCCGACAAAGGTCCAGATAGTTAAAGCTATGGTCTTCCCAGTAGTGATGTATGGAAGTGAGAGCTGGACCATAAAGAAGGCTGGTCGCCAAAGAATGGATGCTTTTGAATTATGGTGCTGGAGGAGACTCTTGAGAGTCCCATGGACTGCAAGAAGATCAAACCTCTCCATTCTGAAGGAATTCAGCCCTGAGTGCTCACTGGAAGGACAGATCATGAAGCTGAGGCTCCAATACTTTGGCTACCTCATGAGAAGACTCGACTCCCTGGAAAAGACCTTGATGCTGGGAAAGATTGAGGGCACAAGGAGAAGGGGACGACAGAGGACGAGATGGTTGGACAGTGTTCTCAGAGCTACCAGCATGAGTTTGACCAAACTGCGGGAGGCAGTGGAAGACAGGAGTGCCTGGCGTGCTCTGGTCCATGGGGTCATGAAGAGTCGACACGACTAAACGACTAAACAACAACAACAACATACTGAATCTTGTGGCTGATTATGTGGGGTGGGGTTATTATGTGGAGTAAGGATTACCTTACTCCACTGCTCCCCATATATTTTTATTTTATTCAAGTTGGCACCCCTGGGCAGAGGACAATGCCTTGTGTCCTGTTTTGAAGTAAGATTTAACTTCCAGCCTGGTAGGCTTCTGTACATTTAAGGAGGAGGGGAGGCACCATCTTGTCATTGGCTTCAGGCAGAAAAATGTCTTGGACCGGCCTTGCTGAATAGCAGTGGCACTCCTGGATTTCAGAGAATGATTTTCCCCAGTCCTGCCTGAAGATGCCACAGATTGAACTGAGCTACAGTCTTACGGCCCTATAGAAAGGGCTCAGAATAAGATAGGAGCTGGGGATTCGTCAGTTTAAATGGATTTTATTATTTTTCCATAACAGAAACAAAGGTAATAAGTGCTCCATGTTATGTACTGAAGTTCTCACCCTGGGCCAGCAGGGGAATACTGTAGATAGTTTTCACTCAGGTCCACATATGCAAATAAGGGATTGAAAGTGACGTTCAGTGATTGGATAGTTACAGAAAATTGTTACTGTTGCATTCTAGTGGAGCTCTATATAAGCAGGCTGGCTGAACCCTTCAGTTCAGTTCTGTTCTGGCCTGTGAATAAACAAGAGCTGTTTGAAGAATCGCTGTGTCGTCTGATATGTTCACCCACAACTTAACACTCCATATATTAGGAAAACAGTAACAGGTATGACAGGGACCCTAAGTGCGTTTTCAGTCTCATTTAACGCTGGTCCACTCACCTGTGGTGACCACCAGGTCGTAATAATTGACCGAGCTGCACCAGTATCTGCCGTGATCGCTGTCCGTCACATTGCTAAACTGAAGGGAGTCATTTGGAAGCACGCTGAGGCGATCCCAGGCCTCTGGGAGACGAGTCACGGGGCCGTTCTCCCGCTTGGAAAAGAGAAGGGTGGGTCCGCTTTGCTGAAGGTACCAGGATACTTCCCCATGTTTGCCAGGACATGGCAGCTCCGGCGAAGAGCCTTTCTCTGCATATATCACTTGTGGGGAGAGAAAGCTTTGTTAGGCCCCAGAAGGTTAGGAGACACAAGAGAGACACCTCAGATGTTTTGGAACACAGCTCACATCCCCCAACATGGCCAACCACAAAGGATTTTGGGAGTCTTCAGTCCAACACATCTGGAAGACACGCCATTGGTAACCCCATAACTGGCAGTGCCATATCTAACATTAGAAACAGAAGAATCATAGAATCATAGAGTTGGAAGAGACCACAAGGGCCATCGAGTCCAACCCCCTGCCAAGCAGGAAACACCATCAGAGCACTCCTGACATATGGTTGTCAAGCCTCTGCTTAAAGACCTCCAAAGAAGGAGACTCCACCACACTCCTTGGCAGCAAATTCCACTGTCGAACAGCTCTTACTGTCAGGAAGTTCTTCCTAATGTTTAGGTGGAATCTTCTTTCTTGTAGTTTGGATCCATTGCTCCGTGTCCGCTTCTCTGGAGCAGCAGAAAACAACCTTTCTCCCTCCTCTATGTGACATCCTTTTATATATTTGAACATGGCTATCATATCACCCCTTAACCTCCTCTTCTCCAGGCTAAACATGCCCAGCTCCCTTAGCCGTTCCTCATAAGGCATCGTTTCCAGGCCTTTGACCATTTTGGTTGCCCTCCTCTGGACACGTTCCAGTTTGTCAGTGTCCTTCTTGAACTGTGGTGCCCAGAACTGGACACAGTACTCCAGGTGAGGTCTGACCAGAGCAGAATACAGTGGCACTATTACTTCCCTTGATCTAGATGCTATACTCCTATTGATGCAGCCCAGAATTGCATTGTTTGGAGTCATACCATTGGGTTTGGGTAGGGCGGAACAAGACATTCTCTTAAAATTTTATTTTTTGGTCAGGCTCCCCCTGAGCCGTTAGAGAATCTCAGCCCCTTCTCTGGACAATGTTAAGTGAGATGTCCTTGCACGAGTGGAGAATTTCAGCCGACACTGTGGCTCCCAACCGATTTTAAGGTTGTCATGGGCTTGGCCTCCGCTCATTACAGCCCTCCTCATTGACCTTGTCTCCTCCAACATCCACAACTATGCTCTAGCAACAGTGTTTTGTTCAGTATTACAGAGCCAAATCATTCAAACTGAGAGAATTTTTCAGAGAATATTCCCACCCCCTTGCCTTCCCAAGAACCGTTGGAGAAGAAACTCCCTCCCATTCCGCCTACTTTGAGAACATTTGGCAACATGTTCCTCCCACACCCTCCGGCCAACTGAAAATAATGTGGAGAAATATGGAAGGCCATTTGCCCAGTGTGGTCCCCAGAGTGAGTCTCAGCCATCCCACGAATAATTCCTTCAAATTATACAACCAGTATCATTGAGTTGGAAGGGTTCCTATGGGCAAATTCAAAGTTAGAGCATTCACAGCAGCCTCTCCTTGAAGACGTCTAACAAACTGCTCCCATTGCCAATTTTTTCCTAGCCTTAAAGAGTTTCTCCTACTGCTCAGCTTAAACCTACTCTCCTGCAACCTTAGGTCAAGTCCTGCCTTCCAAGGGCAGCAGAGAGCAGGTATTTGCCCTTTTCCACCCAGCAGCTCTTCAGGTTTTGGAAGTGTGTGTGTGTGTGTGTGTGTGTGTGTCCACCTCCCTTTTTTCCGCAGTCTTAACAGTTCTTTCCCAGAAGTCTCTTGCCAGGCGGGCAATTGCTGCTGTCCTAGCTTCCCGCAGGTGGGGAGGTCAGCATGTGCAACGCACCAGCAGAGCCAATCCCAGACCTTCCAAGAGCTCCTACTGTCCAGGATTTACAGAAGCTGTCCTGGTTTCTGATTTGATCCTGGAATGTTCCGCTTTTCCTTAGGACATCCCTATTTTCATCGGAGAAATGTTGGAGGGTATGGAGTTGTAAACACACATGCACACGCACACATACACACACAAACCTAGCCAAAGAGATGAGTAACTATACAACCTTTAGAAGACATCTGAAGGCAGCCCTGTATAGGGTTGTTTTTAAATGTTTAATGTTTTGCTGCGTTTTTATATACAGTGGTACCTTGGTTCTTGAACTTAATTTGTTCTGGGAGTCCGTTCGATTCCCGAAACAGTTTGAAAACCAAGGCACGGCTTCCAATTGGCTGGAAGAGCGTCCTGCACTCAATTGGAAGCCGTGGAAGCTGCGTCGGACGTTCGTCTTCCAAAAAATGTTCGCAAACTGGAACATTCACTTCCAGGTTTCCAGCGTTCGAGGGCCAATTTGTTCAGGAGCCAAGCCATTTGAGTACCAAGGTACCACTGTATGTTGGAAGCTGCTCAGAGTGGCTGGGACAACCCAGCCAGATTGGCAGGGTATAAATAATACATTTATTATCATGATGGTGATGGAATAAAGGTAAAGGGACCCCTGACCATTAGGTCCATTCGTGACCAACTCTGGGGTTGCGGCGCTCATCTCGCTTTATTGGCCGAGGGAGCCGGCGTACAGCTTCCGGGTCATGTGGCCAGCATGACTAAGCCACTTCTGGCGAACCAGAGCAGCGCACGGAAACGCTGTTTACCTTCCCGCCGGAGTGGTACCTATTTATCTACTTGCACTTTGACGTGCTTTTGAACTGCTAGGTTGGCAGGAGCATGGACCGAGCAACAGGAGCTCACCCTGTCACGGGGATTCGAACCGCCAACCTTCTGATCAGCAAGCCCTAGGCTCTGTGGTTTAACCCACAGCACCACCCACATCCGATGATGGAATAGGACGCCTCTATTTTCATCAGAAAAATGTTGGAGGGTATGCAATCTGGTCTCCTGCTAGCGTGTTTGCACCATGCCTCTCCCCTCCCAGTGAGCAACAGCGGCCCACCTGCCAGGAAGCTATGGCAGTACCCCCACCACACCCAGTAAGCAGCTTCTGACCTCTCCCCAGCAGAGCTGCCTGGCGCCGCCTCCACCCCCTCAAGTCCCAAACATATGCAAACCAGCCCATCACTTCTAGGCCTAGATTCATGGGTTTTCATCAACGCCATTACCAAAACAAATGCAATTCAGAAAGAGGGTGGGGAGAGGAATCTTACGTTCAGCACCGCCAAGCCGCAAGAAGATTGCAGCCAGAGCAGCAAGGGCCGCCTTGAAATTTTGAGGGCCGCCATCCATTTTGGAGGGGAGACGCTTCTGGCTGGACATTGCCGGCAGCAGAATGAGCTCTTCTAGCAGGGCTCTCCTTCTGGGTTCTTACTGTGGTGTTTTGTTGACTCATATGCTGTATTTATTTTATTTCTTTCAAACATAAACTGCTGAGGCATCAAAGGAAGGCAAAGAATACAGGCATCAAGTCATATCTACATCCGACATACCCTGAGGGCACTGGGAGGATGGCTTATCTATAAGGGCATGATTTTGTTTGTTGTGGGGAAGGCGGAAGTAGCAGGAGGGAGAGGATATATATATAGAAAGACCATCAAATGTCCTGTGCAAGGAGTCCTGCTTATTTGGAAGCCAGAATGGTGCTACAGCTAAGTGTTCGACTAGGACATGGGACTGCCAACCTAGCAGTTCGAAAGCACGTCAAAGTGCAAGTAGATAAATAGGTACCACTCTGGCGGGAAGGTAAATGGCGTTTCCGTGTGCTGCTCTGGTTCGCCAGAAGCGTCTTAGTCATGCTGGCCACATGACCCAGAAGCTGTACGCTGGCTCCCTCGGCCAATAAAGTGAGATGAGCGCCGCAACCCCAGAGACGGTCATGACTGGACCTAATGGTCAGGGTCCCTTTACCTTTTAGGACATGGGAGCCCAAGGTTCCTCACTCACCATAAAGATTACTGGTGACCTTGAGGCAGCCTAACCTACCTCGAAAGGTTGTTGTGACTGTGATTAGAAAGAAGTGGGATTTATTGACTGGGGAGGGGAAAGGAGGAAAACACTTCTTATGCTGCAAAAACTATTTATTTTGGAAGTAAGTCCTGCTAAAATCACAGAGCTTATTCCCAAGCTATCTGAAAGACCACATTCCCTCATATAAATCTGCCCAGGCTTTGAGATCTTCAGGGGGGAGGCCCTTCTCTCAGTCCTGCCACCCTCACAGACATGCTCGGTGGGGACGCAGGACAGGGTCTTCTCAGTGGTAGCTCCCAGACTCTGGAACTCCCTCCCTGGAGAAGCTAGCCTGGCTCCCTCCTTGCCCTCCTTCCACCGGCGGGTGACTATCTTCTTGTTCCAACAGGCTTGTGGGGGGGACCGACTGCTTTTCGTGAGAGGGCTGCTACTATGCTGTTTCTATTGTAATTATTTGTGTGATTTTAATACAAATAGTTTTAATTCTACCAATGTTTGATTAAAAAAAATATTAATGATAGTTTTTCCTATGTTTTAGCAGTTCTTAAGATTTTTCAATAAAAAATACTTAAGTGAGGTTCTCCCCCCTCCCCCACAACACAAATCCTGGTTATTGTTTCCAACCCGCTTGTGAAGATTATCAGAGATCGCAAAGAAAGGAATATATGATAACAACAAGAAGATGAGGAAAGTAACAAAGAGACTATCTGGACAGAACTGGATAGAACTGTCTAATTAAAGCAGCAATATAAGTGATGTTTGGACCCCGTTTCGGAGCTTGTAGTATGGGTACCCCCAACAAAAATTTAAAAATCTGGCTGTTTTGGAACTAATGTGATTTGGAAATAATGTGATTTGATTGGCCTGTTAATAAAAATTATATTTTTTTAAAAAAACACAAATCCTGGTTACATCCATGCCTTGATTTCTATCCAGTGTAATAATAATAATAATAATAATCAGTGCCTTTTTTCTTTAAAAAAATGTTCAGGGGTACTCTCATTTTGACTCAAGAAAATCACCATTTTATAGCTCAAATCAGGAGCAATAAATACAATAAATGGACAAAAGCACAAAGATTCACAAAATGTTTAGGGGTATGCGTACCCCTGTGTCCCCCCCCCCCAGAAAAAAGCACTGATAATAATCATAACAACAACAACAATAATATTTGTGTAAATAAGGTTGGGACTGGACCGTATGCCTAAACATCAGTTGGAACTGAATCCCACTAAATTCAATAGGATTTATTCTCCAGCAGAATAGGGCTGCGGTTCCTTTAAGGGCTAGAGCGACGCGGACGCCCCCTTGCGTTAGCGGCCCTAGAAGGCAGAAGGGAAGAGGAGGCGCCGGAATCGCGTTCTGGGAAGAAAGGGGGGGGGGCGAACCAGAAGTCTTTTGTCCCGGTTCCCTTCCTGTACGAAACCCGGAAATGTAGCTCCTCCCCACCCTCTCCCTGCCGGTGCCGTTTCGGCTTCAGGTCCGTCCCAAGATGGCGAAGCTGCTGAGCTGCGTTCTTGGCCCACGGCTGTACCGGGTCTACCGGGAGCGGGACCCCATCAGACCCCGTCGCCTCAGGGCCGAGGCAGAAGACACGTCGCAGGCCCCGCTAGAACCGTCTTGGGTGAGCTTTAATCCACTCTTCTCCCCCCCCCTTTCGGAGACTTGGTATCTCCCTCGTCGCCCTTTACTTACATAGGGTTGGGGGGCGAAACCATTACTCTTAAGGGGTAGGCATTGCCCCGCTTTCCTTGATGTCATCATAGAGCAGCCTAAGTCTCATGGAGAGTCCGGGATACCAGTGGGCGATACCATTAGGATTGTGGGGGAAGAGGTATGAAAAAATCCAATTACTGAGCCCCTTATTTAAACATGGCACACGCCCATCGTGGACAATGTCATTACTGGAGGGTCTGGGGCCACCTTTCTGGGATGAGGCCATCATAAAACACGGGGGTGGGAATGGATTATTCCGGCCTTGAGGATATTTTCCAAAACAGTGGCTAGCCTTGAAGGAGGAATGGAGAGAGAACAATAGCTGGAATGTTGCATCTTTTTGTACAAGACTTCCTCTTCTGTTTCCCCTCCCCTGTTCAAAATTAGCATTGCCACAACAATATCCTTACAGTTGCATTGCAAAGATCCAACAGGTGTAACTTTGTTTTTTTGACACGGCACTGTTGGGACGGAATAGGCTGCCCCTGATGAATATCTGCCTGGTGAGAATCTGTTTCTCTAACTTTAAAAAAGATAAGCCTCGTATTTCTGTGTGAAATCCCTCAATGCACCTCTCATTTATAAGAAACAAATGGAAGCAATATTTTAAAATTTAAGAAAGGAAAAGCAGAGAGAATAAAAGCAAAACTAACAGCAGTTTCAAGCAGTCAGCGAGCTGGAAGGGGAGTCAACACCAAATGCCTGGCCTGGGGAAATTGACGTGTATGCACTTGGCCTCTGCAACCTTTCAAAGTTGGTGCATTTCCAGCATCTTAAGAGAGTTAATGTACTTGGCATCTGCAACCCTTTGAAGATGGTTCCTTTCCAATATCTTTAAAAGAGAGGGTGTTCTGTAGGCAGGCTGCCACCACAGCCCCCATCTGCCCAGATTCAGAAGATGGGGTACCTGGAGCCAGGTCAGTGAGGAAGATTCCCAAATATCAGGCAGGTTAGGAATATAGAAAGCTGCCCTATATAGTGGTACCTTGGGTTACATACGCTTCAGGTTACAGACTCCGCTAACCCAGAAATAGTGCTTCAGGATGAGAACAGAAATCGGGCTCCGGCGGCGCGGCAGCAGCAGGAGGCCCCATTAGCTAAAGTGGTGCTTCAGGTTAAGAGCAGTTTCAGGTTAAGAACAGACCTCCAGAACGAATTAAGTACTTAACCCAAGGTACCACTGTACTTACCGTATTTTTTGCACCATAACACTCACTTTTTTCCTCCTCGAAAGTAAGGGGAAATGTCTGTGCGTGTTATGGAGCGAATGCCTGCGGATGGCGGGGGGATCTGCTGCAGTTGTGAGCAGAGGATCCATGGTTCCCCTTCCTTCCCTCCTCCGTGGCTTGCTTTGAAACAGCAAAGCGGGAGAAGAGCCGCTGATCACATAGCATGTCAGATCACATAGCATGTCCATGGCTACAGCTTGCACCAAAAAAATCACGCACCCACTGTTGCCTGGGGCCGCAGTGGTGCAAAAACGTGGTTACAAAGCATGGATCCACATGGATCCTCAGGATTTTTGCATTGGGCTACCCCAAACTCACCGTCAGATCACATGTCTGTGGCCACAGCATGAACCACAAAAATCATACATCCGCTGTTTTGTTTAGAATATTTTTTTTCTTGTTTTCCTCCTTTAAAAACTATGTGCGTGTTATGGTCGGGTGTGTGTTATAGAGCGAAAAATACGGTAGTTAAAACCATTGGCTCATCTAACTCAGCCAGTGGTGCTAGGGAGGTGCTGATGGGAATTGCATCCCCAAATATATGGAGGGCACCAGGTTGACAAAAGCCAGTCCACACTTCAAAGCAAACACAGTCCAAGGTTTCAGGCAGTAGCATTGCCCAGCGCTATCTGAAGATGCCAGCACTGAACCTTTTACATGCAAAGTTACAGTCCCTTGATTAGCTTCCATGAAACCCCAGGATTCCTGTTTGGAAATCACTGTCCTAGTTCATTACTGATGCCTCTCTGGGCAAACCTGTTGGGAGGAAAAGGCTGTATCGGTTACATACTAGCAACACACACACAGCTTGCAGTATGGGAAATGGAAGAATCAGGTTGCTCAATGTTTCTTGTTATCTGCAGTGTCCTTGTGTACATCACCACTGCCTTGTCTAGTGGGATAAGCAGATATTTTTGTTTCCAAGGCTGACTTAACTTTCGCCTATATTCTTCCTGGCACGCATGGCTGCAAGGCCGCATCTTCCAAAAGCTGTGCCTTAGTGGCCATTTTGCTTTTGACTTGAGTTTTGTACGGGGCCCTGCGTCAGGAGGGCCTAACCTGCATCCTTCCGGATGTTAGACTCCCAACTCCCATCATCTGCAGCCAGCACGGCCAGTGGTCAGGAACCAAAGCCTCATCTGAAGGCACATAAGGCCACCACCTTGTTGAAGCTAAGCAGGTTCCTGGGTGACTGAATTGGTAGAGAGAGTTTAGAAACTAGACCAATGCTTGGAGGTGGTGTTAGGCCGGATGCAGGCCAATAAATAGAAGCTGAATCCTGTGAATATGTCTGTGTTCCATGTCCCGAGTTTTCAAGTCAGAGAGGTGGGGAGATTGCCTGTTCTGGACAGGGTTGCCCTTCCCGGGAAGGAGCAGGTCAGTCGCTGAGGGGTACCCCTAGATTTGGCACTTTTCACTGGACGCTCAGTGGGACGCGGGTGGCGCTGTGGGTTAAACCACAGAGCCTAGGGCTTGCTGATCAGAAGGTTGGCGGTTCAAATCTCTGCGACTGGGTGAGCTCCCGTAGCTCAGTCCCTGCTCCTGCCAACCTAGCAGTTCGAAAGCACGTCAAAGTGCAAGTAGATAAATAGGTACCGCTGCGGCGGGAAGGTAAACGGTGTTTCCGTGCACTGCTCTGGTTCGCCAGAAGCGGCTTAGTCATGCTGGCCACATGACCCGGAAGCTGTACGCCGGCTCCCTCGGCCAATAAAGTGAGATGAGTGCCGCAACCCCAGAGTCGGCCACGACTGGACCTAATGGTCAGGGGTCCCTTTACTTTACCTTACTGGACGCTCAGGTGGCAGTGACTAGTACAGGGGTGCCCCGCAAGACGAATGCCTCGCAAGACGGAAAACCCGCTGGACGAAAGGGTTTTCCGTTTTGGAGGTGCTTCGCAAAACAAATTTCCTATGTGCTTGCTTTGCAAGACGAAAATGTCTTGCAAGTTCCTGCGGGTTTTTTTTCCTTTCCCCCCCCTTTTTCCCAAGCCGCTAAACCGCTTATCAGCTGATCGGCTAAGCCGCTTAACAGCTGATCGCTAAGCCACTTATCAGCTGATCGTTAAGCCGCTTAACAGCTGATCGCTAAGCCGCTTATCAGCTGATCCGCTAAGCCCGCTAAGCCGCTAATACTGTAGCGCTAATCCGCTAAACCGCTAATGGGCTTGCTTCGCAAGACGAAAAAACCCGCAAGACGAAGAGACTCGCGGAACGGATTCTTTTCGTCTTGCGAGGCACCACTGTAATGTCTTTCCATCTCTGGCTGGTTCGCCAGCCACAGCCCCTTTTAGACAGAAATTACTTGGCCCCAGTACTCCATGCTCTGGTAACTTCCAGATTGGATTGTTGCACTTGGCTCTGTGTGGAGCTACCCTTAAAGACGGCTCAGAAATTACAGCTGATCCAAAACGTAGCAGCCAAATTACTGGCTGAGGTTCCATTATGGATCTTGCACAACCCCTGTTTTAAAAGAGCTATACTGGCTTCCAGTTTAAGGTGCTCATGCGGCGTTTAAAGCTCTAAACAACTTAGATCCCAGATTATCTAAAAGACCACCTCCTCCCCTACAGAACTCCTCAGGTGTTAAGATCAACAGAGGAGACCCTGCTAGTTGCCCCAGCACCTTCAGAAACTTTGTGGCTTTGGCCTAGGATAAGACTTTCTCTGTGGCAGCCCCTAAGTTGTGGAACTCCCTCCACACAGAGGTAATAAATAAAAATGGTGGCAGGTGGAGAACAACCAACATCTTCAGCGCTGTGTACCAAACGGTTAATCTACCCACTAAAATATATTGAGTCATCACAATACCAAAGAGGGCGTACTTATTTGTAGAGTCGCTGCTTTCTGTTTCACTTTTCATCCTCTCCTGTATTGTGCAATTCTCATGCTTTGCATCTTCCCAGAAATGCAGAATCGCAATACATCACTTTGTGCTTCCTGCCTTCTCTCCTCACCCCCACGGCACCCTCAAAACTGCTCTGAAAGGTTGGCTGGAAACTTAGAGCGGGGGGGTGGGGGTTGGGGGGGGAGGTTTGCTGGGAGAGGGAGGGGAAGTTCTGCTGTGCTCACAGAATTTGTTCTGCGTTTGCAACGACTTTGTTGGATGCAGCCCAGTCATTCCTGTCTGCCTCGAGAAGTGAGCTTAGTGCTTATTGAATTTGGAGAAACTCTGAGCTCTCCAGCCTCTCCCCAGCGAGGGAGCATTGAAGATGAAGAAACGTGCGCTCTGTATCCGTAAAAATCAAGCTTTGTAGAGGAAGAGCTACTAATCACATGTGGGCCTTTCCGCCAGGGAGCAAAGGGCAGCATGCATGAGCTTAATCCCTTATCATTTAGAAGAGAACGCTTTGCACTTTCTTTAAGGCTGCAACAACAGCTTACTCACCTGCCTTGATCCTTGGCCGCTGCAGCATTGCACCATCCCAGTGCTGGCAACTGGCTATACATTGCATGTGAAGCTGTGCAGTGTCGCTGGCTTGAGTTGCAGTCCAGTCTGAGGAACCTTTGGCTCTCTGCATGTGCCTGAGCTGTAACTCCCATCATCCCTGCAATTGGGGCTGGCGGGAGTTGTAGTTCAGCCACACCTGGAGGGCCAGAAATTCCCCGGACTTGCGATACGTCATCGTGAAGAAGCTGGCGGCTAAACTCCCCAAATGGCTGCTGTTTTCATAGGACAGCCTTCCCCCACAACCTGCTGCCCTCTGGACGTCTTAGGCTACAACTCCCACTAGTCCCAGTAGCCCCAAGCACTGGAGGGCCGGACCAGGTTGGGAAAGGCTGTCCCTGAGGAGCTGATCTCCTCCTTCATCCCCTGTACCGTTCTGGGGGTTCTCCTGACCCTTTTGGGCCAATTGGGGAGCAGGGAGTCTCACTGCATGAGCAGGAATTGTGGTGCTGGCTTCCACTAGCACAGCAATTTAATTGACAGTGGCCCACGATAATTCCAACCCACCACCCCTAGGCTAAGGCCAAGGGGCACAGCTCCCAGGTCTGTGGATGTGGCTTTTCAGACGAGTGTGTTTATTAAAGTAGTCGTCCCATTATACATTGGAGCGAGAGCTCAGGTTTTAGGTCCCTTCTGGATACTGTACTTTAGTATGCCTGAGTTATAAGAATTCTAAGGTCCCAAATATAAAATAAACGTTCATAAATGTACATAAGTATATTAATCACGTGTCTGAAATAGCACAGGAGAGCAATCCTGAAACCATTTTGACTCTCCCATATGGACCTCAAATATTTCTCTGAAGGAGGGAGAAAATGGGGAAAGCCTTCCCTTTGTCTTTTTGGCATACAAATCCTGTCTTAAGGACATCTTTGTGTATGAATAGGGTGAGCCTGTGTCCTGGATTCAGGAACTAAAAGTATTTGCGGGCACACGCACTAAACCCTGTCTGTGGTGCCTACCCCTTTACCCCAAATGATGAGACATGAGACCAAAGTATGGGTTCAAATTGGCCACAACTTTATTGAGCTTCAGAAGTGGGAAACTTGGCACAGGCCTTGGCAGGCTGCCCAGGTAATGCAATCAGTGACCATTAACAGATATCCTGGCCAACAGAGTTTCTGCTGGAGACCGCCTCCTGTGATGTATTTATGATGTTTGGGGTGGTGGTCTTGGGCTACAGGGTGAGCAATTTCAAAAGTCTATATAAGGGCTTGTGCACCATTGTTCTGGGTTCCTCCACCTTCCCTGCGTGTGGTGAGTGAGGACCCTGTTGCAATAGTTTAATAAAGATCAAGCTTACTAGCCGCTTTGCTTCTCACTATTCTCTGGTTGGCCTCTGTTATTTTCTCCTACCGATAGGGAACCCACTTAAGGACTCTAAACAGGCTCTTGGATACCCCATAAAGGAAAAGGAGCAGGTTTTTTCTATATCACCTGCTCGGTTTCTCTTTCTCTCTCCCTCCCATAATTTTTTTGCTGCCATTTTTATTATAATTATTATTATTATTATTATTATTTAGTAAATTTATATACCACCCCTCATTTGTAGATCTCAGGGTAGTTCGCAACATACAAATGCTAAGTCACCAGGCATGAGTCCAGACAAGAAGCTCTGAAACCAATACAGTGGTACCTCAGGTTAAGAACTTAATTCATTCTGGAGGTCCATTCTTAACCTGAAACTGTTCTTAACCTGAAGCACCACGTTAGCTAATGGGGCCTCCTGCTGTTGCTGCGCCACCACTGCACAATTTCTGTTCTCATCCTGAAGCAAAGTTCTTAATGCGAGGTACTATTTCTGGGCTAGCGGAGTCTGTAACCTGAAGCGTATGTAACCCGAGGTACCACTGTATGAGAAATCAGAAAGGTTTCTGTGGTTTACATGAGTAACAATACAGCATCAGTAAAAGTTTCCTGTCATTTGGGAACTAGGGTCGTGTTGCCTACAGATAAAAGTGCAGGGGTTAATTGGTTAACTTCTTTGAAGCACCAGGTCCACCCCCCGCCCCCGAAAAAACCACATGCACCAGCTTTTCAAAAGAAAACCATCCTTCTCTCCCTTCCCTCCTCTAGCCCTTCTTCAAAAGACCTAAGCCCAAGTTCAGTAAGTGTTTTGTTTCTTTTCAACAGGAATCTTACTACCAGCCACGGACGCTTGAAAAACATGCAGACAGCATCCTCGCCCTGGTGAGTACATACTCTGTGCGTTCTGTCCGCCAATGTGCTCGTTATCTCCCAGCTATTCTAGACGACCTAGTGGCAGTGTAAAATAATAATAATAATAATAATAATAATAATAATAATAATAATCTATTATTTATACCCCACCCATCTGGCTGAGTTTCCCCAGCCACTCTGAGCGGCTCCCAATCGAGTGTTAAAACAATACAGCATTAAATATTTAAAACTTCCCTAAACAGGGCTGCCTTCAGATGTCTTTTAAAATAAGATAGCTGCTTATTTCCTTGACAACTGATTGGAGGGCGTTCCACAGGGCAGGCGCCACTACCAAGAAGGCCCTCTGCCTGGTTTCCTGTAACCTCACTTCTCGCAGTGAGGGAACCGCCAGAAGGCCCTGGGCGCTGGACCTCAGTGTCCAGGTAGAACGATGGGGGTGGAGATGCTCTTTTAGGTATACTGGGCTGAGGCTGTTTAGGGCTCTTAAGGTCAGCACCCACACTTTGAATTGTGCTCGGAAACGTACTGGGAGTCAATGCAGGTCTCTCGGGACCGGTGTCATGTGGTATACTCATTCTGCAAAATGCGTTGGAAGCTTAGGGGGTTCCACTTAACTCGGGCGTAGCTAGCTGCTCCGGCACACATGGGAGTGCCGCGGCGAGCTGCCCACGGAGTACGCCTGGCGGGCAAAAGCCACGTTTCAGGCAGCGTGGGGCTTAAAAATAAAATAAAACCAGTCTTCTTTCTTGCATGTAATAATCTAGCACGGCAGGGAAAGAATGCATTAAAACTTTCCCCCTGTTGCACTAGTTTTATACAGGTGTGGAGGGCTGTTTGTTTGTTTACAGGGGGAAGCATTCAGAAATCCCAGCGCACGTCCCTCACATGATCCTCCATTCTGTGACGGTGCAATCCAGAGTGCCGTTGATCCTGCATAATAATGTGTAGGACAGCTGGGGCCCGTCCCGGGGAATTTAGGTTTCCACCTCTCCCTGGCCCAGAATGTAACCTTTTACTAAGAGGTTGTTGAGAGAAGCAAGACCTCATTAGGAGCAGCTCAGTGAAAGCATGTTTACTCGCAACCCAGTCCCCCTTGGCTTCTGCTAGTAGCCATGGATGCAGCGCTGCGCATTGCAGAGTTGATTCTCTCGTCTCTCTGAGCATTAAACGGGCTCCCTTGCCTCCCTTCTCTCCCTGTCGCTTAAAACACCAGGGCCTTCGTCAACGAGCCCCCAGAAATGCCTAGGGAAAGCCTGTTCTCTGTGTGACTTACGCCGTTCCTTTGCTCTGTCCCTGCAGGCTTCCGTGCTGTGGTCCATTTCCTACTACTCTTCCCCGCTCGCTGTGTTTTACCTGTACAGAAAAGGTAACGGGCTGCTGCTCTCTGGGCAAACTCTTTGGCAAGGTGCTGCTGGCTCAAGCGTAGCGCTAGAAAGCTTCCAGCACTGGGAGGTTATGGGGGTGCGGGACTGTTAGCTCAGTGGTAAAGCACTTGTTTTCCATGCGGAAGGCTCCAGATTCAATCCCTGGCCTCTCCAGGTAGATCTTGGAAAGATTTGCATCTGAAACATGAGAGCTCCGCTGCCTGGTAGGATGAACGAGGTGCAGAAGCTGCCTTACGCCGTGTCAGTCCTTGAATCCATGCTGCTTCGGATTCTTTATTCCACATGCAGAGAAGCTACCGCTCATCAGACATTGCTGAACTACAACTCCCATCATTCCCTGGCCCTGCCCGCTGGGGTTGATGGGAGTTGGCAATTCAGCAACATCTGGAGGCTCCCACACCTGGCACAACCAACCCTAACCAACCCAGGGACTGGCGGTCTGACCATGGTATAAGGTCAGGGCAGAAAATCCTAAAATCTGCACTGAAAAACACTATCGTTGCCACAAGAAAACTGCTGGTGTGCCCTGAGAAATAAATTGAAAGTTGTTGGCGAGCCAAAACTACCCCCTGACAGCAGAGGCTGTGCACCACGTCTTGTTTTTAAACCCTTTATTTCCTGCTTTTCCCCTCATTTTCATCCTGTGAACCACCCTGAGATCTTCGGAGGAAGGGCAGTTATCTAAATTTAATAAATAAGTAAACCTTCCTGCTGGCTTCTGCCGGGGGGGGGGTCAAGGGGTGACTCTGCCCTTGTCCTTGTGTTTCATATTGTTGTTGGGTCAGTCGGGCAAGAGAAAGGACTTCTTTACACAACCCGTACTTAAAGCTGTGAAATCCACTCCTGCCAGAGGCAGCGAGGGCTGGTAATGTGGGCGTCTTCAAAAGCGGAATATTGCCAGTCTACAGACCTCCCACAGAAGAGGCACACAAAGAAAGGTTTATATGGAGAGAGGGAGGGGCGCAGGTGGCACTGTGGTCTGAACCACTGAGCCTCTTGGGCTTGCTGATCAGAAGGTTGGCGGTTCGAATCCCCGCGACGAGGTGAGCTCCCGTTGCTTCTTTCCCAGCTCCTGCCAACCTAGCAGTCGGAAAGCACGCTAGTGCAAGTAGATAAATAGGTACCGCTGTGTTGGGAAGGTAAATGGCGTTTCCGTGCACTCTGGTTTCTGTCTGGGTGTTCTGTTGCGCCAGAAGCGGCTTAGCCATGCTGGCCACATGACCCAGAAAGCTGCCTGTGGACAAACGTTGGCTCCCTTGGCCTGAAAGCAAGATGATCACCACAACCCCATAGTCGCCTTTGACTGGACTTAACCGTCCAGGGGTCCTTTACCTTTATGGAGAGAGGCAATCCCTGAGGTATTGTGGTCCTGAGCCATTTAAGGCTTTGAAGGTCAAAAACCAACGCTTTGAGTTGGGCCCAGAAACTAACTGGCAAACAGTGCAGTCGGGCCAGGACCAGCGCAATATGCTCTTGCTCCAGTAATAGTTTGTTCCTTATAGGAGATTGCCGTTCTTTCTCGGGGAACTGCCCTGCGTCACGAGGCAGCTGCCATTCAGGGCCAGACAAAGGATTCCTTGTGCGCATGTTGTCTGGAGAATGACAAGGAGATTTTGCAAGGCTGACTTCTGCCCTGCAAATGTTTCCTCAAAATTTTTGGCGTGTGGGGTTTCCCTCTCCTCCACTTCCCAAAGTGCGATCGTCTGCCAGTGGTAATCTTCCTCCCTCCCCCTTCATATTTTGGGGAGTGAGTTCATAGACGGGGTGAAATTTGAATCGGGGTGGTGATCCGCATCCTGCATCACCACTTGGTCTCTTAGCAACTCGGCAAATATTTTATTACACTTGGAAAACAGGCACGTATCATTGGACGTACATTGGGCTTCCTCTTTTCAAAGCTCAGGTCAGCTTACGTGGGGCTCCCGGCTGTCTCCCGTCTGGGCACTAATCCCATCGTGTGTGTGTTTCAATTGCCAGCTATCTTGAGCCTGTTTTCTTTAGAAAGGTGGCTAAACGCATTCAATAAGCAGCACAATTGCTACAGGAGCAGCAGGTTTTCCCAGGCAGCCCGTAGCCCTCAGCGAGAGCCTTGCTTTTCCCACAATTTTAGTTATATTATTTTCAAAATAACTCCAGCAGCATGAGGCATTTTTAATCTTCCTAACAGCATGGGAAAACATAATTTATTATCTCTCTCACACACACCCCACTCACGGATTTGTTATTGACAGAAGAGCTTCTTCTGTCAGTCTCTAAGAATCTGAGGCTACCCTCCTCACTCCCCCCCTTTTTGGAGGGGGCACAAGTCTGAAGCCTTCATGGTTTCAGATGCCGAAGTCACAATGCCCCTGGCCTATTGACATCCTCGCTTCTGAGACTGGTGTGGAATTCATCTTAGGTAAAGGGACCCCTGACCATTAGGTCCAGTCGTGACCAATTCTGGGGTTGCGGCGCTCATCTCGCTTTACTGGCCGAGGGAGCCGGCGTACAGCTTCTGGGTAATGTGGCCAGCATGACTAAGCCGCTTCTGGCGAACCAGAGGAGCGCATGGAAACGCCATTTACCTTCCCGCCAGAGCAGTACCTATTTATCTACTTGCACTTTGATATGCTTTCAAACTGCTAGGTTGACAAGAGCAGGGACCGAGCAACGGGAGCTCACCCCGTCGCAGGGATTCAAACAGCCGACCTTCCGACTGGCAAGTCCTAGGCTCTGTGGTTTAACCCACAGCACCACCCGCGTCCCGGAATTCATCTTAAATGATGATTAATTTCAGTCAACTCAGTGTCCGACATGTTGCATTGTTCCTGTTTAGTTGCATGAGGTGTCCATATCCCACGTGAATAATGTGGTCATTTAATGCGTCCCTCCCTCAAATCGTAATCTCGGGTAATGAGGGCCAATAGAATAGTTGCCCAAACGGGGCGAGGGGAGAGGGAGTTAACAACATGTTCAGAGGAGCCTTCAGCTTTGCAGAAGGACAGAAAATATTTTTAAAAAACAACAGCAACTGAGGTCCGGGCCTGCCCAGTAGCTACAGAATAGTGATTGTTTTAAAAGAAAAATGGGTGTGTTATGTTCTGCTGGAGCCTAACAGCATATAGCATCCTGTAAAAAGGGAGACCCAGCTGGCAGATCCCTGAACAAAAGCATTCCTGCCAGGGAGTGAAGCTGCACAGCAACGTTTTGTGGCTGGCCCCACTGGTTGCATTTTTCGGATCCTGCCATCCTATCGATGCTCACAGTGCAACTGCCAAGGGTTTCAACATTCATAGGCCAGATGAATCGCAGCAATGTGACGGGTAACGGGGGCTGTGGGGGGGCCATTCCCATGCAGGCAGCCCTCTGCTGGCCGCCAGTGCTGTTTCACGTAAGCACACCTAACGGCTTTCCCGCTGCAAGCGCTGTGCTCGGGAGCTGCTGGCCTTTGCCCTTTGTGCACTGATGGCAAATCGCACACTTGCGTGTTCCTCCCGTGGGATAGAACAGGGGTAGGCAACCTAAGGCCCGGGGGCTGGATGCGGCCCATTCGCCTTCTCAGTCCGGCCCGTGGGCGGTCCAGGAATCAGCCTGTTTTTACATGAGTAGAATGTGTGCTTTTATTTAAAATGCATCTCTGGGTTATTTGTGGGGCCTGCCTGGTGTTTTTACACGAGCAGAATGTGTCCTTTTATTTAATATGCATCTCTGGGTTATTTGTGGGGCATAGGAATTCATTCATTATTATTTTTTTCAAAATATAGTCCGGTCCCCACATGGTCTGAGGTACGGTGGACCGGCCCCCTGCTGAAAAAGGTTGCTGACCCCTGGGATAGAACAAACGTTCTGAGCACAGTTCTCACTGTAAGAAAAGCATCCCGTGCAAAGCAGCGCTTTGAGGTTCCGAGCGCTTGTTCTGACTGCCTCCCCTTCTTTACCTGTCTCTCTTTCCAGGGTATTTGACGATGTCGAAAGTTGTTGCTATCTCTCACTATGCCGGGACCATGCTGCTCTTGCTGGCAGGAATCGCCTGCCTCAGAGGTGAGCGTTTCCTGGAGTCTGAAGGCTAGTGGCAGAAATGGGGAACCTATGCCCCCAGCCCAATATCCCCAGACTACAACTCACATCATTCCTGACTAGGGGCAATGCGCGCTGGGACTGACAGGAGCTGGGGGTTGTATTCAGCTACGTTTTACTCAGAGCAAAGCCATTGAAATTGATAGACCCAAGTTAGCCAAGTCCATTAATTTCTGCAGATCTACTCCAAGTAGGACCAGCATTGACTGGGACCCAACAATGTCTTGGAAACCTTCTCCATTGAGTCAAGAGCCACCATTGCCTTCCTTGGATTTTGGTGGCATGAAATTGTCCGATTCAGTTTTTCTGTAGGGCCCTCAATGCATTTAAGCATTTGCATGTTTCCTTCGTGGGTCTTGGAAGGCAGTTCACAACATGTTGGGGGCAGTGGGGAAGCTACCTAGAAGCTATCACACCACACCACAATTATAAAATCAGTAAAACAGAAAGAAAACAGCAGATTAAGCAAAGTAAACATGATGATTTGCGTCCAGCTAAAAGCAGACTGGCTGAAATCCATAGACTTTAGTTAGTCGCCACTGATTTCAGCGAGTCTGCTTCAGATTTTGACTTACTTGGATTCAACCCACCTTGGCAGGGTAGCACAAGGGAAAAAGTCACGTCTGTGCCCCAAGGAGCTTCCAAACGACACTTCAACCGGGAGAACAGCCAGTAGGCAAGAAGGACAGGAATAATATTTGTGATATCAAGGGGTTAAACGAAAGGCTTCATAGAAGAGAGAGCTTTTGAGGAGGGGTGGGAATAAAGTGAGTGGGGAGGTGGTGCTTTGTGGGTGCTGAAGCAGAAGAGGCAGCCGGATGCTGTAGGGCTTCAGTCCCTGAAAGCTTTTCCTCCTCTTCTCAGGCATCGGTCGCTGGACAAACCCCCAGTATATCCAGTTCATCACCATCCTAGAGGATGCACACCGGTATGGCACCCCTGAGCACAAGGTAAGAGTGGCTGCGATTGACAGGCCCCATCCTGATCGACTCCCAAGGCCCTCCCATCACCTCCTGACCACCCTCTGGGAGCTGCAATCCCAACATCTAGAAGGCCGCAGGTTCCCCATTCCTGATCTGTTTAGACTTACTCCTTGGCTTTCCTGTAGCTTCTCTGTGGCTTGTAGTTTTAAGGAAGCGCCATGCTGTCAGGGACTGTGCTGAGAAGGGCTGCGCTGAGAAAGAACGATGGCAGCCACCCCCTCCTCCTGATCCTGAATCTTCCCAGAAGCAGGAGGACAGTATAGATTTGGAACAGTGTCTTGCAGAGGGGCATAGTTCAGAAGGCAGAAGCTGGGAAATACTGGATGGGGAACAGCTTGGAGGAGAAACACTGGAAGAGAGAGGGTTAACAGATTCACTGTCTCTGGAAAGCATCCATCCGCTTTCCCTAAGGTCAAGGAGAGCTGAGAAAGTGGCAGAACAGAAAGCACAGAGGGTACAAACTCAGGTTACAAGACATAGGAGTGATGTAGATTAATAGGGATGGAAGGGGAGTAAGCCTTAATTGGGAGCACCGCCGTTCTAGAGAGATGCGTTCTGTTGTCTCTCGCTGTGACTATTAAAGATTCTAACTGGTAAGAAGACTCCTTTTTCTTTGTTCTGCTTATCTGTGGCCAAGGGGGAGAAAGCTGATTCCCAGAAGCCTGACACATGCTTCGCAATTGATCCCGGGAAAGGTTGGTTGATCCCGGGGAAAATATTGAGCGTCAACTGAAATGGGCGAAACGTTTGCCTCTTGCCCAGCCTGTGTCTGAAAGGCTATTGAGCCAGAAGTTTTGTTGACCCATTGATTCAGCGTCTACATCCGTGATTTTTCTCACGCTTTCTCCGCATTGCAGAAGAAACTCGCCAGTTACAACTTTGATTTCCGGAGCTGGCCTGTGGATTTCCGGTGGGATGAAGCTACGAGTCGGTGAGTGGGTTGGGAGGAAACAGGAGTCCGGCCTCCTGGTCTCTTCTCCACTCTCCACATTCCTTACCCTTGAAGGCAGCTCTCGCTTAGGAAAAGCCAGTGTTTCCTGCTATAGGCTTCCTTGCTATAGTCAATCATGTTATGCTTCGGTAGATGTGAATGTACATAAAGGCCCAGCAATGTGCACAATCATAGGATTGTAGAGTTGGAAGAGACCCTCAGGATCATCTATTCCAACCCCCTGCACTGCCGGGATATGCAGCCGTCCCATGCAGGGATCGAACCTGCAACCATGGCATTATCAGCACCACACTATAACCCACTGAGCTATCCAGGATCTCCAGACATCTTGGAAGACGCATCTGAACGGCACCAGCTGGGGATTTACATGCTAGCCAGTGCATGACGTCTCCAAGTGATGTGGAAAGAGCATTCATCAGCTGAGACATTTCATACCTTTGTGGTTGCTGTGCGCATTCTTCCTTGGAGACTTTGCACATTCACCGGCAAATGTGTGAAAATTCCAGCGCGTCATTTTTGCACATTACCTAGTTGGGGTACATAGCTGCCTATTTACCTCCCAGATATGCATATGTTCTCCGCTAACCTGTGGCCCTCCAGATGTTTGGGGGATGGAGCTGACGGGACTTGGAGCACCTGGGGGGGGCGCCAGAGAAAAGTCAGGGTAGTCACTTCCAACTCCCTCCTGCAGGTCAGATTCCCGAAACGTTCCCCTGTTGCGGTCAGAACCAAAGCACCGGAGTGCTGTCAACGGCTTCCTCCACGCCCTTAAGAAGCTGCCCTGCCAGATTGCCAGGTAAACCTCCTCTTTCACTCTTTGCCCTTCTGCAAAGTATAGCTCAGAAGCGTGAGCCCCTGCCTGCTGATGCCCACAGTTATCAGCGTTTGGCCTTTGACATGCCAGGAGCCCAACTTGAATGTGCTCTAAGGACTGGCTGTCTCATATCCGACTCAGGGTAGGGTTTTCATAGTTAACCAGGGTCTCTGTTTTCAATTCATAGAGTCCTTTCTACAGGTCAGTTATTCGCTGAGAGACATTGTTGTCATAGACATGGTGAGGTTGGTGGGGAGAAAGAAGGCGGGTAACGATCCTTATTTTCCTTAGTATATGTGCAGAGTTATTGTGTCGGTGTCATGAGGGTAGGTTCTTTGAGGCGTTCTCAAAGTAAAGGAAGGATTGAACTCTGATTAGTAAGAATACACACAGAAGCTTGAACTAGCAAGACTCTGAGAAGGGTGCGTATAATAATCTGTCTCTCTACCCCTCAGCCCAGGTCGTTTTATTCACAAAAGAACCTTTTACCAATCAGATTTCTTCTGAGCATTTCAACAAACCCCACGTGGGGACAAAGTTAAACTACAGACACTAGTTAGGCACGCATACTTTTGGGTAAATGAATGAAAACTACAAAGGAGTGCATTCAGCAACCCCGGAGGTCATAACCAATCAATACACATGATAAGAAGGATGGCCAGGAGGACAGCGATCATTACCACCTTTATGTGAGACCTGTTTCCTGGCCCTAAGATTAACATCCTGGGATTAACATATCAGAAAAGCTACAGCAAAGAAACTGCCCACTGTCTTTGATGACCCAGTACGCCTGTCTGCCTAAGTGTGTACGTGACTTGTGAAGAAAGAGAAATGGAACAGGGATGCGGAGGTGTGGATTGATCAAGAATCATATCAAAATAGTTTAAACCCAGTCAACGCAATGCTTTCATTGCTGACACAGATGGCTTACTCTATATTTGTTATAGTTCCTCATAGCAATCCCACCTGATCACTATAGTTCTTCATTTGTCTGCTTGTTTGTTTTTGTCGTGGGTGCAAGAAGTTGAAGAGTCCAGAGCATGGTTGACTGGGGGTGCAATGAGCCCCAAACTTTCCACTGAGTTACCCATCCATGGTTGGAGACTCCCTCAGTTCAAAGCTCAGCATGGCGGATGCATGCTTTGGAGACACCGATCCCTTATTTCTCATTTTCTTTTCTTTCTTCCTTGACAGCTTCATAGTGGCTCACACCTTTGGACGACGCATGCTGTACCCGGGCTCCGTGTATCTCCTGCAGAAGGCCCTTATGCCCATGTTGCTCCAAGGGCAGGCCCGGCTGGTGGAGGAAGTGAGTGCCAGCTAGCTGAGAAGCCGCGATCAGTTTCTCCGTAGCCGGACGACACGGAAGTGCTGCTTCCCGGCTTTGTTTCTCACCTGGGAAGCTAAGAGGCTTAAATCCCAACCGTGCTCTGTCCCTCTTGTATGTTGCAGTGCAACGGGAAGCGAGCGAAACTGGCGGCTTGCGATGGAAATGAAATCGACACCATGTTCATGGACCGCAGAGAGACCTCTGAGCCCCAAGGCAGGAAACTGGTGAGTTGACACCCAAGGACCAGCGCCTAAGATCTTGTTCATTCGTCCAGTGCTGTGCAGGGGCAAGAGATGAAGGAAAGCGATAATAATAATAATATAATACTTAATAATTTATTTATACCCCGCCCATCTGGCCACTCTGGGTGGCTCCCAACAGAATATTAAAAACACAATAAAACATTAAAAACTTCCCTAAACAGGGCTGCCTTCAGATGTCTTCTAAAAGTCTGATACAGTGGTACCTCGGGTTACATACACTTCAGGTTACAGACTCCGCTTACCCAGAAATCGTTAGAGGGGGGTTTTCCACTGGTGGCAGATGACAGAGACTCTGACTCCATGAGACAGGTGTAAAACCAAATTAAATAAAGGTTTTATTTCAAAACAACAAACAGCAAAGCTTGTGGGTGTTTTCCCTACAGGCAGGGTTCAAACTGCAGCTTTTCTCCTTTTGTAGCCATGGCCAGCTGCAACCAATTAGCCCAGAGCTCACAAAAACTGTTCTTAAAGGTATAAACATGTTTCTGTTCAGAATGATTCCCAACAGAAATATTACCTCGGATTAAGAACTTTGCTTCAGGATGAGAACAGAAACCGTGCATCGGCACAGCAGCAGTAGGCCCCATTAACTAAAGTGGTGCTTCAGGTTAAGAACAGTTTCAGGTTAAGAACGGACCTCCAGAACAAATTAAGTACTTAACCCGAGGTACCACTGTAGTTGTTTATTTCCTTGACATCTGGTGGGAGGGTGTTCCACAGGGCGGGCGCCACCACCGAGAAGGCCCTCTGCCTGGTTCCCTGTAACCTCACTTCTCACAGTGAGGAAACCGCCAGTAGGCCCTCGGAGCTGGACCTCAGTGTCCGGGCTGAACAATGGGGGTGCAGACATTCCTCCAGATTTGGCTTGCTGCAAGGTACATCTTCTGCTGGCTTCAAACGTAATAGCTTCCCTCTCTCCCTTTTTCTCTGCAGGTTATTTGCTGTGAAGGAAATGCGGGCTTTTATGAAGTTGGCTGCCTCTCCACCCCGCTGGATGGTATGATTCAAGTCTCTCTTTTTCCCCACCAAAAAACAAAGCAAAACTGTTAGGGTTAGAATGGAAGATTCTCCTGGAACTTTGCATTGTGCTGTTTGAGAGAGGGAAGCACATTTGGGCGCAACCGTTCTAGTTCCATTTTTCCAGCTTGGACAGAGTTGCTTAGTCAAGACGTTCTGTTTTTTTCCCCCCCAAATGATATTTATTAAAATTTCAGAAAAAAGAGTTACATAAAAACAAGAAAAGCAAAAACAAAAGACAGAAGTAAAAATACAAGAAAAATACAAAATACAGAATAAAAGAATAAAAAACACTTAAAAAAATAGATCAATCTTTCCATGCCTTACATTCATATCCTTGTTTCCCTGACCTCCTCATACCTCCCTTTTTTTGTATTCCAATTCAATTAGTTAATTCAGCAATTTCTTTCCCTCTTTATTTTCTCTTAATCCTTTAACTTAATATACTATAACTTTAAATTTTCACCTGTTATCAATCCATTTTTACATACATCTTTATAGCATTACTGCTTAAACCACCTAACTTCATTCTAACATCATTCTAACATTCATTAATTTTGCAATGTTTCTGTAGATAGTCTTTAAATTTCTTCCAATCTTCTTCCACCAACTCTTCTCCCTGGTCTCGGATTCTGCCAGTCATTTCCGCCAATTCCATGTAGTCCATCACCTTCATCTGCCATCCTTCCAGAGTGGGTAGTTCTTGTGTCTTCCAATACTTTGCAATAAGTATTCTTACTGCTGTTGTGGCATACATAAAGAAAGTTCTAATATTGTATCTTACTTGTATCTCAGATGCAGAGTTAACTGTCAAAGAGTACTTTCAGCAGCAGCGCATTTCACAATACGGCTTTCTTACTGTTCACTGGCAACCCGTTCCCAGGTTTTTGAGCGGTGTATTTTAGCTTCTTTTTCTCTCTTTTTGCGGGGAAATACAGTTCAGACCTTTCCCCCCTCCTCCCCTGCAATCAAGGGGGGAAAGTCGCTTATTTTATGTTCGAATTATAATCCTTTTCCAACGTCTTTCAAGGTTTCCGCTTACAAGTTCATTGCTTTACTCCATTTACAAAGAACGGAAGGCAGACTTCCTGTTTATGCCTCTCCGCTTCGGTGCCAAATTATTTCTTAGTTCCTTTGTTTCCGAAATTAGCCTACTCACGGATCGTTGTGTTGCAGCCAAATTGTCCCCGGAAAAAGGCAGCGCTCTCCGGTAACGGCTGTGCGGCTTCGCTCCACGGAAGAAGCAGTTGACTCACAGCACCGCGCCACTTCCCCGCTCCGCTCCGGAACCCGTAATCGGGCTCCTTTGCAAGTTGGGGGGCGCAAAAGGTGCCCGCCGAGTCCCACGGTCACAGGCTTCACCCGCCTGTGATTTTTGAAGGGTCCCCGCTTCACCGTAGCGGTGCAGACTCGATTTCCGCAGAGCCGGTTCCCTCCGAGTCAGAGGGAATCCTCCATTACCGATGGTGCCACCCCGGAAGTCTCAGTCAAGACGTTCTGATTCCCAGAACCTGATGCAGGAATTTTTGACTGTGGTGCTGGGGACCTGTGAATATCCTTTTGCTGCCTCTTCAGATATTTCTGGGACTGAACCAGAAAGCAGGTGACTTTATCATCTGTGCAACTCTCCACTAATACGTGCCCTTCCCTGGGATGCAGAGATATGCTCAGCACTGATACGTTCAAATCTTGCTGGGGAGAAAAAACCGATCTTTCCTTCTTCTGCTCCCCAAATGCTGATCTTCAGTTGCTTCTTCACTTGATAAAATGAACGGCAATTCCTTGTTTATTGCAACTTGGAAGCGGCGCCACACGAACAAGCCAACAAGCGAAAATGTCCTTTGGCCAAAGAAGCAGAGGCGACATTTTGTGAAGCTTGTGGGGACCTGTTTAGGGCAGAACCTGCTGGGCTTTCCAAGCCCTTGTTCATGAGATGCGTTCCTCATTGACCAGGCCTTTGGCTGTTGAACATCCGATGCCCTTCTAAAATGTGTTGTGGAAGAGGGGAGGATTATGGGGTTGTCTTTATTTCTATTATGTATTTTTAAAATATATATTGTGATTTTATGTTGTGGGTCACCCTGAGATCTACAGGTATAGGGCAATATACAAATCGTATCATCATCATGCCAGTCACCCATGACAGCACATCTCCCCACTTGCGATTTCCAGCAGCCAATGTTTAGAGGCGCACTGCCTCTTGACGGTCAAGTTAAAACGCAGCCATCGTGCCCAGTGACAGCCTTACCTCCTATGAATTCACCCTCTCTCTTTCTCTTTTAGCTGGATTCTCAGTGCTGGGATGGAATCACCCCGGATTTGCAGGCAGCACGGTGAGTTACGTCAAGATTTTATTATTTTTAATCATTTTTTTAAATTTTCCAATAAAAACAGTCTATTAACATATCCATATAATCATAATCATGATCCAATTAAAAACAATAAACTAAAAAAACAACCAAATTACAGTCCAAATTATTAATTATTACAGTGGTACCTCGGGTTACATTCGCTTCAGGTTACATACGCTTCAGGTTACAGACTCCGCTAACCCAGAAATAGTGCTTCAGGTTAAGAACTTTGCTTCAGGATGAGAACAGAAATCGTGACCCGGCGGCGCAGTGGCAGCAGGAGGCCCCATTAGCTAAAGTGGTGCTTCAGGTTAAGAACAGTTTCAGGCTAAGTACAGACCTCCAGAACGAATGAAATACTTAACCCGAGGTTCCACTGTAATTTGTTCTGGGCTTCCCATAGTCTGGACCTCTGTAGTATATCTCCAGTATCTTCCTGCCTTCTTCCTCTTGTTCTCATATTTTCCACATGCGATTCTCAATCATGTCAGAAATCATATATCCTTTTCTCCATCGAGTACAGCTTTGTTTGTGTATATATATTTTTTCAACTGTCTGTTTACCAGTGCAGCTTTTCCTGACTCCATTCCAGTCTTCCAATCCAGGCTGTTGTCCAAGTCTAATTGTTAAATTATTAAGCATACTGTTAGCAATTATTGAGCATACTGTTTGCAAGTTACGTCGAGATTTTAGATTGGGTTACTTTTAGGGCATCCAGTGGATGTTGTCCGGATAAATCCAATTTAGATGGACCCATTTGGAATCGGGCACGGGGCGGTGGGTGAGAAAGATGTGCCCTTCCATTTAGACATTTCCTCAAGTCACTCGGAATTCTGGATATCGAGGCTTCTCTCTTCCTGGTCTCTGCTCTCTGATTTGCACTGTCTCCCTTAATAAAAGAGGGAACAGCACAGCAATTGGTCTTTCCATTGGTAGGTCCCTGCCATCCAGGTTGCGGGGACAGAATGCCGTTCCGTTTAGCACTGGATCAGTGCTGGAGATTCTAGCACCACCACCCCACCCCACCCCGCTTTCAGGCTCATAGGCTCTAAAAGACATGCCACGAAAGGAATGGGGAAGGAGGAAGAATTGGAAAAGGTTAATAATAATAATAATAAATTTTGGAAGAAATTTAAAGTTTATTTACAGAAACATTGTAAAATTAAGGAATGTTAGAAGGATGTTGGAATGAAGTAATGTGGTTTTAGCAGAAATGCTATAAAGGATTAAGAAAAAACAGATTGTTAAATGGTGAAAGGAAGGAAAGTAAAGTTACAATATATTAAGATAAAATAGAGGACAAAAACTGGAAAAGATGGAAAGGACTTGCTGGAATAGCTAACTGAACTAGAATACAAAAAAAGGGAGGTGTGAGGAGGTCAAGGAAACAAGCAAATGAAAGATAAGTTATGGGAAGATTCATTGTATTTTTTTTCCTTTTGTCTTCTTTTCTTTATTGTGATGTGATGTTCTGTTTTTCTGCTTAATATGCTGTTTTCTATTTTTTCTTTTTGTAATCTTTTAAATCTTAATTATTATTTAAAATAATAATAATAATAATAATAAAATAATAATAAAAAATTTATTTATTATTTATACCCCGCCCATCTGGCAGGGTCCCCCCAGCCACTCTGGGTGGCTTCCAACAAAACACTAAAATACAATAACCTATTAAACATTAAAAGCTTCCCTAAACAGGGCTGCCTTTAGATGTCTTCTAAAAGTTTGGTAATTATTTTTCTCTTTGACAACTGGTGGGAGGGCATTCCACAGGGCGGGTGCCACTACCGAGAAGGCCCTCTGCCTGGTTCCCTGTAACTTGGCTTCTCGCAGCGAGGGAACCACCAGAATGCCCTTGGCACTGGACCTCAGTGTCTGGGGTGAACGATGGGGGTGGAGACGCTCCTTCAGATATACTGGACCAAGGCCGTTTAGGGCTTTAAAGGTCAGCACCAACACTTTGAATTGTGCTCGGAAACGTACTGGGAGCCAGTGTAGGTCTTTCAAGACCGGTGTTATATGGTCTCGGTGGCCACTCCCAGTCACCAGTCTAGCTGCCGCATTCTGGATTAATTGTAGTTTCCGGGTCACCTTCAAAGGTAGCTCCACATAGAGCGCATTGCAGTAGTCCAAGCAAGAGATGACTAGAGCATGCCCCACTCTGGCGAGACAGTCCATAGGCAGATAAGGTCTCAGCCTGCGTACCAGGTGGAGCTGATAAACATCTGCCCATGGACAGCTGTGAGTCCAAAATGACTCCCAGGCTGCACACCTGGTCCTTCAGGGGCACAGTTACCCCATTCAGGACCAGGGAGTCCTCCACACCTGCTCACCTCCTGTGCCCCCAAAACAGTACTTCTGTCTTGTCAGGATTCAACCTCAATCTGTTAGCCGCCATCCATCCAGACACTCACACAGGACCTTCACTGCCTTCACTGGTTCCGATTTGAAATATAGGTGTGCCTGAAGGATAAAATAAAATAAAAGCGAGAGGAAGCAGAGAGGAAAGGAAAGCTCTCCTTGATCAGACAAACATCCTCACAGCTCTCCCATGAGTCTTCACTCCCAGCTTCTCCTTGCGCTGACCATTTCCCTCTCCTGCCTCAGGGAGTGCCGCTGCCTCAGAATGAAGCCAACGCCATGGATGTAGTGATGCAGTATGCCATTCACCGCTTGGGCTTTTTCCCTGAGGACATCATCCTCTATGCCTGGTCCATTGGAGGCTTTACAGGTAAGAAGCACTGCTAGCCAGAGCTGTGATGCGTTGAGACCGCCGTGATAGGCAGGGGGAAATGGATTAGCCAGAGATAGGCTGGAACAGGCAGGAGAACGACAGCATGCGATTTGCCACTGGATTTCTGGGAATATGCGCAAGGCCTTGTGAAGGAAACCCTTCTTGAAGGCCTAATAATAATAATTTTTTATTTGCCTAATAATAATAATTTATTATTTGCCTAATAATAATAATTTATTATTTGCCAAATAATAATAATTTATTATTTATACACCACCCATCTGCCCGGGTTTCCCCAGCCTCTCTAGGTGGCTCCCAACAGAATTAAAAGCAAAATAAAACATCAAATATTAAAAGCTCTCCTAAACAGGGCTGCCTTCAGATGTCTTCTAAAATTCAGATAGTTGTTTATTTCCTTGACATCTGATGGGAGGGCATTCCACAGGGAGGGCGCCACCACCGAGAAGGCCCTCTGCCTGGTTCCCTGTAACCTCAATTTTCTTAGCAAAGGAACCGCCAGAAGGCCCTCAGAGGTGGACCTCAGTGTCCGGGCTGGACGAAGGGGGTGGAGACGCTCCTTCAGGTATACTGGGCCGGGGCCGTTTAGGGCTTTAAAGGTCAGCTCCAACACTTTGAATTGTGCTCAGAAACGTACTGGGAGCCAATGTAGGTCTTTCAGGACTGGTGTTAAATGGTCTCAGCGGCCACATGGTGTCATCCCCCTGGAATTGGGCGAGGGGGGTATTTATGCCCAGAGATGGAAAGTCCATATAGCACCCGTCCTTTCCCCCACGAGTTGACACAATGCACGCTCCGCCAGTAAGTTCTCCTTCTATAAGCCGGTGCAAACAAGGCCCGTCCAGGCCCTCAAGAAACAAACGGTTCTGATATTTCTAGCCATAAACAAGAGCGGGGAGTTGGAATAATATTATAAGTTTTGGGAGCAGGAAACCTTAGCCTTAGGATGGGAAGGAGTCAAAACTTGGTGGTAGTCAAACAGGGGAGCGGAGTGGCGTTGAGGCTCCGTCCAGCGCACATTTGAGTCCTCCAATAACTCCTCTTGTCTCTCTCTCTTCTCTCCTCCAACCCAACAGCCACTTGGGCCGCCATGTCGTACCCGGACGTCAGTGCCCTTATTCTAGACGCCTCCTTCGATGACCTCGTTCCTCTCGCCCTCAAGGTCATGCCGGAAAGCTGGAGTAAGGGGAAGCAAACAGAAAATGCATACATTCTTTTCTATGCTCAAATGGTTTCAAACCCTTTTATTTGTTTTGTTTTGAAATGAAATCCACCCCACCACAGAGAGTTAATATGCAATATTTCTCAGTCTGGCGCTTTCCACCTCCCCCCCCCCCAAGTGGTCAAACCATTCAGCACCCTAGCAGTAACCCTTGGAAGCCCCTCTGGTACACATTTTGGGGGGTCATGCTGAGATTTCAGGGGCTGCCTGTCAGTAAGTGCGTTTCCCGTGATGAGATTTGAAGCAGGAACTCCCATGCTTATAACCACTTTACTATTTCTCTGTTCACTAGCAGGCCATCCTGGGGGTCTCCTTCTCCCCTCCATCATTTGGGCTCAGGGGACCCCTCACCTTGATTTTTGTTCTAAGTCACGATCATATCTCTCTCCCCCTGCCCCAAATGTTCTTTGGCACAATACCTTCTTGCCATAAAGTGTTTCTCCCTTTGCCACCTAAGCTCTCGTCTTCTCTGTTTTAGCCGTACCTTTGTAAAATATATCACTGTGCCCCACCAAGATCCCCAATCCTGGACAGCCATTCGTATGAACCAAACGTTTTAGTTCCCTTTCCATTTCCTCGTCGTTTAAAACCACCAAGGTGTGTGGTATTTGTGGTTTCTGTTATGGCTGCCGAGTGTTTCCCCAAAGAGTAAGGGGAGGGTGTTCTAGAGAGGATCCCCCCCCCCCATTCGAAGGGGCCTTGCGGTGTTTACAAAATGTACAGGTTGAGCAGATATTTACTAGGGCACGGGAACTGTGTGCAGGCAGCGAATGTCAGCCCAGAATCCCGAAATTCTAAAAAGCTGTGGGTACAGTCCTCTAGATGTGCACTTTAGGGGTAAACCCCATAGATTTCAAAGAGACCCAGCGCTGTCTTACACACTCAGACAAATAAACAGTCTATCCTGGCACTGTTTGTTCTAACGCAGTGAATCTATAAGATTTTCCCAGCCTGGTTACCCAGAGATCCTTTTAAGTGAAGATGCCAAGGCCTGTACATGAAGCCATTCACATGCAAACCCTGTTCTCTTATCGATGGGTTTTGATCCCTTTCCTTTAATGCCACATCAATATCATAGAACGACCCTTTGCAATGCAGCAATCTCAACTAAAGCATCCATGATGGATGGCCACCCAGCCTCTGCTTAAAAACCTCTAAGGAAGGAGAGTCCACCACTTCCCAAGGGAGTCCATTCTTCACCACACTTGGCTGTGAAACCGCTTGATCCCCTTGTTGTCCTTTAATGAGAGATATATCCTAGGCGACAGGCTATCCAAACAGGCTTAGATCATCTATTTATTATTAATGAATATTAATGATTAAATTTGTATACCGCCCTATACCCACAGGTCTCAGGGCAGTTCACAACATAAAATCAGAATACAGGGGTACCTTGGTTCTTGAATTTTATCCGCGAACGGAACAGTTCAAAAACCAAGGCGTGGCTTCCAATTGGCTGAAGGAGCTTCCTGCACTCAATCGGAAACCGCATGCCGGATGTTCGGCTTTCGAAAATCATACGGAAACCGGAACGCTCGCTTCTGGTTTTCGTTCGCCCAGGATCCGAAACATACGAGTTTCGAGTCATTTAGCTTCCGAGGTTCTACTGTGTAAAAACTCAAAATACGTAACAGTGGTTAAGAACTTAATTTGTTCTGGAGGTCCGTTCTTAACCTGAAACTGTTCTTAACCTGAAGCACCACTTTAGCTAATGGGGCCTCCCGCTACCGCCGCGCGATTTCCGTTCTCATCCTGAGGTAAAGTTCTTAACCTGAGGTACTACTTCCGGGTTAGCGGAATCTGTAACTTGAAGCATCTGTAACCTGAGGTACCACTGTTATAAAAGCAAAAACAACCCAATAACACTCCCTCTCCTCAGCACATTTTTAAAAGGCACTGGATGTCAGTCAGCCCACGGTCTGGTTAAAGAGGAATGCTTTTTCCTAAAGATGTACAATGAAGGTGCCTGTCAAACCTCTCTAGGGATCTACTAATTGTCCATTTTGTTAAGCCAGGTTACTGTGATAACTATGGAAGAGAATTGAATTACGGACGTCCTTGCTGGTGGACAAAGCTGATCTAATGCCTTCCCTTCCTTCCGCAGGGGGCTTGGTCACCAGGACTGTGAGGCAACACCTGAACCTAAACAACGGGGAACAGCTTTGCAGGTAGGCAGCAAAGGAAAAACTGGATAGTCAAAAGCGCCGGCAGGAAAATGAGGAGAAATTAGCAAACGTGTTGACATCTAATCTTCGGAATAGTGAAGCTGGGTTTTGCGCTGAAATGCCGGGGTGGGAAATGAGCTGGTTTTAAGAACAGGCAGGCTGGCGGCCCCCAAATGGACGGTTTTTCCTTCGCAGGGGAATGCAGCTGGCTGCCGGCCTTTCAAGAGGGTTTCTGAAAACTCAGCCTGTTTCCTTGGCTTTTGACTGAAAGCTTTTATTGCCTCGCACAGATTGCTCTCTCGTGGAATCGATTGTAATGAAGTTTCAGGCTTGTTGCCGGTCGGGAGGGCGTAGCTTTGAAAGGCAGCTTGGAAAACACGTGATGTTAAATATTAAACCGTTCAGCTGAACGGTTGTCACTTTTATTGGAGCAGTAGCCAGGATCCCCAAATCACCAGGAATACTTGAGGCGGGGGGGGGGGGGCGAGAAAGAAATGGAGCCAGGGCAGATTTGGCTTCGTTACAAAATGCTGTTTTCCCTCACCTCGCGGAAACGTTTTGTCTGATTAGTGTTCTGAGGAGAGAGATCCGGTGGTACTGGGATTGGGGATTTATTGAGATTGTGTTGTGGAACAAGGGAGGGTCAGTCTTTAGCAAGACAGAAATCTAGTACCACACATGCTGTATTTTAGCTGTTGTGGCCAAACTAATAGGCTAATGTAAAGAAACCATGTGTTAACATTTGGATGGCACGCTAACGGGGTCCTGTGCAGAATGAGATGGGATAATAATAATAATAATAGTAATTTTATTATTTGTACCCCGCCCATCTGGCTGGGTTTCCCCAGCCACTCTGGGCGGCTTCCACAGAGACCAAAAATACACTAATATGTCACACATTAAAAACTTCCCTGAATAGGGCTGCCTTAAGATGTCTTCTGAATGTCAGGTAATTGTTTATCGCTTTGACATCTGCTGGGAGGGCGTTCCACAGGGCGGGTGCCACTACTGAGAAGGCCCTCTGCCTGGTTCCCTGCAACCTCACTTCTCTTAGCAAGGGAACCGCCAGAAGGCCCTCGGTGCTGGACCTCAGTGTCCGGGCAGAACGATGGAGGTGGAGACGCTCCCTTGCTGCTGGACCTCTTCCCTTGCTGCTGGAAATTCTGTCTGAGACTGACTTTGAGTCTTTGCCTTCTACTAGCCTTCAGCTGCCTGGTGCCTTTCAGATATTGTCGGACTACATATCCCATCATCCATTGGCACGCTCTTGGCATTGCGGTCCCAAAGACAACTGGGGTGTACCATGTTGCTGAAGGCTGATCCACATAGTACTTTCCTAGATGGTTAAGCTTTCCCTCAGAGCCACCAAGGACCAGAAATTTGATCCTAGTTAAAATGAAAGCTGTGTGAGTTGCCAGCCTCCAAATTGAGGCTTGACCGTTTGGTGGTTACAAGCATGACAGCGTCTGCTTTCAGCTGGAATTTGGCCCCAGGTCTCCTTGCAAATGAGCACTCTTAGCTAGGTGGATTACATGAATTCAACAGACTCGGTGGCTGTGTTTAGGCTACCACATCTCAGCTTTTTAAGCCAAGATATGTGTGGACCCACATCTCAGCTTTTTAAGCCAAGATATATGTGGACCTGCCGTGAGGTCCCTTCGCATTAAGACACAATTAAACCAAGACGTTTCTGACCGCAGCTTCCCTTTTTCATCCATACTGGGAGGCTGCAGTTACCAGCTTGGGAACAAGCCAAAATCTCAGCATCAACTTTCAGCCATGGTTTGTGATCCTGACTTCTTCCAAACCATAGTTTCTTGCTTTGGACAGAACAGGAAGTTAGAATGACAGTGGTACCTTGGGTTAAGTACTTAATTCGTTCCGGAGGTCCGTTCTTAACCTGAAACTGTTCTTAACCTGAGGTACCACTCAGGCTGCCGCGGCACCGTCGGAGCACGGTTTCTGTTCTCATCCTGAGGTAAAGTTGTTAACCCAAGGTACTATTTCTGGGTTAGCAGAGTCTGTAACCTGAAGCGTATGTAACCTGAGGTACCACTGTACTTAGAAGCTTCTTGGTTTCATTGTGGCTCGTGCAAAGGGAGGAGCCAAAGGGTCTTTGTGCACAGGATACGATTGCCTGAACCGTGCCAGTATCTGCTTCACATAGGATATTTTATAGTCCGCTCTTCTTTTGGGAAACTGCAATGCAGTGTACCTATGGCTTCTAGCCAATCTCCCAGTCATTTGTCTCGTTGAGCCCAGTTAGCTTAGCTTCATCAGCCGCATACAATCTTCAGACAACGCCTTGACATGGTCTCCTCCTCTTCAGATACCAGGGCCCCGTGTTGCTGGTGCGCAGAACCAAAGATGAGATCATCACTACGACGTGAGTAACAACTGCAGTGGAGAAAAATAGCCTGCTATCTGGCCGGCATTGCTAAGCCGTACCTGTCCCAGCTGAGATTTGAACGATGAGATAATGGAAATCTTGCTTCTACATAATTGCTGTCCCTCAGAGAAGAGGATGGCCATGGGGAAAACCTTGTCATCTTTGGTAGAATACACAAGAATAATACAGTCCTAACTCTATGCACTTCTGGTTCTCTAGGGTTCCTGAAGACATCATGTCCAACAGAGGGAATGATTTGCTTCTGAAGTTGTTACAGCACAGGTGAGCAGATGTTGAAATCACAATCTCAGCTGCACCATCTCAAAATTATCGTCCGTTCCCTTGCTCTCACATTTTCTCCCGTGTGATGTGACTACTGCCAGGGCAAAGCTAAAACCCGCTTTCCCACTAACTTGAAAAGGTTCTGAAAATCAATCCCTGTATTTTTCGACCCATAGGGCGCACTGGCCCATAGGACGCACCTAGGTTTTTTTTGGGGGGGGGGGAATAAAGAAAAAAAATTATTTTCCCCCCAGGCGTGCGGGGCTGGGGCGGGGGGAGCCCGAGCTTCCCCCGACCCCAGCCCCCAGAACAGGCAGCTCTCTGCAAGCCTTGGGAGACCGGCGCGACTTCCCGCCGGGCTCCCATGGCTTGCGGAGATCTGCCTGAAGCCCAAACCAGGTTGGGGAACCGAAACCCGGGGTGCGCTGTGCAGCGCGCCCCAGGCTTCAAGATGCAGGCTGCTATCCACAAGCCTAGGGAGCCCAACGGGAACTCCCGCGGGCTCCCAAGGCTTGCGGAGAGCTTCCTGAAGCCTGGGGAGCGAGAGGAGTCGGTGCGCACTGACCCCTCTCGCTCTCCAGGCTTCAGCGAAAGCCTGCATTCGCCCCATAGGACGCACACACATTTCCCCTTCATTTTTGGAGGGGAAAAAGTGCGTCCTATAGGGCGAAAAATACGGTACGTGGCGCTTTTGTGGGTTGACATGTAGCCACATTGTTGTTGTTGTTTAGTCGTGACCCCATGGACCAGGGCATGCCAGGCACTCCTGTCTTCCACTGCCTCCCACAGTTTGGTCAAACTCATGCTGGTAGCTTTGAGAACACTGTCCAACCATCTTGTCCTCTGTTGTCCCCTTCTCCTTGTGCCCTCCATCTTTCCCAACATCAGGGTCTTTTCCAGGGAGTCTTCTCTTCTCATGAGGTGGCCCAAAGTATTGGAGCCTCAGCTTCACAATCTGTCCTTCTAGTGAGCACTCAGGGCTGATTTCCTTCAGAATGGAGAGGTTTGATCTTCTTGCAGTCCCTGGGACTCTCAAGAGTCTCCTCCAGTACCATAATTCAAAAGCATCAATTCTTCGGCGGTCAGCTTTCTTTATGGTCCAGCTCTCACTTCCATACATCACTACTGGGAAAACCATAGCTTTTTAACTATACGGACCTTTGTTGGCAAGGTGATGTCTCTGCAGGGTAGCCACATACCCTGATTTTTTTGGTAACCCCATTTTTTCACCATCTCTTAACTTCTCCTCTGTGTCGCTGCCCTTTCCTCTGCACCCAACACCGACTCTCCTCGCTTCTATTTCTTCTTTGTTGTTGCTGGCTGTGATCCGTTTCAACGAGCTTCTCCCTGCCTCCAGGTATCCCAAAGTCATGGCCGAAGAGGGCATCCGAGTCGTACGAGAATGGCTGGAGGCTTCCACACCCATGGAGGAAGGTAAAGTTGACTAATGCCAGGCCAGGAGCAGACAGCATGGTCCTCCTCCAGGTCTGGTGAGCTACAAACCTCCCATTGGCCCCAACCAGCATGGGCAGTGGTCTGATGGAAGTTTGGGCGCCACAACATCTGGAGGCTAATATCACGTTATCTAAGGTAAAGGTAAAAGGACCCCTGACCATTAGGTCCAGTCGTGACCTACTCTGGGGTTGTGGTGCTCATCTCGCTTTCCTGGCCGAGGGAGCGGGCGTACAGCTTCCGGGTCACATGGCCAGCATGACTAAGCCACTTCTCGCCAACCAGAGCAGCGTACGGAAACGCCATTTACCTTCCCGCCGGAGCCGTACCTATTTATCTACTTGCACTTTGACGTGCTTTTGAACTGCTAGGTTGGCAGGAGCAGGGACCGAGCAACAGGAGCTCACCCCGTCGCGGGGATTCGAACCGCCGACCTTCTGATCGGCAAGTCCTAGGCTCTGTGGTTTAACCCACAGCACCACCCGTGTCCCTTCACGTTACCTATCCTTGTGCAAATCTGCAATAGTGCCTTAGGTTGGGCCAGGTATTGCGGACAAGCGTAAAAGTTAGCAGCGGTAGAGAAGGCCCTCCGAAAGCTTCAAACGTCTTCTTTTTAAAAAACTTTCTAGGCCTGTGTTTTGGGCATTTTGCCAAATGAGGTGGGGCGGCACTTGATTTATAAGGGCTCAGGCTTAGGGAGGGGCACTAATGTCTGGGAAGCAACCCCCCATCATCATTCTTTGGGAGCGAGTCGGGGGACTATTCTGGGGATGAGTCAGGCTGGTGTAGAGTCAAAGGTGACTCCCCCTTCTGCGACAAGCTCCCTCCCGCACTGGAGTCCCAGAACCAGACAAGGCATGAAAAGGGCGGGGGAGAGATTGGCTGCATACAGGCACAGTCTCCGATTGCTTGGGGAAAGCTCTGGAGAAGAGGGGTCTTAGACAGCTGTGGGGAAGCAGGGACTTTCAGTCTCTGCAACTGATGCATGGGGTAAGGCAGGCTTCCGCAACCTCAGCCCTCCAGATGTTTTGAAACTACAATTCCCATCATCCCTGACCACTGGTCCTGCTAGCTAGGGATCATGGGAGTTGTAGGCCAAAAACAGCTGGAGGGCCGAGGTTGAGGAAGCCTGGGGTAAGACCTACCAGAATAAGCTGCTGTGCTCATCTGGTCTGATGCTCAGTCAAGTGAAGATTGTGGGGTTTTTTACTAATAAAGAGTTACAGTGGTACCTCAGGTTAGGAACTTAATTCGTTCTGGAGGTCCGTTCTTAATCTGAAACTGTTCTTAACCTGAAGCACCACTTTAGCTAATCGGGCCTCCTGCTGCTGCTGCTGCGCCGCCGGAGCACGATTTCTGTTCTCATCCTGAAGCAAAGTTCTTAACCTGAGGCACTATTTCTGGGTTAGCAGAGTCTGTAACCTGAAGCATCTGTAACCCGAGGTACCACTCTAATTCCAACTTTAAACGGTGTGATTTACTGCCGCCTCTCTCTTTTGACAGCTGCAGTCGCTCAACAGAAGGGAATAGTGTGGGAATGTTCTGGGGTGCAAGAGAGGATATATTGTGGGATTATATCCTTATCCAACTTGTGCTAACAAGTTCCCAAAATATCAGCAGAGTTTATAGACATTCCCCTTTAAGTTCGCAACGGTAACGCTTGCACAGGTTCGCTAGAACCTCTATAATAATTACTCTGGTAATTTCCCCTTTGTTCCCTCTTAAAATACAAGACACAACACAGTCTTTATAAAAGTATAAAAGAGTTTACTCATGTTCTGTTCACAATATGATCCCAGAAGGCAGACAGCTTAAAAAGGTTACATACATTCAGAATCTATCTTGTAGCAAGATAGTCCTTATTTCCTCTCTTGGCTGGGAGCCAAGAGAGCATCCTTAGATGTTTCCTCATCGAAAGCAAAATGGCAGAGAGAGAGAGATGGCTGCCTGCCCTGTGCTTTTGTCATTACCTGCACAGGTGAGGCCACACCCACCTCTGGTCACATGCGGAGGAAGTCCGTCCCCAGGAAGTTTACCTGCTTGCTGGACAGACATCCCTCCCCATGTTCTAACATGTACACTCTAGGAATGTTGTCATTGACTGCTCCTGTGTTTACATCCCACAAATAGCACTCTCTCTACAATAGGGTGGGGAGTAACTTCTGGACCAGGAGCGGTATGCAACCATTCTGACAGACTCTCCCTGGACCATACAACTTTGCCTGGCTGCAATGTGCCTGTGAACCCTGATTAACACTGACAACACCTCTTGCTTGCCTGAATGGATGGCGAGAGAGGAACGTGGGAATGTTTATCAAATCTTTCCCACTATGCAAAGATTTTAATTTTTTTTAAATACTCCCGTTTCCCTGGCCCTGCCCACCACCGGCATATAGATACTGGAAGGTTGCCTAGCAGAGAATGCAGCCTGTCAGCTGAAATACATTCCCTATTGGCGTGCTCAGTTGTCTTTTTAAAATTAAGGTGTGTGGCCAAAGATGAGAGAGAGAGTGGGGCTAAAGTTGGACCCAAATTAACCGCATCTGCAAGGAAGAAAAGGTTAATATATAAACTAGAATTCCAGGATGTGCCACAGTGTGTCAGTAAACTTGCCATTTGGCCGCTAGGGCAGCGCAGTTGGCTCTGAAAACCTTCAGGCAGCCAGGCCCTCATTCGCACTAACCTCTTCTTCCTTGCCCCTGCAGCCTCTGTTTATAGCCGCTACGAAGTGGAGGACGACTGGTGCCTGTCTGTCCTGAAGTCGTACAAAGCCGAAGACGGAGAAGATTTTCCCTGGAGTGTCGGTGAGGCCTGTGCTAGAGGGGAAAAGAGCAACCAGGAGGGAATAACGAGGAAGGGAAATGGAAACGGGGTTATGGAGTAATGACCAATCGGGCTTGAACTGGCTAGAGGCCACGTTAACCGCCAGAAGAGTAAGGATGAGGATGATTGGCTGGGGACGTTGGCCTTCTTGGTACGTGTGCTGGAATTAGCCAGTGGCAAACATGGAGCCACCAGTCCCTTTGAACGTAACTTGACCAATTGGGAGTTTAGAACAGACCACTCAGCGCTGGAATGGGTGGGTATAAGAGGTGCCAATGAAGACTATTTGAAAGGGGGAAAATTGAGCGGCAATTATCCATGAGGAAGTTGAAAACTTTAGGAATGGGTCCCAAGTGGAGCAGATAATGCAAGAAACTGGTCAGCTGTATATATAATTTTTGAATTTTTTAACAATCATGCAGATTACATAAGTTTCCCAATAAAAATATACAGTTTGACTTCCCTGGGTTATTTATTTCATAAAACTTATGCACTGCCTGATTGTAAAACAAAACCCCAAAGCGGTTTAGGGAAAGGTAAAGGACCCCAGGATGGTTAAGTCCAGTCAAATTTGACTATGGGGTTGCTGCGCTCATCTTGCTTTCAGGCCGAGGGAGCCGGTGTTTGTCCTCAGACAGCTTTCCGAGTCATGTGGCCAGCAGGACTAATCTGCTTCTGGTGCAATGCGACACTGTGACGGAAACCAGAGCGCACGGAAATGCTGTTTACCTTCCCGCCGCAGTGGTACCTATTTATCTACTTGCGCTGGTGTGCTTTCGAACTGCTAGGTTGGCAGGAGCTAGGACGGAGCAACGGGAGCTCACCCCATCACAGGGATTTGAACCGCCGACCTTGCGTTTGGCAAGCCTGAGAGGCTGAGTGGTTTAGACCACAGCGCCACCCGGTGTGGCGGTTTACAAATAGATGAAACCATGAAATCAGGAAAAGATAGCAACCCTACTTTAAAACAGGCATAGGCAAACTCAGCCCTCCAGATGTTTTGGGACTACAGCTCCCATCATCCCTAGCTAACAGGACCAGTGGTCAGGGAGGATGGGAGTTGTAGTCCCAAAACATCTGGAGGGCTGAGTTTGCCTACGCCTACTTTAAAACAATCAAAAGTTAAAATACTAAAACAGCTTAAAATTACCTTGGCTTTCTTATTAGCCTGCTTTGCAGTTTTAGCTTCTCTTGTGGGCTGAGAGCTAGCTGTTCTGTGGTTTTGTTATCGTGGTTTGTGTAGTGTTGCATCTTCCGTAACCCCTCTGGTATCTGTACAGATGTGCAGTGGGTAATAAATGTTGCAGTTTTAAAGCCATCTATCCCCACATTTTGTGGTATCAAATTATCCCCGTAGAAGAGGCAAGCTGGACTGTGTTGGGCTGGCCATACGAGTCCCGGCTGCCTGTTTCAATCCTGCTAACCTCATCCCTTTATTCTTTTTTTTCAAACAAGGTGATGACATGACATCTGAAGGAAGACGGCAGCTTGCACTGTTCCTGGTGAGTTCCGAGTCATTTTGCCCCTCCTCAGTTGCCCTGTCGGAGTTAGGGCTTTCTGTTTATTTAGGCTTCTTGTATACAGCTTTCCATGATGAAAGACCACAAAGCTCTTCAGATCTCGAGGTCCTGTCTGCAGCATCATCCCCACGATGCCATGCAGTGAATGGTCCTGAGATTTATTATAATTAGTTTTTTGACATATCATTTCCAACATTCATATAATATAACTTCTTATCTTATACTTTTGACTTCCGTCAACACCTCTGATGATTTTCTGTTCTTTATCACTTATTCTGCATTTCTTAGTTTTCTCTATTACTCTTAATTATCATTAACTAATAATTCGCCTCATAGTCTTACTTGTAATATTTCCAATAATCCTCCTTACAAAACTTCTTGCAATCCTACTAGCGTGATCTGTTCATTACTATTACTTTTCAAGTGCCGTATTTTTCGCTCTATAAGACGCACCAGACCACAAGACGCACCTAGAGGAGGAAAACAAGAAAAAAATAATTCTGAATCTCAAAAGCCAGAATAGCAAGAGGGATCTGGCTTTTGGGATGGCCTCTTGCTGTTCTGGCTTCTGGGATAGCTGCACAGCCTGCATTCGCTCCATAACACACACACACATTTCCACTTATTTTTTAGGAGGGAAAAAGTGAGTCTTATAGAGCAAAAAATATGGTAGTTCATATATTTACTCCAGTCTTCTAAGAATCTCTGGTCCCGCAGGTTTCGAATCCTTCCTGTTAAATTTATCTAATTCTGCATAGTCCATCAATTTCGTCCTCCATTCTTCTTTCGTCGGTAGTTCTTCTTGCTTCCATTTTTGTGCCAATAATATTCTTGCTGCCGTCATTGCATATAAAAACAACTTTACAATCCTGTCTATTAATATCATCTCCTACAATGCCAAGTAAAAATGTTGCTGGTTTCTTAATAAATATATATATCAACATCTTTTTCATCTCATTATATATCATTTTCCAGAAGTTTTTCACTTTTTTACATTCCCACCACATGTGATAAAAAGTTCCTTCCTTTTCTTTACATTTCCAACATTTATTACTTATTTGATACATCTTAGCTAATTTCACAGGGGTAATATACCACCTATACATCATTTTCATCACATTTTCTTTCAAAGTATTGCGTTCAATGGTCCTGAGATTTAAGCATCTCATGTTCTACCGACTTAGCCAGGGCTTTCCAAACTTGGGTCTCCAGCTGCTTTTGGACTACAACTCCCATCATCCCTAGCTTGTAGGACCGGTGTTCAGGGATGATGGGAACTGTAGTCCAAACACAACTGGAGACCCAAGTTTGGAAAGCCTTGGCAGATGTGATGGAATCCTCTTCCTCTAGGTCAGGGATTGGGGACATCACCAGATCTTACTGGACTCCCAGCTCCCAACAACCATAGTCAGCATGGCCAATGGTCAGGGATGTTGGGAGTTGGAGTCCATCAATATATAGACCAAATGCAGTATATGGCCTCTTCCATCATTGCTGAATGTGATTGCTCTCTCTTGGCTTGAAATGGCCCTTTTGGCATGAAGGGGGCAAATCCCTCTTGAAGTAGGTGTGGCAGCCGCCATCAGTCCTTGCCTGGGTTCAGTGTAGGTGGAACTGGCCTCAAAGGAAAGGGCCCCAGGAAGCAGTGGTCTGTGTGCTGGTATTGTGGTCTGCCTAGCAGGCATCCAGCAAAACCAAAATGCTTGTTTACAAAGCTGTTGTCCTACCAACTTTACTGCATGCTTGTGAAACTGGACCACTTATAAACGCCATCTCCAACTCCTCGAGAGATTCCGTCAAAGGTGTCTCTGAAAAAAATTTCACATCACTTGGGAAGACAGGCGAACTAATACCAGTGTACTAGAAGAAGCAAAGATCACCAGTGTCGAAGCAATGATTCTTCAACATCAACTTGGTTGGACTGGTCATGTTGTTCGGATCCCTGATTATCATCTTCCAAAGCAACTACTCTATTCCGAACTTAAAAGTGGAAAGCGTAATGCTGGCGGTCAACAAAAGGCAAATCTTTAAAAATGTAGTATAAACACCCGATAATTGGGAAACTCTGGCCTGCAAGTGCTCCAGTTTACCAAAGGTGTTGTGGGCTTTGAAGACGCTCGAACTCAGGACGAAAGGGAGAAACGTACTAAGAGGAAGGCACACTTGGCAAACCCTCACCTTGATCAACTCCCGCCTGGAAATCTATGACCCACTGTGGAAGGACGTGTGGATCCAGAATTGGCCTCCACAGTCACTTACGGACTCACTGTTAAGACCGTGTTCATGGAAGACAATCTTACTCGGCCCATGAGTGATCTTCAAAAAAGTAGAAGATTGTGGTCTGCCCAGCAGGCAGCAAAAGCAGTTCTGGAAAGGAGGGAGGAGTTTGGTTCTTACTTTAATATAATTTGTGCTTCCCAACACACAAACCAAAACACTACCCTCCTTCGAAATTCATTCTTCTCCAATCGTGTGTGTGTGTGTGTGTGTAAAGGGAAAGTGTGTACAAATGCACATATTAGTGAAAATAACAAACAAAAATGCGTTCACAGGGGGAATTGCTTGCAAAAAAAATTATTAGGCATAATTGTATGCAAAACCCTGTTGATTAGGAGAAAGAAAAATTTTGTGGAAACTTTTAAAAGAATAAAACAAAATTGCAAACTGTGCAGAAACATTGTGAACTAAAGACAGGAGAAAGGAGAAATTTGCCCACCCCTAGTTTCACCTCTGACCAGTTTGGGGGTGTGTGGAGAGCAGCAGAGATACTTTATCACAAAGCTCAGCATCTTTTCCTGTACGTTCTGCCCTCGGATTGTCTCCTTCCATTCCTCTCCCCGTGTCCTCACAATTGGTTACTGATTCTCCGGCAAAACTAGAGGATTACTGCTTCCGTTGCCCGAGTTTGCATGTTGTTTCCCCACTGCCTTCCTCATCCTGTCATTGGAAATCCATTTTAACCTTGTTTTCTCTCCTTCTCACTCCACAGGCCCGGAAGCACCTCCAAAATTTTGAAGCGACGCACTGCACACCGCTCCCTCCCCAGGAATTTCACCTCCCTTGGAGCTTATAGCACCTCCATCACCCCTGCGCCAGTCAAGTCCTCCTGTATTGATACCTGACCACCCAACGTAGTGCATCTGCTTTTCTTGTGTGTGTGTGTGTGTGTGTGTGTGTGTGAGTGAGTCTGACCATCTCTGCTACCCTCCTACTGCAAGCTGTAAATCTGCTTCCTCTCCCCTGTAATATTTATCCTCCAACACCCTCCTTCGCCCAGAAAATAAAACCACACACAGTTGTAGAGGTTCACAATAAAGATGGTATTTTTTTATACTTACCGAGTCTTTTCCTGGCCCGTGTAACTTGGGAAAGGTGGGTGGTGAGTAGGGGGTCTGTCAGCCTTTCTGTATGCTTGTGAAACATGGACCACTTATAAACACCATCTCTCACTCCTCTAAAGATTCCATCAACGGTGTCTCCAAAAAAGATTTCACATCACTTGCGAAGACAGGCGAACTAATATCAGTGTACTGGAAGAAGCAAAGATCACCAGTGTTGAAGCAATGATTCTTCAACATCAACTTCGTTGGACTGGTCATGTTGTTTGGTTGCCTGATTATCGTCTTCCAAAGCAACTACTTTATTCCAAACTAAAAAATGGAAAGTATTATGTTGGTGGTCAACAAAATAAGGTTAAAGACTCTCTCAAGGCAAATCTTTAAAAGGTAGTATAAACACTGACAACTGGGAAACACTGACCTGCAAGCGCTCCAGTTGGAGAACAGGCTTTACCAAAGGTGTCACAGGCTTTGAATACACTCAAACTCAGGACGAAAAGGAGAAATGTGCTAAGAGGAAGGCACGCTTGGCAAATCCACACTGTGATCAACTCCTACCCGGAAACCTATGTCTCCACTGTGGAAGGACGTGTGGATCCAGAATTGGCCTCCACAGTCACTTACGGACTCACAAGTGATCACCAAAGAAGCAGAAGAACAAACTACCTGTGCAATACTAAGGCAATTCTCTGGAGATGGAGGGAAGAGATGACTCTCTTTAACACTTGCGTTAAATGGGGCATCCTGAAGCTATTTTCTTACCTTCCTCCTCAAACCAGCTAAGGTTGAAGATGGGGGAAGCTCCTCTGACCAGGGGGCCACCAACTTGAGTGCTTTTAAGACACATTTAGGTAAACTGGAGGAAAAGGTTGCTGACCGTTACCAGCCACAAATTATGGATTCTGTTGGTTTAAAATAGTATTTATATGCACCACCCTCTTGCAAAATACCAGGGCAGTGCACAGCAATATGGTAGGCATCTGTCTGTCTCGAAAGATAGCGGATTGCGCCTTTGGGGGTGAAGTCAAAACACTTGGGAATCGCAGAACCTGCTGTGGCTGCAGAGACCGGTAACTCGTAACTGCTGCCTCCTGCGTTTTTGTTGTCTTAGAAGCACCAACTTGACCTTTCTGGGGTGCCAGCCTGGACAGTTTGTATGGAGGCCTCTCAGTGAATAGAAGGCCCTGCTGGTCTCTGTCCACTAGTGGGGGCTGGCCTCAGGTGGTGTAGTGTGATGTAGAGGTTAAGAGCGGTAGACTGGTGAACCGGGTTCGCTTCCCACTCCTCCACATGCAGCTGCTGGGTGACCTTGGGCCGGTCACACTTCTCTGAAGTCTCTCAGTCCCACTCACCTCACAGAGTGTTTGTTTGGGGGAGGAAGGGAAAGGAGATGGTTAGCCGCTTTGAGACTCCTTCGGGTAGTGATAAAGCGGGATATCAAATCCAAACATCTTCTTCAGGGGTCTCCTAGGCTCCTTTCCGCCCTTGATGGCCTTTGATTCCCAGTTCAAACATCAGGTGAGCTTGATTTGATTCCCACCCGCCTTGTTCCTGATGTAGATATTCACTCACCCATTGTTCCCTGACAGGGTGCAAATGTCATTATTTGGGTTTGCCTCAGGCGCCAAAATGTCTTGGGCCAGCTCTGGCAGCAAGTGAGGCAGAGATAGCCCTGGCCAGGCTTCGGCCCAAGAGAACGGACACAGGCTATGAACTCACCCGCTGCACCAATTCTGCTTCAGTGCTTCCTTTAGTTCCCAGAAAGTGGGTTTTCTCTTCCAACATCCCAAAGCTCAGCAAAAAGAAGATGAAAAACGGGACTAGTACAATTCTAGGCTACGCCAACAAAAGTAAGAGTGTTTGAGGTCGAAGGATATAACAGTACCACCAAACATGACTAGAGAAGCAGCGTTAGATGGGCCAATGTGTGCACAGCTTAATGCCCTTGTTACAGCTCTCTGTGGTTCCACACTGCTCAAAACGATGATTCGGCATAAAATCCAGTTTATGCAAGGTCAGCAAATGCTCCTGAAAGACTGCACAGCAGAATTCATAAGAGTTTAGGTACCACTTCCAGGGCGCACAGCTGCAACTGCTTGGAGCATCTCTTAAGTGCTGAAACAAACGAGATTGCACTGTTCACGATGGCAATCCCCGTCCTGGGTCCTATATGTTCTTGTAAAACCTAGAATATGGCAACAACAAAAAAGTTTGGCTTCATTCATTGCACCCTCATTGGCACTTTTAACGTCTCTCTTTTTAGACCCTCATTCCGCTTGCAAGTTTGCAGGTGCCCTTGTTGCGGAAAAGCAGAGTTAGGCAAAAACAGGCCAGTTTAGTAGCCGCAGGATGCTAACAACTTTTTTTGAAGGGGGTGGGCAGGGATCCCGAAAAGTAACATTCCATACTGCGCCATTTTGTTGCATCTCCCACAAGTCATATAATGAAACTGTTCATTTGCTCCCTGTTAACGGTGTCCTCATTTTGCTGCTTGGCCATCTTTGTACTATACGTTCAAGGCACTATGATGCCACTTTTATCAGTCATGGCTTTACCATCCTGGGAATTGTAGTTTGTTAAAGGTGCAGAGAGTTCTTGGGAGGGGGCTATCTATTCCCCTCGGAGCTACAATTCCCAGAGTTCCCTAGTAAGAGGGATTGGTTGCTAAAGCACTCTGGGAATTGTAGCTCTGGGAGGAGGAATAGGGGTTTCCTAACAACCCTCAACACCCACAATAAACTACAGTTCCCAAAATTCTTTTGGGGGGGGAGCCATGACTATAAAAAGCAGCAGCATAATACTTTACATGTATAGTGCAGGTGGTGGGACGCGGGTGGCGCTGTGGGTTAAACCACAGAGCCTAGGACTTGCCGATCAGAAGGTTGGCGGTTCAAATCCCTGCGACGGGGTGAGCTCCCGTTGCTCGGTCCCTGCTCCTGCCCACCTAGCAGTTTGAAAGCACGTCAAAGTGCAAGTAGATAAATAGGTACCATTCTGGCGGGAAGGTAAACGGCGTTTCCGTGCTCTGGTTCGCCAGAAGCGGATTAGTCATGCTGGCCACATGACCTGGAAGCTGTATGCCAGCTCCCTCGGCCAATAAAGCGAGATGAGCGCCACAACGCCAGAGTTGGTCACGGCTGGATCTAATAGTCAGGGGTCCCTTTACCTTATAGTGCAGGTGTGGCCTCTGTTTGCTAAAAGGGTTTGCCCAAGTGGCAAAATGAACTGAATTTTAAACTCTGCTGGTTTTATAAGGGCCCATCCCCAGATGGTAACGTATATTATTCTGATGGTGTTTCCTGCTTGGCAGGGGGTTGGACTCGATGGCCCTTGTGGTCTCTTCCAACTCTATGATTCTATGATTCTATGATTCTATGATTCTATGATTACAGACCCCCCAAGTGCTCCTATTTTTCCAGGGACATCCCTGATTTAGAGAAGCCGTCCTGGTTTCTGATTTGATCCCGGAATGTCCTGCTTTTCCTTAGCACGTCCCTATTTTCATTGCAGAAATGTTGGAGGGTGTGGAGTTATCCGACCCCTGAGCCTTCTAAAGGCAATCCTATAGAAGGAAGTTTGTTTAATGTTTTATTATGTTTTTATATATGTTGGAAGCTGCCCAGAGTGGCTGGGGCAACCCACTTAAGATGTGTGGGATATAAATAGTACAATTATAATTATGGAACGGGACGTCTTACTTTCATCCGAGAAATGTCGGAGGGTATGCTATCATTTCAAAACGTGGTAAATGTCGTACAGTGGTACCTTTGGATGCAAACCCGAGGTAGGACTGTACTTCGGAATTTGGTAGCATCTCTTCAATTCTGTCACCAGGAATAGAGTGTTGTTTTCCAAAAGCCCTCAGAGGTGAGGAAAAAGGTAAATGTAAACGGACCCCTGACCATTAGGTCCAGTTGTGGCCGACTCTGGGGTTGCGGCGCTCATCTCGCTTTATTGGCCGAGGGAGTCGGCGTACAGCTTCCGGTCATGTGGCCAGCATGACTAAGCCGCTTCTGGCAAACCAGAGCAGCGCACGGAAACGCCATTTACCTTCCCGCCGGAGCCGTACCTATTTATCTACTTGCACTTTGAGGTGCTTTTGAACTGCTAGGTTGGCAGAAGCAGGGACTGAGCAAAGGGAGCTCACCCCATCGCGGGGATTCGAACCGCCAACCTTCTGATCGGCAAGTCCTAGGCTCTGTGGTTTAACCCACAGCGCCACCCGCGAGGAAGACGGGCATAAATAGAAATAATCCTAACTGACTGTGAGCCTTCCAGGCCCTCATTCTCCTCTCCCGCGAAGTCCCACATCCAGTTATACTGTGTCTGCCGGGAGGCGATTAAAATGTAGCTCTTTTCCGTTTGACTTTTCATAGAAAAGCCCAAGACACCACCACAGGGAGAGATAACATTTCTCAGTGAATAATGCTTTCCTGTTCAGCGCAGTTCACCCTCTCGCTTCAGGAATTATCATTGTTATGAAATAAATGGCAGAGCACTGAACAATATGGAGTTTTGTTGGCTGAGGATACTGATAGGATTATTCGTCCTGAGCAAAGAGCACGGTAATAGATCTGTCTGTGTGGATCAAGAAGGAGGAGGATGGGTGGTGGTTGGGAGAAGATGTCATTGGGCCCTGAATGTTTGCTTCTCAAACACGGGTGTAATAGGCAGAATTATTTTATTTCTTTATCTATAGGATTTTTTTTGAGTTTTTTTGGTAAGTGAAAGGTTCGGCATGGGAAAACAGAGAACAGGACATGGATCTGTGTGGGTGAATAAAGTGATCGAAGAATCCTAGCATGGAGGGGTCTGCTGTTGCCAAGTCTGAAAGTGACTGAGAGGAAGGGCAGGGCAGGAATGTGAGGCTTTTGGGAATTATAGGGACAGAACTACGGTACCTAAATTTATTCATGTATGCGACTACAGCGGCAAGAATGTTACTTGCCCAAAATCTGAAAGAAGAAGTCCCAGCGAAAGAAGAGCGGATACAAAAACTTGTGGAATATTCAGAAATGGCGAAACTCACCGGAAAAAATAAGAAATCAAGATAACAAACTTTTTAATAAAAGAATGGAAATGGTTTATTGAATATTTACAAATAAACAGATAAGAACATTGGCAGGATTATTGTAATAACCTGCAATTTTATAAGAGTATACAGTGGTACCTCGGGTTACGAACTTAATTCATTATGGAGGTCCGTTCTTAACCTGAAACTGTTCTTAACCTGAGGTACTACTTTAGCTAATGGCGCCTCCCGCTGCCACCGCACCACCACCATGCAATTTCTGTTCTCATCCTGAAGCAAAGTTCTTAACCCAAGGTACTATTTCTGAGTTAGCGGAGTCTGTAACCTGAAGCATCTGTAATCTGAAGCGTCTGTAACCCAAGGTACCACTGTATATTTGAAGTAGATAGATAAATGAATACGTTAAGTTAATTTGGAATATGCAGAAAATATAAAATAAAATAAAGGAACCGCAGAAAGAGGGGGGAAGGAAGTCGAGTTTTGAAACGTTAGAACAATTGTAAAAATATTGAAGTGTATAAAATAGAAAATCACAAATGAAGAAATAAAGGAATACAAGGCTCAAATAAAGCAGACAGCAGAATCTCCAAAGCAAAGAATGAATCAAGAGGGCACAGAGTCGCAGCTCAATGGCAGGACACCTGCCTCGCATGCAGAACTTTCCAGCTTCAATTCCAGGACTCTCTAGGTAGGTCTGGGAAATATTCCTGTGTGAAATCCCAGAGAGATGCTGCCAGCCAGTGTAGACATTGCTAAGCCAGATGGACCAATGGTCTGACTCAGTATAAGGCAGCTTCCATCGTTCCTTTGTGGGGGTCCTTGCAAGTGTGGGGTGAGGAGGGATAGGGCTTGGGCAGAGGAGACGTTAACACTTCCATTCCTCTTCTCCCTCAGCTTTCGTCCCCGAGAGAATCGTCCGCGCTTCTGGGGAGCAGGCCACGCTTCCCTGCGAGTCCGTGAGCCCCTGGACCCGTTGGTTTTGGCTCCCTCTGAGTTCCAGGTGCGCTGAAGTCCAAAGCGGTTATGTGGAAATAACCTGGAGCCTTACTGGAAATGAGGTGGCCCCTGTTCGGTTCAACCAGCGGCTGGCAAACCAGACATCAGGATCCCTGGTCCTCCGGAATCTGGTCATGAGCGATTCAGGCACCTACGTCTGCCGTTCGCCCGACGGCTCAGAGACTCGAACCATGCTGGACGTGACCGCAGGTATGTTTCCCAAATAATAGCAAGAGTTCACCTTCTCTCTATTGTTGTTGTTTAGTCTTTTAGTCATGTCCGACTCTTCGTGACCCCCTGGACCAGAGCACGCCAGGCCCTCCTGTCTTCCACTTCCTCCCGCAGTCTGCTCAAACTCATGCTGGTAGCTTCGAGAACACTGTCCAGCCATCTCGTCCTCTGTCATCCCCTTCTCCTTGTGCCCTCCATCTTTCCCAACATCAGGGTCTTTTCCAGGAGTCTTCTCTTCTCATGAGGTGGCCAAAGTATTGGAGCCTCAGCTTCAGGACCTGTCCTTCCAGTGAGCAATCAGGGCTGATTTCCTTCAGAATGGATAGGTTTGATCTTCTTGCAGTCCATGGGACTCTCAAGAGTCTCCTCCAGCACCAGAATTCAAAAGCATCAATTCTTCGGCGATCAGCCTTCTTTATGGTCCAGCTCTCATTTCCATACATCACTACTGGGAACACCATAGCTTTAACTATACAGACCTTCAAACAGAGGACCTCTTGAAATAGAAGCAGTGCCGGATTTACGTATAAGCTAAACAAGCTATAGCTTAGGGCCCCACTCTCTTGGGGGCCTCCAAAAAATAAAAGGGGAAAAAACTGGATGTACATTTCCAAAATATAAGATAAAAAACAAATAAAATAAAACCTACATACAGCAACAGCTTTTTGTGTTGTGTAGGCTCCTGTGATGTAAGTAATGGGGCCCCAATCAGTTTAAGTTAGAGCTTAATAATTATTTCACTATTAATATACTTCTTAATTGTATTTCACTATTAATACGTTGTTGTTGTTGTTGTTGTTTAGTCGTTTAGTCGTGTCCGACTCTTCGTGACCCCATGGACCAGAGCATGCCTGGATCTTTTCCAGGGAGTCTTCTCTTCTCATGAGGGGACCAAAGTATTGGAGCCTCAGCTTCAGGATCTGTCACTATTAATATACTTCTTCTTAATTGTATTTCAATTCAACAGTTACTTTGATAAAATGCATATTTTGTGACATGCAAATGGTTTTAGATACCATATATATATATATATATATATATATATATATACACCTATTATATATATACCTATATAAATTACCATATAGCATATATTCAACATATATATTCAACACAAAAAACAGCGACAATTTGTTGTTGACAAAGGACAGCTGGACATATAAAGGGCCCCATTACCTTCAGTAGCTTAGGGCCTCATCAAACCTACATCCGGCCCTGAATAGAAGACTGGCCTCTGTAACACAGATGACAAGGCCACCTTGTTCTTGGCTTGTGACAGAATTACAGAATTGGAGAGTTGGAAGGGACCCCAGGGGTCATCTAGTCCAACCCCCTGCAGTGCAGGAATCTTATTGCCCAAGTGGAGGCTGTTAAAAAGGCTCATCCCTCTTGCTTTCCATTTGGCTAATACATCTCTCGTTTCTTTCTTAATCTCTGCTCTTTTTTAAAAAAATTAAAATAAATTTATTTATTTGGTTTCCAGATTGAAACTTTACAGTCACATATCCAACATACAACATAGAAACAAGATTTCAAAGAATCTCCTGGTCTTCTCTCCTCCCTTTGTGGGTCCTGCTGTTAATCATTTCCTCCTGCATCTTTTATAATAATCCAAATCTTTTACTTCTTCATTGTATCCAAAAATTCACCATTAAATTACAAGTGTTATTCCAATCCTATTAACGGTTTTAACGGCTTACAATGTTTTTTAAGGTAAGTTATAAATTTCCCCATTCCCTATTAAAATTTTGGTCTTCCTGATTTCTGATTTTTCGGGTCATTTTAGCCATTTCGGCATAATCCATCAACTTGATCTGCCCTTCTTCTCTGGTAGGGACTTCATCTTCTTTCCATCTCTGGGGAGCTCTGCTCTTTTTATCCTCTCCTCACGGCAACTTCAAGCCAACCATCTTAAGCTGTAGGAAGGCAGCTAGAAAAAAAAATTAGCACAATAAATGCAGCCACATCTAGGATCTCTCCCACAAGCGGCCTCAGCCAGGGGATGCTGTTCATCAGGCCAGGTGTGTTGGCACCCAGCCCCCTTGTGCTACTGCTGGGTCCCAGTACCTTGACAGCACCCCCTCCAACTCCCAGCACTGACCCTTGCCTTGGGATGGCCAGGACTATGAGCCGTCATGTTCAGCTCCTCACAATTCTATTCATTGACAGTGCTATGGCGCCACATTGAGAGTCATGGCTTCCCCCCAAAGGATTCTGGGAGCTGCAGTTTGTTAAGGGCTTCGGAGACCCCTGCTTCCCCTCACAGAGCTGCAATTCCCAGAGTTCCTTGGGAAGAGGGATGGACCACTCCAGGGATGAGCACCCTTAATGAGCTATCCTTTCCAGGAATCTTTGGCTGTTAAAGTTGTACAGTGGTACCTTGGTTTAGGAACTTAATCCGTTCCGGAAGTCCATTGCGTTCTTAAACCACGGCGTGCTTTCCCACAGCAGCGGGGGACTCAATTTACAAATGGAACACACTCGACAGGAAGCGAAACATGTTCTTATTCCAAGGCAGAGTTCACAAACCAAAACACCTACTTCCGGGTTTGCAGCGTTCTTAATCCAAGTTGTTCATAAACTAAGCTGTTCTTAAACTAAGGTACCGCTGTGTAGCGCTTTAAAATTATAGTGTGGATGTAGAATTATAGTGTGGATGTAGAATTGCTCCAATAGGGGCATTGTGAGCCAGGTTTGATACGGCTCAGAGTCGCCCTCCATTGCTACCAAACAAGGCCCGAAACATAAGCCTATGAAGGGGGGGGAGGGCTGACCAGAAAGTACCATATTTTTCTGTGTATAAGACAATGCTTCCTGCTAAAAAAAATAATAGGCAAAAATTGGGTGTCATCTTATACACGGATAGTGAATGCAGAGGGGGGACGTGCGATTAATGGCAGCAGCAAGCAGGAGATGGGCAGCGGCGACTGGGCGGGTGATTATTGGCTGCGGCTGAGGCAATTGATCTCCGAATAATGGATGCTTTTGAATTATGGTGCTGGAGGAGACTCTTGAGAGTCCCATGGACTGCAAGAAGATCAAACCTCTCCATTCTGAAGGAAATCAGCCCTGAGTGCTCACTGGAAGGACAGATCCTGAAGCTGAGGCTCCAATACTTTGGCCACCTCATGAGAAGAGAAGACTCCCTGGAAAAGACCCTGATGTTGGGAAAGATGGAGGGCACAAGGAGAAGGGGACGACCGAGGACGAGATGGTTGGACAGTGTTCTCGAGGCTACCAGCATGAGTTTGAGCAGACTGCGGGAGGCAGTGGAAGACAGGAGTGCCTGGCGTGCTCTGGTCCATGGGGTCACGAAGAGTCGGACACGACTAAACGACTAAACAACAACAACAATGAGGCAATTGAGCAGGCGATTGGTGGCGGTGAGTGGGCAATTGGTGGCACTGGCGAGGTGTGCGATTGGCAGTGGCTGTGCAAGCGATCGGCAGTGGCGGGCAGGCAGGTGAGCAATTGGCGGAAGTGACCTCCCCCACCCCACCCCCCAAAAGCTAAACAACTTAATTTCTTAATTTGGGGTTAAAAAAAATAGGGGTCGTCTTATACATGGGGGCATCTTATACATGGAAAAATACGGTACTTTGCTGAGGACCTCTTTGAACCTGGTGCTCGGCCTGCTAATTCGTCCCTTTTCTTCTTCTCTCCCCAGGCTGCCACAACAACGTCTATGTCTCCTTCTGGTGGCTCAACGCCTCCTCTTTGCGGCTCAGCTGCCGTCACTGCCACTCGCCAGGCAACTTCAAGGCAAAGTCTTTTCGCTGGATGCTGAACTCAAAACCGCTGGGCAACGGGCACTGGTTCGAGAAGAGCAATTTCGGGTCCATTGTCCAATTACTGTCCACCCGGCGGAGGGCTTGGGGGCGCTGGGAATGCCACTCTCTTGCCAATCACACTTGGGTCTCTGAAATTTGCTTGGAGCCACCCGTCCAAGAGAAGGGCGCAGGTGAATTTGAAATACTCTGTGCGGTTGTCCAAATTACATCCAGCCTCTGCATTAAAGCAAGCATGGAAAACCTATGGTCCTCCAGATGTTCTTTGACTACAGCTCCTATCCTCCCCGGCCATTGGCTGATGCTGGCTGGGGTTGATGGGAATTGGAGTCCAAAAACATCTGGAAGGCAGGTTCCCCATCTGGCTCTGAAGACTTGTGCAGAAAAGGAAGACTGCAGCAGGTACAGCTTTTTCCATCTCAGTGCCAAAGGGATGGAAGAAATCCCACCTAGTGCAATGCTATTTATTTCATTTGGTTTGATAAGATTCATATGCCACTTAATCAACAGGAACCTCTAAGCATTTTGTGTATAAAATAATACCTACCTAGCAAGTGTCGTGGTAAAAGCAGGACATCCCGTTTTCATGTAAGAGCACAGTGGCCATTCTGGGCGCTGCGACCCCACACAATTTCATGCTGCAATCTTGCTCCAGAAAAAGCACTTTTGTGGTGGTATGATCTTGCACAGCTTTTGGGGAGCTCCATGCACGCGCCCCCAAAAAAGTGTGTCTTTTGGGCTCCATGATCTTGTGTGTGTCATGTGTGGGAGCATGTCCAGGAAGATGCGGGTTCCACCTTTGGGACCCAACGTATTGGAGGGTATGACAATATGAAATAACCATCTCCCTTTTTCTCACCCTACAACACCACTGTGAGTGACCTAGCTGCTCCCAGAAGTCTGTGGTCATACTGTAGTTCTCAGTGCCATCTGTGAGCCATCAAGGGAACTGCAGCGTGATGACATACTTACATTTTTGTTATATGTGTATCGATAAGCAGTGTTAAAACAAACACACAGACACAATAAAATGGCATGCCATTATGTCTGGGTCGGCTTGCCTAAATGAAAATACTTTCAGTTATGTGAATCTTGGATGCACAAGAGCCAGCCTGTAGCCCTGAGATGGATTGTCTCCTACTATCCCTTGACAAAAGTGCTATTCTCAGCATCTCAGGGCTGGTATTCCACCATGAGGGATCAATTATGTTACAGAGGTTCAGGAGTGAGGACCAACCAAAGATATTTGCCAGAGCACTTCAGAAGGTCCCAAGTCCATAGGAGCATATGAAGCTGCCAATGCAAAGTCATACTATTGGACCATCTAGCACAGGATCGAGATTCCTGCATTGCAGGGGGTTGGACTAGATGACCCTCAGGGTCCCTTCCAACTCCACAATTCTATGATTCTATGACTGCCTACACTGGCTGGCCTTCTTGCTTCCAAGGAAGGCCGACAGGCAATTTTGAGGTTAGGGTGAAAAGCGCCGTTTGTTCCTCATTTCAAAACAACCTCCCAACCCTTCCCTGAAGGTTCTGCTTCTGCTGAGCTGCCTCCCTATTTGGTGTCATTTCTCTCGCCAAGTCCTTCCGCTGCCGAGACTACGGATGCTGCGCCTGCAGAAGCCGGTGGAGTGAAGGGCACCGAAATCTGGATTTGGGTCTTGCTGTTCCTTGGTCTGGCTCTGGTCCTGGCTGCTCTTGGAACAGCTGTGTGGATGTGGAAGAGGCAGCCAGCGGCCAGGTGAGTCAAAGGTGTTTTCCATGGAGGGACTTGGTGGCGGTGAACGCAGTGCTGTCTGGTGTCTATGGAGCCTGGTAGGGCGGGAGACAGGGAGGTCAACAGTAGGTGGCGCCAAAGCCAACGACAGGAGGAGCCAGCTCGTTCTAGTTTAGTCCCCATCCTCCAAGGTCAACGCTGAGACTAAGGAGGAAGAAGATGACAGCAGTGGTGGACCTTGGAGGTCTAAAGTTTAATCAATGTAGACTAAAATTTCTTCAGGAGCTCTTCCAGGATTAGGAGCCCCTGGGGCTGACGGGAGTTGAACAATATCTGGAGAGCCACAGGTTCCCTCATCCCTGCAGCAGACAGACCAGTGCTCTGACATTTTCATGCAAGACAGTTTCATGTCCCTGCTCTACGCTGACACACATGTGGGCCTTCCTGTTAGTACCAGGCAGGGTTAAGATCAAAACAACCCCTTAGAGCCAGCAGATATAATAAAATGGCACTTGTATTATGATGGCATCATAGTGTGTCATTCTCAGTCCCCATCACTGGTAGCCATGGATAGGGAAAAACACACTTTCTGAAGACTTAATGATCTATTCCTATACACAGGTGCAGGAGAGATGGAGAGTTTAGTTCAGAGTACCACTGTCGACCATAAAATGTATGTAGCCCTAAGACTCCTGCAATTTTCTTTCTAGGAAGCAGAGAGGAAGGAAGGAGAGGACAGGTGAGGAATGAAGGAGAAGTTCTTCCTTTTGCCATTTAAAAAAGCTTCATCTTCCAAACTGGTCAGTGGTCAGGGGTTGGTGGGAGAGAAATATTAATAATAATAATAATAATAATAATAATAATAATAATAATAATAATAAAAAATTTATTATTTGTACCCCGCCCATCTGGCTGGGTTTCCCCAGCCACTCTGGGCGGCTTCCAACAAAGATTAAAAGTACATTAAAATGTCACACATTAAAAACTTCCCTGAACAGGGCTCCCTTCAGATGTCTTCTAAATGTCAGGTAGTTGTTTCTCTCTTTGACGTCTGGTGGGAGGGCGTTCCACAGATGCACTCCAAGAATATCATGTTGGGAGAAGGCATCTTTCCTCATGAAATTCCCACAGCAGGGAGTTCCACACATGGCCCAGAGAGATTGCCCTGATAAATGATTTCATGTTTCTTTCATCCCACTTGTCACGGCGATCCCAAGGCTGCACTTCTGCGATAAATCCAGCCAGAGTGAACGAGGAACTTTACCAGAGGAAGAGTCTGGATGAGGTAAATACTAGCTGGGCATTCCTGGCAGAGCTTGGGGCTAGGATATACCGTATTTTTTGCTCTATAAGACTGACTTTTTCCCTCCTAAAAAGTAAGGGAAAATGTGTGTGTGTCTTATGGAGTGAATGCAGGCTGCGCAGCTATCCCAGAAGCCAGAACAGCAAGAGGGATTGCTGCTTTCACTGCGCAGCGATCCCTCTTGCTGTTCTGGCTTCTGAGATTAAGAATTTTTTTTTTCTTGTTTTGTTGTCCTCCTCCAAAAACTAGGTGCTTCTTGTGGTCTGGTGCGTCTTATAGAGCGAAAAATACGGTAAATTGTGTCAGGCGCTGCACGTTCAACTCCCTAAATCGCCCTTTCTCTTTTCTTGCTTCTCCTCGCAGGGACCTGCTTGCCTTCATTATGCACAACTGGAATATCCCCGAAGGAAATCCACCTCTGCTTGCACTCAAGATGGCACCACGGTGTATGCGGTCATTGTCTGACGCCGTCACTTCCGACGCCCACACTTCTAACATTGGCAGCCACAACTTCTACATCTCCTCTGCACAGTTCCTTTTGCTGCTTCCTCTCAAAGCCTCCGGAAACAGTGAACAAGAGGTTCCCACACATGACTTTTGCTCCTCAGACTCCATGTCCCTGAAAGCCACCCCAGCCTCCTGCTTCCTTTAAACAGGCCTGCTTTTTGTCACTTTTTCTGCTTCCTGCCTCTCTCTCTCTCTGGCTGTGAGAGAGAGAAAAAGCACAACAACTTTGTTCGGATTTTCACTTTGGGGAATATGGCAACCCTATTTTAAAATATATTCAAAGCGCATTCTTGCCCCCTCAAAGAATTCTGGGCCTTGTAGCTTGTTGGAACTGCAACTCTGTGAGGGGTAAACTACAGCTCCCAGAATTCCTTGAGGGAATGATGGTGCTTCTAAGGTGTTTTAAATGTATAGTGCAGTGGTGGCGAACTTTGGCACTCCAGATGTTTTGGAACTACAACTCCCATCATCCCTGACCACTGGTCCTGTTAGCTAGGGATGATGGGAGTTGTAGTTTCAAAACATCTGGAGTGCCAAGGTTCACCACCACTGGTAGAGTGTGCATGCACCACACACACTGTCTCTCTCTCACACACACACCTTTCCCATCAAATGCTTTCTCAAGATCCGCCTGTTCCTTAATCTCAGAGTCAGGGCCAGATTTAGAGGCCCTAAGCACTGAAAATGTCATGGTGCAGCCCACCACATCATTCAAAATGAAAACCATGCTAAACTGTAAAATAAACTTTTTTTAAAAAAAAAGTAAAACATTGCAGCACAAGACAGGATCTGATTTCCTCACATTATTTCAATTTGTATCCGTAGGTGCCCCCTGGTTTAGGTAGGAATAAGTCATAAATAAAAAACCTAACAAAAATCTAACAAAATTCTGATCCCCCCCCCATGATGACTACTTCAATTATTTTTTTTAAAAAAATAAAATGTCAAATTCTTACACTATACATGTAAAGTATTATGCTGCTGCTTTTTTTTATGCCAAGTGAATTTTTTATTGTTTTCCTTACAAATTCTTTACAAATATATATTATTTTGTGTTCCTGCTTTTCTGGTGTCCTGAGCATGTGCTTAGCTGTCCTGTTGGTTCATCCAGTACTACAGGAAGTCAAACTAGAGTTGAAATTAACTATCACCAAACCCCCTACATCCATTTTCCTTCCATCAGCTGATAAGAATGGATGCAACTTCCCAGTGGTTTTTTTTAAAAACAACAACAACAACTCTTTCACACAGAAGAGTTCTTACACAAAGCAGCTGCATTAAAAAAAAAAAAAAATGCCCCTGCAAGGCATGGAAGGAAAGGAAGAAGCAGCCTTTCATGCGAGAAACTCCAAATCCTTGCTGGTCTTGGAGCAGCAGTTATTATTATTACAGTGGTGCCTTGGGTTACAGACGCTTCAGGTTACAGACTCCACTAACCCAGAAATAGTACCTCAGGTTAAGAACTTTACCTCAGGATGAGAACAGCCGTGTGGATGTGGAAGAGGCAGCTGGCAGCCAGGTGAGGTTCCATTAGCTAAAGTGGTACCTCAGGTTTTGAACAGTTTCAGGTTAAGAACGGACCTCCAGAACGAATTAAGTTCTTAACCCGAGGTACCACTGTATTACTATTAGTGCTTTCCCCCCTCAAGGGTACACAATACAGGCACCTCTATTTTTGTTGTTCCTAAAAAGTGTGGCACTTACTGTTAACAACTTCATGGTGAGCACCTATATTTCTAGGGGGGGAATTACCATCATTATCATTACTTCTGCCATTTTGTGTCGAGCTGGAATATTGAGAAAATGGTATTATAAAATGAAAATCAAAGATGTCCAGGCGTCTACAAAGTGTGTGCCCAAAAAAGACCTCAGGTTTCCTGGCAGGAAGAAACACAGATTTACTTATCACGACTGAGGTTGTCTGCACGCTCCTCTTTCCTTACATCCAGTGTGTGTGTGCACAGAAAATAATAGATCTACCTGATGGCCAACCCATGGAGACATTGCTATGTAGCCCCAAGTATTATTATTGTGTGATTATGAAATGATTGTATACCGTATTTTTCGCTCTATAAGACGCACCAGACCACAAGACGCACCTAGTTTTTGGAGGAGGAAAACAAGAAAAAAAAACATTCTGAATCTCAGAAGCCAGGACAGCAAGAGGGATCTCTGCACAGCGAAAGCAGCAATCCCTCTTGCTGTTCTGGCTTCTGGGATAGCTGCGCAGCCTGCATTCACTCCATAAGACGCACACACATTTCCCCTTACTTTTTAGGAGAGAAAAAGTGAGTCCTATAGAGCAAAAAATACAGTAATCTTAGAAGGTTGTGTAATTTTAGGAGGAGTGTGGCTGTGACCACTGTCATGAAGCGGCGCTTCTGAACTTGCCACTGCGCAATTCACAGGAGACGGAAATGTATTGCAGTGCGTGTGGTTTCTAATATTTTGTAATCCAAAGGCAGGAAATTTCCTTTCAAACGGCTGCCACTTGTCCGCCTTCTTTGACCCCAATAGTTCACGGCTGCTGACACTTCCTGCTCATACTTCTTCAGACGGTCTCCTATCAAGCTTTCCTGGTATCCTGAGCGGTTAAAACGTTTGCAGAAATTCCTGAGTTCGTCGGAAGGAATTGTTTCTGCTCGCTATCCTTGAGATGCGCAGCGGCGGCAGGAACTAGCCAACCCTCTTGGTTAAGTCGCTCTTGGGTATTTCGGCGTATACGACGGCTGGCATCCCATTATCCATCTTAGTCTGGCACCCTCCAGCCTCTCTGAACTCTAGAGCTGTGTATTCGATTTGATTGGCTCCCTGGATTGTATTGGGTAGGGAAAGAGAAAAGAGACACGAGGCGTAAACAGATAGTTTTAAGAACAGTCTGGCTAGATCAGACCAAAGACCCATTTTGTCCAGTATCCTTTTGGCCCCAAGGGTCAGCCGGGTGCCAGTGGGAAGCCTGCAAGCTGAACTTTCCATATTTATTTATTTAATATCCTACCTTTCCTCTGAGATCAAGTGACATGTACATACATCTTTCCCATCCCCAAAACAATCCTGTGAGGTAGTTTAGGCCAAAAGCGTGAGCTTGGCCCAAACAGCTCAAGGTCACCCACGGAATGGTATATAAAGAAGTGTGAGATACTGTACAGTGATTAATGATAAATTAACAAGCGCTATCAAAGTACGAAGGGGAATATGGAAGAGAAACGACTTTGAGGATATTGGGAAGATATTTGTAGAAAGGGGTCAAACCATCTCAAGAAGCGGTTTGGGTGTTGTTGTTTTTCGAAAGTTGGATAGTTATGATAACTAACGGTCTCATTTTTATGCACATTTTTATTTGTATTATTATTACTTTGTTTATTTATTTATTTAAAAGGTCACCCAGTGAGCTTAATGACTTGGCGGGGATTTGAACCCTGATCTCCTATGTCCAGTCTTTATTAAGCCTTTACCCATACCAACCCCCCAAGTCCTATAACAATAGGAACAGGCCTCCCGTTTATCCTCTGCAGGAACCGGGGAAGTTAACCAATTAGAAGTTACCTCCATGAAAATTTCACCCAATTTTGCAGCCAGCAAATGGAACTGAAAAGTTAAGTGCACATTTGGGCTTAGCCACCTGACTCAGTCCTGACTCCCATCCATGTATAATATGGGAATAATAACACTTTCCTGATAGGCCTAAGATTAAATTAAGTTATAATTGAATAAATGGGATTTAGAATGTTAAGAAAAGTGAATAAGATGGACTATAATTGGAAATTGTTTTAGTTTAATAATGATATTGGAAAGCTGTTACTTTTAATTACAAGGAAACTCAGAAGGGAGGGATTTAAGGAAGTCAACAAAGATGTTTAAAAGGTTGGATTTGTGAAGAATTAAGTTAGTTGTTATTGTTTATCTGTTTATTGTCCCCCCTTTTTTCTCTTTCTTCTTTTTCTTTTTCTGTTTTTGTGTATCATCTTGCTTTGTGGTTTGTGTTATCATGGTGGGAAATCTAATAAAAATTTATTTTTTAAAAAAGAAGTTACCTCCATGTAGGTGTGATCTTCCATTCCAGGTTCTGCTTCCATTCCAGGTTCTGTTTCCTCTCCTCTCTTTGAAGATCCTTCTGGTCGTGGGATCGAAAGAAGGGCATAAGACAGGGAGAGTGAACCCACAGCCCCAGGCATTGGACTCCAGCTCCCATCATCCTCATGCAATAATTGCCACATCAGAAAGAGCCATAAGTAGGACAAAAGCCCTACAACTCACCATCTGGGTCCTTGCTCCCTTGCATTTCCTTCGCCTTCGTAGTCTCACTGGGGATTAAAAGAACGACAGAGAAATGCTTTCTGCGTATTTGCTATTCACAGTGTTCATTCGGACAGGAGAAATGTGCTGTGTTTGAGTGGGCATTTTATATCATCACCAACAACAACACACTTCTGATACGGCACGGTAAATTGAGATTCTGTCCATACAGCTCCAATTTTGTGGGTTGGTTGTGCGGCTGTTGTTTCCAGAGCCTCGTGGAATGCTAGATCAAGATTGGCTAGTTACATTTTAGATGCTTGAGCCGAGTCATGACAGGGCAGAGATCCTGAGACGGTGTAAGTCCACAGCATCTGGTTGGAGACCAGGGGTTGTATCCAGGGGACCCATTGAAATCAATAAACCTAAGTCAGCTGCGTCCATTGCCTTCAATGGGTATATTCTATGTATGAGTAGCATTGGATATGACCCCAGGTTCCAAGGAGACCAAAGTTCTGGGGTGACAGAGCACATATTTATTGGACTCTGAGAGACTAATAAAGTTGGTCACTTAACAGAGTTGGATTTTAAAAGGTAAAGGTAAAGGACCCCTGACAGTTAAGTCCAGTCGTGAATGACTCTGGGGTTGCGGCGCTCATCTCGCTTTACTGGCCGAGGGAGCCGACGTTTGTCTGCAGACAGTTTTTCCAGGTCATGTGGCCAGCATGACTAAGCTGCTTCTGGGAAAACCAGAGCAGCGCATGGAAACGCCGTTTACCTTCCTGCCGGAGCGGAACCTATTTATCTACTTGCACTTTGACGTGCTTTCAAACTGCTAGGTTGGCAGGAGCTGGGACCGAACAACGGGAGCTCACCCCATCGTGGGGATTCGAACCACCGACCTTCCGACTGGCAAGCCCAAGGACCAATAGTGAGAAAAATTCCATCTCTGATGTAAGTGGACTAGGAAAAAAATTCTTGGAATTTCTGAGAATGCTTCCACTTTAATGCTAAATTTCCATTACGTAAAAGCTAGCCATTTCAGTCCACTTGGGTCATTGCTAAAATAAAAAGATCAAACTTGGAATGTTGATTCAGAAATAAAACCCAGGATATTTGCCTATTCAGGAGTTCTTCTAAGGAGTATCGAACCTCAGCATCTCTAGGTGGCGCTGTTGGTCTGATTGTAAAGGGGTAAAGGTAAAGGGACCCCTGACTATTAGGTCCAGTTGTGACCGACTCTGGGGTTGCGGCGCTCATCTCGCTTTATTGGCCGAGGGAGCTGGTGTACAGCTTCCGGGTCATGTGGCCAGCAGGACTAAGCCGCTTCTGGCAAACCAGAGCAGCGCACGGAAACGCCGTTTACCTTCCCGCCGGAGCGGTACCTATTTATCTACTTGCACTTTGACGTGCTTTCGAACTGCTAAGTGGGCAGGAGCTGGGACTGAGCAACGGGAGCTCACCCCGGCGCAGGGATTCGAACCGCCGACCTTCTGATCAGCAAGTCCTAGGTTCTGCGGTTTAACCCACAGCGCCACTGGTCTGATTGTATCAGAATATAAATGTGTGTTACAACTTCATGGTTGCGTGGAGACATATTGAATCCTTTCAGAAACCAGTATTTTGCAGACACAAGCAGATGCTTTCACAGACTGGAAACTCCAGTCTAAGCGACATACATAAAAAAAACCACCCCAATTTCGGTACCTGAGGCTGTGTGAGCGACGATTCCTGCGGATGAGGAATACGACAGCTCCCACCAAGACGAGAGCAAGGAGTCCAGCAACGCAGCCCCCAATTATACGCGGGTCAGCCGTATTCCCTACATCATTGGGGGTGTGGGGGGGGAAACGACAACCAGCTTAGAAACGCAAACACCTCATTGGGCAGGAGGAAGATGGGGTGGGGCAGCTTTACATACAAAGGGGACTCCCACCCAAAAATTCCCCTCCCCACCTGCCCTTCCTCCTGAATGCAAAAATTTATTTATTTATTTTCAAATGCTTTTTATTGAGTTTTCTTTAACATAAACAAACAAAATAAATACTCTAAAATTCAACAGTCATGTGTCCACTTATTTTCTAAATGCTCTACCGCATGTGGACTTCCCTCCCTCCCTCCAACAGGCTTTCGTATTGAATTTTCTCTTTTTTCGCAGATTCTTCATAGCATCCTATACACATCACAAAATTAATTTTAATCCTACTACCGTCTTTAAACTTCTACAGTTATTACCTATATGCTCAACAAATTTACTCCCTTCATTTTTGAACTTGGATTCCTCTTGGTGATGATCTTGTGGGTCAGTTTTGCTAATTCTACATATTCAGCCATTTTTGTCTGCCACTCCGCTAATGTTGGTATTTCCTGAGTTTTCCATTTTTGGGCTACTAAAATTCTGGCGGCAGTCATAGCATGCATAAATAATCTCTGATCTGCTTTTCTTATTTCATCCCCTATCAAAAATTTCTTTTTCAAAGCTGAGCAAAAACAACCCTTAGCTCTAACTAAGGTGTGTGGAGTCTTTGGTTCTCTGGATGTTGCTGAACTTCAACTCCCCTTAACCCTGGCCATTGGCTATGCTTGCTGAGGCTGATGGGAGTTGTAGTTCAGATATACCTGGAGGGCCAAAGTCCCCCACTCCCCACCCCTGCTGTAAACTTATCTCCATGGTGGGAAAAGCAGCTCCTATTAATAATAATAAATAATAATTTTTTATTTATACCCTGCCCTTCCCAGTTCAGAAAACTGGGCTCAGGGCAGCTAACAACAAATTTAAAACACTTAATTGATGCAACAAAAAAACAGCATAAAATACAGTATAAAACGTGAATAACAATAAATTCAGAATTCAAAAATCAATTTAGGGGGGAAATCCATCCAATAAACATTAGATGATCACCAGGGCTAGCTGGCTAAATTAGTCCTATTTGGGCCAGCGAGGAGACCAGGGGAGTATTAGCTGTGGGATCCTAGAGCGGGTAATCTTCATAAAAAGGGGAGGGGGAGGGAAGGAAGGGGAATAAAAGATCAGGCTAAGTCAAATTGAAAGCTAGGTGGAATAGCTCTGTCTTACAGGCCCAGCGGAAGGAGGTTAAAACCTGCAGGGACCTAGTCTCATGGGACAGAGCATTCCACCAGTTCAGAGCCATCACTGAGAAGGCCCTGGCCCTGGTGGAGGATAGTCTGACTTCCTTAAGGCCTGGGACCGCTAAACTTATTCATGGACCTTAAGTTCTGCTGCGGGGCATACCAGGAGAGGTGGTCCCATAAATACGAGGGCCCTAAGCTATTACAATACAGTAAGGTCATGCATCCTTTAAGGTACAAAAACCCTGTCTTTGTTTCTTGTTTTAAGTGGTGCCTTGTCATCTATGGGCTGTGCAGACATGCATGTTCCTTGTATGATGGGGTGGTGATTTGTACGTATGAATAAGCCATCATAGATAAAAGATACAATAATAGTCTCTTACACGGCCTCGGACCAGTATACCTGAAGGAGCATCTCCACCCTCATCGTTCAGCCCAGAAACTGAAGTCCACCTCCAAGGGCCTTCTGACGGTTCCCTCCCTGCAAGAAGCAAAGTTACAGGGAACCAGGCAGAGGGCCTTCTTGGTAGTGGCACCCACCCTGTGGAACGCCCTCCCATCAGATGTCAAAGAAATAAACAAGTATCTGACATTTAGAAGACAGCTGAATCTGAAAGCAGCCCTGTTTAGGGAAGTTTTTAATGTTAGATCTTTTATCGTGTTTTTAATATTCTGGGAGCCCCTCAGAGTGGCTGGGGAAACCCAGCCAGATGGGCGGGGTATAAATAAATTATTATTATTAATAATAATTATTATTATTACAATATCACATCAACACTGAAAGGTCAAACTTCTCAGGTAAGAGTCGGTCCACACATTCAGCTTGCAGCCATCAAGGAATGACTGAAAGATGGAGTTATAAGAAACCTTGGAATGAACACTTATGGAAGAACTGGGCCCGTTTATCGTAGCTAAAATGTCTACAAGCCTTTGCCAAACTCGACACTCACCTTCCAGATGAGGGTTTGGCTCAGATGGCGTGTCATCCTCCATTCTTGGATTTTCTAAATTGCCTTCCAAACAGTAGCCATTCTGACAGGCAGAACAGCTCCAGAGACCATAATAGCGGCTAGAAAAACGTTCTATTGTTAGGACGTTCCTTGTTTTCCGGATATCTGTACTATTGTTGGAAACCGGCAGGCCATTTTGGGTCCATGTGATCTTCGTGTTGCCATCAGATTTATCCCCTCTCTGGTCCTTACAGGGATTACAGGAGAGGGTTACCGAACCATGGTGTCGAGGGGGTGTAGTAGAAGGTCTGACACGAATTCCATTTTCTTTATCTGACATAAATGAACAAATGGATAAGAACGATAAGGCCTGGGGAGCTAACCTCAGTTCTTCCCGTGACCGGATTTCCTCCTATGCTATTCCTCCAACAGAGACTACGGTTCTTTCATCCCAATTACTCTACAGTTCGGGGTCCTGATCACATTTCCTTCCATGCCCCCATTGTGGCAGTGTTGGGGTAAAGAAAAGAAATTAACATGACATTGGGGTGAGCAGAGAGGTTCAAATCTCTCTGTCCAGCGCAGTGTTCTGATGGGGTTACAAATTGCTCTCCTCCTTGGACATCAGATCACTCATTTTGCCCCAGCCGACTCTGGGCGGCTTCCAACATATATAAAAACATAATAAAACATTAAACTTTTTTTTAAAAAAAAAACCTTCCCCATGCAGGGCTGCCTTCGGATGTCTTCCAAAGGTTGTACAGTTACTTATTTCCTTGACTCAGCGGGTCACATAACTCCATACCCTCCAACATTTCTGTGATGAAAATAGGGACGTCCGAAGGAAAAATGGGACATTTCGGGATCAAATCAGAAATCCAGGACCGTCCCTGGAAAATAGGGAGACTTGGAGGGTCTGAAATCATCTGAGGTCATGTTGGATCCACACCACAAATTTAAAGCTTATTCCACTTTTAACGGTTTCTTACAGCTTCCCCAAAGGAATCCTGGGAACTATCTTTGGTTCAGGGTGCTGGGCCTTGTGGCTCTGTGAGCGGTCTCCTAACAAACCTCAGCACCTTTGACAAGTAACAGTTCCCAGGATTCTTTGAGAGAAGCCTTCTTGGTGGTGGCGCCCACCCTGTGGGACACCCTCCCATCAGATGTCAAGGAAATAAAAAAACTATCTGACTTTTAGAAGACATCTGAAGGCAGCCCTGTTTAGGGAAGCTTTTAATGTTTGATCTTTTACCGTGTTTTTAATATTCTGTTGGGAGCCGCCCAGAGTGGCTGGGGAAACTCAGCCAGATGGGCGAGGTATATATAATTTATTATTATTATTATCATTATTATTATTATTACTGTTAAACCGGTATAACACTGCGTTTAATGTGGATTTGTCCTATGTGCATCTAAGCCCCATCCAGGGCCGGATTTAGGTTTGATGAGGCCCTAAGCTACTGAAGGTAATGGAGCCCTTTATGTGTCCAGCTGTCCTTTTTCTTTTTTGGTATATAATTTTTATTAGTTTTCTTTTCTAACAACAAATATCAAAATCATTTGCAAACATACATTCTACATCCTCGCCGCCCCCCCCTTCCTGTTGACTTCCTTCAACTTCCCCTCTGGTTTGTTGCATTAAATGATACAATCTGCTATTCCTTACCTGTCAAAATGTTATTAAAATGTTATTCTTCAGGCATTTTGTTAAGTAAAGTTGTGAATGTTTATGCAAATCCTGCTACCAAGTCCATTTTTTCAGTTGTTTCTGCAGATAGTTCATTGGTAGGCAAACTAAGGCCTGGGGGCCAGATCCAACCCAATCGCCTTCTAAATCCGGCCCGCGGACGGTCCAGGAATCGGCGTGTTTTTACATGAGTAGATGTGTCTTTTTATTTAAAATGCATCTCTGGGTGATTTGTGGGGCCTGCCTGGTGTTTCTACATGAGTAGAATGTGTGCTTTTATTTAAAATGCATCTCTGCATTTTCCCCTTCAAAATATAGTTCGGCCCCCCACTAGGTCTGAGGGAGTGGACCGGCCCCCTGCTGAAAAAGTTTGCTGACCCCTGATATAGTTTATGAGAGGTTCCCATTCTTTTTAAAAAATCACTACTGTCTTTTTCATGGCGCTTATCCATTAGCTTTGCTGATGTCCTTTTTCAACAACAAATTGTCGCTTTTTGTTGTTGTTGTTGAATATATGCTATATGATCCTTTTGAATTATGGTGCTGGAGGAGACTCTTGAGAGTCCCATGGACTGCAAGAAGATCAAACCTCTCCATTCTGAAGGAAATCAGCCCTGAATGCTCACTGGAAGGACAGATCCTGAAGCTGAGGCTCCAAGACTTTGGCCACCTCATGAGAAGAGAAGACTCCCTGGAAAAGACCCTGATGTTGGGAAAGATGGAGGGCACAAGGAGAAGGGGACGACAGAGGACAAGATGGTTGGACAGTATTCTCGAAGCTACCAGCATGAGTCTGACTAAACTGCGGGAGGCAGTGGAAGACAGGAGTGCCTGGCGTGGTCTGGTCCATGGGGTCACAAAGAGTCGGACACGACTAAACAACAACAATATGCTATATGGTAATTTATGGACCTAAGACAGGGGTCTGCAACCCGCGGCTCCGGAGCCGCATGTGGCTCTTTTACACCTTTGCCGCGGCTCCGGGGCGGATACTGGCGAGGGGAGGAGGCGCATTATGCACCCCGACACTCCCCACTGTGGCGGGCGCTGTACTGGCTGTGACGTCACATGGGGGCTGTGCATGCGTTAGTCACGCACCGTCCCGACGTCACCTTCCCGCCCGCCCACCCGCCCGCTACATTGTAAGGGGCATGTACGCTGGTCACTGCATTGAAAGGGGGCATGTACGCTGGTCACTGTTTTGAAGGGGAGTGAAGAACACACACACAAAAAAGGTAACTTGTTAATTTAACGTTTATTTCTATGAGGAGGAGTAATTCTGAGGGGTCAAACAAAGAAATAATAATAAAAAGTGACAAAAAAGTTATTTTTTTGCGGCTCCCATGTTTTTTTTCTTCGGAAACGGGTCCAAGTGGCTCTTTCTGTCTTAAAGGTTGCAGACCCCTGACCTAAGAGGTATCTAAAGCCATTTGCACAGAACAAAATATGGATTTTATCAAAGTAATTGTTGAACTGAAATACAATTAAGAAGAAGTATATTATTAGTGAAATGGGGGGGGGGGGCGAGAGAGTGGAGCCCTAAGCTATAGCTTGTTAACTTATATGTAAATCCGGCACCCACACTGCTATGTAACCTCCCAGTATTTTTACCAGGCTCCACGGAGATGGAGATCTTTGATGAATTTCTGTTGCCGTTGGAACAGTAGAAAATGCCCGAGTCGTTCATGCTTTTGAGGACGAGGACCAAGTTCCACTCTCCCTTTTCTCCCTGCTTTTCTGCTCGCGATTGAAACCGCTCCAGCAGCACCCGGTCTTCTCCAACAGAACTTGTAGAGAATATTTCCTTCTTGCCTCCATGGCGGAAGCCAGCGCAGATGGGGTACTGCGGAATCCAGTTCCAAGTCAGTTTGGGCCCCTGAATCTGGCAGGGAATTTTGACCTCTTCTCCAGCCTTCACTGAAAGCACTGGATCAGCTAAGGTGTCTCCTGCCTCGAAGTTTCCTCGCCCCTTCCTGGGAAGAGTTTGCTGCTTACCCCTGCGAGCGTCTGCCATCAAAACAGCCAGGGCAGTCGCGGCCAGAATTAAGAAAGGAAAGGGCTTCATGGGGGAAAGCGGAGAGGGGCACGGCAGCTTCTGCTTCTCAAGAGGAACTGTGGCAAGAACGGGCAAGAGGGAGGCCACAAAACTCGGCAGCAGAGGGGATGAGAAAGAGGAAGGGCAGGACGGTTCTCTATGAGGAAACGTGACTGCCAAAACAGAATGTGAGTGGATAGCGTAATTATACTGTTTGGCCACTAGGTGACTCTGGATTAAATTGTACAGTGGTACCTCGGGTTACATATGCTTCAGGTTACATACGCTTCAGGTTACACACTCCGCTAACCCAGAAATAGTGCTTCAGGTTAAGAACTTTGCTTCAGGATGAGAACTGAAATCGGGCTCCGGCAGTGCAGCAGCAGAAGGAGGCCCCATTAGCTAAAGTGGTCCTTCAGGTTAAGAACAGTTTCAGGTTAAGAACGGACCTTCGGAACGAATTAAGTGCTTAACCTGAGGTACCACTGTATCTAGACCTAAGTCTGGGGTTTTATGAGTCTTTTATTCTCAAAATTCCTATCCGTCTTCTTGAGTTGTATGCCCTCTTAAGTCTTCTGTGACAGGGGCTGGATGTGTTCATTTAAAAATGTTTTAAGATAACTGTAATAACCCTTGACAATAATAATAATAATAATAATAATAATAATAATAATATAATTTATACCCTGCCCAGCCACTCTGGGCGGCTCCCAACAGAATTAAAAGCACAATAGAACATCAAACAGAACATTGAATTATGGTGCTGGAGGAGACTCTTGAGAGTCCCATGGACTGCAAGAAGATCAAACCTACCCTTTCTGAAGGAAATCAGCCCTGAGTGCTCACTGGAAGGACAAATCCTGAAGCTGAGGCTACTATACTTTGGCCACCTCATGAGAAGAGAAGACTCCCTGGAAAAGACCCTGATGTTGGGAAAGATGGAGGGCACAAGGAGAAGGGGACGACAGAGGACAAGATGGTTGGACAGTGTTCTCGAAGCTACCAGCATGAGTTTGACCAAACTGCGGGAGGCAGTGGAAGACAGGAGTGCGTGGCGTGCTCTGGTCCATGGGATCGCGAAGAGTCAGACACGACTAAACGACTAAACAACAACAACAGAACATCACACACTAAAAGCTTCCCTGAACAGGGCTGCCTTCAGATGTCTTCTAAAAGTCAGATAGTTGTTTATTTCCTTGACATCTGATGGGAGGGCGTTCCACAGGGCGGGCGCCACCACCAAGAAGGCCCTCTGCAAACAGAACAGACGAAACGAGACGAAACCATCATTAGAAAGTCCAGGCATCGCAATGGGTGTGCGATTGTGATGTTCCGTGGGCTAAAATGGGGTTGCAGCAGTGAATCTGCAGGGCCAAACAGAGGGATTAAATCATAGAATCATAAAATCGTTCATTCAAAGACCGCAAGGCAGTTTTCAACAGAGAAGCACAAAATAAAAGCACAAAATACATAACAAGAGAGAGTGAGAAAGCCCACCTATAATTAACTAATTAATGCAACCATTAAGCTTCAAATACCTTTTGTGAAAATGAATTTAAAAAGGGCACCAAGGCTAACTTTCTATCAGCAAGACCAGTTCACAAAACTTCAAGCTTTGGGGGAAAAAACCCTTATTTCTAAGAGCCCAGATTTGTTCCTGGGGAATCAAGCAGCCAAACACTATCTTTCCAAGGCTCTGTTACAGTGAACAGTGTGTGATGCCTCTAACCATTTGTCATCGCTGCCCTTCAGAAGAACCATAAGGAAGAAACCTCCTCCCCACCCCCCAAAAAGCACAGTTAGGACTATAAAAATGCTGAATGTGAAATGAATAGAAAACCAGGGTGCTAGTTTGTCTGGAACCCTAAACAGGAGCACTGCACACTGCAACATTTTGTTGCAGTTGCCACTTATATGCCTTACTGGTATGCCTTCAGATCAGGATTCTAAATATGAATTTCCCCCTTTTTAGCTGGGGTTCTTAATCTGCGCTTCATGAACCCCTGGCGTAAGTGTCTATGGATGGGCTACAGGAAGTCCAGGTGTATTAAAAAAAAATAAATTCCCAATGCAATAAAATTAATGGTCTGCAAAATTCTCTGTGTATGTATTGTTGTAAACAAAAATCTGCCCTTTTCCCTTTTGGGGTATCCAAGAGCCCATATAGAGTCCTTACATAGGTTGCCTCTTGGTAGGAGAAAATAACAGAGGCCAACCAGAGAATATTGAGAAGCAAAGCAGCTAATAAGCCTGATCTTTATTGAGCTGTTGCAACAGGGTGCTCCCTTCACACGCAGGAAAGGAGGAATCCAGAACAAAGGTGTGCCTGCCCTTATATAGACATTTTAAATTCCCTGCCCTGGAGCTCCAGACCACCCCTCCATTCATTACAGAAGGGGTGTAACCCAAGACCATCACCCCAGATACATCATACCTACATCGGAGTGTATTGTTTATCTTGTCTGGCAGGTTACCTGTTAATGCTCACTTGATTGGATTCCCTGGGGAGCCTGGACAGTCTTTTGTCCTGATAAATACTTAGTTCCTGAGCCAGGTCACAGGCTCACCCTATTCAAACACAGACAGACATACCCTTAAGGCAGGATTTGTGAAGGAAAAGACAATGGGGAGGCTTTTCCATTTTCCTTTGACCTTGCAGAGAAAACATTTGGTCAGTTTGGGAATCAAAAATGGTTTCAAGTCGGTCTTCCTATGCTGATCTATGTACAGTGGTACCTCGGGTTAAGTACTTAATTCGTTCCAGAGGTCCGTTCTTAACCTGAAACTGTTCTTAACCTGAAGCACCACTTTAGCTAATGGGGCCTTCCGCTGCCGCCACACCACCGGAACACAATTTCTGTTCTCATCCTGAAGCAAAGTTCTTAACCCGAGGTACTATTTCTGGGTTAGCGGAGTCTGTAACCTGAAGCGTATATAACCCGAGGTACCACTGTACATGCTTGGCTGGTACATTTATGAACATTTATTATACATCTATGACTTTAAAATTCTTATCACAGTATCTGTATGCGGTGTGTGTGTGTGTCCATAGCTTTCACGAGATTCTCAAAGGAGTCCATGACCCAAAACATGTTAAGAAGCACTGCTTTCGAGGGAGGAAAATCTCCCTTCTTGTTGCTGTTATTAAATGCTTAGATTCAGGGACTCAGGCTGTCTGGTTACATCTAGAAATTCACCTTCCGCCCACAAGTAAGTCATTGCTGACCACAATGTATGACCACAATGGGGGTTTCTTGACTCCCTTTTAGATTTTCTTTCCATGTGGTTGAGAGTTTCCTCCTCCTCCCCCAGCTCAACACAGAATGTAGGCATGTGCGTTTCAGCAGGGCCTGGAAATTTGCAGTTGTCCTGAGGCGGGGAGTCCCTCTGGTCGACAAGTAGGTCATACGATGATGACAGCAAATGTGGCAACAGATGGGGGACGAGAGATCACCTGAAATTTACCACCAAAGCTTCCTTTTCTCACTTCCTGCTTCTGCTTTTCTGACCTGAGGGACTTTCCCCACCTTCCTCCTTCTCGATCCTGGAGATATTTATATTTTACCCGGTTCACAGCTGTCCCAGGCAGGTGAGGGGGTGAGTAAACTTAAGCTTGCCAACTGACCGGATTAAAACCAATTTGCGCTTTTAAAGGTCGCTTGAGATGCAAATATTTTAGCCGGTAAACCTAAGGAGCTTGACTTCACCCGCACCCAAAGGCATATTCCTTCTCCATTGTCTCCCATTCCAGCAAGTCACCTCTTCCCCTTTTCTCGAAAGCAAAAAGCCCCCAAATACGGCAGTCTTTCCTCCATCCCCTTGATCATTTTTTCGGAACCTGTTTTCCAAACCCTGCAATATCCTCTTCGAACTGAGACAGCCAGAACAACCATCCTGGGCTTCAAAGTGTTCCACGTGAGCCATTCCCCTACGTTTTAGCTTTGAGGGGACGGGGAGGGAAGCACCTGCCGTTTGAGAATCACCCGAGTATCTGATCCATATTCCAGATTAAATTACCCCTGCATTACATTAGCAGTTTTTTCTTATAACACCATTAAAGGTAAAGGTACGCCTGACCACTAGGTCCAGTCGCGGACGACTCTGGGGTTGCACGCTCATCTCGCCCTATAGGCTGAGGGAGCCGGCGTTTGTCCGCAGACAGCTTCCGGGTCATGTGGCCAGCATGACTAAGCCGCTTCTGGTGAACCAGAGCAGCGCACAGAAACGCCGTTTACCTTCCCACTGGAGCGGTACCTATTGATCTACTTGCACTTGACACGCTTTTGAACTGCTAGGTTGGCAGGAGCTGGGACTGAACAACAGGAGCTCACCCCGTTGCAGGGATTCGAACCGCCAGCCTTCTGATCGGCAAGTCCTAGGCTCTATGCTTTAGACCACAGCGCCACCTGCGTCCCTATAACACCATTATTTCAGGGTAATTAAATAAACCAGGGTAGAAATGTGAAATCTTGCCACACAGTCCTTATACTGAGCCACAGCACTGGTCCATCTATCTTAGTGTTGTCTGGCACTGACTGGCAGCAGCTCTCCAGAGCTTCAGGCAGGGGACATTCTCAGCCGTGGGGTCCCTTCCAACTCTGTGATTCTGCAATTCGGCACACAACGCATGTGGCTTTCCCCCAACGAGTTACTTACCACCCTTCTGAAGCTGGCTGAGCAAGTTAAATCGAAAGCGCTCTTTGTTTTCAGTTCTGATTTTGATTTGGCATGATGACTTACCTTGGACTTCCTCCCCGACTCTGGGATTCCCCCACCCAGCAGCTGTGACAGCCTCAGCGGCCAACCAATCAGCTTTCCCGGCCCACTCTGCTTGGGTACATCCAAGGGAGGGGGAAAACTTCGTCCTGCTTTCAGATGGGAAGCCAGAAAGCTTCAGAAAGAGAGAGGTACATGACGGGCATCTGCAGGACCCAGGAAGACAATGAGGTACATGGTTGGTGGCAGGAGGGGAAGGCGACATACAACATTGTTTTCAGGGCTGGAGGGTGGATGGATTTCAGCAGGGGTGACTTTTCAGACGAGAGAAAAGGCAAGCGACAGGTGACACGCCAGCAGCCTTTCTCAAACTGTGGGTCCCCAGATGTTCTTGAACTACAACTCCCGAATTTTCAATATGGTTTTGCAAGTATCCTTTAAACACCTTCCAGAACTCAGAACTCCTATTAGAATAAACAAGTTCCATTTTAAATACTGAAATACTAAATAAGACGGATAACAATGTGTAACAGAAAAAGAAGCATGAAATTAGGTTAAAGGTGTGTGAAAGAAAGTAATAGAAGTGGAAAGAAATTGCAATTGAGTAGATTGGAAGTCTAACACAAAGGTGGGGTGAGGGGTGGTGGACGGTGATGGGAAAAGGAATTATCTGTGAATTAGAAATAAAAAATTAAAAAAAGAACTACAACTCCCATCACCCCTAGCTAGCAAGGCCAGAGCTCAGGGATGATGGGAGTTGTAGTCCAACAACATCTGGGGACCCACAGGTTGAGAACCGCTGTAGAGGTTTCTAGCATTGTGTAAGCATAGAGAGTTTTTTCGCCTCCCTCCCTCCCGACGCTAGGCCTCGTGAACATCCAACGAGGCTGAAGGTTCGAAGATTCGGGACAGATAAAAGAAAGTGCTTCTTTCATGGGTCACAAAGTCGGAACTACAGAACTTACTGCCACATGAAGCAGCGATGGCCGCCATTTTGGACGGCTTTAAAAGAAGATTGGGTGAATTCATGGAGGATACGTCTATCCATGGCTAATAGCCGCAATGCCCAATGCTCTGTCTTCATGCTCGTGGCAGTCAGGCTTCTGCTGGAAACCATGGCGAGGGAGAGGGGTCTTGTGCTTGAATCCCGCTTGCGGGTTTCCCCGGATAGCTCAGCCAGTAGAAGAAGAGGCTCTTAACCTCTGGGTTGTGGGTTTGAGCCCTGTGTTGGGGAAAAGATTTCTGCACTGTAGAGGGTTGGACTAGATCATGGGTAGGCAAACTAAGGCCCGGGGGCCGGATCCGGCCCAATTGCCTTCTAAATCCGGTCTGGGGGCAGTCCGGGAATCAGCGTGTTTTTATAAGAGTAGAATGTGTCCTTTTATTTAAAATGCATCTCTGGGTTATTTGAGGGGCAAAGGAATTCATTCATTATTTTTCCCCAAAATATAGTCCAGCCCCCCACAAGGTCTGAGGGACGGTGGACCGACCCCCTGCTGAAAAAGTTTGCTATAATATCCTAGTCACTAGATGACCCCTGGGGTCCTTTCAAATCCAGCAATTCTACGCTTATTTTATCTGGTTGGCCACTGTGAGAAGAAGGATGCTGGAGCAAAGGGGTCTTTGGCCTGATCCAGTGTTCTTATGTTCTTGATGGAAAGCGGGGTGGGAAGGCAGGAGTTTTTAGCTGCCTGTGTCTTAGGGAAGCCCGGGCAACTGGTCCATCAACTCAGCATTTTCTGCTGCATTAGTGGTTCTCTGGGGTTTTGAGCGGCAGTCTCTCCCAGCCCTACTGGGACATATAATCGCAGAATTGTAGAGTTGGAAGCAACCCTGAGGATCATCTAGTCCAACCCCCTGCAAGACAGGCATACAGTGGTACCTCGGGTTAAGTACTTAATTCGTTCCAGAGGTCCGTTCTTAACCTGAAACTGTTCTTAACCTGAAGCACCACTTTAGCTAATGGGGCCTCCCGCTGCTGCTGCGCTGCTGGAGCACGATTTCTGTTCTCATCCTGAAGCAAAGTTCTTAACCCGAGGTAATATTTCTGGGTTAGCGGAGTCTGTAACCTGAAGCATATGTAACCCGAGGTACCACTGTAATAATAATAATAATAACAACAAGAACAATTTATTATTTATACGCTGCCCATCTGGCTGCGTTTCCCCAGCCTCTCTGGGCGGCTCCCAACAGAGTATTAAAAACATGATAAAAAATATGATAAATGTACGACTTTCCCCTATGAGGATCAAACCTGCAACCTTGGCCTTATCAGCTGAGCTGCCTGTGGCAGATTTCAGGAATAGAACCTGCATGCAAAGGAGATGATCTACCAGTAATAACAAACAAACAAACAAACAAACAAACAAACAAACAAATAATAATAATTTATTTATACCCTGCCCATCTGGCTGAGTTTCCCCAGCCACTCAGGGCGGCTCCCAATCAAATGTTAAAAACAGTACAGCATTAAATATTAAAAACTTCCCTAAACAGGGCTGCCTACCAGTGACCTACTGCCCCTCAAAGGTCCAAGAGACTGCCTTCGGTGGCGTGGCTCAGCTGTGGGATAAAGAGGGGGCATGGTTCGAGGACCCACGATGACAGCCACCTTGCTTAGTCCCCCCCCCCCCCAAAAAAACGTAAAATGCTTTGTGCGCCGCCCGGGAATCGAACCCAGATCGCAAGAATGGGAATCTTGCATGATACCACTACACCAGCAGCGCTGGCGACAGCTGCCTCCCTGAAGCTTAAAGGGGTTTGTGTCCGGTCAGAGCTTGGATGGGGAGACTGCCTGGGAAACTCATGCATACAGCCTTGAATTTTATGATGGGAAAAGGCAGGACATAAAGGTGCGAAAGAAAAAGAAAATGGTTTTGGAGCACCTGCAGTTATGCCCTTCGCTCTCCTTTCCTCCTAAAATATCCACATCTAAGCCAGAATTTACAGGTACAGTGGTACCTCGGGTTAAGAACTTAATTCGTTCTTAACCTGAAACTGTTCTTAACCAGAGGTACCACTTTAGCTAATGGGGCCTCCCGCTGCCGCCGCCGCGCAATTTCTGTTCTCATCCTGAGGTAAGGTTCTTAACCCGAGGTACTATTTCTGGATTAGCTGAGTCTGTAACCTGAAGCGTCTGTAACCCGAGGGACCACTGTACAGCTTTTCGGTGGGAGCACGGCCGCAGAATCAGCTCTGCCCCTCCCTCCTCCTTCTCAAAAACTAAATTTGGGACGGATTGCAATTGATGAGAACTGTCCCACCAACAAGAGGCCCAAAACACTTTAAAATCCTTTGGATGAAGGGCCTAAAGCCTGGGTAATGAAAGAATGCTTTTGCCTGGCAATTAAAGAACTCCCAGTGGCTACACGGTGGCAAAGAGAAAATACTTCGCACATGCTCAAAGGAACGCCGCTGATTGTTCAAATCCTCATGTGACAAGACTGCAGCTGGAAACCGCAGTCCGGGGCGAAGCTAGGAGTTGAATTAAGCGTGGGAGGGGGGCAAATTTCAACCTCAGCATTTCCACAACACGTAGGGCTGGGTATTCCCAGAGTGGTTTAACATTCAATTCCTCTTCACGGGAAGCTCTGGGAATGGGAGAGGAATAGAGGTCTTTTTGCTTCAGGATGAGAACAGAAATTTTGATTGTGCTTGGATTATTCTGATTATGCACAGGGCGAGTCCCTTAAAAGAGGCCCCATGGATACACAGTGCACATGTTGTTCCACGGAACTTCTTTTAAAAGACTCACCCTGTATTTTGTGCTTTTATTATTTTGATTATGCATTTTGTGCTTTTGTTATTTTGATTGTGTATTTTGTGCTTCATATATTGTAACTTTGGCCTACGGGTATAGGATGGCATACGAATCAATAATAATAATAATAATAATAATAATAATAATAATAATAATAAATAGAAGTGGCATCACGGCACTTTAAATGTATGGTCGTAAACGTGGTCCGAGCGACTCTCCCCCTTCCCACTCTGGAAAATGCCATTCTCAGCTTGCATGAGGCCCTTTCTTCTTCCTGAAAGCTGGGGAATTACATTTTGCCACTGCCTCCATCCATCCAGCCACCCACTGCTTCCCCTCCCCTGCACATCTCAGAAGTGGGGTTCCCCTGGGGCTCTCTCCCCCCTGACCACAGAAAAAAAAAATCCCTGACACTTGATGTCATCCGGTGACAAAGCTGAGTGGAATAAACGTTGGCTGCGTCTGGGGGGAGAAACTGTGATCTCCTCGCATGACTGGCAGGAATGTTGGGGGAAACCCAGAATGTTTGAACTGCAGCCTGAGTAACTAAAAACAAGGGGGAACCCAAAGCGAGACTCCCAGGTACAACAGTGGGAGCCAGGGAGGGGATGCAAAATGGCTGTAATCATTTGCAGAGGATCTACCCTATACTGCGCTTGTGGCAGTTAAAAACCTCTGGCAGCGGCTGAACGGAAAGGAATCTGGCAACACGGCCAGCAGTCTAACTCTGTTGATAGATAGATAAAACTTTATTCGCATTAGCCAATGGCCATAGCAACAGTAAAACATTACAGTGTGCGCAGAAAACGCAATTTGATATAAGAGCACAATGTAAAGTCCTGAATCAGCCGTCAGTTAGTGGCCCTTATTCTGATTGCCCCGGCTACGAACCTAGCAACCTTTGCTGTTATCTGCTCATTTTGATCTGATATAAGAAAAGGACATTGTGGCAGTGGTTGAGTGCCCTGGGATGGTTAGTAGGAGCGGGGTGATGATCTCATCCCTCAGGTCTTTGTAGAGAGTACAAGACAGGAGGACGTGTGCCGCTGTTTCGGTGCTACCATCTCCACAGGGGCAAAGACGTTTCTCAGGCGGGATCTTTTGGAAACGACCCTCAAGTACCGCAGATGGCAAAACATCCAGTCTTGCAAGTGTAAAAGCACATCTGTATTTTGGGACAAGAAGTTTGTGCAGATATGGGGCCAGGGAATCAAAACGAAGGGGTGGAAAATGAACATACCGAGGGCAGAATTTCCTTATAGTGGCCAGGTTGTTCTGATGCTCGATATCTTTTAGACGTTGACCAGTTAGACTGTTTGCTTTAGTAGGGCCCATGGTGAGTAGGTGTTGTGGGAATAGGACACAAGAGTTTTTGATAGACGGTTTTAAGCCAGGCACTTTTATGAGAGTCTTGAAGTACCAGGGATAGTAAACCGGGAGGGATTTGAGTTTAGGCGGAGCCAGAAGTTAAGAGTTCTTTGCCAAGTCCGTACTTCTATAGAAGGGAGACTTGCCTCCAGTCTCAATGATGCGTTTGGGACGCATGGCGGTACAGGAAAAAATCTGCCTTAGAAACTTTGATTGAGCAGTTTCCAAAGTGCTAAGGTGGTCCAAATCTGAGCCCCATATAGTAGCTGTGCTAGGGGTTTAGCTTGGAAGACTTCTAGGGCTTAAATATATCCACCTCGAGGGGCAGTAAAGAGAAAGGCAAAGTAGGAACAATCAAGGCAAAGCCCCAGTCTATATCTGAGAAGGAAACCTCGAACCAGAGCTCTGAAACAAACATAACAATGGAAGTAACTTCCCAGAGCCCTGGAAAGATATCAACTGTCAACACGGGTAGTAGAGAGGTGGTGACGCATAATATCGATGGGAACATACTAAAGGTCCGGCAATTTTCGATCCAGAAAAAAGGCTGGAGCCTAACTCCACTGAGGGAAGTGGAGGTTGTCCCCTTCTTCCCTGGCAGAGAGGTGGGACGCCATTTTTTGATTCACCTCAGGCAACAGAATGTCTTGGGCTGGCCCTGCTGCCACCGCACCAGTTGCTGATGCAGGCCAATGGCCACGAGAGCTAAGTGGAGCCTCAGAGGCACCATACTGTCAGACAATAAGAGATGGGCATTTTCTTCCTGTCTTGCTCAAAGTATCAGGTTGGCCACTGTGAGAAGCAGGATATTGGACTATGTAGGCCTGAGTTGGTGGGAGTGGTCTTGACCTTTCTTTTCTTTACTTTCTTGCCTTGCAGCTGTGAAATGTCCTCACCGGAATGCCTGAAGGAGAAAGGAATTGAGCTCCTCACCCATTTTGACAAGGTGGGTCTTAAGGAGATGATAGATGGTAGGTAGGTAGGTAGGTAGGTAGGTAGGTAGGTAGGTAGAAGAAGAAGAGTTTGGATTTGATATCCCACTTTATCACTACCCGAAGGAGTCTCAAAGCAGCTAACATTCTCCTTTCCCTTCCTCCCCCACAACAAACACACTGTGGGGCTGAGAGACTTCAGAGAAGTGTGACTAGCCCAAGGTCACCCAGCAGCTGCATGTGGAGGAGCGGGGATGTGAACCCGGTTCACCAGATTACGAGTCTACCGCTCTTAACCACTATACCACACTGGCTGTAGGTAGGTGTAGGTGTAGGTGGGTCCCCATGAGACAAGACACAGTGATAACAGCAAGAACCTTTATTGAAGAAACAGAACTGGACAACAGGGGCAAAGCAACTGCTTATAGACATTTCTGAAGGCCTGGGCCACTCCCACTCCCAGCGTGATTGGCTGACCAAACTTCCAAGCTGCAAATCATAAGTCAGAGTTTAAGGGCCAGAGGCAGAGACCCAAATCCTGAAATGTTCTGTGATTGGATATCATGTATTGAATCAGAACACAGGGGCTCAGAATCCGTAGTCCAGACTCAAGCTCAGGCAAACACAAACCACTGAATACATAACAGATTACATAGATAGATAGATGATAGATAGACAGATAGATAGAGTGGTGCCTCGCAAGACGAAAATAATCCGTTCCGCGAGTCTCTTCGTTTAGCGGTTTTTTCGTCTTGCGAAGCAACCCTATTAGCGTCTTAGCGGATTAGCGCTATTAGCGGTTTAGCGGCTATTAAAGGCTTAGCGGTTTAGCGGCTAAAAGGCTATTAGCGGCTTAGCGGCTTAGAAAAAGGGGGGGAAAGCGGGGGGAAATCGCAAGACTCGCAAGACGTTTTCGTCTTGCGAAGCAAGCCCATAGGGAAATTCGTCTTGCGAAGCGCATCGAAAAATGGAAAACCCTTTCGTCTAGCGGGTTTTTCGTCTTGCGAGGCATTCGTCTTGCGGGGCACCACTGTAGATGATAGATAGATGATAGATAGATAGATAGATAGATAGATAGATAGATAGATAGATAGTTACACTTCTCCTCCCTGCGAACACAAATGAATGGCTGTAGGCAGTTGCGGAGGAACCCTCTCCGGCACCTGGGACAGGGCAGACCGTATGGAGTGCGCATGTGCAGCATCGTGTACGGTTGCCGTGCGAGAGGCAGCCAGTGTGGTTGGCGTGCAAGCAGCGCCCATGGCCGCTCTACAGCTGGGGAGGGGCAGGAGCCATCTTGTCACTAATGAGGGTGTGGGAGAGATATAAAGATCTAATAGAACAAAAAAACACCTTGGTGGACAAAAAATAGAAGAAAAGACAGTGGCTGGGGAAGCCCAGCCAGATGGGCGGGGTATAAATAATAAATTATTATTATAATTATGACTTCACCAATTGAAGCTTCGTTACTTAAACCGCTTGGCGAAAAAGGGAAGTGGCCTACCTATAGAGATTTGCTGAAGGATCAAGAAGGAAATTAAAAGATTATGAGGAAATAAAAGATCGTTTTCAGAGTTGGTTACACTATAGACAATTACATGAGATGTACAAGGAAGACAACCCCAACCTCTCTCACCACCAAAGGAACACAAGTGAACAACACAAGCACGCTGACACCAAACTCTACATACATTGAGCATAATAGATACACCGCTACCCGACCCCACCCCCATCCATCTCCCCTCCCTCCACCCCCTTTCTTTTTTTCCCTTTTTTTTCTTCTCCCCCTAATGCCTCAACAAATGAAACGGATTTGTAAAAATGTTATATGGGAAAAAAAATACGAGGCATTACACTTACACTGTAAAACAAGAAAACCCTTAATAAAATATTTAAAAAAAACAAAAACAAGAAAGGGTTTAGTTATACAACTTCTAGATTTCAAAAGGAAGTTATAGAAGAAGTGAAGCTGCTGAAGAAAGCATATACAGTGGTACCTCGGGTTACAGACACTTCAGGTTACAAACTCCGCTAACCCAGAAATAGTACCTCAGGTTAAGAACTTTGCTTCAGGATGAGTACAGAGGCCCCATTAGCTAAAGTTCTCAGGTTAAGAACAGTTTTAGGTTAAAAATGGATCTCCAGAACGAATTAAGTTCTTAACCCGAGGTACCACTGTAGTATCTTGCTAGAATGGGAAACAAAAGATGAGGAGGTCAAATTAGTCATGATCAAATGGGCACAATATATAGGACATAATATACAATTTGAGGACTGGGGAAAACTGAGGAAAATAGTTTTAAAATTTGCAGACTGTTCTCTTTTGAAAGAAAACTATATGAAAATGATGTATAGATGGTATAGAACACCAGTACAGATAGCAAAAATGTATAAAACTGGGTCAAACACATGTTGGAAATGTAAAGAAAAAGAAGGTACTTTTTATCATATGTGGTGGGAATGCAGAGAAGTTAAAAAAAATGGGAAATGATATATAATGAATTGAAAAAAAATGTTTAATTTGACATTTGTAAAAAAAAACCAGAAACATTTTAGTTAGCGATTGTAGGACAAGACCTGCCAAGAAAAATAAAGAACTTATTTATGTATGCTACAGCAGCCGCGAGAGTCTTGTTAGCACAAGGATGGAAGAATGAGGAAATCCCAACGAAAGAACAGTGGCAAGAAAAATTGATAAGCTATGCGGAATTGGCCAAATTGACATATAAACTGCGTGAAAAGGACAACAGTGACGTCAAGGGAGAATGGAAACTTTTTACAAATTACTTTAAAAGTCAACAAAATTATTTGGACTCCTTGACAGGTTTTGAATAAACACCCACAAATTTATTAGTTGAACACAGGACAGATAAGGCAAGGATATGTACAATTTTATAATATGCAGAGAACAAAATGTGCAAAGAAATCAGAGAGGGGAGCTGAGGGAAGTCCTTGGTGGGAGGGAAATAATGTGACTGATTATGTGGACTGATATTTTGTTATGCTGAAATTGCTTAATAAAAATACTTCAAAAAAAAACACAACAAAATGACAATGGGCGATGCTCTCCTGCAGGTTAGCCTTCGATATCAGCAGGCTCACGACGAACAAGTAGATGGAACCATGGCATCCCAGCACTCTCACCTGCTCGGGGCTTTGCAACAGTTATCGGGTCTGGACAAGCTGTGGGAGAGGCTAAAGTCTGACCTTCCGTGTAAGCAGAAGCTGGGCGAGCTGGAAACACGGCAGAAGACCTTGGAGAACATTGTCTCGGTTTTGAGTCGGGAGCTGGGCAGGAGAGAGGAGGCCCCTGCAAATGCCCTCCGAGAAGCCATGGCCAGGATCCTTTACCTGGAGGAGAAGGTAGGAGAAAGTCTCATGCAGACCGCAGCTTGGAAAGACTAGGATTCACTCTCAGGAAACACTGGAGTAGGAACAGGGAGCCTATGGGCCTGCAGATTTTCTTGGGCTATGACTCCCCTGTTCCCTGACCATTGGCTATGCTGGTGCAAACTGGATATCTGGCCATATCTAGAAGGATGCACTTGTCCCCACAACAGACCTTCTGCAATTTTATTTAGCATTTTGTTTTGTTTTGGTCATTAAAAAAATTATTTAATCATTTTTTCAATACAAACAACAACCGCAAAACCACATACAACAAAAACCACCATAACACAATTTGACATTTCAGATTTGAATACATTGATATACCTATGACTACACCTTTTTAACAATATTTCCCCACCTCTCTCTCCGCCCCCCCCCCCAACTTCCCACCACTATCCGCCTTATCGCTTTAATATTCCTTCCGGATTCCTTCATATTTATCCAGTCTTAATTTGCTTCGACATGCGATTCGTTCGTATGTAGCTAATCTGTCCATATTATCAATCCGTGTGCTCGATGGAATCTTTTTGCGGCTCTTCCAGTTCAGCAAAACAAGTTTTTTTGCTTCTAATATAGCACGGTACACCCATTGTTATATAGCATTTGTTGGCATCCATCTGTCTTAGGAGACAATGGAGTGCGTCTCCGGGGGTGAAGTCAAACGGCTGCGTTAGCAAAGTGACCTTTTCGGAACGCAAACTTGGGCAGTGTGTATGGAGGTCCTGGGCTGGCCAGATGACAAGTCCCTGCTCTCAGCCTCGCTGATGTGGTCCAAAGGAAAGAAGAGCAAGAGTTTTGGCACCAGCTGGGCTGCAGGAGTTGCCGAAAGGAGGCGTACAAGGCACATATTCAACCACCTTAGGGACTCCATTCCAGATTTGTGTAGGGTTTATTCCTTAGCATTTATAAGGGCACTACTGGAACACTCAAAGCAGCTCCGCTACATCAGCAGGCTGAGGAGCCTTATCTTCCCATGCCTGGAGGGTCAAATTTGACAGGTGGGTGGGGCTGCCCACCTGTCAATCACCTGGCACTTAGTGGTACCAGGTGACACTGTGCTTTGAAGTCCTTTTGCAAACACACTTATGCTGCTATTTAAACGTCCGGTTTCCAGAAATTTATAGAGTAGCACAGGGCTATTATTATTATTACTATTTTGCAAAACACTGGTCCAGATGAAACAATGATATGACTGCATTAGGCAGCTTCCTCCATTCCTCCGTTACTGAAGGTATGAATAATTTGATGCAAAAGACTTGGAGGAAGAGCCTTGAGCTCAGTGACAGAGCACAAATTTTGCCCACCACCTCTAGTTAGGGCTAGAGAACTGCTGCCAGTCAGCTGTTTTTGGACTGCAGTTCCCATCATCCCTGACCACTGGTCCTGCTAGCTAGGGATGATGGGAGTTGTAGTCCATAAACAGCTGGAGACCCAAGTTTGGGAACCCCTGGTGTAGACAATACTGAGATGGTCTGAGGCAGCTCCTCTCATGTCCCTATGAGCATTTTTGCTTTATGTTCTGTTCACCTCGCACTCCAACAGACGGCAGCTTCCTCACAATACTCCGTTCATTTCCTTCCAGGTGCAACAACAAGACTCCCTCTTAACCCTGAAGGATGTGATGATCAGCAACTTAGCATCCCGCCTCCAAGTCTTGGAGCAAACCACGTATGACGGGTGTTTCTTTTGGAAAGTCCCCGAGATGGGACTCAGACTGCAGGAGGTGCAAACAGGAAACAGGCCTGCCCTGTATTCCCCTAGTGAGTTGACCTGAAAGCGCGAGGAGGAAAGAAATGCAAAGGGGGGTTCTGGTTTTGTAAGAACGTCCCCTGTGAAGAGGGGCCAGTTCTTAAACTGTGGTGTAGTGGTAAAGAGCGGTAGACTCGTAATCTGGGGAACTGGGTTCGCTTCCCCGCTCCTCCACGTGCAGCTGCTGGGTGACCTTGGGCCAGTCACACTTCTTTGAAGTCTCTCAGCCCCATTCACCTCACAGAGTGTTTGTTGTGGGGGAGGAAGGGAAAGGAGAATGTTAGCCGCTTTGAGACTCCTTCGGGTAGTGATAAAGCGGGGTATCAAATCCAAACTCTTCTTCTTCTTCAACCACTCTGGGAACTGTATCTCTGGGAGGAGAATAGGGGTTCCCCAACAACACCCAGGACCCTTAACAAAACTACAACTCCCAGAATCCTATGGGGGAAGCCATGACTGTGGTGTGAACATGGCCTTGATGTTAATAATAATAATAATAAAATTTTATTTATATCTCGCCCTCCCCAGCCGAAGCCGGGCTCAGAGCGGCTAACAACAGTAAAATAATACAACATTCTCAAATACAACTTGGGAGATGCAAGGAAGGGATGTGAGTCAGCACCAATGGTGCCTCTCCATCTCCAGCCCAGCTTGCGACAAACCAAGTTTATCCACTCGGGTGCCATAACCCTGTCAGTTTGCAATTCTTAGTGCAGAAAGTATTGATCTGATGTGTAGAGATCTTTCCTATTCTACTTAATTCAAGAGGGTTCTGGAAGCTTCTCTGTGTGAAAGAAACAAGCAGAAGGCTCGTGATGTTTGAGTTATTCTTTCAGAGAAGCTGAGTACAGCTGGCCTAAACAGGTTCTGCTACCTCTTCTGTCAAGGTCATGCTGACTATAAAAATAGGCCAGAAGGAGCCCGGGTTTCACTTTCTCTTTCTTTCTTTCTCTCTCTCTTCCTTCTGGTATGGTGTTCTGTACATAGCATGCTTAGTGTTAAGGTTTAGACCTATTGTAAGTTTAAGTTAAGTCTGCTGCAACTGGATTTCTTATGGGCAGTGCCAATCCTGAACGTTTTGGATTTGTGACCATTATGCTCATTTGCCTTCAGTAAAGCTCTGCTGGATGAAATATAATTGCCTCTGGTCTACAGTCATACCTTGGGTTGAATGTGCTTCAGGTTGAGCATTTTCGGGTTGCACTCTGCGGCGACACGGAAGTAACGGAACGCGTTACTTCCGGGTTTCGCCGCTCATGCATGCGCAGACGCTCAAAATGATGTCACGGGCATGCGCAGAAGCGGTTAATCGTGACCCGCGCAGTCGCGGTTTGCGTTCGCTTCAGGATGCAAATGGGACTCCGGAACGGATCCCATTCGCATCCAGAGGTACCACTGTATTTTGGGGGAATCCTGCAACGTGTTTCAGTTTTTACTCTGCTAACGATACGCATTGGAATTTGCTCTGGATCAATATTGAGTAGACTTTCAATGACAGACCCACCTTTTTGACGCCACCTGTTTCCTTCCCTTTTGCCCCCAAAGCGTTTTACACCAGTCGCTACGGTTACAAACTCTGCCTCAAGCTGTTCCTGAACGGAGACGGGGCAGGAGCAGGCACCCACCTCTCACTTTTCCTCGTTCTGATGAGAGGAGAACATGACTTCCATCTCAAGTGGCCTTTCCGGCACAAGGTACGGGGGCTTTTGTGCTTGGGGTATAAAGGTAAAGTAAAGGGACCCCTGACCATTAGGTCCAGTCGTGACCGACTTTGGGGTTGCGGCGCTGATCTCGCTTTACTGGCCGAGGGAGCCGGCGTACAGCTTCCGGGTCATGTGGCCAGCATGACTAAGCCGCTTCTGGCGAACCAGAGCAGCGCACGGAAACACCGTTTACCTTCCCACTGGAGCGGTACCTATTTATCTACTTGCACTTTGACGTGCTTTCGAACTGCTAGGTTGGCAGGAGCAGGGACCGAGCAACGGGAGCTCACCCCGTTGCGGGGATTCGAACCACCGACCTTCTGATCGACAAGTCCTAGGCTCTGTGGTTTAACCCACAGCACCACCCGCATCCCTCTGGGACATGGTCCCACTAGGGGTATAGGAGAGTCGAATAAGAACCATAAGGCAGCGGTGTGGAGCCTGTAACCTAACCTTCCAAGCATTGCTAGACTCCAGTTCCCATCATCCCTGACTAGCTGGAGCTGAGGGGAGTTGCTATAACAAAACAAAACAAAACAAAAACCCTATGGAAAAAAGCGTATTAAAAATTTCCTGCTCTCTGCTGCCATCTGGTGTTGCATATTTATAGCACATCAAATCATTGTTTCTTTTCTAATGTTGGTGCGTTTTTAGAGCAGGATCTGAAATATTTTCCTTGAAGCTGGATTTGGTTTTATTCTGGATTGTTCCACTTGATGTTTCAATGTTTTTGCAAACCGCTTTGAGATCCCCCCCCCCCAAAAAAAATATAAAGTGGTATAAAAATGATAATAATAATAACAACAATAAAAACTCCATGGAAGACGGTGCCTAGACATGCCGTTGTGGTTTAAGGTTCCATTTGACAATGAGCTCATATATATCTAACACTGCCAATGACGTATGAAAGGCCACTTGGAAGCTGTGATGGTTACAATTTATTTGAGATTTGCAATTGAGAGACATGCCTTCTTTTGCCCTCTCCCCCCCCCCCCAGGTCACCTTCACTCTCCTAGATCAAGTCAACAAGCGCCACATCTCCACCTCCTTCCGCCCCTTGGAGACCTCGTCCTCCTTCCAGCGCCCCACGAGCGAAGCCAACGTGGCCAGCGGCCTGCCCGAATTCTGCCCCTTGAACTTGCTCCATGCCCCGGGGGCTACCTATATCCATAACGACACATTAGCCATTCAAGCTGTGATAGACACAAAGGCTTAGACTTCGGGTGACTTTCGCCCTTCCTACCATATATGGCTGCTGCTCCGAGAGACCGAGGTGGCAAGTTTCCAAAGGCCTCTGCCCAAAGGGACCCTTTGCTGCATTCTTCACAGTCTCTTCTCAAACGGGGTGCGACTGGAAAAAGAAAAAAAAGGAAACCTTTGGAAGCTTCCCTTGCCCCCCCCCAAACGCTAGCAAGACAGGGCAGCGAGCGCTCTGTGCTATCCGAAGAGGAAGAAAGTAAATTCAGCACCCAAAACATGGCAGGCTCTATAAACTTAGTAATTTATTCCAAGAGCTGTGTAGCGCTTTCGTGTAAAATCCAGGCTGTTGCGGCATGGATGAAAGGTGTGAACTTAAAAAAAAAGAGTGTTTCTGCCTTAATTCTAGTATCTCAACAGGTAAAGCTTCCCCCCTCCCTGTGGCACCATGCCAAGACTGCACCTGTTGGTTTTCCGCCTGCTGTACCTGAAACCAGCGACCCACCAGGCCTTCAATGTTGTTGTTTTCTTCTCCCTTGCCTTCTTAGGACTGCAAAGTCAGGGAGGTTGTCAAGTTACCTGAAAAGACCTCAATACACGATGGTCTCCTCAGAAGCGCAGCGTAGCACCAACAGTCTTGTTTGTAGGCACCCAGAACTTTTGGCCATTAAAGTATTGAGATATGAGGTCTATTTCCCTTGTACTACGGTGGGTAGGATTTGTGCTTTTTACAAGTATGGATGGGTGAGCATTTGTAGGTTTTGTGTTTTCGTTTTCCCAAATGACTTGGATGTGTTTCGCCGTTATTTTTATCTTACTAAATTCGTAATTGCTCTGGAACACATTTGCGTGACAGGCAATGGGATAATGATCATAATAATGATCGCAACGACTGTAAATGATGTGATACAGTCACGGTTGCGCTAAGAACAGGCCCCAACGCTTAGACTTGATTTCATCGGAACTGAGTTAAGATGGTGGCTGCCAGCAACAAAAAGACCTTTGGATTGATTCGGCAGAAACACCAGCGTGTGAGGAGATGCTGCGAACTTATAGAGTGTAGCGTTCCCAAAGCAAGGAAGGATTGGACTCTGATTAATAAAATACAGACGAGGCTTGAACAGCAAGACTCTGGGAGGAGTGCGTATAATAATAATAATTCTCTCCACCCTTCGGCCCAGGTTGTTTTATTCACAAAAGAACTTTTTACACAGTGTTTGTAAGAACCAATCAGATTTCCTCTGAGCATTTCAAAAAAACGTGGGGACAAAGTTAAAAGTTAAAACTACAAAGAGCTAATTTGAGCATGCATAGTAGTCCAGAGTAAATAAAATAGGAAGCAAGGAGGAATGCTTTTAGGAAACCCCGGAGGTCATAAACAGGAGTAAACAGGAGAGGCGGGATGGCAGTATTTACCATCTCTTTGTGAACTCTCTTCCTGGCCCTAAGATTAACAAAACTAACAATAGCTACATCAAAGAAGCTACCTACTATCTTTATGACCCAGGATGCCTGATGAACAACCAGTCTGTGTTTAGAATGCTTATACATGCCTGTCAGGCGTAGAGAAATCAAATGGCAGAGATGGAGAAGCTTGTGGGATTTGATCAGAAATTATTGTCAATGAATCAAACCCGGTCAACGCAATGCTTTCATCGTGAACACAATGGCTTGATGCATATTTTATAATTCCTCGTAGTGATCCCATCTGATCACTACAATAGAGGGGAATCACACACATAAAACCCACACAGAAACGCATCATTGCTTGTTTTAACTTGCTTGTGGGAACAACTCAGAGACTGTGAAAGAAGGAAGGTTAACAACCGAAAGAATTAGAGGAACCATCGGAAGTGACTATGTAAAGCAGTAGAAGTATGAGATGATGAGAACCCTCCAAACTTAGAATCATAGAATCATAGAGTTGGAAGAGACCACAAGGGCCATCGAGTCCAACCCCCTGCCAAGCAGGAAACACCATCAGAGCACTCCTGACATATGGTTGTCAAGCCTCTGCTTAAAGACCTCCAAAGAAGGAGACTCCACCACACTCCTTGGCAGCAAATTCCACTGTCGAACAGCTCTTACTGTCAGGAAGTTCTTCCTAATGGAAGAATTCATTAGGAGAAGTTCCTCCTAATGAAGCATGGGAGGTCCTATTTAAAAAATTATAATTTGGCAGAATATTTGGATTATTTGATATGTATATGTATAATTTGGAATATTTAATGTGATTGGATTGGATTGTTAAAGTGGAAAATTTAATAAAAATGAATTTTTTAAAAAAGAACAGGCCCCAACTCCTTTCACTTGCCGAGGCCTCGTTTGATAGCTACCGCAGAAATACACCATTTCCGGCAGGAATCTTTAAAGAGAGGAACTGAAATTACTGTTTTTCATTACTGTTATTGATCTTTTCCCTTCCAACAGCCATATCAAGCCAATGTACAGTGGTACCTCGGGTTAAGAACTTAATTCGTTCCGGAGGTCCGTTCTTAACCTGAAACTGTTCTTAACCTGAAGCACTATAGCTAATGGGGCCTCCTGCTGCCGCCATGCCACCACTGCACGATTTCTGTTCTCATCCTGAAGCAAAGTTCTTAACCCGAGGTACTATTTCTGGGTTAGCAGAGTCTGTGACCTGAAATGTCTGTAACCTGAGGTACCACTGTACATTGAAGATGTACAACACAGAAACAGCAGGGCTTTTTTCCCAGCCGGAACTCAGGTGGGCGCCATTGGCATTATAAGAGAACAAGGGAGTCGTTCATGGTGAATCCCGGCATCTCTTTTTCCTTTAAAAATAGCAATATACACACACAGCTAAAACCATGCAACATAGACACTTGTGGTAAAGACCCGGTTATCTGTCTGGGAAAGTCTGTCACAACAGAACTGTCTTGGGGTGTTTCCAAAAGTTGGGCACCTGTTGTATCTCAACAGGAATGCTGTTCTGCAGAGCAAGGGCAACCAAATGGCTGTTAGTGGAAATAGGTTGCCAACCACATTGGTGCGTACACACCCAGCCACCCACGTGGATGGACCTATAATAACTACACAATGCAAAGGGTTACTGTTATAGGGTCCAAAATTCAACATTGTTACAAGGTGACACTTGGAATAGGATGTGATTATCATCCCTCGCCCCCGAAAAGGATATTATTATTATTACTATTGAATTTATATACCGCCCTATACCCGGAGGCCTCAGGGCGGTTCACAAAAGATCACAATATCTAAAATCAAAATAAAAACAATGACCCAATAATACCCTCCCAAAGAGAGCCACATTTTAAAAGGGTATGGGATGTTGGTCAGGTCAGCCAAAGGCCTGGTTTAAAAAGAATGTTTTTGCCTGGCGGCTAAAGGTGTCTAATGAAGGCGCCAGGCGAACTTCCCTGGGAAGAGCATTCCACAGATGGGGAGCCACTGCAGAGAAGGCCCCGTTCTCGTGTTGCCACCCTCCTGACCTCTCGAGGAGGAGGCACATGAAAGAAGGCCTCAGAGGGTGATCTCAGGGACCTGGTAGGTTCCTATGGAAAGAGGCGGACCTTGAGGTATTGTGTTCCTGAGTTGTTAAAGACACTGCATTAATTGCATTAAGGCAGGGCCTCCCCGTGTTGAGGAGGGCTTAGTCCACATGCCTTACACTCAGGAACCTAGCTTCCCCACCCACCCCGCACCAAAAGCAAAAAAGACTCATCAAGACGGTGACTTGGTTCAATCTCTTTTTATTATTAATTGTTTAAATTGATTCCACAAGGGGTTAAAGAGGCAGGGAGTGAATCTAAAGCCCTACATCCGTCAATACGCCTAACTCCCCACAACAGAGGGCGCTCCCTCTACAGATTCCTATGACCCCCACCCCACTCCTGCCCCCTAACTACGTTACACAAAACACATACAACAGCGCCGCTCGGAAGGAAACAGAGCTCCTCGCCAACCCGTTGTCTTAATCTAGCTGCTCCTCTGTGGCTGCGCCGGCCTTGCGGATATGCAGAGAGGTTATCTGTTGAGGGTGGCAGTGGGGGAAGCCATTGTTTTTGAGTTTGGGGAGCGTGGGGGGTCTGATTCTGAACTCCCAGTCCCCAAACTGCAGCACCATAAGAGATGGATGTGGCAGGCCAAGCAGTCACAGAAGGAAAGTCATTCCAGAGGTCATTCCAGATCAGGGATGGTTGAACCTGTGGAACTTGTTGGACTCCAACTCCCATCAGCCCCTGCCAGCATGGCCAATGGTCAAGCATGATGGGAGATGTAGTCCAACAACATTCTCATTCTAGTTATTGAGTCTCATGGCAGGGCAAGTGGAGTGGCTCTAGGGACACCTTCCTACATCTGACACGAATCATCAGGTGTTGAGATTCAAAACTGAACAGGAGACCCCCTAGTCCACCAACCATCCATCGTAATGGAGTTGCCTGGTTCTGTAGCACTTGGATCACCTCAAACACGTTGAAAGCCACTTATGTCCCACCTGCCCATGTCTCCTGCTCAACAGTTCTTCCAACATGGCGGCTATGAAAGAGAAATGGCCACCATCTTGGGTCTAGTCCTCACAATGGACACATCCCTTAAGCACCTTCCAAGATGGCTGCCCACCAATGTCTCTCAGCACCCGGTTTCATAACACGTCCCCCTCAGCGATGAAGGGAGAGCAGTGCTGCTCTTTTTAACGGTCCATAACGGGCTAAGAAACTTGAGGGAACCTCACTAAAAAAAAAGAGCGATCGTTGATTGAAGAGCTAGAACGTCAAGTTTCCCGCTGATGGCTTTTTCTTCAGCACTAGGAGCAAAGTTGAGCACCTATCTACTCTGGGGTAAAAAAAAATGTATTCGTAAAGTGTACACTGTAGAAGACAGGAGATAAAAAGAGACTCGTGTGGCTCCGTGGAAGCGAAGATCCAATGTAAATAAAAGAGAGAAACTGTGAGATTTAAGGCCGGTCAAATTAGCGTGTTTGGAGGTGTCCTTGCCTCACAAGGAAGCTAAGGGGAGAGAAAGCGGGGTGCCTGCACAAAGGAACCAAGAGATGGGGTTCCTCTCGAGGGAATGCAAGAACCTGCATTTTATTGTGGGGTTCGATAGGCACTAGATCTCCAGCTTCTTGTTGATGAGAAGAGAGCAGGAACTGAGAGTCCCACCAAGTTTGGCCACCTCAGTGCAAGCCGCAGGGATAAGGGTGTAGTCCGGAAGCTTCTGGAAGGGCTGTGAGAGGAGGCAGAGAGAAACCGGTTAGACCTCTTCCCAAAGCTATCTCCGTCCCTGCAGTGACCAAGACACACCTGAAGCTCATGAAAAGGCAGGCGGTTTTGCGCGGGGAGACAGAGCACACAGAATGGCTGCAAAGCTTGCAAAAGGCCATGCTCAAAGGTCAACGCATGAGCCACCATTCTTTTGTGGCAGCCTCTGAGCTGGTCATTACGGCGTCTCAAATTCTGCCCCAAAATGAATTGACATAAATACTGTATTTTTCGCTCCATAAGATGCACTTTTTTCCTCCTAAAAAGTAAGGGGGAAAGTCTGTGCGTCTTATGGAGCGAATGTGTGGTCCCTGGAGCCAAATTGCCCAGGGGCGAAAAGCAGATTGTGCTTTTTTCTTTTTTAAAAAAGAGGAAAGGGGGTGTTGAAATGAAGCCGCTGAGCAGCTGATCGGCAAGCGGTCGGGAGGAAGATAAGGGACACTAGTGATAAAGGAGGCGATAAAGGAGGCGTTAAAAGAGGTAAAAGCACATGGATCCTCGGGATTTTTGCATTGGGTCACCCCAAATTCACCATCAGATCACAGCATGTCCATGGCTACAGCCTGCACCAAAAAAATTGCATCCACTGTTTTGTGGGGCCGCAATGGCGCAAAAACGTGGTTACAAAGCATGGATCCACATGGATCCTCAGGATTTTTCATTGGGCTACCCCAAACTCACCGTCAAATCACATATCATGTCTGTGGCCACAGCATGAACCACAAAAATCATACATCCACTGTTTCATTCAGAATATTTTTTTTTCTTGTTTTCCTCCTATAAAAACTAGGTGCGTCTTAGGGTCAGGTGCGTCTTATGAAGCAAAAAATACGGTACGTACAGTCGTACCTCGGCTCCCGAATGCCTTGGGAGTTGAACGTTCCAGCTCCCAAACGATCGAAAACCAGAAATGAGTGTTCTGGTTTTTGAATCGCGGTTTTTTGGGTTGTTGTTTTTTGGAAGCCAAACGTCTGGCGCGGCTTCTGCTATTGTTTCCGGTGCGCCTGTGCAACCGGAAACCAATCAGAAGCCGCGCCTTGGTTTCCAAATGTTTCGGAAGTTGAACGGACTCCTGGAATCATAGAATCATAGAATCATAGAATCATAGAGTTGGAAGAGACCACAAGGGCCATCGAGTCCAACCCCCTGCCAAGCAGGAAACACCATCAGAGCACTCCTGACATATGGTTGTCAAGCCTCTGCTTAAAGACCTCCAAAGAAGGAGACTCCACCACACTCCTGGAATGGATTCCGTTCAACTTCCGAGGTACAAGTGTATTGCTTTAATTGTTATGCATTTTTTAACTGGCTAGGGTTTACGCTTTTAATACTTTGAGATGGAATTGCTTTGTTGAGTATTTTTAATTAGGTATGGATTTTAACCTTGCAAGCTACTAAGATGCCATTTTGGCAAGTAAGTGGCACATTATATTATTATTATTATTATTATTATTATTATTATTATTCCTAGATGCAATCCTCCTCCTCTTCTTCTTCCTCCTCCTCCTCCTTGCAGCCTCCACACCTGGTCCAGGGATATAAACTCAACCCTTTCCCCCGCACCCCACCCACCAGGTAAAGCACTCTTCCCCCTTACCTGTACGCTGTTAGGATATTCCTCAGCACTGCGATGGAGAAGCACACTGCTCTTCTGACCAAGCCGTGCATAGATGCAATTTGCAGCCGGGTCATCCGGCACCGTCAGTGTTTCATAGTGGTGATCGGTCAATTGTTCCATGGTCTTCAACAAAAGAGGGCGGTGGGAAGAGAAGGGAGAAGTTCATTAACAGAGGGATTGGGGAGTAGGCCTTCACATGAGCCCCACGGCAACTGACCAACATCAAAACCAAGAAAGATAAGTTCTAAAAACACCACAAACACCCAGAGCAGAGACCTCTTCTGAAAGCAGAGACGTTTCTGAAAAAACCAGAGGCATTCTTGTTGGGAATGGTGGGAGAGGATATTGATAAGAAGGACCAGAAATTGTTTTTATACGCAACAACAGCGGCGAGGTTTCTGCTGGCTCAGGTGTGGAAACAGCAACAATTGCCGACAGTAGAAGGGTGGCACTATAAGGTTATGGAGTATGCAGAAATGGCCAAACTAACAGGGAAAATTTGACAACAGGGCAATGAAACATTTCAAAAAGAATGGGATAAATTTATGTCGTATAGAGACAGGATGGAATAGTGAAACCAGTAGAATGGAATTAAAACTCATAATGGGAAAATAAAAAGAAACTGTCTTAGACATTAATGACATGTGAACTAAAATGTAAAATATAATTAAGATAATCAACAGTATTTGTAAATGAATATGAACAACAAGATTTGTATACATAGAAAGATTTATTTGTATACAAACTTTGTGGATAAAGATGGAAGAAGAACAACAATATGTAAAATAGACAAAGACAATGTGAAAATTTTTAGATATAAAAAAGCCAGAAGAAGGAAAGAGGGAAGTCAGCTCTCAGGAGCAAGTACAAATGTAAAATGTAATGTAATATGTTTATGTATAGTAAAAACTAATAAAGGTCATCGGGTGGAGGGGGAAGCAGAGATCTCTTCTGCTAACCAGAAGAGCTGGTCACCCCAATAATGTGGTTTCAAGAAGAGGACAGATAGCAGGCACCAGTCACATCTCCACAGAACAGGGGCAGCTACGCAGAAGGCCCTGCTTCAACTTTCTGTGGGGTGCGGCTTCTGGTATTTGGGGTGTGTGAAGGAGCAAGTCTCATAAGGCATTCATAAGGGATAAAGGCTTTCTTGAAGAAGAAGAGTTTGGATTTGATATCCCACTTTATCACTACCCTGAGGAGTCTCCAAGCGGCTAACATTCTCCTTTCCCTTCCTCCCCCACAACAAACACTCTGTGAGGTGAGTGGGGCTGAGAGACTTCAGAGAAGTGTGACTGGCCCAAGGTCACCCAGCAGCTGCATGTGGAGGAGTGGGGAATCGAACCCAGTTCACCAGATTACGAGTCCACCGCTCTTAACCACTGCACCACACTGGCTCTTGGGAGTGGAGAGGAGGTGGACCCAAGTAGCCCACCTAATCCAGCATCCTATTCTCACAGTGGCCAATCAGATGTCCCAAAGGGAAGCAGGAAGTGAGCGTAACAGAGCTCTCCACTCCTGCCTTGCGGCTCTTTCTCAGGAGAGGCCCCCTGGGAGGTTGTGGACGTTACCTTCATGGCTTTCTTGGCCACGTCGCTGCTGCCAATGACAACTGTTTCAGAGCCAGCCATGCTGCAGAAGCTACGGAGGTGCAACGTACCCGAGACAGGAACAGTCGAAACCGCAAAATCCTGCAAAGAGACATTCCGTAAGACTTCCGGACGTCCATGCCATACAGTTGCAACCAAGAGCTCCACCCATTCTTTCCCCATACAGGACTGAAAAGGGCAGGGGTGAGAAACCAACGGGAGGCTCCACACAAGTTTCTAACAAGGGAACTGCTGATGAGGTGATCTTTCCCCTGCAAGTAAAGCCTTAAATGACCTCAGTCTTGTACACCTGAAGGAGTGTCTCTACCCCTGTTGTTCTGCCCAGACGTGGAGGTCCAGCACAGAGGAGCTTCTGGCGGTTCCCTCCCTGCGAGAAGCAAAGTTACAGGGAACCAGGCACAGGGCCTTCTCGGTAGTGGCGCCCGCCCTGTGGAACGCCCTCCCATCAGATGTCAAGGAGATACAACTATATAGAACTACTATACAACTTTAAGGAGACATCTGAAGGCAGCCCTGTATGGGGAAGTTGGTAATGTTTGATGCTTTATTATGTTATAGTAAATAATAATAATAATAATAATAATAATAATAATAATTCATTATTTATAGCCCGCCCATCTGGCTGGGTTTCCCCAGCCACTCTGGGTGCCTTCCAACAGAATATTAAAATACAATAACCTATTAAACATTAAAAGCTTCCCTAAACAGGGCTGCCTTCAGATGTCTTCTAATAGTCTGGTTGTTGTTTTTCTCTTTGACATCTGGTGGGAGGGCGTTCCACCATATATCTGATGGATGCCACCCAGAGTGGCTGGGGCAACCCACTCTGTACAAATATAACCATAAAATATATCAACAAACAACAAATATAAGAACAAACAACAAATACAACAAGAACAACTCCTCATTTGGGGCTTTCCTTTTATACCTGAGGATCACACATGGTGAGACTAATTATATGGCTGTGAGCTGCTGAAAAATATTTATATTTTGATAGTCTCCCTTTCACAACATGGGGGAGCATGTTTCATACAAATGCACAAATACAAATTAGAAAGAAATGCAGCTCCCCCCCATCCAATAGTTGCTTTTTCAGTGGGTTAAGGAAGAGTCCCAAGATGAGGACAAGGATACGGTTAGGAACTGTTCATCAGAGATCCAAGGGTGTCACACATTCTCTGGGTGTGGCTATGATATGCGGGTCACATTGGGACGTGGAGCAAGGAAAAACAGCTGAGGAAGCAGTGGAAAGGTTAAGCAGTTGGGAGGAAAGAAGTCTCTGTTCATTTCTTGAATTGTTTTCAACGTGGGGGTTCTCAGTAGAAGTTGGCTCAGCAGCGGCCTTGAAAGACAGATTATCAATCTTCCCTTTAATGTGCCACCACAGGAGACTACAGTGGAACCTCGGGTTGCGAACGTGATCCAGGTGGGTAGCACATTCGTAACCCGCAGTGCCGTGTCTGCGCACGCGCAGGTCGCGATTTGGTGCTTGATTGTGATTTTATGTAAACTGTGTTTTTTTACCGTTGTTAGCCGCTCTGAGCCCGGCTTCAGCTGGGGAGGGTAGGATATAAATAAATTATTATTATTATTATTATTATTATTATTATTATTGGACGCAGGTGGCGCTGTGGGTTAAACCACAGAGCCTAGGACTTGCCGATCAGAAGGTCAGCGGTTTGAATCCCCTTGACGGGGTGAGCTCCTGTTGCTCAGTCCCTGCTCCTGCCAACCTAGCAGTTTGAAAGCACTTCAAAGTGCAAGTAGCTAAATAGGTACTGCTCCGGCGGGAAGGTAAATGGCGTTTCCATGCGCTGCTCTGGTTCGCCAGAAGCGGCTTAGTCATGCTGGCCAGATGACCCGGAAGCTGTACACCGGCTCCCTCGGCCAATAAAGCGAGATGAGCGCCGCAACCCCAGAGTCGGTCACGACTGGACCTAATGTTCAGGGGTCCCTTTACCTTTACTATTATTATTATTATTATTATTATTATGCGCATGCGCGAGCACCGAAACCCGGAAGTGACCCGTCCTGGTACTTCTGGGTTTGGCGTGGTGCACAACCCGGAAATGCATGACCTGAAGTGTCTGTAATCCAAAGTACCACTGTACGGGTTATATTTCCAGGGCACTCCATCTATTCATGCGGAGCGCTGGGGGTGTCCAACAGATGAACTAAACATGTGCCAGCCTTGTGAATAAGGCCGCAAAAATGTTTACTAGTCTGCTAGGGGCTGGCAGAGGAGGGACAGAGAGTTCCAGCCCTCCTGCAGCAGTCTGCTCAAGCAGTTGCACAGAACTGCTTGCACTCGCCTGCAGGCAATATCCTTCTCACCTACGGGTACCAGGCTACTGCTTAAATGCAAGGCTGCCGTACACCTTAGAACAGGGGTGGGAAGCAGAAGCAGGATAGCAACAACTGAATAGCTAGGAACCACAACTGTGCAGGTTTTGGGCAAGGAGGTAGGGAAGGTTTAGTTCCAAGATTCCAGCTCACCCTGAAAGCATCCGCAACCATCTCTGCTCCTCTGTGATTAGTCCACTTGGAAATGCCCACGAAGAACTCTCTACCTGTAAAAGGCATTAAGAAGATGGAGAATACTAGAACTGGCAATAAGTCAAAGGGCAAGCCATATTCCTGAGCATTAGCTCTCCCCAGACCTGAATAACAACGCTGGTTTATCTCTTTCCAACTCAGATCTGACTACGACTGCAGCCTTAAAGCTACAATCGTGGAAGGTATGTGGAGAGGGCAACAAGAGGGCGAGGTTATTGCTGGCTCAGGTGTGGAAACAGCAAAAATTGCCTACAATAGAAGAGTGGCAGTACAAGGTTATGGAATATGCAGAAAAAGCCAAACTAACAGCAAAAATTCGACACCAGGGTGACGAAACGTATAAAAAAGAATTGGGAAAATTTATGTTATATATAGAGAAGACAATGTGAAATAGGGAAACCAGTAGAACTAAAATAAACCTCATAACGGAAAAACACAAGAAATTTATTGGATAATAATATCAAAATGAATTAAAAATGTATATTAGGACTATTGTTGAACAATATTTGTAAATGAATATAGACAGACAACAAGAATTGTATATATAGAAAGATTTATTTGTTTACAGACATTTTATGGAAAAAAATTGAAGAACAATTATATATAAAATGGACAAAGACAATGCGAAAAGTTAAAGACGGCATAAAAAAGCCGGAAGGAGGGAAGTCAGCTCGGGAGAGCAAGAACAAATGTGAAACATAACATATGTGTATGTATAGTATGTAACTAAAAATTCAATAAAGATCATCTAAAAAAAAAAAGGAATGTATGTGGAGAGGAGAGACGGTTTCATTTGCACTAGGCTTCTGCCCTAAAATGCATTTACAAATAGCAAAATGCAGTCCTGGAACATACAGATCCGTACTGGCGAGAGTGCCTCTGAGCATGCATTAAGTGCAGCTCCCTCCCTCCGTGAATGCCCACCTGCAGACATCTGGGATTGGAGGGCAAAGGGTTTTCAGGCCGGTGTCTATGACTTCCAGGCAGCTTTGAGTGGTGTGTGTGTGTGTGTGTGTGTGTGTGCGTGTGTGTGTGTGTGTGTGTTTTATTAGAAGAGAAACTAACCAGTCATCAGGGGTGGGGGGAAACCCTCAACAGAATCTCATCAAGTTCTCCACTGCCCTCAGTGCTACCATCATCATTTACATGGCACTTGAAAAGTGGTTCTGAAGGCTTAGTCACCCTTACCGCAGAACAAAGAAACGAAAACCCTGTGGTGTACTTACAAATTCCCATTTTACCAGGTTAATCCAAATGCAAAGTTCCCTCCATCTTCTGGACCTCCCCGCTCCTGAGATAAGGGCCACCGTCCTCAGTGGCAGAGGAGTCCTTTACCTGTGAACAGGACATCGCTCCCATCCAAGGTGGCACCTTCATCTGTAACCTCCACCACTCGCAGTTTGAGCTCCTCCAAGACCTTCTTGACGCTGCTGATCTGGGAAAGCAGCAGGGATAGAGGAAGAGATCAGACATTTTCTAGCGCATCCCCTTTCCTTAACACCTCTTCATGCAACTCTCAACACAGTATACCTGAAGGCGCATCTCCACCCCCATCGTTCAGCCCAGACACTGAGGTCCTCCTCCGAGGGCCTTCTGGCGGTTCCTTCACTGCAAGAAGCCAAGTTACAGGGAACTAGGCAGAGGGCCTTCTCAGTAGTGGCACCTGCCCTGTGGAACGCCCTCCCACCAGATGTCAAAGAAAGAAACAACTACAGTGGTACCTCGGGTTAAGAACTTAATTCGTTCTGGAGGTCCGTTCTTAACCTGAAACTGTTCTTAACCTGAGGTACCACTTTAGCTAATGGGGCCTCCCACTGCCACCATGCAATTTCTGTTCTCATCCTGAAGCAAAGTTCTTAACCTGAGGTACTACTTCTGGGTTAGCGGCGTCTGTAACCTGAAGCGTCTGTAACCTGAAGCATCTGTAACTCGAGGTACCACTGTATCTGACTTTTAGGAGACATCTGAAGGCAACCCTGTTTAGGGAAGTTTTTAATATTTGATGTTTTATTGTGCTTTTAATTCTGTTGGGAGCAGCCCAGCATGGCTGGGGAAACGCGGCCAGATGGGTGGGGTATAAGTAATAAATTATTTTATTATTATTATTATTATTATTATTATTATTATTATTTTTATTGGCTCCCATCAAACGTTGCCGTATCACTGACAGACAGGCCCCAGGGGCCACAAAATGGACGCTATATGCAACCCTCCATAAACCACTCCCCACAGTGGCCTGCCTCAAGATCTCCCTGTTCGGTGGCTCCCCAAATGGCTTTATTCCACGCCTGCCCAACAACGGGAGTCGGCCACTTGCGCACAAGTGAATTAAAGCAAAACTAAAACGGCCTCAGCTCGGAAGGCGCTTCATATAGAGTCACGCTGAAAACGAACAAGAAAAGGTGAGGGAAACAAAGCGAAACAAAATCCTGTTGCCACGAAACCCCATCAACTCTGGTTGTTGCATGTGGCGGACCTGTAAAAGGGTAAACGACTGTTGGGAAATAATCGATAATGAATTGGGGGGGGTTTAAAAGCACTTTCCCCCCCCAAAAAAAACACAGAGTCCTTTTTGTTGGGGATAATTCAGATGGAAATTCCTAGGTGTCAAAAAAGGGTTATTTATGTATGCCACTACTGCAGCCCGTGTTTCGTTAGCCCCAAAATGGAAAACGAGCGAGGTCCCAACTAAAGAAGAATAGCAAGTTAAACTGATGGAATATACGCATCTTGCGGACCTAATGTATAGAATAAGAGAACAAGAAGAACATACGTTCAAAGAAGACTGGAAAATGTTTATTGAATATATGGGGGGAAACTGTGTACACTTGAAAACGTTGGCAGCATTAAGATAAATTCAACAGCGTAAATAAGTTTTGATGGATGTAATAATGGAACACTGAATGGTTTCGTTTATGTAAAATATGCAGGGATCTATGAATGAACCATGGAAAGAGAAGAAAGGAAGTCACTGACATTTTAAGGTTGTTTAAATGAATATTCTAAATTGTAAAACAGAAAATTTAATAAAAATCACACACACACAAACACACCTGGCTGTTGCAGCTCTCTTTGAGGAAGCCACATGCAATCAGTTTGCATCCTAGCATTGGAAGGGACCCAGAGGGTCATCTAGCTCAACCCCGCAGGCAGTCCAACGTCAGGCAATTGAGGTTGCCCAAGCAGGCAAAGTCAGCAAGTAGAGATGGGGTGGGGGAACCACAGAACCCAAATGCGGCCATATGGTCTCTTCTCTCTGCCCCTTAGGACCACCATCTCCCTACAAGCCCCACTCCATATCCTCTTCCAGTAAAATTGGGTGGGGGGGCTGGTTAGAATACATCTTTGAAATATACTTGGAGTCGAGAGTGGATTTCATGCTCTTTATTCAACTCATAGTGGTGAGGAGGAAAGGAGGTTCCCCCAGAATGTCTGCTTTATATACATTATTTACACAATGGGCCCCACGTGATTGGCCAATCACCTGTAGGCCAATCAGATTGTGGATTCACTTCCACCTGGAGCTGGATTGGGTGGCTCCTGTGGACCAATCAGACTGCTGCATTCTGAATCCTATTCAACTCAGTACCGGATGAAGGATGTAAAGGGGAGAGTGCAGATGTGTGTAGAACCACAGGCTTCTGAACATCTGGAATGTAGCCGACTGCACGACATAAAATTCGCATCCATGGCTTAGCCTGCTTTTTGCCTTTCATCCTCCCCACCGCTGGCAGGCGACCCGCGGAGACTGACCCACCCTTGGGCTGGAAAAGTTTTCCCCTAGCTAGAGCAGGTGCCAAACAGCTTCTTGAAAAAGGTAAAAAGGACAGAGAAGCGTACTGATTTCCTCTGCTTCTCCTTTTCCTTTTCCAAGATGGCGTGGAAATATTTTCTGACTGATAGGGGTCCTCCTCGCTATATAAGAACACAATTCTGCATACAATTCCAGACAGGCAGATATTCTCAGGACAAGAATTGCCAGAAAGCCCAAACTGTGATCTGGCAGGCGGGTTTATAGCAGAGTTTAATTCAAGCCCTGGTTATATAAGGGGAGTGGGGGACTCCGAGGGCCAGAGCAGCCCCAGAAAATCTGCATGACCTTTTGTTTCATTTTCATTCCACAGACACTTCTGGGCCAGGCATCTATTTCACAGATGATTCACAGGCCTCTCTCTCACACACAGACCAAGATTTCAATTTAATTAATTGAAGTCAGCAATGGGATGTACTATTGGGTTTTGACCACAGCAAAGATTTCCCTTTCATCAAATTATGAGTCTTTGCTTTGGACTTCTTCCTATTTTACACACTCTTATAACCTCAGGATACTTCCGCATTCTCGTTCTTAGCTCGACAGTCTATTTACATTTTTCACTCTCCATGCCATAGTTCACACATTACTGGTAGCTTTTAAAAAAGAGAGAACAAAGGGAATTAATAGAAGGATGTGTACTTTTTATAAAAACTGCAGAGCGAGCCTTTAAATAACGTTGCTTTATTCTCTTTGATGTTTTAAGCTATGCCTGTTTTTTTATCATTTTAAGTCACTTTGAGATATTTTATTGAGTGTGACAAATAAATGTGAAATAATAATAATAATAATAATAATAATAATAATAACAACTTCAGAAACAAAGGGTTAACCATCAGCACCCCAGACTGAGGGCTGCTTAATGCAAAAAGCAGCATCTTACACAGATATGCAATGACTGTCCTAGATGCTTTAGCTGAGATTCCTGCATTGCAGAGGGTTAGACTAGATGACCCTTGGGGTCCCTCTACAATTCTATGATTCTATGTGTGATGGCCTAGGACTCGGAACCAGGGGAGTCTCAGTCCTTTGCCTCAGGCATCATCTGAACCAAGTCTGGGGCCTGATCCTGAAGAGTCCCAGTCTGCACAGGTGCCCCTGCAACAAACACCAGCTGGGGCAAGTCAGGGGCCTGAGCCTGCCCTGGCTCCAGATGTGGGGATTACCTCGTTGCCTTCAGCTGGGCCATCGCTTACAGCTGCTCCACTACCGGTTGGGTCAGGGGAGGCTGAGGTGGCCTCTGGGTCTAGTAACCCACCAACGTCTCCCCAGCAGCAGAGACTCAGGTCTGAGAGAAGGAAAGACCTGAGTACTCGCAGGAGGAGTGCTCGCCTTCGGGCGAAGCAGGGAGGTGAGTCGCCGGGGGATCAGGACCGGCCGCTACCCCGACAAAGATAAAAGGCTGTCGGACCCCGCCCCAGGTTGCGGGAGCAACATTGCTGTATGCCAGAGATCCTGTACCCGTCCTTGCCTGGTCTCCTGCCTCGTGTCCTGCCTTGGCCCTGTCAGACTGACTCCTAGTGGAACCTTCAGAGTCTGGACCGCGTTTCACGGGTTACCCCTGGGCCCAGCACACTATTACTGCATGCGTGCCTATTTTGCCAGGTTTACACAGGATCCCACCGCTGTAAGATGTAGCCTTTGTACAAAGGAGGTGACCAAAACACTACACTTAGAACAAACTCAAACAAATACTAAGCATAGGAAAAGCCCACCAAAATCTATCTCCTCAAGTACCCCAGGAGCTGGCCTCTAAAGCTTTGCGCAACCCCTGAACTGGAAGACCCGGTGAACTGGAGCACACATAAAACATTGACTGGGCTCCCCAGCATTACATCTACCAACATGAACCTCCTTCTTTACGCACAAAAAGTAAAAGGCACGTGTTAGGTGCCGTCCCTACCATTAGGCAGAGGGAGGTGGCTAAGTGTTGGTGCTGACCTTTGAAGCCCTAAACGGCCTTGGTCCAGTATACCTGAAGGAGCGTCTCCACCCCCATCGTTCTGCCCAGACACTGAGGTCCAGCGCCGAGGGCCTTCTGGCGGTTCCCTTGCTAAGAGAAGTGAGGTTGCAGGGAACCAGGCAGAGGGCCTTCTCGGTAGTGGCACCCACCCTGTGGAACACCCTCCCAGCAGATGTCAAAGAGAAAAACAACTACCATGCTTTTAGAAGACATCTGAAGGCAGCCCTGTTTAGGGAAGCTTTTAATGTTTAATAGACTATTGTATTTTAAGATTCTTTTGGAAGCCGCCCAGAGTGGCTGTGGAAACCCAGCCAGATGGGTGGGGTATAACTAATAAATTATTATTATTAACTCTGGCAGCTGGTTTGGGGTGTCATGAAAGGGTAGATATCATTTTTAATTATTGCATTTTGACTCCCAGAGGTGCTTACAGGACTCCCTGACAAAATAACTCCCTGACTACTTTGCACCTCGATTTGATGGACAGGGCATGAAGGGAGAGGGGGAGAAAGAAGAGAAGCCATTTGCTAAATTGCCTCGGGCAGCAAAATGTCTTGGGCCAAGCCAGCACTGTGTCAACATGATAATGTGTGTACAGAGTGGTCAGCCAACTGGCTCTTTTGTGGTGCCTTTGCTTCGATAATTTCCAACTTGCACAAGAGCCTTTTTTAAGCTTGCTCCAAGGGAAACTCAGTACTTTTCACGTTCCTTTTATTTAAGCTGGAGAAAGGCGTTCTGTAAATGCTCTGAAGCCCTTTTCAAAGGGTTTCAAAAGGCCAACTCCGTTCCACTGAGAGGTGGGGGGTGGGGAAGCCATTCCATGCATGCTCAGAGACACAGCAAATGAGTTGCTAGGAGGTTGTTGTTCTTTTAAAAAAACAGAAAGAAAATAAAGATGGCAGCATATGGCACGGAAGCAACAGTTAGACAGCGAGTTCGTGGGTGAAGCTGCCCCAAAACACTTATATTTATTTTAACTAAAAGCATAAGAAGAAAAACACAAGAGAGACAGAATGAATCAACTTCTGTCTGGCAGTAATTAGCAGAGAGAGGCAAGAAAATGTGGACCCTTTAAGAGGTGCCAAATATTCTTCAGGGCTTGGGTGGAGTGTGTACGGACACACAATTCTATATTCGGCACACTGCACTGGAGCAGGGAGGTGGGTCATGAGAATGGCGGGTGGCCGGGCGGGTGGGAAGGAGGCACGATGCCAACTGCTGAGGCAACCGGCCAGGCGGCTTGCCTCAGCGCTCCGGGGACACGGGTGGGATTAGTCCCAGAGGTTCCTACAGAGGAACAGATGGGACCTGCGATTGACAGGGTTTAACTAACAGCTAGCTGGCGACCGGCTGCTCTCCCCCGCCCCCACCCTTTCGAAGGCATCAAATCTACTAGGATAGGATTGGAACCCTAACAGCGCAATGCTGTGCATGTTTACTCAAGAGCAAGACTCACCCACAGATGAGGCTGGCAAATGTATTTAAGGCAGCCTTTTGCAGCCTCACGGAAGCATGCTATGACAAACTTGGAGAATGCTCCCGACTTAGTCCTGTGACTTTGTCACACCCTCAATAATGGCCCATTAAAATTAAAAAAGAAATAAAAACCAATCGTAGCAATCTGGCACAAGGACTGTGTTTATACTCGGGCATCAGAGGGTACAGTCATACCCTGGGTTACAGACGCTTTATGTTGCGTTTTTTTGGGTTACGGACCACCAAAACCCGGAAGTACTGGAACGGGTTACTTCTGGGTTTCGGTGGCCGCGCATGCGCAGAAGCGCTAAATCACTCTTTGTGCATGCACAGAAGTGCCAAATTGCAACCTGCACATGCGCAGACGTGGGTTGCCACCGCTGCGGGTTGCGAACGTGCATCCCGCACGGATCATGTTCACAACCCGAGCGTCCACTGTAAACGCTCACTGCCAAGTTAGTAAACAGCCATTTCCTAGGGTGCTTCAAAACTGCATCCGGACAACCAGGTGAGGACATTTTGAGGGGAGTGGGAGAAAAATAGGTAAAGGTAAAGGGACCCCTGATCATTAGGTCCAGTTGTGACCGACTCTGGGATTGCGGCACTCATTTCACTTTACAGGCCGAGGGAGCCGGCGTTTGTCCGCAGACAGCTTCCGGGTCATGTGGCCAGCATGACTAAGCCGCTTCTGGCGAACCAGAGCAGCGCACAGAAACGCCATTTACCTTCCCGCCAGAGTGGTACCTATTTATCTACTTGCACTTTGACGTGCTTTTGAACTGCTAGGTTGGCAGGAGAAGGGACCGAGCAACGGGAGCTCACCCCATAGCGGGGATTCGAACCGCCAACCTTCTGATCGGCAAGTCCTAGGCTCTGTGGTTTAACCCACAGTGCCACCCGTGTCCCAGGAGAAAAATAGCTCCCGGCAAATAAAAAACGTAGCTCGCAAGATGACTGGCAGCCTCGGCAGGTTTATTTGCAAGGTGATTCAACACAAACAAATCGAACAGCTTACCTCGTCCCGCCGCGACGGCACCCATGGCCGCGTGAGCAGCGCGGTGTCTCCCTGTATCACGGCCAGGTCCCCCACCAGCGTGGAGCAGGGGAGGCCCTCGTCCGCAGCCAGCTCAATGACCTGCAGCCCTAGCTTCTGGCGCAAGATGCCGGTGTAGACGCCGTACTGCCGGTGGGCCTTGGCCAGGTCCACAGGCTCAGCCCCGCCATCGGACGCGTCTGCCGCCGTCTCTGCCGTGCCGAAGGAGGAAGGGATGCAGCGGACAATGGCGTGCGTATACTTGCCAAAGGAGGAGACGCTGGCCATGGTCTGGAAGGGAGGAACAGAGGGATGAACCGTTGAGCTGGCTGGCCGGCAAGCTGCCCCTCTCGCTCAAGTCTGAGGGGCAATACAATGAATTGCCCCGGTCAGCTCTTGAGAACGAGGGAGAACCACTTCAGGCCCAGAAGAAACAGAGCTTGGATTTTTGTTGTTGCATTCATATCGTTCCTCACTGAATCTCCACAACAGCCCTGTGAAGTATGTTAAACTGAGAGGCAGCGACTGGCCCAGGGTCACTCAGTGAACTTTCTGCCCCAGTGGGGAATCGAACCTTGGTCTCCCAAGTCCTAGTCCAACACACGAGCCACTGCACTGAGAGTCAGCATGACAGGAAGCCAGGAAGTTCTGGGTTCAAATACCTGCTTGGTCACAAAGCTCACCAAACCCATCATGTCGTCTCGGGCCTACCCACCTCATAGGGGTGTTGCAATGATAAAGGGGGATCTCTCCATGCCCTGAGCTTTCTTAGGGGAGGAGCAGGGTATATACCCAGCTCTGCATGACTCAAGTGCACCTGTCACTCTAGAATGAGCAGTTGGGTCCAGTTAACAGTATTTCCCAGGAAATGTTAGGATACTGTTTCTGAAGGTGTAAGATGGCCGCCAAACAGGCGTCAGCATGTGATATGGTGGGGGGGGCAAAGGTTGGGGGTAGGGTTGGGCGATATCAGCTTTTCAACATCACTATGTATCGCCAGCCAAACATTGTGATATAATAATAATAATAATAATAATAATAATAATAATTCATTATTTATAGCCCGCCCATTTGGCTGGGTTTCCCCAGCCACTCTGGGCGGCTTCCTACAGAATATTAAAATACAATTGTCTATTAAACATTAAAAGCTTCCCTAAACAGGGCTGCCTGTTTACTGTTACTGACACATCGCAATGTTGAAAATCGGAGGGAGGAACAAGCTGTAGTGGTGGTTTCACGCTGAAGCCTTGCGGGGCCGGGGCCAACGCAGCTTGTTTCTCCCTCTGCATGCTGGGTACTGGCAGTGGAGGGACCCAGTTTCACTTGCAATATACCCCTGGGTGAAGGTGCCATTGCGCTCTACCCCTCAAACCAGTCCTGGGCAATGTATCACAACATTGCCCAGGGCTACTCACTATGTTAGTCTTAGGCGAGCCTTTCTTCCAAATAATTCACCTCTGAGCTATTCATTCATTCGATCTCTTGCCCTTCACTATAAGGGTCCCAGGACGAGTGGAAACAGCAAAGGCAGCACAATGTAAAAACAAAATATAAACATCCAGCCATACACAACAACAACTGGGCTACGGTGATGAGAGACACCCAGCCATGTACACACCCTATTATCAAAGGAAATGTTCTGGTTAATTGAAGAAAAGTGCTGGAATCGCAAACACAAATCATAAGCAGCAGTCTCATCTTCATAACAACAACAATATTGATATGCCACTTAATGCCAAAATAGGCTTCTAAGCCGTATGTGAAGTGCAAACGGCAGATACACAAGCATGGAAGTAGGAACATTCATAATTAAAATGCATTCCTAATTAAAATACGCAATAAGACAGTCCCGTTAAAAACAACACAGCAATTAAAACAGCAGGTTCAGATCAAGAGATCGAGGGAGTGCGAGCATAAACAGGTGTCTCTTCAAAAGCCAGCAGAATGCCAATACGGATAGAGCCTCTCATATACAGAGACAGACCCCTGGCCCTTCTAGCCTGCTATTACTAGTCTATTCTTAGGGCACGCGGTGGTGCTGTGGTTTAAACCACTGAACCTCTTGGGCTTGCCAATCAGAAGGTCGGCAGTTCGAATCCTCATGACGGGGTGAGCTCCCATTGCTCTGTCCCAGCTCCTGCCAACCTAGCAGTTCGAAAGCATGTCAAAGTGCAAGTAGATAAATAGGTACCACTGTAACGGGGAGGTAAACAGCATTTCTATGCGCTCTGGCTTCCTTCACAGAGTCCCGTTGCACCAGAAGCGGTTTAGTCATGCTGGCCACATGACCCGGAAAACTGCCTGCGAACAAACACCGACTTCCCTTGGCCTGAAAAGCAAGATAAGCGCTGCACCTCATAGTTGGATTTGACTGAACTTAACCATCCAGGGGTCTTTTACCTATGGTTAATTCTTAAAAAGCAGAGACATCACCTTGCCAACAAAGGTCCATATAGTTAAAGCTATGGTTTTCCCAGTAGCGATGTATGGAAGTGAGAGCTGGACCATAAAGAAGGCTGATTGCCGAAGAATTGCTGGTTTTGAATTATGGTGCTGGAGGAGACTCTTGAGAGTCCCATGGAGATCAAACCTCTCCATTCTGAAGGAAATCATCCCTGAGTGCTCACTGGAAGGACAGATCCTGAAGCTGAGGCTCCAATACTTTGGCCACCTCATGAGAAGAGAAGACTCCCTGGAAAAGACCCTGATGCTGGGAAAGATGGAGGACACAAGAAGAAGGGGACGACAGAGGACAAGATGGTTGGACAGTGTTCTCAAAGCTACCAGCATGAGTTTGACCAAACTGTGGGAGGCAGTGGAAGACAGGAGTGCCTGGCGTGCTCTGGTCCATGGGGTCACAAAGAGTCGGACACGACTAAACGACCAAACAACAATAGTCAATTCTATAGCAATGGCCCACTGTTTGAGGTGCAGAAAATGAAGCTAGGAATCTAGTTAAGGATTGCATCCCCCTGCACCCTTCTACTGGAGTGTGTGTGTGTGTGTGTGTGTGTGTGTGTAAGTAGGTCCCAGATCAAAGGTTCTAAGGTTCCACCAGCTCCCGACTTTCTGGGAGGTTTCAAACAGTCTTCCAAAGGCCAATCAATAGCGCCAGAGGACAATAATAGATTCCACTCATCACCAAGCTGATTAGGTAATTGCTTCCAAAAGGAAGCCAATCAGCAAATCAATGTCCTGCGTTTGGGACTGGCCGCTGGGCTGTTGTTGTTGCTCATTGCACAAATCAGTCACGAGCTGAGCACTGAACAGCCCAACATCTGGAACTCTTCAGCATTCTTTAGAGCACACACACAAAACCAAGGCGTACATTTTGACATGCACAAGGCTTGCGGAAATATGGTTCCAAGTACACAGATGCTGCCAGACGACATCTCTGGGGCGGAGCAGAAATATCCATAGGTCAAGGGGGCACCACTTCAGTGGCCTGCAGAGCTCTTTGCTGCAATTTATGCAAACGACCGAAATCGGCACCAGTTCCACTCATTTCGCAGATTGCAAAGACCCAGGCGGCGTTAGCACAGAGTCTGAGGCCAGGCACGGAATGTTAACGTGAGTCGCTCCAGTTTGGTTTGCAAAGTTCAGAGCATGAGGGGCCTGATCTTTGCAAATTCCAGTACAAACTGACCTGATCCACAGCCCAGATTGGAATGCTGCTAACCTTTGGATTTTGCACGTCTCTGACTTTTGCAGCACATACCGGCATGTTACCCAAATGTGTGTTTTAGGATCAAATCTGTTTAGAAAGGTGTTTTGAGCGAAAATATTTAAATACACTTCTACCCCTGCAGATTTTCCATACTGACATTTGCAAACTGTTGCAGAAATAGGGTGGACCCGAAACAGACTGACCCATCCATTCCTGTGTGTTATGCGTGCCTCCAAATCCCATCAATTGAGGTTTTATCCACCTACCCTAGGGATGCGGGTGGTGCTGTGGGTTAAACCACAGAGCCTAGGACTTGCCGATCAGAAGGTCGGAGGTTCAAATCCCCACAACGGGGTGAGCTCCTGTTGCTTGATCCCAGCTCCTGCCAACCTAGCAGTTTGAAAGCACGTCAAAGTGCAAGTAGATAAATAGGTACCACTCTGGTGGGAAGGTAAACGGCGTTTCCGTGTGCTGCTCTGGTTCACCAGAAGCGGCTTAGTCATGCTGGCCACATGACCCAGAAGCTGTACACCGGCTCCCTCAGCCAATAAAGTGAGATGAGCAGTGCAACCCCAGAGTCGGTCACGACTGGACCTAATGGTCAGGGGTCCCTTTACCTTTACCACCCACCCTGGATTTCAGAGTTTCCTCGTTTTCTTTCCAAAGTGGTCCAACGCATCAGAAATCCTCAATTGTTCAATTCCCAAATGGTATACAAAGCACTGGGGGGGGGCAAGAACACCCCCACACACAGCTTTCAGTTCCACATCTTCTCTAGTCTTCTATATTAGGGGTGAGCGGACTATGGGCTTTTGGGATCTAGTGGAAACCTGTGATCAATCAACAAGAGTGTGCAGAGGAGGGCAACCAAGATGATACAAGAGTCTGAAAACCAAGCCTTATGAGGAGCAGTTGAAGGAGCTGGGAATGTTTTGCCTGGGAAAGGAGACTGAGAGGAGACAGTTGACAATGGCTATCCTATCTCAAGGGCTGTCCCATGGAAGATGGAGCAAAGCAAGCTCCGTGAGTTTGTGGAAATGGCAAAATTGATGGCAATCATTAGAGGCCATTCAAATCAGGGAATAATTAAAGAGTGGGATGGAGTGAAGGAATACATGAAAAAATATGGTTCCAGAACTGGAATATTAATAGATAATGTGTAAAACATGCAGGGGTAAGCAAGGAAATAATAAGAGAGTCAATTGAATAATTATTAAATTACAGCAACACAACAAGATGGAAGAAGTAAAATAAAAAATATTGGGATCACACATGGATGAAGCAGAGTGGGGGGTATAGGGGATTTCTGTTCTCATCCTGAGGTAAAGTTCTTAACCTGAGGTACTATTTCTGGGTTAGCGGAGTCTGTAACCTGAAGCGTCTGTAACCCGAGGTACCACTCTATTTGGAATTTATCTACTCCCCTTCTGCACACCGCCTATAAATAAAAATAAAAATATTTCTATAAAAAGCCTGCCTCCCTGGCAGGTGCTATTCCAGCCCAGCCTTCTGCCATTATTAATAAGGGGGTCAGGGATATAGGTGCAGGTGACAAACACAAACAACCAGCCTCCAGAGGGAAAAGCAGGACTCATATGGCAGGACTCTTAATTGGCCCTCTCCGGCTGGAGGCATCCTAGGCAACCGCCTGGTCAGGTGTAGTGGCTAAAGTGAGCTGCAATGATCCAGCTCCCCACCTATTTATAAAACCAACTTATAAAAAACGAGGGTCTATGTGTTTGCATCTCTCCCTTTTATATAGATGGTGGAAGCGTGCAAGAAAATTGTTGAAACATATGCAATTGATTTGTATTTGAATTGGTATTGCTATTTGGTGTGAATATAACATGGCACATACAGTGGTTACAGACGCTTCAGGTTACAGACGCTTCAGGTTACAGACTCCACTAACCCAGAAATAGTACCTCGGATTAAGAACTTTGCTTCAGGATGAGAACAGAAATCGTGCGGTGGCAGCAGGAGGCTCCATTAGCTAAAGTGGTGCTTCAGGTTAAGAACAGTTTCAGGTTAAAAAAGGACCTCCTGAACGAATTAAGTTCTTAACCCGAGGTACCACTGTATTGGATTCTTGTAATTGAAAATTAATAAAATTACCAGTATTTTTTTAAAAATCAACAAAAAACAACCGTATTTTTAAATAACCCAGAACCAATGAAGAACACGGAAACAAATGAATTCTCTAGAAACAGAAGCACCGTCAGCAGGAGGACAAGGCCACTAATGGCTACTACTAGCCACAGTGACTATGTTTCACCTCCATTTCTCGCACCCCGGGGAAGATCACTCTCGGTGCTGCTAAACAGGGTGGTTTGACTTCAGCCCCCAGAGCAGGGGTAGGCAACCTAAGGCCCGTGGGCCGGATGCAGCCCAATCGCCTTCTCAATCCGGTCCGCGGACGGTCCGGGAATCAGCGTGTTTTTACATGAGTAGAATGTATGCTTTTATTTAAAATGCATCTCTGGGTTATTTGTGGGGCATAGGAATTCGTTCATTATTATTTTTTTCAAAATATAGTCCGCCCCCCAAAAAGGCCTGAGGGACGGTGGACCATGACTGAAAAAGGTTGCTGACCCCTGCCCCAGAGGCACACCCCATTGCTTCTCAAGACAGAGCTCGTCTTACATTCTCCCTCAAGGTGTCTTAACACTTTTATTCACAGATGGCCTCCCCCCCTCCCAAAAACATAGCTGGTCGGTTTCCTCCCTTTGCAGAAGTCCCATCATCTAGAGAGTCTAGTAATCCTTGCTTACAGATCTGCTCGGGTTCCATGGTGAATTTCCAGCTGTTTTCCAAAACAGAAGCACAACATGGCGTTCTCCGAAAAGAAGAAAGAGAAGGTTCTTTTTTACTGTATGTGGTGATCTTGTAGTAAGGTTAAAGCTTACTGGGGAATGATATATAATGAATTGAAAAGGGTGTTTAAAATACCATATTTTTCCGTGTGTAAGATGCCCCTGTGTATAACAGCCCCCTATTTTGGGGAACTCAAAATTAAGAAAATGCACTATGTACTTCTTTGGCGATCACTCATAGCCGAGTAAGATTGTCTTCCATAAACACGGTTTTAACAATGAGTTCGTAGGTGACTGTGGAGGCCAATTCTGGATCCACACTTCCTTCCACAGTGGGGACATTGGTTTCCGGGCGGGAGTTGATCACAGTGTGGATTTGCCAAGCGTGCCTTCCTCTTAGCACTTTTCTCCCTTGCGTCCTGAGTTCGAGTGTCTTCCAAGCCCATGACACCTTTGGTAAAGGCTGTTCTCCCACGTATAAGACCACCCCTTATTTTAAACTTCAAAAATTTAGGAAAAAATGTAGTCTTATACATGGAAAAACACAATAACTTTCATTTAAAAAATCAAAAGCCTTCTTTTTGGGAATTATAGGGACAGAACTACCTAATTTATATAGAAATTTATTCATGTATGCTACTACAGCAGCAAGAATGTTACTTGCCCAAAAATGGAAAAAAGAAGAAGTTCCAGCTGTTTACCAAAACAGAAGCACAACATGGTGCTCTCCGAAAAGGAATTTCCATTTCTGCACTAGAAAATAAAAAATTAATAGCTGACTCGGCAGGGATTAAGCTGATGTCACACATATTTCTTCAAGGCAGCGACACCCTGCCTCATCTGCCTGAACTCCACTCCTCATCATGTCCCAATTCCTGCCCCACTTCATGGTGCATCAAAAGGAGTATAGCATCTAGATCAAGGGAAGTAATAGTGCCACTGTATTCTGCTCTCTGGTCAGACCTCACCTGGAGTACTGTGTCCAGTTCTGGGCACCACAGTTCAAGAAGGACACTGACAAACTGGAACGTGTCCAGAGGAGGGCAACCAAAATGGTCAAAGGCCTGGAAACGATGCCTTATGAGGAACGGCTAAGGGAGCTGGGCATGTTTAGCCTGGAGAAGAGGAGGTTCAGGGGTGATATGATAGCCATGTTCAAATATATAAAAGGATGTCACATAGAGGAGGGAGAAAGGTTGTTTTCTGCTGCTCCAGAGAAGCGGACACGGAGCAATGGATCCAAACTACAAGAAAGAAGATTCCACCTAAACATTAGGAAGAACTTCCTGACAGTAAGAGCTGTTCGACAGTGGAATTTGCTGCCAAGGAGTGTGGTGGAGTCTCCTTCTTTGGAGGTCTTTAAGCAGAGGCTTGACAACCATATGTCAGGAGTGCTCTGATGGTGTTTCCTGCTTGGCAGGGGGTTGGACTCGATGGCCCTTGTGGTCTCTTCCAACTCTATGATTCTATGATTCTATGGTGACCCAACATGGCAACCCAACTATATACAATGGTACCTCGGGTTAAGAACTTAATTCATTCTGGAGGTCCGTTCTTAACCTGAAAATGTTCTTAACCGGAGGTACCACTTTAGCTAATGGGGCCTCCCGCTGCCGCCGCACAATTTCTGTTCTCATCCTGAGGTAAAGTTCTTAACCTGAGGTACTATTTCTGGTTTAGCGGAGTCTGTAACCTGAAGCGTCTGTAACCCGAGGTACCACTGTATTTACATAAGTGGAGGAGATGCTACAATCCTACATACACTCAGCGGAACTTGCCTCTGAGTAAGCATGCATAGGTTTTCATGTAATTACAGTATTTATCGGAGCACTTCTGTCCTACCTTTCTAAGGCAGAAGGAAATTCAAGGAGGCTTTCGAATGGAGATGTCATAAATAATAACCTCCCTTTCTGATGTTCAGCGGTGAGTGTCATAGCCATCCATGCACAAGAGGTATCAGCAAGAGGTACTATTCTGTTCTGCTTTTATTCATATGCAAACCACGTGCAATATGAAGAGTAGGATACAAATGCTTTGAAAGAACCAATAAATAAAACCCAGGGTTTGCAAATGTAACCCCCCCGCAAAAAGGGGGGGGAGAAAGGAGTTGGGGGGGAACATAAGCTACAGAATATCAATTGATGGTTTGGCGGGTGGGGGACAGAAAATCAGGAGGAAACGAGGAACTGAACAGAGTATTCTGAGAGGGGCCACTCTAAACTGCAACGTTTTGTTACAGGTCCTGCTTGTAGAAGTAATAATAGTAACATTTTTTTTTTACTAAAAAGACAACTATTATTACCAGTACAGTAGTAGCTCTGGATGCGAACGGGATCCGTTCTGGAGCCCCGTTCACATCCTGAAGCGAACGCAACCTGCGTCCGTGCGTGGGTGGGTCGCGATTCGCCGCTTCCGCGCATGCGCGTGACATCATTTTGACCGTCTACGCATGCACAAGCAGCGAAACCCGGAAGTAATGCGCTCCATGTTATTGCTTTGGCATTCCACAGCCCTGTTTGGTCCTCCCAAGTTTTCCATCCTTCTTAATTTCGGCCCCACCTTCCCGTGAACCCCGATGCACAGATGGCGGTTATGGACCAGAGGCCCGTTTGCTGTTAATCTTAAGAGATTGGAGATGGGAGGAAGCAGACTCTGAGCGAGCCGGCCTCCCGATGTTAACACAACCCTTATCTCGGGCGGCTCATTCCGGTCAAAATGCAGCAAGAAACAGCGCTTCCTTTGTTACTAGGGTTGTTTTGGCCAAGTAGCGGTTCTCAGCAGGAAAAGAGGAGGGTGAGGAACCCCCTGCCTCACCCAGAAATCCCCACATATACACACAGAGAGAGAGAGACACTTTGCTCCTCACGGGCTGGGACAGCGAAGTCGCCAGCCGAGGTCAGCGAGGGTCACTAATGGAGGCCAGTCTTGCAGCCGGGGGCGTTTAGCCAAAGGAAACCAGGACCCCACAGGGGAAGGCCTTGCAAGCCAAGGGGAGCAGCCAGGATGCGCTAAGGCGGAAAAAATGCAACACATGTTTCTGTTTAAATTCATGTCGGAGGGATAAGGGGGGGGGGGAGAGAAAAGACAAGAGAGAGGCAGAGGGAAAGGAAAACAATGGGATTTGCAAGCAGCAGAGATACCCAGAAGGTGGTCTCGAGGGCCTCTGCCTTCTCCTCAGCCACCACATGCCCAAACCCCGCAAGCAAAAGCAAAACGAACTCTCCAGGCTCCTTGGGGCAACTGCTCTAGGGGATTATTTGTGCAGCAGACACAGGAAATGCCGTATTTTTTGCACCATAACACTCACTTTTTTCCTCCTAGAAAGTAAGGGGAAATGTCTGTGCGTGTTATGGAGCGAATGCCTACGGATGGCGGGGGAATCTGCTGCAGTCGTGAGCAGAGGATCCATGGTTCCCCTTCCTTCCCTCCTCCGTGGCTCGCTTTGAAACAGCAAAGTGGGAGAAGAGCCACTGAGTGGGGAGGAGAGAGGGACAGAGAGCCTGCTTGCTTTAAAGGAGCAAAGCGGGAGAGGAGCCGCTTACACGAGTGTAAGCGGCTCCTGTCCGATTGGCTCCTTTAAAGCAAGCAGGCTCTCTATCCCTCTCTTCTCCTCACTCAGTTGGCTAAATAGCAGCAAAGTTTTTCAGCGAGCCGGGGAGGAGGGAGAGAAGCAGAGCCTGCTTACTTTAAAGGAGCAAAGCGGGAGAGGAGAGGAGCCTTCTCCTCTTATACCCCTCTTCTGCATTATTAACAGCATCCTCCTCCACCCACCCCATGCCTGTTCCTTGTCCCTTGAGTGCTTTTCCTTCCCTCCCCACTTAAAACGGGGTTACAAAGCATGGATCCACATGGATCCTCAGGATTTTTGCATTGGGCTACCCCAAACTCATCGTCAGATCACATGTCTGTGGCCACAGCATGAACCACAAAAATCATACATCCACTGTTTCGTTTAGAATATTTCTTTTCTTGTTTTCCTCCTCTAAAAACTATGTGCGTGTTATGGTCAGGTGCGTGTTATAGAGAGAAAAATACGGTAGTTTTCTCCCTTGCCAAAGGGAGAATCTCTTTCCTGTGAGCAAGCAACCAGAAAGCAGGCCTTTGGGGTTGCTGGGACACTCTTCCAGCAGAGATTCAGGCATTTAGTTTTTGGGTATCCCTCAAGGAGGTTTCCATGCTGCGCCTGCGCAGTTATTCGGACCATTGTTGAGAAGCAAGTCCAGTCCTTTTGATGATTCCTCCGTACTGCTTTTGATGACATCTGTGATGTTTGCGGGAAGCTGCCAAGCCTGGCTCAGTCCACCAGGGTCTTCTGTTATGAAGGGAGCGGCTCACCAGAGTTTCAAACAGGGAGACTTTTCCCTGCCCTATCAGGAGACGCCGGAAGCCAAGCACTGACGCCTTCTGGATGCAAAACAGTTGCTCTGCACTCATCTACGCCTTTCCAGTAGTTTTCTGTTGCATAAACTGACAAGAGTCAAATGACAGCTCCAACTAAACGCTGGGAAGAACATTCTGATGGCAAGACCAGACTCTCCTTCACTGGAGATATTTAAACAGAGTTTGGATGGCATAGAAATAAATTGAGCAGGGCCACATTCACACCGCATATTTAAAACACTATAATGCCACCTTAAACTGCCATGGCTTCCTCCAAAGAATTCTGGGAGCTGTACTTTGTCAAGGGAGCTGAGAGTTGTGAGGAGACCTCTGTTCCCCTCACAGAGCCACAATTCCCAGAGTGGTTTAACAGTCCAATCCCTCTTCCCAGGGAACTCTGGGAATTGCAGCTCTGGGTGAGGAATAGGGTTTTCTAAACAACCCGGAGCATCCTTCATAAACTACAGCTCCCAGGATTCTTTGGGAGTAGCCATGATTCTTAAGGCAGAGCTGTAAATGTATAGATGTGGGCAAGCTGAATCTGTCAAGATTCCCTCCTGCCACGCAGCAGCCGTGCCCTCTTGGTGTTTGTTAACTCTACACACAAAAAGCAGCAGGGTGGCGGCATGTGGATCAAAAATTAAGCAGGTCTCATGTTACAGTTCCTGAAAAATAATACAATATGCCTGAGAGGCTGTGTGTCACAGTGATGCGAGTGCCAGACTAGGCCCAGGGATATTCCAGGGTCAAATCGCTGCTCATTTTGGAAGCTCCCTGGATGTCATTGAGCCATTAACACACCCAAGAGGTTTGGTGCTAAAACCAGAGGTGGCAGAAGCTATGCTCCTTGCATTGAGCTCCCTGGAAGAAAGGCAGGATAAAAATGTAGGCACTGTTCTAGCAAGAGCAATAAATCTCGTGTAATATAAACTGGCATTCTGTTTGGATGCAAGAAAAGCCAAACTGAAAGAACCACCAAACCTATGCTTACTCAGAAATATGTTGAATAGAACTTATTTCCCACATTACCTGAGGGCAGGGGCTGGACTGGAGTCCAAATTTGGTTGCTGGCGCGACTGGGAGTCCTAACAGCCAAATGCCCAAGGTGACATGCCACTCCAAAGGGTCGGCAGCAAGACAGATGTTCAGCCCCCCTCCCTCTCTTTTTCCTGATGTGGTAAGATGAGATGGAAAGGGTCTTCAATCTCACTCTCGCCTTGCTGGCAAAACAAAATACAGTCGTACCTTGGTTTGCGAACGCCTTGGTACTCAGACGTTTTGGCTCCCGAATGCTGCAAACCCGGAAGTGAGTGCTCCGGTTTACGAACGTTCTTTGGAAAATGAACGTCTGATGTGGCTTCCAATTGGCTGCCAAAGCTTCCTGCAGCCAATCGGAAGCCGCGTCTTGGTTTCCGAACGTTTTGGAAGTCGAACGGACCTCCGGAACGCATTCCGTCCGACTTTCGAGGTACCACTATACTGCAGTCACTTTTCCCCAGCCCCCCCTCCCTGGGCAACCCATCCCACCCCCTGCTTTTCTCAAGAAAAGGAAACGTGGGGCAGCTAGTCAGCTGGGCTCTCTTGCCCCTTCAAGAACCTGCACCAAATGCAGCACATTCCACATGGAGATTTTGTTCAAAAAAGGTTGACATTGGCTAGGGGAAAAGGCGTAGGAAATGGTCTTGTTGTTGTTTAGTCATTTAGTCATGTCCGACTCTTCGTGACCCCATGGACCAGAGCATGCCAGGCACTCCTGTCTTCCACTGCCTCCCACAGTTTGGTCAGACTCATGCTGGTAGCTTCGAGAACACTGTCCAACCATCTCGTCCTCTGTCGTCCCTTCTCCTTGTGCCCTCCATCTTTCCCAACATCAGGTCTTTCCAGGAGTCTTCTCTTCTCATGAGGTGGCCAAAGTATTAGAGCCTCAGCTTCAGGATCTGTCCTTCCAGTGAGCACTCAGGGCTGGTTTTCTTCAGAATGGATAGGTTTGATCTTCTTGCAGTCCATGGGACTCTCAAGAGTCTCCTCCAGCACCATAATTCAAAAGCATCCATTCTTCGGCGATCAGCCTTCTTTATGGTCCAGCTCTCACTTCCATACATCACTACTGGGAAAACCATAGTTTCAACTATATGGACCTTTGTTGGCAAGTTGATGTCTCTGCTTTTTAAGATCTTACAATTACTCAATTGGCTTACCAAACTCAGTACTGTCTAGACTGACTGGCAGCAGAGCCCCAGAGTTATGGGTAGCACTCTCTCCTGTAGACGCTGGGAACTGAACCTGGGAGCTTCCTCATGTAAATGCTCCACCGCTGAGCTACAAAGCCATTCCCCCTAGTTGGGCCCTGCGTGGCCAAGGTCCTACAGCAGGGATGAGGACATGGTGCGTCCCCCCCCCCATGTTGGTCAACGGTTGAGGGTGATGGGAGCAGCATTCAAAATCAGCAGGGAGCCAGGTGCATTTTGCGACTGGGAATCGTCTGACTGCAAGCAATTTGAGAAGTCTAGGCGCCGCGTATGGTAACCGAGATTCAAGATTCAAGTTCAAATCTAGCACAATACAGTCATACTTCAGCTCCCAAACACCTTGAGAGTCGAACGTTCTGGCTCCTGAACGATCAAAACCCGTGAGTGCGTGCTCCAGTTTTCAAACTTTCTTTTGAAAGCCGAATGTCTGGTGGGGCTTCTGCGGCTTCCGATTGGCTGCAGGAAGCTCCTGTCGAACGGACTTCTGGAATGGATTCCATTTGGCTTCCAAGGTACGTCGGTACGTTACATAACACATATTACATACACAAATTATTGTTATTGTTTTTGGCCACAACGGCAGGGGCTGAGCCCCATTTACATTTGCGGCGCCCAATTAAGAATTGCTATTAAAAATGTGATATTAACAATGTGTCACTGATGCCAATAGTGTCATTGTTCATGCATTTCGATAAAATGAATAGAAAGTGCTGCTGTAATGAGAAAAAAGGTGACTAGCCATTCTGTTTTTGCACCCATATCCCAGGGTCCAGGAGCCACGTGGTGAATAGCTTTTCTGGATGGAAGTTGCAGGCCAATGCCATCTGCAAGGCCACAGGCTCCACATCCCTGCTATACCCTTTCCACACAGCTACCAGACAACACCCGCTCTTTCCTCCCAAATGTGAAGCTGCGGGGTGACAGAGAGCACTACACAATGGCCAGAAGGATCCGGGCCCACCTTCCAAGTCGGGAGAAAGGCCCTCTTCCCGTCACGCTTGCCAGAAGTCAGCAGCAGACTCGCCAGGGTGAGCAGAACTGCAGAAGGCTTGGACGGAGGGCAAATTCGGGTGGGCAAAAAAATCCGGCAAGAAAAAGAGAGGTTGTCTTAAGTGGGAGCCGTGAAAGAGCTCACTTGCGCTTCCTGCACACATCCCCTGTCAAAACCTTCAAGCCCACAGAGATTCCCGGCACGAGCCAGCTGGAATGACTTGTCCCTGAGGTGGACTCTACATTCTCCGTCTCAGTGTGTGACACACACACACACACACACACACACACACAAGTTTATCAAGAAGCAGTTTTGCTAACCAACAGCCAAGCAGCTCAAAGCCAGTCTCCCTGGACGCACATATCAACACGCGCTTTCCCCAATAGGAATCATAAAGCACAGAAGCAATCAGAGAACGAACAGCAAAAATGCAACACAGAGCGAGAAAAACCAGGAAAGGGCCTCTGGGCGGAATATAAGCCTTGTCAAGAAAAGAAATATGTATTCGCCACTTCCTTAAAGAACACGTTTCAGCAGCGGTTCCTTCCCTCCCCATTTTGCCTCCTGACCTGCTAATTCATTATTTTCTCTGCTGTCTAAGACCAGAACCGGAGCTGGCCGTGACATACCTGCGCCCCAATTCCTTCCTCTCTCCAAAGAAAAGGCTGATCCCGATCCAGCGGATTCCTTTTATTGGTTTGGTTTGGTTCTGGCCAGGAGGAAGGGAAAGGAATTGATGATGTGGGAACACAGCTAATAAACTCGGGACTTGCTGCACTCCTCCTCTGCCTCTTGAACTCTTGAGTACAGTCAACTCCACAGCTGGCCTCGAGAACCGCCCCACCCATTGCCCAAAAACTGTTTAAAAATCTTGGGAAGCCTAGGGAGGAAACTTCAAGAGCAAAGTTGGCAGGCTTTAATTGTATATCCACAAATGAACGCACAGAGGCACCTCTAGCTAGGAATGTTTTCTGCCCAACACACCTGTCAGGGCTTCACCCGAGTCTAGACCCAACTCTGTAAATTGGATTCAAAGACACAACTGAGCCCAAACCAAGTTATGTATTTGCTTACAGCAATTGTCTCTTGCTTTTCCTCCAGGGAGCTCAAAGCAACGTGCCGTATTTTTCGCTCCATAAGACTCACCTGACCCTAAGACGCGCCTAATTTTTAGAGGAGGAAAACAAGAAAAAAAATATTCTGAACGAAACAGTGGGTGTATGATTTTTGTGGTTCATGCTGTGGTCACAGACATGTGATCTGACGGTGAGTTTGGGGTAGCCCAATGCAAAAATCCTGAGGATCCATGTGCTTTTACCTCCCCCCTCCCAGGCAGCCTCCTTTATCACTAGAGTCCCTTATCTCCCCTCCCGATCGCTTGCTGATCAGCTGACCAGCGGCTTTGTTTCAACACCCCCTTCCCTCTTTTTTTTTAAAAAAAGCACGATCTGCTTTTTGCCCCTGGGCAATTCAGCTGCAGGGACCATGCATTTGCTCCATAAGACGCACAGACATTTCCCCTTACTTTTTAGGAGGAGAAAAGTGAGTCTTATGGAGCGAAAGATACGGTATAATAGTTTTCCCCCTCACCTCTCACTTCAACATCACAACAGCCCTGTAGGGCAGGCTAGGGCTGAGAGAGCAAGTGAGTGGCTGGCCCAAAGCCACTGAGACAGGTTCCTGGCCACATGAGGCAACATCAGCCACAGCACATACTTGCTCTAACCACTACACTGACATGTGAAGAAATTTCTCTTCCCAAATATATTTCACTTGGCTTTCAACCACCTGACGTCCCCAGCATCTGGGGATCCTTGAACCTGCACTGTTTTCAACACACTAATCCTACAACCTGTAGAATTCTATCAGTTACATTTTATCTGCACAATCGAAATGAATTTCCAGAACCAAATTGCTTTTTCTGTGCGGCCTGAGCAGGAGAAAAAGAGGTCAGAACAGGTCAATAAATATGTGGATTGTCCCTGGATCAAGCGACTTTTCTTCTTTAAATTCTCAAAGTTCTTAACCTAGCTTCAAGGTTGTCATCTGAACTAGCCGGATGCTTAATCAATCACAGTCAGCCCATCATTTGAAAAAAAAGACTTCAGAGCCATCTTGCCTAAAAATGGCAATGAGACATTCACGTTTTGGCGCCTAGCTTGTATATTTGAGTTTCTAACAATATTGTCATAATTAACAGGGCAACCCTATAAAAAAGGTAAAGGGACCTCTGACCATTAGGTCCAGTCGTGGCCGACTCTGGGGTTGCGGTGCTCATCTCGCTTTACTGGCTGAGGGAGCCGGCATACAGCATGACTAAGCCGCTTCTGGCGAACCAGAGCAGCGCACGGAAACGCTGTTTACCTTCCCGCCGGAGTGGTACCTATTTATCTACTTGCACTTTGACGTGCTTTCAAACTGCTAGGTTGGCAGGAGCAGGGACCGAGCAACAGGAGCTCACCCCGTCGCAGGGATCTGAACCGCCGACCTTCTGATTGGCAAGTCTTAGGCTCTGTGGTTTAACCCACAGCGCCACCCGTGTCCCATACATGCCTTCTAAACAGTAAGCCCCACTGATGCAAGTGGAACTAACCCACAGTCATGGGCACCACACGACTTTTTCCCAGGGTGGGAGATGTTAATTTTTTCCAGGGGGGCAAAATAAAACACAGAAGCAGGAAGAGCAGGCAATTTTTTCACACAAAGAAAACAGAAGAGTGTCTATCCATTTTGTCTCCTATCACAGGTTCTAAAAATGCTGGAAACTTTTATTTAAGGAAGCTGAGAGCCGGGGTCACACTTCACCGACAGGACAGGCACTGCTCCCTTGCATGCCCGCCCCCTGTGTACAACCATGCCCCCAGGTAAGTAGGTACAGAATAGCAGCCTTCACAAATAAGCAGAATACAAAAAAGCCCAGTATCCATATACTATTTGGAAAATCAATTTGACAAGCTACAAACTTTTTACCCGCTGAGATCAATACATTCCTACTGTGCCAAATATTTCAGTAAATAACAAGGAGAAAACAAGAGCCCATGAAACACAAGCGTTAAGCCTCTTTACTGCTAGCTTCAGCAGCTGCTATGATGAAAAACACCATTAAGGTGAGGAAGCTCACCCTGGAACCAACAGGACCCCAGAGAGAAAGATTCAGGAAGGAGCATCGGAAACGTCGTATACCATTGACAGCCAGCTCAGTGCTAGGAAGGGCCAGGGCAGGGCTGTGGCTCAGAGGCAGAGAATCTGCCTTGCAAGCAGAAGGTCCCAGGTTCAATCCCAGACATCTCCAGGTAGGAGATGGGAGAGAGCCCTGCTGGAACCTGGGAGGGCCGCTGCCAGTCAGTGTAGACTGTATGGCGCTAGATGGACCAATAGTCGGATGAAATACAGGGCAGCTTCCAATATTCTTATGTGCCACCCGTTCTGGCTAGCAGGATGTTAGACGGGAGTCTTCCCAGGAATTGAACCTGGATGGGGAGCACATTTTCCTTCCACTGAGCCACAGCCTCTCCCCACCAAGCTAGCTCAGAACCTTCTATCCCAGTCTCCACCCAGCTGATGACCTCCAGGGGTCAGAGGGCACCAGGCTGGCTGGCAAAGCCCACTCTCAGCAGAAAATCCAGGTTGCGTTGGCAGTGCATCACTGCATCGCCACAGCCTAACCCAACCTACTGCATGCATGTGTTTTTTTGGGAAATCAAGCACCATGCGCAACTCCACGCTTCTTTCCTTCTCCCCACGACCCCAGAACACAGCGATATCAGCAACTCTGCAACGCCCCGCAACTTTTAAAAAGTCTTCTTGGCAAATGTCGCACTCCTGCCGAAAAAGGAACCCAGGAATCCTGGTCAACAAGACACTCTCGGTTGTTGTTGGTTTTTTAAGTGTCACAAAGTCCGGGGACGAAGGTGGCAGAAGGCCAAAGGAAAACATCTGGAGAAGCCTGGGAGGACCTAGCGGGCAAAAGCCAGGACTCCTGGGTTTCACTAACGCAGCTGAAGCCCCTCTGGAATTCGCCCCATGCCTCTCTCATTAAACAGGTGGATTTGGCTGTGCTGTGCCCTGTCTGGCACTCTTCTCCAACCAGGTACGAACCATACCTGTGTTTTCCCAAAGGATCCCTGTTCCTGCTTCCCCCTTCCCAGCACGCTCAGACGCCTGCTCCTCCAGGAACCGGCTCCAATCCTCCGTGTGCCGCCACCTGCAGTCCCAGTCCCGGACCAGCAGAAACCAGGACTCTTGGCTTTCGATCTCCACCCACCCACCCAAAAAAGGCACACCCCCACGAGCCTCTCCCACCCAGAGGAGCCTCGGCTTCCCCTTGTTCTGCTGGCCTGACTTGTACACCCATCTCCCAGGAGGTGGAAATCCAAGAACAGCAAGTCAGCCCCCCCTCCCCTCCCCACCGCCGACCGTGGGTCCGATTGACCCCACTCCTCCTCCCAAGCCCCCTTGCTCTAACCTCCTGGTAGCTGCGCACCCCAGAGCCCCCAAACTGTCCAAAGGACCCAGGCGTCCCGATTCCCTCCCACCTTGGTCCTAGACCCCCCTAAAAAGCCAAACAAAATTGGGAATAGACACCACCACCCCTGCTATGACCTATGCTATCAGACTCCGTGGAAGGGGTGGGACCTAGAAGTCCATCCCAGAGACCCTTCTTTTGACATCCAGTCTGCTAGATCCCCTTCGCCTAAGGAACCCAGGCGTCCTAGCTCAGCCAGCGCCCCCCACCCACCCAAAAAGAAACCACCCCGGCCCTCCCGTGCCCCTCTCACCTCTCGCGGGGCGCTTCCATCCACCAGGCGCCTCCTCGCCGGAGAATCTATGGGGTGGGGGGAAGCGGGAGGGCGCCGCCGCTCTCTCGCCTCGGGATGGGGGGCGGGCAGGCAGGCAGGCGATCACAGCCCGCGCGCTTTCCCCGGCGGGAGCGGGGAGCAGGGGAGGCGGAGGAGAGGGGTCCCGGCTGGGCTCCGTCACCCCCGAAAGCGGCCGCGGCTGGGCGGGGGGCGCGGCGCCGACTTCGCCATTGCTAGCGCAGCGCGGGGCTGGGATCTCATTGTCTCGAGGCTGGGGCGGGGAGGGGGCGGGGCTCCGGGACGCCCCGCCCCTCCCGAGGGGTTAAAAGCAAGCGCCGACTCCCCCACCCCCGCCAGTTCTTCCCCACCTTCCAGCTCCAGCTCTTTGCTCCCGGTGGACTCGATCCAAAAAGTGGGCAATATTGATAATCGTTAGATGGAGTGGAACTGAGATGGGGGGGGGGCGGAGTAGGGCGTGGAGAATTCTTTTGTCACACTAGGATCCTTCTTAGAGACCCTTGTGGTTTAATGTGTATATTACCCCTTCCCTTGGAGCCACACCCTCTTTCCGTGCTTAATGAAGTTTTTATCGCCTGCCTTTCTGCTTAGAAATGGGATGTTAGGCGTCCTTTTCGTGGGACGCAGCGAGCCTTCCAGTTGCACAGAATTATTTCATCTTGCAGAATTTATATACCGCTCTGAGCTGCGCGCAGGCAGGGATTTCCACCCCTGTTCGACCCTGTCACCTCAGGATCCCTGATTATGTAACAACTAGCTGAGATTTGTCGGTAGGTTGGGGAAAATGCACTTTGCACATGCTTCTATGAGTCTTTATCGTGTCAGGTCTTCTGGGCTTGGCATGGAAAACAAATGGCAGTGCTGAGCTGTGTGTCCCTGACTTGGGGGGGGGGGAATTGGTCCCTTGGGATAAGGATATTATGATGTGTTTAGGATTGTTAAGGGGAGAGAGAGCTGCTCTCTTACCTTGGGAGGTTAGTGTTTTTAGGATGTTGGAATTTGGGGGGGGGGGTGTTTCTGGAAAGTTGCTGCTTTCTGATGCTTCCAGCTGTAACATATAAAGTCCTAAACAGACTGGAGCAAAAGGTTTCTAAAGGACCTCCTTTAAGCGTTAGCATCTCAGCTCTCAAAGTATCCCACACCAAACTCACCTGGCACCTTTGCTATTATTACCTTTTAGTTGTCAGGCAATCCATTAGTACAGTGGTACCTCGGGTTACATACGCTTCAGGTTACAGACTCCGCTAACCCAGAAATAGTGCTTCAGGTTAAGAACTTTGCTTCAGGATGAGAACAGAAATCGTGCTCTGGCGGCGTGGCAGCAGCAGGAGGCCCCATTAGCTAAAGTGGTGCTTCAGGTTAAGAACAGTTTCAGGTTAAGAACGGACCTCCGGAACGAATTAAGTACTTTGGAGTTAAAGAGCTCTTTCACCCTCTCCTCCATCGGGTCCTCCTGCCTTTGTGGCTCCAGGACCGAGGCCCAAATATCTCACCTCCCAGGGGCAACCATGTCACATAGCTACACTACCACGTAATGAGCTGAATGGGGCTTGGTCTGCAGCTTGAAAACTGCAGCGCAGGCAAGGTTGGATAGCCAGAAGGAGAAACCGAGGTATGTTGATACGATTCTCAGGGGTGCTTAAACACACTTAACTTCAGCACACACGCTATAGGCACACAGATAATGTTTTGCTAGTAAGGGTCTTCATCACTCACCTCCACAGGAAAGGACATGTTTCTCCGTTCTCACAGTAAACGTATTTCCAGTTTGAGAATGGGACACCAGCATGGGCCAATATCGGCCTATCTTTCTCCCTTTGGAAAGGCCTCCACAAGGCTTTATAGGCAGACTTAGAAGTCTGGAATAAAACCACATTGTGAGAACTGAAGTCTTGAGATTCTTTTGCAATGAACATGCTGGGTGAAATGTTCTCCCAGTGGGAATGCCGTGCCCTTGTCGCCTGGCCTAAATGTGGGCCAGAGGCGAATATCGAAATGTCTGTGAGGGTGGGAAGTGGAATGTGGTGAACTGACTACGGAGGACAATATTTACCACAGTTCATGGAGAATATCGGCACTGCCATTTTCCGCATGGATAAATGAGGGACGCTGGTGGATAAATGAGGGACGTGGGTGGCACTGTGGGTTGAACCACAGAGCCTAGGACTTGCCGATCAGATGGTCGGCGGTCTGAATCCCCGCGACTGGGTGAGCTCCCGTTGCTCGGTCCCTGCTCCTGCCCACCTAGCAATTCGAAAGCACGTCAAATTGCAAGTAGATAAATAGGTACCACTCCGGCGGGAAGGTAAACTGTGTTTCCGTGCACTGCTCATGTCTTGCTGCTTAGACATGCTGGCCACATGACCCGGAAGCTGTACGCAGGCTCCATCGGCCAATAAAGTGAGATGAGCGCCACAACCCCAGAGTCAGCCACAACTGGACCTAATGGTCAGGGGTCCCTTTACCTTAACATTTTAAATAAACATGATGGGCATCATCAGTGTGTTTCCTAGTAGAAGGAATTGCAGCCGTTAGTGATGCCAGATGACTTGTATTTTTGAGCATCCATCCATCCTGATTGGCTTGAATGGCGTTTACCCGTCTTCCTGTTTCTCCAACTTAGGTCCCTAGCAGTTGTTGGACTACATCATCCCTGACCACTGGTCCTGCTAATCTAGGGATGATGGGAGTTGGAGTCCAACAGCAGCTAGGGACCCAAGTTGGAGATACACTGCATTGCTTTTCAGTGCATTTCCCTGCTACTTTCCTAACTGCAAAAGTCCATTTTTTAAGGAAAAAGAAAAGGCGGAGTCCTCGTGCAAAAGCCTTTCTGCCCACTTTGATTGCACAAACCTAAAGTTGAATCCTGACAATCTGCAGGTGACCTCTGTGGTGTCTTAAGGTGCTTCACATCAGTCATCCGTTTCTCTATTGCTCTTATCCAGAGAACAACATGGCGTCCCAAAAACGTGAGCATGATACCCAGGTCCTCTGCCAAGCTCATCTCTGTGGAAACCAAGGTGACAAGGTGACACTTCTGCGCTTGTGGGGCTCCTCACATTCTGTGGATCAGAACATGTGTGGGCTTAGCTCCCGGAGACAGGCAGGAAGGAGGGAACGTACTTATCAGTCAGCTTGTGTTTTACTGTTTATGTTATCAGAGTGTCTGTTCAAGCCATCTGTGTGTTTTCAGATTTCCCACCAGCCCCCCTTTTTGTGGGTGTAATGTGTCTATGTGTCGTCTTCAGGCTCGGCTCTCTTCTGCAAGATGGGCTTGTGCCTCTGTATTGTGTAACTACCAGCTGGTTGTGCCTTTCCTTCTTCCTTTATTTTGTGTAGCCGGTTGTCTCGGTGAACTTATGCATGCTAGAACATTGTGCCCAGTTTGATTCCCTGAGCTCCCGTGTTTTGTCTTACTGGGGGTAACTTGCAAGGATCTGAACAAGAGCTGTGTTTGTGATGTTGGCTTGTTAATTGCTTGCCCACAGGTCTGGAGATGGAATCTAAAGCATGGGCAAGCGTGGGTCAGAAATACCATAACTACACACACATACAAACACACACGAGGTGCCTTTTTGCTTGCTGTTTCTGCCACCTCAGTTCCCGTTGCCAAAGAGGCACGCTCCACTGCGCTTTAAAAGACGCTTGCCTTTTTAGCTGTGGAAAGTGCTCCAGCAAAATGGGTGCCAGTCAGGTCAGTAATAATTGACAGGGCGTCAGCGAAGTTAACTCTTTATTCAAAGAAACAAAACAGCTCAGGCCTAGTGAGCACAGCAGCTCTTCCCAGTAGATCTTGCCCCAATGAGGCAGTTGCCAGGACTGAATGTCCCCACCTTCCCACCGACCCTTAAGTCTTCTCCTCCCTTGGTTCCTTCCCAAGCATTCTGAGACTCTTTCGTCTTGTCTGTCTTTGCTCCACCCTCTTCATGCCTCTTTGGGTTCTGAGAGACCAGGGGAAATGGAAGCTGCCGATCACAGGAGGAGAAAACATCTGAGCCGAACTCATCTCTGTCTCTTGGCCCTCCTCCTTTCCAGCCTCCTCTTCTGCCTCTTGTTCTAGACTGCTCTCTGGCACAGCCTCTTCCTGCTCACTAAACCCTGTTACCTTTTCAGCTTCTGACACCTCCTCCTCCCGGTCTTATCCCACTCTTCCTCTGACCACTTTCTGTCACACACCCAGCATGCATCCCTGCCTCTTTGATGGATCTTGGCCTTCCTATTTTATCACTTGTGCTCCAAGGGCTGTGCTGGGATGCATCTGTGGCTTTTGTACAGCTCAGTTCTGAGTTTCTGTATAGAAACTGCACAACTATGCTTGAGTAGCAATTTTTCCAGAAAAAAGAGAAGCCAGAGCTCTCTTGCTGTCTTGGAATGGCAACGGGCGCCCACCTGAGAGGTTCCCGAGCTGAACTCCGGCTGTAAAAATAAATTTTAAAAGCCCTGGGGATGTCTGTCTGTCTTGCTGGAGTGTTTGCATTGCATTTCCAAAGTTTTCCTTGTGTCAGCGTAGACTTGCAGCCGTTAACTCAGAGAACTTCAGGAATTTGCAGCAGGTTGCATATAAATGGCCACAAGACAGACAATGTTTACTGTTGGTGGTTAAACAATGAAAAAGCAGACAACCTTGAGGCACATGGTGCATTCCTGTGCAGAAAGGCCAAAGCTGTATAGATTGCGTTCATAAAAATTGCCAGCAGGGCTGACACAGTGAAGAGGCCAAAGGCCATGTAGACCATGGGTAGGCAAACTAAGGCCCGGGGGCCGGATCTGGCCCAATCGCCTTCTAAATCTGGCCTGCGGATATTCTGGGAATCAGCGTGTTTTTCCATGAGTAGAATGTGTCCTTTTATTTAAAATGCATCTGAAATATACTCGGAGTCGAGTGTGGATTTCATGCTTTTTATTCAGCTCATAGTAGTGAGGAATGAAAGTTCCCCCAAATTATCTGCTATATATACATTATTTACACAATGGGTCGCACGTGATTGGCTAATTCTGGGATTCTCCTGTAGGCCAATCAGGTTGCGGATTAACTTCCACCTGGAGCTGGATTGGGTGGCTCCTGTGGACCAATCATACTGCTGCATTGCTCTAGGACCAACCAGGGTGCTGCATTCTGAATCCTATTGAACTCAGTACATAACAGCATCTCTGGGTTTTTTGTGGAGCCTGCCTGGTGTTTTCACATGAGTAGAATGTGTGCTTTTATTTAAAATGCATCTCTGGGTTATTTGTGGGGTATAGGAATTCATTATTTTTTCCCCCCAAAATATAGTCCGGCCCACCACAAGGTCTGAGGCACAGTGGACTGGCCCCCTGCTGAAAAAAGTTTGCTGACCCCTGGTGTAGACATTATCCAATTAAAGCACATGATTGTTTTCACCCAAGGAATCATGGGAACTGTAGTTTATCATAGTCCTATGGCTAGGTCAGGATGGCATGGGGATGAGGGACCAACTCCCTTCTCTTGCGGGGGCCCAATTAGTGCCATTGCCTTCCGTTAAGAGTTTGGGTGTAATCCTTGACGCCTCCCTTTCCATGGAGGCGCAGGTTACAGCAACAGCCAAGGCGACATTTTTCCACCTTCGCCGCATCAAGCAGTTGGTCCCTTACCTTTCCCGCCCCAACCTGGCCACAGTGATCCATGCAACAGTCACCTCCAGGCTTGGCTACTGTAATTCGCTCTATGCAGGACTGCCCTTGAACCTGTCCCAGAAACTCCAGCGGGTGCAGAATGCTGCAGCGAGGCTCCTCACGGGGTCTCTGCCATGGGAGCATATTCACCCAGTGCTTTTCCAGCTGCACTGGCTCCTGGTGGAGTACAGGGTCAGATTTAAGGTGCTGCTTTTGACCTTTAAAGCCCTTCACGGCCTAGGACCCTCGTACCTACGGGACCGCCTCTCCCGGTATGCCCCACGGAGAGCCTCAAGGTCCATAAATAGCAACACCCTAGTGGTCCTGGGCCCTAAGGAAGTTAGATTAGTTTCAGCCAGAGCCAGGGCCTTTTCAACACTGGCTCCAGCCTGGTGGAACGCTCTGTCTCATGAGACCAGGGCCCTGCAGGATCTGATTTCTTTCTGCAGGGCCTGTAAGACAGAGTTGTTCCGCCTGGCCTTTGGCTTGGAGCCAATTTGATTCCCTCCCTCCCTCTCTTTCTTTTTTCTTTCCCTTCTCCTCCTGCGATGAGGCTACATTTTAATATTTTAATGTTTCAATATTTTAATGTTGTATTTAAATTTTGTTTTTAAGTTGTAATCATTCAACTTGTTTTTATTATTGCTTGTAAGCCGCTCTGAGCCCGGCCTTGGCTGGGGAGGGAGGGGTATAAATAAAAAATATTATTATTATTATTATTTATTCATTTATACCCAGGATTTTTTTGGTGGGGGGAAGGAACACGCTTTGAATATACACAGCCTCGTTCGCCACTGTTCAGAGGGTGGGATAAGATCTAATGAGTTTAAGCTACGTGAGGGTAGATTTAGGTGGAACACCAAACAAACTTCTTGATGGTGAGAGGAGTTCAACAATGAAACAGACAGTGGGCAGCCATCTTTTATGGGAGCTCTGGGTCTGGATTTCCAGCTTCAAGCTGGGGTGTGGACCAGCTGGCCTGCAAGTCGTCCTGCAAGTCTAAGATACGAAGTGATTTCCGCACGAGATTGCGGCAGCCATTTTGGGTGCCATGATCTCACCCGCTCTCATGCTTCACTATCGCCCTGAAAAAATCACTTTTTTGGGGCGGGACTGCAATCTTGTGTGGCACCCCAAAACACACATTTTGGGAGCCATACAAGAATTCACCCCTTCCAAAAGTGCTTTTCAGGGGGTGAGAGCGAGGCGCAGGTCACATGACACAGTTTTGAGTCCTAAAACGTTGTATGGTGTGGCTATCCCATTCTCCCCAGAATGGCCGTGCCTCATGTCTGAGGAGGTTGGATTCTGCTTATTGTAATGGCGCGAATGCAGCTTTTTATCCTCTTCACCTTGTTCCTAATTTCTAATTAGTAGCAAAAGCAACGTACATTGTGCAAAGGTGTGCAAAATTGCCTCAGTTTACACCATTTTAAAACGTCTTTTCCACACATGCACACACCCTCAGTGCAGAATTCTGGGATTTGTTCGTTTTATAGAGAAAAAACAGGATCCGAGCACTCCCTTTGGGTACAGTTTGTGCCTCAGGCTCTTACACCATAAATCTGCCTGAGGGAAAGCTGTTTCCATTTGCAGCTTGGCCATGATCCAAGGCAAGAGGTAGACACACTTAAGCCTGTTGAAATAATTGAATTCTGTTTTGTGTTCGCTGATTGAGGCATGTGTTTCCAAATTGCTCCAGCGTGTTTGTGTGTGTGAGAGAGAGAGAGAGAGGGAGAAATGCTTTGTAATTGTCGCTCTGTTGTGGGTCTTGCATGTGTGAATAACATTGCTCTCCTAAATCTCAGCATGTGCTAAGTCTTCTTTTCCTCTTTCCTCTTGAGAGGTACTTTGCATTGGTGGTCTTAATAAGTCCACATGTGTTCACCAGCTCAGTCCTGCAAATCCTTGCCCCTTTGTGTTGTCGTTTACAGGCAAACGCATATTTCCTGAGGTAGCAGAGAGTTCGAGAAGAGAAGTTGCCGGACTTCAGCTTTCATCGCTCCTTGCCTAATGGGGAGGGATAATGGGTTTTGTAGTCAAACAACACCAACACAGAGTTGAGGGCGGGAATCCACTGCAGTTTGCATTTAAAGGCAAACCTACCCAGTTCACACTTTCTGAAACAATATGTGAACCGTAACACCACCATTTAAAAATGCAGTCATACCTCGGGTTACAGCCGCTTCAGGTTGCATTTTTTTCGGGTTGCGGACCGCCAAAACCCAGAAGTACTGGAACGGGTTACTTCCGGGTTTTGGCGGTTGCGCATGCGCAGAAGCGCTAAATCGCACTTTGCGCATGTGCAGAAGTACCAGATCACAACCCGCGCGTGCGCGGACGCAGGTTGCGAATGCTGCAGGTTGTGAACGTGCATCCCACACGGATCGCGTTCGCAAGCTGAGCATCCACTGTGTTAACGGAAAAATCCGAGGGCTCCCTTGGACAAAAACAAAGACACCAACCAGGATAACTTGGAGCAAAACAGCAGCCTGTAGGCTTGGCCTTTATTGATCTGTTGCAACAGGGTGCTCCCCTCACCTGCAGGAGAGAGGAGGGACCCAGAAAAATGGTGTGCAAGGCCTTATAAAGACTTTTGAAATTGCCACCCTGTAGATCAAGACCACCCCCAGAAACATCATACATACATCACAGAAGGGGTGTAACCTAAGACCACCCCTCAGATACATCTCACCTACATCACAGAAAGGAGGGGTTGAGGGAGGAGTTGTGGTGGTAACCTGAGTGTCCTGTCACCTGGCTGGTTCCCCCTTTCCCCCTCCCCATGAGTACTTTCCAGGTGACAGAGGAGAGTTTGCAGTTTCCTGCCCCCAGAGGGAAGAGCTGATTATTGTCCTTTGTTCCAGTCCGTGCTGAATCCACTCCTGTATGCAAGTTCTTTGTGATCTTGATGGTCTTCTGTCCAGGACCATCAAGGTTGGCATAGCAACTGGGCAGGGCTCCTGTGTATGTGCTGGTATGCTCAAGGGATTATGGCTGCCCTGTATCAAACCTTCCCCATTTTGTAGTCCTTCCTTCATGGAGTAAAATAAAAGTGGAACAGTGCAAATCCGATGTATGGTTGATTTTCTATGAATTTATAACAGAAGCGTAGCGTATGTACCGTGTGAGTGTGTGAAGTTTGTACAAACTGAATTATTGGGGGGGGGGGTTCCTGCGACAACTGTAAAAATAAAAAAATCCACGCTCCCCTGAATTTTACAATGCAGTTCTCCAGCCAAGTAACATGTACAAAAACACAAGCGCTAGGGTAAAGATGCACATATTATTGAAAATAGTGTACCCCAAAATGTGTTCTTTATGGGGAAATTTCTCCTTGTGGCTGTTTAAAGGCAATGATAGTACTTCAAATACATGGTTTGGGTGGGGTCTTGCTTCAACACTGGTGACAGGATAGTGCCCTGCACTGTACTTGAGGCAGCTGGCAAGATTGTGGGGTTCAGGAAAGACCCTTTGGCAACAGGTAGGAATGGCAAAGGGGGCCTTTGGAGGAGCAGCCAGGAGCTGCTGTTGCTACCGCCCATCATCATCTGCTGCCTGAGGCAGTTGCTTCACTGTGCCTAACAGTAGGGCCAGCCCTGACACAGAGACACAGACAAGGGGACCAAAAAACAACAGGAGGCTCTGTGTTTTGAGCTAAGAGGGGAAAGACACCATGTGATCCACGGCAAAAGAAAGATCAGTTGAGAGAGAAAGCGAGAGCACAGGAAGACAACAATATGTGTCGCTGTTCTTTTTTGCCTGCTGCTAATAAAAATCCTTACAGAACCTTGTGCATGGCACAGCATGTGGATTTGGGAGGGTCTTTATTTACTTCCAAGTTCCTAGTCCTCATTGCAAAGCACTGAGGGTGGTGTCAGGGCAAAGGCTGAAGTATTCATGCTCCCCGGCTGTATTCCCCTACTCGTCCTCACCTAGCTTATCCCCACCTCTCTTCCTTTAAAAAACTTTTTTGCTGATGGGGGGGACGGACCCCTGCAGAAACCCAAGCTAGACAAAGGAGATCAGATAGGGTGGATGTTCTGAAACAGGCCCCCTTTTTTTTATTCACTCTTGAGGACTTAAGTACCGAGACAGAAAAAGATCAGAGTCGCACACAGCTTGGACTTTCAGTTAAAATGCAACATTGGTCCGTATTGTGACTGTAATTCTAGTATGATTGCAGAGTGTGATGTTGCTCTATCCTTTATTCTCTGTGGTGGCCACTCTTAGTTACTGGAAGTTAAGAGTAACAACCAACTCAATTTAACAGGAGCAAGTTGGTGCTGAACCTTGTAGACAGGCGCTGTCAATTAACTGTGTGCCATCATGGAATAAGTCAGGGTGGAGATCTTATAGCCTGGAGGGCCAAATCTGCTGGATTCCACGCACCCCACACACAAGGAGGACTGTGAAGGAACCAATCACGCCTGTTATCAGCCAACTGGAAAGTGTGGATTTTGTTGACTGTTGCCTGATACGTTCCCCCTCCCGGGCAGAAAGCTGTCCAGTGCTGAACAGCCTCCCCCATGAGGAAGGGCAGCTTTAAAAGTACAGATCAATCTGTGTCTTCAAAAGCTCTCCTGTAGCAGAAGAGGTCCTTTTCTAGGTGTGTGTGGGCCCAATTGATTTCCCACCCCTCTGTGCCAATAACTCCTATTAGGAAAAGAAAAAGTTCCCTGCCCCTGCTTTTGGTGGATGTATAACAGCAGAGATCATGCCGTGTGAAACTTAAGGGTTAAATCTATTGTCATTAAAGTGAGCTAGCCAGGCAGGGTGGACGTGTTATGTAGCAACCAGGCAAAGTAGCATGATCTTACCTGAGGCAGCATGTGCCCTGATTGGCTGTGTAGTCCTGAGGGAGTTTTCCCTTTGTTCCAGTTCATAAATTTATTGTTCTAGCTGAAAGTCATGACAAACTTGTATTAAGCAATGCTTTTGAATTATGGTGCTGGAGGAGACTCTTGAGAGTCCCATGGACTGCAAGAAGGTCAAACCTATCAATTCTTAAGGAAATCAGCCCTGAGTGCTCACTGGAAGGACAGATCCTGAAGCTGAGCCTCCAATACTTAGGCCACCTCATGAGAAGAGAAGACTCCCTGGAAAAGACCCTGATGTTGGGAAAGATGGAGGGCACAAGGAGAAGGGGACGACAGAGGAGGAGATGGTTAGACACTGTTCTCGAAGCTACCAGCATGAGTTTGACCAAACTGCGGGAGGCAGTGGAAGACAGGAGTGCCTGGCGTGCTCTGGTCCATGGGGTCACGAAGAGTCGGACACGACTAAACGACTAAACAGCAACAACAATTAATAAACTAATAACAAAGCATACATCCATAATATTAAAAAGTCTGCAAAGACTTTGCCGGGTTCCTGAGCATTAAAACACAGTTTCCCTTGTGCATCTCTGACAGTTCTGATTGCTTTATATATTTGTTTGAATGTTTTCCTGCTCAGCTATACACTGTTTTGCTTCTGTTTCCTCCATAAAGTGTTATCGAGGTTTTGTCTCTGGACTCTGCATTCTTTAAGTGACTTTGCTAATAGCCTTAAGTACTGCTTCCAAGCTCCTCCCCTTCCTCTCTTTCCTGTGACAAGAAACCCTGCCGCAGGCCTGCATTTAGTGCCCTGCTAGGGAGCTGTGCTACAGTCATAAACTTGTTTATGGTACCACTACGCATGATGCCTGACTCAGTAAGCAGGACAGCACTGTGCTGTATCCCCTTGGGTGCTGCAAGGAACAGTTTATAACATCAGCAGAACTGAAGTGTGTGTTTATTTGTTGATTTTCGTAATTTACAGCCCTCCCTCCGTATGTAGACCTCAGGGGCAGGTTTCTCGTAACATCAAACACAAGCAATGGGATTTTAAAATCAGTTAGGAGAGAAAACCACGAAAAGTTATGACAAAAGCATTTGCTTAAATCATACTGCAGAACGACACACAAGTTGCGGTGTATTGATTACTTTTTTAAAAAAAATATTATTTGATTTTACAAATACGAAATTATAACAGTCCAATTACATATCCATATATAAAGATTACTCTGAATCTCGTGACTTCCCCCCATCCCCTCCATGGGGTCCTATTCTAAACATTCAAAACATTTACAACTGCATATTCTTCCACATCAATCCATATTGTCCACAGTATTTGTTACCTTACAAGTGGAATTAAAATCCTGCTAATGTTTCCATCTGCTTACAGTGGTCTCCTAGATAATGTATGAATTTCCCTCCTTCTTTCGTAAAGTTTTTGTCCTCTTGGTTCCTGAGTTTTCCAGTCAGCTTTGCCATTTTGGCAAACTTAGCTCGCCATTCCTCTCTGTTAGGGACTTTGTCTTCTTTCCATCTCTGGGACTAGTGTTTATGAGGTAAAAGCTGCAGGATACCAAGTGTCCCAACAGGAGTTGCTCTGGAAAAAGGATGCTTCCAAATCGCTTTCCTCAACAAGAGCTCAAATGCTAAATCAGGGACAGGGGACCAGATTTCGCTGGGCTACAGACACAATCATCCCTGGCCATCGTTATTCTGGAGTGAATGTTGACTTCCATCTGTCTCAAGAGACTATGGAAGGGCGTGCCTTTGTGAGTGAAGTCAAGCTCTTGGACAGTTGCATCGCCTGCTGTGGCTGTAAGGACTGATGTGGGAGAGACATGTTTTGTGGCAGCTGGGGTAGATGAAGGCGTCCAGTTGTGCTGCTGCAGATGCACCAAGGCGTATCTTCTCTCTGTGCTCCTCCCAGCAGTCCTTCCTCCTTTGGTCACTGCTGTGGATGCACAACCTGACTGTCTGTCTCCAGGCACTGCAGTTACCTGGAAAGGATTCCCAGACAGCAGGGCTGATGTTGCCAGCCTTCATGCCCCGTTTGCAGACGTCTTTGTAACACAGAGTTGGTCTGCCGATGGGCCTGGTGCTTGAAGCCAGCTCCTCGTACAACACATCCTTGGGGAGCCTGCCGTCTTCCATTCTGTGGGCATGACCAAGCCAGTGTAGACATTGGTTGCTGAGACAGGAGTGTGGACATGCTGGGAATGACATCTTTGTTTGAAATTCTTTTCCTGACTCAGCACATCTGGAAGGCATTGAGGCATCGCTCCTAGCAGTTGTCTTCTTCTTCTTCTTTGGTGATCGCTCGTAGCCGAGTAAGATTATCTTCCATAAACATGGTTTTAACAATGAGTCCGTAAGTGACTGTGGAGGCCAATTCTGGATCCACACATCCTTCCACAGTGGGGACATTGGTTTCCAGGCGGGAGTTGATCACGGTGTGGATTTGCCAAGCATGCCTTCCTCTTAGCACATTTCTTCCTTGCATCCTGAGTTCGAGTGTCTTCAAAGCCCATGACACTTTTGGTAAAGGCTGTTCTCCAAATGGAGTGCTCGCAGGTCAGAGTTTCCCAGTTGTCGGTGTTCATACTACATATTTTAAAAATTTGCCTTACTCTTTCCATTTTTAAGTTTGGAATAGAGTAGTTGCTTTGGAAGACGATCATCAGGCATCCACACAACATGACCAGTCCATCGAAGTTGATGCTGAAGAATCATTGCTTTGACACTGATGATCTTTGATTCTTCTAGTACACTGACATTGGTTTGCCTGTCTTCCCAAGTGATGTGTAAAAATTTTTGGAGACATCATTGATGGAATCTTTCGAGGAGTTGGAGATGGTGTTTATAAGTGGTCCAGTTTCACAAGCATACAGTAAGGTTGGTAGGACAATAGCTTTGTAAACAAGCATTTTGGTTTTCCTGCGAACATCCTGGTCCTCAAACACTCTGCACTTCAATTGGGAGAAAGCTGCACTTGCAGCATGCTCAGGACACAAGCTTGGTAGACCTTCACCTTGGTATCAGACCTTAGCTTCACAGGGGCCTGGGGCCTGAAGCCAGCACATCCTTGGGGATTCTGCCATCTTCCATTTTGTGGCCGTGACCACATAGAACATTAAAAAAACAGAAAGCATTAGATTAGGGAAAGTAAGGTAAAGGTAAAAGGACCCCTGACCGTTAGGTCCAGTCGTGACCGACTCTGGGGTTGGGGCACTCATTTTGCTTTACTGGCCGAGGGAGCCGGCGTACAGCTGGTCATGTGGCCAGCATGACTGAGCCGCTTCTGGCGAACCAGAGCAGTGTACGGAAACACCGTTTACCTTCCCGCCAGAGTGGTACCTATTTATCTACTTGCACTTTGACGTGTTTTCAAACTGCTAGGTTGGCAGGAGCTGGGACCGAGCAACGGGAGCTCACCCCATCACGGGGATTCGAACCGCCCACCTTCTGATCAGCAAGCCCTAGGGTCTGTGGTTTAACCTTTTGCCAAATTGCATGCAAAACCGTGTGTATTCGGAGAAATTCACACTAAAACGCTGGAAGGTTTTTATGAGGACTTTTTTTAAAAAAGTGCAAATTGGTGCGGAAATGGGAAGAGCTGGTTTGAAAAAAGGGAAACCTTAATTGACACACAAACACACACACATATAGTAAGCCATCTCTGCTGAGTGGGGCCTGGGACTTCTGCCCCAGAGTCCTGCCCTGAGAGCACAGCTGATTCAAATATGCTGATGGCCACAGCCTTAAGTTATACAGACTGGGGGGGGGGGTGAGATGTCATCATCTTCTCCTGCTCAACTGGCTCTTGCTGTTTTCCATAGCAGGGGTCAGACAGCCACTTGCCTGCAGGTCAGATCGTCAGGGAGCCCTACAGAAGCTTTGCTCTCTCTTGGGAAGCATTCGGCTCCATGCTCTTGCTTGAATTATTCAGAACCTTTGGCCCGGGGTGTCCGTTTTAGCTGCGCCTCTGTTTATCTGCTTGGGGTTTAATGTCTCCCCCCCCCTCCATATTAATGCTTTCTGAGCTTCTCATGACTGTGATCAAAAATCACTGGAATAATAAAAATTCAAAATGTGTTGGGTTTCTTTTCTTCTTTATTATTGTAACTCACTCTACGTGGGGCTGCCCTTGAGACTGACCCAGAAACTCTAGCGGGTGCAGAATACCGCGGCGAGGCTCCTTACAGGGTCCTCGCCATGGGATCACGTTCACCCGGTGCTATACCAGCTGCACTGGCTCCCGGTGGAGTACAGGATCAGGTTGAAGGTGCTGGTTTTAACATTTAAAGCCCTATACGGCCTAGGACCCTCGTACCTACGGGACCGCCTCTCCTGGTATGTCCCACGGAGGACCTTACGGTCTTCAAACCAAAACATCTTGGAGATCCCGGGCCACAGGGAGGTTAGGCTGGCCTCAACCAGAGCCAGGGCTTTTTCGGCTGTGGCCCCGATCTGGTGGAACACTCTGTCACAAGAGACTAGGGCCCTGCGGGACTTGACATCTTTCCGCAGGGCCTGCAAGACAGAGCTGTTCCACCAGGCCTTTGGCCAAGGCACAGTCTGACCCCCTCCTTCTGTAATCCTCATAGAACTCTAGCCCAATGGTTGCCATTAATTTGATTCTGAATTGATTTTAGAATGTATTTCAATTAATTGACTGTGATTTTATGTAAACTGTGCTGTTTTTACTGTTGTTAGCCGCTCTAAGCCTGGCTTTGGCTGGGGAGGGCAAGATATAAATAAAATTTAAAAAATATTATTATTATTATCATCATCATCATCATCATCCTCATTTTATTTATTTAAAGAAAGCCTCAGAGCAGCAACATACCGACAGCAGCAGGATTAAAACATTTGCAGCAGGGAACCTGTGGCCCTCTAGATGTTGTTGGATGATGACCCCTGAGACATCAACTGTGCTGGCTGGGTGTGATGGCCTGGGACTCGGACTCGGAACCAGAGGAGTCTCAGTCTGGATCCTTTGCCTCAGGCATCATCTGAACCAAGTCTGGGGCCTGATCCTGAAGAGTCCCAGTCTGCAACAAGCACCAGCTGGGCCGAGTCAGGGGCCTGAGCCTGCCCTGGCTCCAGATGCGGGGATTACCTCGTTGCCTTCAGCTGGGCCATCGCTTACAGCTGCTCCACTACCAGTTGGGTCAGGGGAGGCTGAGGTGGCCTCTGGGTCTAGTAACCCACCAACGTCTCCCCAGCAGCAGAGACTAAGGTCTGAGGGAAGGAGAGACCTGAGTACTCGCAGGAGGAGTGCTCGCCTTCGGGCAAAACAGGGAGGTGAGTCGCTGGGGGATCAGGACCGGCCATTACCCCGACAAAGATAAAAGGCTGTCAGACCCCGCCCCAGGTTGCAGGAGCAACATTGCTGTATGCCTGAGATCCTGTACCTGTCCTTGCCTGGTCTCCTGCCTCGTGTCCTGCCTTGGCCCTGTCGGACTGACTCCGGATTCTGGTCCGGTCCTGGACCGCTTTTCATGGGTTACCCCCGGGCCCAGCACACTGGGGCAGGTGGCTGCTGGCAGTCCAGCAACCCCTATAGGTTGAAGAGGCTTTGAGCCATAGAATCATGAACTCACAGAATTGTAGAGTTGAAAGGGACCTTGAGGGTCATCTAGTCCAACCCCCTGCAATGCAGGAATCTCAACTAGATCATGGCTGACAGGTGGCTACCCAACCTCTGCTTAAAAACCTCCAAGGAAGGAGAGTCCACAGCTCTTACTGCCGGAAAGTTCTTTCTGAGGTTTAGTTGGAATCTCCTTTCCTGTAACTTGAAGCCATGGGTTCGAATCCTACCCTCCAGAGCAGGAGAAAACAAGATAACAAACTTTTTATAGAAGAATGGAAATGGCTTATTGAATATTTACAGATAAATTGCAAACAGATAAAAACATTGGCAGGATTATTGTAATGACCTGCAGTTTCATAAGGGTATATATTTAAAGTAGATAACTAAATGAGCAAATGAATTTGGATATGCAGAAGATATTAAAAAAATAAATTCAAGGAACTGCAGAAAGAGGGGGATAGGAAGTCCAACTTTGTAATGTTAAATTGACTGTAGAACTAATAAAATGTGTAAACTTGAAAAGTTTGTTTGTTGCAGCAGCCCTACTGCCTCCCAAGGTAAGGTGCTGGCCTCATGTTTACTTCTGGCAAGTCTCTGTTAGGCCTCTGTTAGGCTGGGGGCATCCTTTTGCCAGGCCCCTGTGGTGCAGTGTGAGGACGCACCTCTCTTTGGGGCAGGGGGGGTGGCTCAGACACCAGGGGTGGCAGCAGTGGCTGCCTGGAGGACTCCCAAGGAGAGGGGAGGGGAGAGGAGGAGGAGGAGGAGGAGGAGGAGGAGGAGGAGGAGAAGAAGAAGAAGAAGAAGAAGAAGAAGAAGAAGAAGAAGAAGAAGAAGAGTAGTAGTAGTAGTAGTAGTAGTAGTAGTAGTAGTAGTAGTTTGGATTTGATATCCCGCTTTATCACTACCCTAAGGAGTTTCAAGGGATGCGGGTGGCGCTGTGGGTTAAACCACAGAGCCTAGGACTTGCCGATCAGAAGGTCGGCAGTTCAAATCCCCGCAATGGGGTGAGCTCCCATTGCTCGGTCCCTGCTCCTGCCAACCTAGCAGTTCGAAAGCATGTCAAAGTGCAAGTAGATAAATAGGTACCGCTCTGGCGGGAAGGTAAACGGCGTTTCCGTGCGCTGCTCTGGTTCGCCAGAAGCGGTTTATTCATGCTGGCCACATGACCCGGAAGCTGTACGCCAGCTCCCTCGGCCAGTAAAGCGAGATGAGGGCCGCAACCCCAGAGTTGGTCACGACTGGACCTAATGGTCAGGGGTCCCTTTACCTTTACGGAGTTTCAAAGCGGCTAACAATCTCCTTTCCCTTCCTCCCCCACAACAAACACTCTGTGAGGTGAGTGGGGCTGTGAGACTTCAGAGAAGTGTGACTGGCCAAAGGTCACCCAGCAGCTGCATGTGGAGGAGTGGGGAAGTGAACCCGGTTCACCAGATTACGAGACTACCGCTCTTAACCACTACACCACACTGGCCCTCAGGAGGCTGAGGGAACACCCCACAAGGGAGGGTGTTCGAAAAAGGGTGAGAGGCTGCCGGCTCTGCAGGCAAGGGGTGAGAAGACTGGGCTCCTGAGCCCCACAGAAGTGCCGCAGAAAGGATGCCGTTGCTCAGGGGAGCCGTGGACTGGATAAGGTCCAAAACCTTTGCCGCTTCCATTGTTCTGCCTCATGCCAGAGGGCAAAGACCATTTGAGGAGGGCTTCCATAGATGCTCGAGGGTGCGTCTAGATCTGCGTAGGAGCAGGCGGTTTTTCAGATACAGTGGTACCTCGGGTTAAGAATTCCGGAGGTCCGTTCTTAACCTGAAACTGTTCTTAACCTGAGGTACCACTTTAGCTAATGGGGCCTCCCCCTGCTGCCGCCGCGCAATTTCTGTTCTCATCCTGAAGCAAAGTTCTTAACTCGAGGTACTATTTCTGGGTTAGCGGAGTCTGTAACCTGAAGCGTCTGTAACCTGAAGCGTCTGTAACCCGAGGTACAGAGGTATCTGAAGAAGTCTGTCCTCCGATCGTGCCCCACTTCATTCTTTGGTGGGCTGTTCTGGACCTGGCTGTCTTGAAATGTATAGCTGAACTAAGTGACAGCGCGGAGTCTGCAAAGGAAGCCTGTAGGTTGAACAGGGAGCAAAAGGTTTGTCCAGATAGCATCCGTTATCAAAGACGCCATTTCAGGAGGGCTTCGGCGGGGGCCGGGGTGGGGAATAGCACTTCCGCAGCCCCCCAACCTCATGTTAGACCACCATGTGATGTTTCCACAGGGCCACGTGTCTTCTCAGCTGGCTGGCTGATTCCATACACTGAGTGCCTGTTGTTATAAACAGTGAAACGGGCCTCTTTCAAGTCGCTAGGCCTGCCAAAGGCATAAATCCTGAGAGAGGGAGAGAGGCTACGTGACCTGCATTGGTAACATTGCTGAGGTTGTAATGAGATTTTAGAAAGCAACCCAAAGTAGCGGTTCCTTTGGAGAAGGACTGCAAAAAGGTCCTGTGTCCGATCCCCGGCTTTTCCAGTATAAAAAGGACCTCAGCAGCAAAGAGGAGCAGCTCCTCAGGTCCTTGTTTCGCAGGCAGGATTCAATCCCCTATTGGTGAATTCAGGCCACGCAATTAAAGTGGATTTGGCGCTCTCGTGCAACAAACCCACTCCCCTCCTCCCCGAAGGAAATCTGACTTTTTTGCTGCAAAGGAAGAGGTGGGGAAAGGCACCCAAACTGTGGCATAACTGTTTTATTGACTTAGCTTTATTTAAGTGAACATTTTCCCGAGGGGTTTAGCAGTCAATCCCTTTTCCCAGGGAACTCTGGGAATTGTTAGGTCTCTGAGGTGAACAGTGTGTGTGGGGAAAGTACCCTAACAACTCTCACCCCCCTTAACAAACTACCTTTCCCAGGATGCTTTGGGGGAAGCTGTGTCTGTTTGAAATGGTGCGATGCTGTTTTCAATGTATAGTGCAGATGGGGACCAATGCTTCTTGCTCGCCTTGAGGGAAAAAAGCATGGCATGCGTCGTGCGTAGAAAGAAATCTCTGAAGGTGAGCAGTGGAAATGCAGCCTACACCTGTTGCTCCGCCCACTTGTTAACTCTGGCCCCGCCCACTAATCGCATGTGGCCCGTGGAAAGTTCCGGAAGGGGGCCATCGGACCGATAAAAAATCCGCACCCGTGCTTAAAAAAATTGCTGAGGATTTGGAGACCCTTTGCCTTTTAGCTTAATCCGTTCTGAATCCAGAAATTTCGGGTGCTTGGTCAAATGCCCTGGGTTTAGCTAGGGGCAGGGGTGGAAGGGGGACGGAGAATTAACTGCCTCGCTCTTCTGCGTTTGTTCCAGGGGCCGCAATTCTCCCGTTACGGGGTGCTTGCGGCCCCAGCATGATTTGGCTGAGCCAGAGGCTGCTGTTGTTGACGCTCGCTTTCGCTGACGTCTTGCCTGCCTCGCCCCGGAGGCTCGGAGCCAAGTCAATTAGGCCTGTTAATCCCAAATCCCTGGAGATTTGGATCAGGAGCGCAAGCAGTCATTGAATCTGGCACACGAGCGCCGTGCAGCTGAAGGCCCTCATTTCCAACCTGCCGTAGCGCCTTCTCTATCCAGCTTCAAGGGGTAACGGGATTAAAGGGGCTATTCTTAACCATCGTCTTTCGGCCCCGAGTTCGATTTCTGAAACTTACACACTCTGCGGTTTCCTCTGATGGCAGACAGCTTACCTGGGCCTCATCAGAACCAGGCAGAGCCACACCTACATCTAGTTAGTTTCAGCCTTCAACGCCTCAGGGAGCGCTTTTTTTTCACATCGATTTGCCTGCCAAGGAACCGCCTTCGAAATGCTCCAGGGTCTTCTGAGATGTGGGCACCTCCCGGCAGCCTGTTTATTCAGCATCCATCATAATTTGCTTGTGCAGTGGTTACACTACGTAAATCCCGTTGTATACTGTTTTAGACCAGAGTATTTAAAAGACTGGATGCGGGTGACGCTGTGGGTTAAACCACAGAGCCTAGGGCTTGCCGATCAGAAGGTCGGCGGTTCGAATCCCCGCGACGGGGTGAGCTCCCGTTGCTCGGTCCCTGCTCCTGCCAACCTAGCAGTTCAAAAGCATGAAGTGCAAGTAGATAAATAGGTACTGCTCCGGCGAGAAGGTAAACGGCGTTTCCGTGCGCTGCTCTGGTTCACCAGAAGCGGCTTAGTCATGCTGGCCACATGACCCGGAAGCTCCCTCGGCCAATAAAGCGAGATGAGTGCCGCAACCCCAGAGTCTGTCATGACTGGACCTATTGTTCAGGGGTCCCTTTACCTTTACCTATTTAAAAGACTGCCTTCTAGTCCAGCCTTTGAGGTGATCAGTACAGGTCAGGACCACAAAACCTCCAAGACCACATCTCCCTATACAAACCATCCTGGACCCTGTGATCATAATCGCAGTCCTTTCTTCATGTGCCTTCTCCACATAAGGTCCGGAGGGTGGCGAAAGCAGAGCGGGACTTTTCTGTGGTGGCTCCCCATTTGTGGAATGCTCTCCCCAGGGAGTCTTTGTGACATACAGTGGCACCTCTGGTTACGAACGCTTCATGTTACAAACGCTTTGGGTTACAAACTCCGCTAACCCGGAAGTAGCTGCTCCTGATTGCAAACTTTGCCCCAGGATGCAAACAGAAATCACACGCCGGAGGCACATGCGCAGCAGGAAACCCCATTAGCTAAAGTGGTACCTCAGGTTAAAAACAGTTTCAGCTTAAGAACGGACCTCCGGAATGAATTAAGTTCGTAACCAGAGGTACCACTGTATCGTTAGGCGCCAGGCAAAAACATACCGCTTCAACCAGGCCTTTGGCTGATTATATACAACAGTTTTTTAAATGTGTTTGTTGGAGAGGGAGTTGTTGTTTTGTTGTTTCTTTTTTAAGTATTTATTTATGCTTTTATCTTGTATATCTTCTGAACCGCCCTGAGATCTTTTGATGAAGGATGGTATGGTATAATAATAATAAAACAACAGCAACAATTTACTTATTTATTTATACCCCGCCCATCTGGTTGGGTTTCCCTAGCCACTCTGGGCGGCTTCCAGCAAAATATTAAAATACAATAATTCATCAAATATTAAAAGCTTCCCTAAACAAGATTGCCTTCAGATGTCTTCTAAAAGTCAGATAGTTGTTTATTTCCTTGGCTTCTGATGGAAGGGTGTTCCATAGAGTGGGCGCCACTACCAAGAAGGCCCTCTGCCTGGTTCCCTGTAACCTCACTTCTTGCAGTGAGGGAACCGCCAGAAGGCCCTCGGCGTTGGACCTCAGTGTCCGGGTGAACAATGGGGGTGGAGCACCAGTGTTATCAGGTTTCTGTGTTGCCTCCATGAGGACTAGTAACTTGGCTACTCTTTGGGGGGGGGCTTTAAAGGTCAGCAGCAACACTGAATTGTGCCCTCGAAACATACTGGGAAGAAGAAGAAGAAGAAGACGACGTTCTGAGTCCTTCACCTCAGTGTGATACATACTGATGCAAAACAAGCCTTAAGAGGAACGGCTGAAGGAGCTGGGTATATTTAGCCTGGAAAAGAGAAGACTGAGAGGAGATATAATAGCCATCTTCAAATCATCTGAAAGGAATGTCACATGGAAGATGGAGCAAGCTTGTTTTCTCTGCTCTGGAGGGTAAGGCCCGAATGTCAGGAGTTCAGCCTACACTCGAGTAGGACCCTGGCAGAGACACATGCCCAACTGGCATGTTCTCTCCCTCCTGGTCGATCGTTCGGGAGCTTCAAAAGCTTTCTTTTGCCCAAACATCAAAGCGACCGATGCCAACAGACACTGGCACACTTAGGGATCCGCAGAGTTCGCGCAACTTGCATAACAGACCTCAGCAACTCATCATTTTGGCTAATCTAGTTTATTTACATATAAACACACACGGAGCACTGCAACATGGCTCCCTCTCTCTCTAGTATCACACAGCAAAGAGAAAATGAACAATAGTCCCACTTCACGGAACACAGTAACACAAACATCCTGTCTCCGTCACTTCCCACTCTGTGGAGTCAAAACATACACTGTCATGTGATAGACAAAAATCCCATGACTGCAATCATGGAGCAGGAATTCTAACACCAAACCAATGGCTTCAAGTTGCAGAAAATGAGATTCTATACCAAAAAACTTTCTGGCAGTGAGAGCTGTTTGACAGTGGAACGGTCTCCCTCGGGAGGCTGTGGACTCTCCTTCCTTGGAGGTTGTAAAGCAGAGATTGGATGGCCACCTGTCATGGATGCTTTAGGATTCTCAGAATTCCTGCATTTCAGGGGGTTGGACTAGATGACCCTTGGTTCCCTTCCAGCTCTTAAAATTCTATGATTCTATTATTCAAGGACCTTCTTGATAGAAACACCCTGGATGGCTTCAAGAGGATGGCTGAACACTTACTTGTTACTTCTGAGTTATTTACTTCTTCCTACTTATTTGCCGGTGAACACGCATAGGATTTCACTTTTAAAATTTTAACAGAAACAAGCTAACTTAAAAAGGGAGCAGGCTGTTTTTCAAGCAGAGTGTTTGCCATTACGAAGGAAACTCTGAGGAAATGGGAGTTTCCAAGGAAGCCTGAGGTTCTTGCCATCGTTTGAAAAGCACTGTCCTCCTCAATTTCTGCCTTTCCAGCCTCTTCTAAGCCCGGATGTTAAATTAATGTTAATCACATGAAGAAGGCTGCTCATTAGTGGGGTGGAAAACTTTAAAAGGGACCCTGTGCCTAGCCCATTCAGGCAGTGCAAGAGCCAGAGGGACAGGATAAGGCAAAAGATGAAGGCTGTGTTTTTGGTCAGCTGCGCAACCCTCCTTCTCCTTCCATCAGGTAAGTGGAAGTTAACTGGCAGGCCTCACCCAATCCTATACCCTCTTACTTCTGAGTAGCAGTAGGGGAGGAATTAGACTCCGCTCACATTTAAAGGTGGCTCCACCTTAATCCACGCTTCCCAAAACAATTTGTAAACCAAATCAAAGCCACCCTTCAAAATTTGGGCCTTTCTGAATTTTGCAATGCACTTTTCCAGCACAGTAATTTGAGGGCACAAGAAGAAGGGGACGACAGAGGACGAGATGGTTGGACAGTGTTCTCAAAGCTACAAACATGAGTCTGACCAAACTGCGGGAGGCAGTGGAAGACCGGAGTGCCTGGCGTGCTCTAGTCCATGGGGTCAAGAAGAGTCGGAGATGACTAAACGACTAAACAACAACAATATGTTCAAAAATGCACATTATCCGGGAGGGGGGGTTGCTTTTAAATGCATATATTTGTGAAAATAGCATGCAAAGATGCATAACGTTAGGAAAAAGGGACCCGCGGAAATGTGTACGTTGGGCAAAAAAAATCATACACGTATGCATACATTAGGATAAATTTGTTCTGAGATGCTGATGGATTTTCATGGAAATCACAAAGCGACATCGAGACCTGGGGAACTTAAAGCCTGGAAGGATGAGAAATAAACTGAAAAGGAGAGGTTTGCCCTTCCCTGATTCCCAGCAAACAAGTGTGGGATTATACTGTGAGCAACTAATTTGGAGCAGAGGACCAGGGAGACCCTGGGATTTTAGGATAGCTGAATGCAAATATAAAGAAAATACTTGGGAATGCATTCCTGACAACATACGGATGGATTGATGTTTCAGGCTTACTGAGTTGAAAAAGAATTATTCTCTTTACGCTTGGCTAGCTGATGGCTTTTGTGATGGTTCCCTGATTGCTTCACTGAATGTTCATGTGTTGTGGGTTGTATATAATTTCTGTTGTCTACTGGTTTCGCTCTTAGGTTTGCTGTAACCCAGTGTATAAGTGTACATGCACAAGTTTTTATTGATTCTTTGCCTGTTTTTTTTTTTAAAAATGGAAAGTCTTGATAAACTGTTCACTTTAAAAAAAAACAAAAACATTTTATATTATCTTATATTGGTTTAGCTCCTGTGGTGCTAAACAGGCAGACAGGCATAAATGTAGTCAGTAAAGTTTTCCCAGAGCAGAGCTGGAACAGAGTGGAAAATTGGGAAGCCTAGCAAATAGATATATGTGGGGATGAAGAATGCCTAATCAACATTTGGGAACACGGAGGACTGTGATTGAAACTGTGGACCTCCTCAGCCATAAGGCAAAAACAGTGCAAAAATAACAACTCTTTGTACACAATGCTGTCAACATACAGGGGCTTTACACTTTAAGAAAGAGGGCAGATCCCTGCCCCAAGGAGCTTACAATCAAGTTGGCACAAGGGAGGCCATAACAGGAGGAAAGGGGCAGAGCCATAGCTGAGAGACAGAAAATCTGCCTTTCATGGAGAATGCCAGACCCTCCAAGTGACCCGATTTTCTAGGGACAGCCCTGGATTTACAGAAGCCGCCCTGGTTTCTGATTTTATCCTGGAATGTCCTGCTTTTCCTTAGGACGGCCTGATTTTCATCAGAGAAATGTTGGAGGATATGGAGTTATGTGACCCGCTGAGCCAAGGAAATAAGTAATGACACAACCTTCAGATGACATAGGGAAGCTTTGTTTATTGTTTAATGTTTCATTGTTTTGATATATGTTGGAAGCCACCCAGAGCGACTGGAGCAACCCAGTCAGATGGACAGGGCGTTAATAATAATAATACCTCAGTTGTCGAACATAATCAGTTCCGGAAGACCGTTCGACTGAACATTCGACAACCAAGGCGCAAAGGGCGGTTGGCGAAGTCAACGGGGAAAATGGGGGGGGACGACACAGCGGAAGGCATTCGACTTCTGAAAAGCGTTCAAAAATGGAAGCAATTACTTCCGGATTTTCGGCATTCGAAAACTGAAATGTTTGGCTTCTGAGATGCTCGTTACATACGCTTCAGGTTACAGACTCCGCTAACCCAGAAATAGTACCTCGAGTTAAGAACTTTGCTTCAGGATGAGAACAGAAATCGTGCAGTGGCAGCGGGAGGCCCCATTAGCTAAAGTGGTGCTTCAGGTTAAGAACAGTTTCAGGTTAAGAACGGACCTCCGGAACGAATTAAGTACTTAACCCGAGGTACCACTGTAATGGAATAGGATGTCTCTATTTTCATCGAGGAATTGTTGGAGAGTATGGTAGGTTCCAAGTTCTGTCCTCAAAGGGAGACTACAGCGTGAAACAGATGAATTGCAATTCATCAAGAAGTTCTGAATGAAAATAATGGGCGTTTATCCAATGCAGGATGTCATTTTCTATCGCCACTGCTTTGTGACTGATGATCGCTGCAATTGTGTTTGCGTTTTAAATGCAATTCTCACAGTCTGCTTTCCTGCGTTTCCATTTCCTTCCAGCCTCACTGCTACCCGTTCTCTCTCTCTCTCTCTCTCTCTCTCTCTCTCTGCACTCATGTGTATGCAAAAGATACCTGTCAATTTAGGAATAACATTCCACACAGCTGATGAAGCGGACCCCAATGCACGCCACAATAAATGCGTTCGTCCTCAAGATGCCACAAGATAATTGGGCAGCACCCTCAGCAATACACGGTAGGGCCAAGGGGGCTTTGGCCCGGGATTGTTGGCCTGAGAATTTAAGCGTGTCTCCTATACACGTATAAGGGATGTGGGTGGCGCAGTGGGTTAAACCACAGAGCCTAGGACTTGCCGATCAGTAGGTCGGCGGTTTCGAATCCCCGCGATGGGGTGAGCTCCCGTTGTTCAGTCCCTGCTCCTGGCAACCTAGCTGTTCGAAAGCACGTCAAAGTGCAAGTAGATAAATAGGTACCACTCCAGCGGGAAGGTAAACGGCGTTTCCGTGCGCTGCTCTGGTTCGCTTAGTCATGCTGGCCACATGACCTGGAAGCTGTATGCCAGCTCCCTTGGCCAATAAAGCGAGATGAGCGCCACAACCCCAGAGTCGGTCACGACTGGACCAAATGGTCAGGGGTCCCTTTACCTTTACCTATACACGTCCCTCTTGTTTGCCTACAAAATGTGAGTTGGGGGTATAGAATTTCAGCTGATGCACTTTCTCCCAGTGCCGCAACATCATTCCGATGGGAAAAGCAGCACAGTCTTAACTTCTCTCTCTTACATGCAACTATTCAAGGCGCTGACCTATAATCTGCCAATCCTCTGCATGGAAAAGGAAAAGTCACATGCAGGACTAAGAGGGGGAAGGACTTTGGGAGAAGGAGGGAAGAGCTTGCAGTCCCCACCCAGGACACCCCAAAGTTGAAGACTGCTAGGCTGTGATCCTTCTGCAATAAGGCTCTTTTCATTGAGTTATCGAAGTAAGATGTTCTGGAATAAAGCAACAGCTGTTCAGCATAATAAGGGAGTTCCTTTACAGTGAGAAGCATCTGGCAGAGCTAGAGGCCTGCTTGCCCACGGGGAAATAATCATATCCTGAGATTAATGGGATTTGGAGGAATATGTTTCCCCCTTGTGGAAGTAAGGAGCACTAACAGCAGCTGTGTTGTGGTAACCCGATTACTGCTGTCATGAATAGTCAAACTATGCTCGTGTTGCATGCATTTAATTGAATCGTCATAAACTGTGCCACGTGGGTCAATATCCAAACCCAATATTTTATTCAAGTTGGCACCGCTGAAAAAGTGGGTTCTTATAAATATCTTTATTAAATTTTCTGTTTTACAATTTAGAATACTCACTTAAACATCCTTAAAATATCAATTTCCCTTCTTCTCTTTCCATGGTTCATTTTGCATATCTTAAATCCCTGCATATTTTACAAAAGCTAAACCATTCAGTATTCCATCATTGCATCCATCAAAACTTATTTACACTGTTGGTTTTATCTTAATGCTGCCAACATTTTCGGGTGTACACAATTTCCCCGTGTATATTCAATAAACATTTTCCAGTCTCTTCTAAACGTATGTTCTTCTTGTTCTCTAATTCTTTATGTTAAGTCTGCAAGCTGCGCATATTCCGTCAGTTTAAGTTGCCATTCTTTAGTTGGGGCCTCACTCATTTTCCATTTTTGGGCTCACAAAACATGGGCCGCAGTAGTAGCATATAACCTTATGCTAACTTTTGCCTGGCTGAGACGGATGGGAGCTGTAGTCCAAAATACATGGAAGCTCAAACTCATGACCCTGACATTAAGAGTCTCATGTTCAACCAACTGAGCTATCCCTGTTTCATTGAATTGTGAAATTGCTTTGTGATACAGTGGTACCTTTAAGAACTTAATTCGTTCCGGAGGTCCGTTCTTAACCTGAAACCGTTCTTAACCTGAGGTACCACTTTAGCTAATGGGGCCTCCTGCTGCTGCCGCACAATTTCTGTTCTCTTCCTGAGGTAAAGTTCTTAACCTGAGGTACTATTTCTGGGTTAGCGGAGTCTGTAACCTGAAGCGTCTGTAACCTGAAGCACCTGTAACACAAGTTACCACTGTACTTCATAAGAGGCAGTTCATGAATGAAATTTTTTAGTATTATTGGCTACCATTTTTTCTACGCCTGGAATATTTGGCCTCCGGATACTGTTGGACTCCAATTCCCATCAGCCCCAGGCAGCTTGGGCAATGGGCAGGAGTGACAGGAGTTGTAGTCCAACATCTGCAGGAGGCAAGAAGTTGCCCACCCCTGGTCCGCACCACTGTGCCAACTAAGAGCTGTGATTTTCAGGACTTTGTGCCTTAAGGCCACCTTTGTTCTTTGCCTTCAGGATCCGCCTTGCGATGCTACACTTGCCTGTTCCCTACCATCTCCCCGCTGGACTGCCTGAAGTTCCCCACACCGTGCGGCCCGTCTCAGAGATGCCTCACGTCCGTCATCAGAGGGCACAGAGGTTCTGCTGCCAGATTTCTAGCGATCGCTTTGGCCAATAGTGTTGACGTTTTGATCCTGCTTTTGTCAAGGCCAGAGAACGAAATCCTGGGAACGCGGGAGGAAGCGAGGAGGGAATGTTTTCAGAGATGGACAGGGAGCAGCTACCACTCTCTCTAGAAGCAAACTCAAAATATTTAGTGCTAATAGAAATGGGAGACAAAAACAGGCCCAGTAAGAAACAAAGGGGAAAGCGCCCACACACTGGGGGAACCTGGATTTTATTTTGTTTTATTATTTCTTAGATTTATGTACCACCTTTGAAGGAAGTGGTTTATCCACTGGGCTTGTCCATTATGCTCAGGAGTGTAATGGTACCCTGGATCCCGACTGCCTTGGTACTCGGACGTTTTGGCTCCTGAATGACGCAAACCCGGAAGTGAGTGTTGCGGTTTGCAAACGTTCTTTGGAACCCAAACGTCCGACGGGGCTTCCGCAGCTTCTGATTGGCTGCAGGAGCTTCCTGCAGCCAATCAGAAACCATGCTTTGGTTTTCGAACGTTTTGGAAGTCGGACGGACTTCCAGAACGGATTCCGTTCGACTTCCAAGGTACGACTGTAATGGACTTCTGAGTGTCAGCTAGGAAGAGGAAAAGAGCAGAGTGAATGCTGTCCTTCATCTTCTCCCCTATTCGCTTATAATATTGCAATGGAGAGTGTGGCCGGCTGGCACCCTGAGCTCAGGTTTCAGGGTGAGGCTACGCTGCCACATTTTATTACAGATCCCACTTCTCTTAGGTTCCAAAGCCAGCTTCTCTGTTGTTTACGCTAAAAGCAGATTCAGCCAATGAAGCTGGCTGGGGAAACGGGGGCCAGTCGCTCTCTCTCAGCCTCCGCTACCTCACAGGGTTTTTGAGAGGATGAAATGGGAAAGGGGGAGAACTCTGTACACCACCTTTAACTCCCTGCGGGAAAGTTGGGTTATAAATGCAATACTGTTAATAGGTAAACAGTGTTTCTGTGCTCTCTGGTTTCCGTCACGGTGTCCCGTTGCACCAGAAGTGGTTCAGTCCTGCAGGCCACATGACCCAGAAAGCTGTCTGTGGACAAACGCCGGCTCCCTCGGCCTGAAAAGTGAGATGAGTGCTTCAACCCCATAGTTGCCTTTGACTGGACTTAACCGTCCAGGGGTCCTTTACCTTTACCTTTTTTTACTGTTAGTAACAATTCCTGTTTGCAGTTGGTATACTCCTGCTGCTCCAGACGAGGGAAAGCAGCACCCAAAGTTATCATGCAGAATGTTCCAGGTTCAAATCCCTGGCAACTCCAAGTTAGGGTTGGGAATGTCCCTGTGTGAATCCCTGGAGAGTCGCTGCCAGTTAGACAATATTGAGCAAGATGGACCCAAGGATCTGACTCGGTATAACTCAGCTTCCTGAGATGGCATCTTCCTTTTCTCATGCAACGTGGCCCAGACCATGGAAAACTGTGGAGATTCCTGGTGGAACACAGAGTACCGTATTTTTCGATCTATAGGACGTACCCGACCATAGGACGCACATTGTTTTAGAGGGGGAGAACAAGAAAAAAAGATTCTCCCCCTCTCTGCTCAGCGCCCCTTCAGCGAAGCGGCAGGAGAAACGGAGCCCCTTACATTTCTCCTCCCGCTTCGCTGTAGGGGCGCCGCGCAGCTCTCCCTCTCTGCTGAAGCCAGGGGAGTCTTGCTCTCCCGGCTTCAGCAAAAGGAACCTGAAGCCTTCGGAGCGCAGCGCAATGTCCCGCTGCGCTCCCAAGGCTTCAGGTGGCTATCCATGAAGACTGGAGAGTGAGAGGGGTCGGTGTGCACCGACCCCTCGCTCTCCAGGCTTCAATGAAAGCAACGCGTAGCCTCCGGAGCGCGGACGCAGCGCTCCCTCTGCGCTTTGGAGGCTTCGTGTTGCTATCGCTGAAGCCAAGGAGCCTGCATTCGCTCCATAGGACGCACACACATTACCCCTTAATTTCTGGAGGGAAAAGTGCGTCCTATAGAGCGAAAAATACGGTCATTTTCCTGCAATTGTAATGTACTGGAGGGTTTCAAATCGTAATTTTATAGACTCCCCATAGAGCGACTGAACAAAGCTCACAGGCCACAGTTGGGAAACGCCTGATTTCAGACGTTCACTTTCCAAGTCTATGAAAAGGAAGAAATGGGTGCATGTGGGATCCCCCCTGATCTTCTGTTTACTCTCATCCCTGATCTCTTTTCCTCAGGTGCACTGGAACTGGTTATCTATGAGAAGACCTGTGGGGATTCTTCGATGTGTGGGGCCCACGGCACCCGGTCCATGCTGGGAACCAATTTCACCTTTTATTCTTCCTGCTGCGACACTGACCTGTGCAACTCAGCTGCCAGGGGGCCGAGCCTTTTCTGGGGGCAAGCCGCACTGATCCCCCTGTCAGTCATCCTGGTCAACCTCCAATGAGAGCCAACCCCCAAAGCAGCCATGCCCCAGGGTGTGAGACGGCTCAGGTCCAGTCACCTCATATTGCTGCTTTCTCTCGGCCCCCGATAACCAAAATGCTCTGGAAGAAGTCTAAATAACAATGTTCCTGGTTTCACGTCGCTTTTTTCATCTCTTTCTTTGGGTTATCTCCTTAACCGCAATTTGCGCACGGAAATTTATTTTAAACCACCCCCCTCCCCAAAATGTACACACAACTGTTTCAAACTATCTGATACCACAGTTGGCTTTACATTAGAAAGAAGAGGGGGAAAATTTGGTAGGATGGTAGAAACAGAGGGACACAAGCCTCTCCTCTTTCTTTGCCTTTTCTATGCTTTCAAAATTCAGAGTGTAAGCTGCTTGGGGCAGAGCCCTGTTTGTTTGTTGAAGCCTTCCTTACCACATGATTTGGATTAATTCCCATGGGAGTTGAATGACAGAATTGTAGAGTCCAACCCCCTACGAGGGAGGAATCTCAAAAGCATCCAAATCTAAACCGCTTTGATGTCGTCGTCCCCTTACAATCAAGTGGTATATATAAGCTTTATGGAATAAATAAAAGGAATGAAAATAAAATAAATGAAATGAAATGAGTGCGTCTAGCTACATCTGGAGGGCAGAAGGCTGGGAAAAGGTGGTACTTTGGATGCACCGTGTACCACGGGTAGGTAACAGCAACAACCACCTTGAACTGTGGAATTTCCTACAAGATTTGGGAGACAGTGACCTGGTTTCCTACCCCCACCAATTAGCAAGGGGAAGGAATCCTTCAGAAAGCGAGCTAAATCTTTTTTTAAAAAAACCATTGGAAGTTTTTGAGGGCACTTTGTTAAGGATTATTTAGTTATAGAATGCCCTGACTAAAAAGTGGGGTTTGCTGTTTTAATGTAATTTTAGGCATCATCTAGCTAGGGCGCAGGGACATGGGTGGCGCTGTGGGTTAAACCACAGAGCCTAGGACTTGCTGATCAGAAGACCGGCGGTTCAAATCCCTGCGACGGGGTGAGCTCCCGTTGCTCAGTCCCTGCTCCTGCCAACCTAGCAGTTCGAAAGCACACCAGTGCAAGTAGATAAATAGGTACTGCTCTGGCGGGAAGGTAAACGGTGTTTCTGTGCACTGCTCTGGTTCGCCAGAAGTGGCTTAGTCATGCTGGCCACATGACCCAGAAGCTGTACGCCGGCTCCCTCGGCCAATAAGGCGAGATGAGCGCGCAACCCCAGAGTCGGTCACGACTGGACCTAATGGTCAGGGGTCCCTTCACCTTTAGCTTTAGCTAGGGGGCATTATTCCCAATGCCGCACAGCACGTGACTACGAACAGCCAAGGAAGGATTGGCGCAAGAGATTGACAAAAGTGACTCCTAAAGGCAAACTCAAGGAGTCCCCGTTTCATCATTGCACGCACCCACCCAGGGACCATTCTCCCCATGTCCCCAGTGGGGGGTGTCTCCTAACAACTCTCACCACCCCTAAAAAGCAACAGCTCCCAGGATTCTTTGGGAAAAGCTGTGACTGTTTAAACTGGTACAATCCTGCTTTAAGTGTGTAGTGCAGTCCAGTTGGGCATCTAACACTAATAATCATGTGGCAGTTAGTGGCCGGTGTTACACTAATAAAATCTGAGATACCGCTGATGTTTCTAGTCACCTGACCAGAAGCAGCCAACCAGAGTTCTTTCAGCCACCAGCACCAGGACCAATCGGAGGGGTCCCTCAAAACTCATGGAAGGACCCCAGCATTCTAACCCAGTCGGTCTCCTTAATTAGCCAATCAGAACATTTCACCGCCGCTCCTCAAATACTTAATAAGAATCCTACGGTATCACCCTCAAATCTCTCCATTTTGCATAACTACCCAATTAAGATTCCTCAGTAATACAGAATCAGCCAAATATTTCAGTAGCCATTCATTGGTTCCCCACTATTTTCAGGAGTGAGGAGGCAGGGAAAGCACTCGGGTTTAATATTTTTACAAACGTGTACTTTTATTTTATTCTTGTTCTTACTGAAATTCAAATCACGTCTCCCCCTCCCAGAAAATAAGTCATTCTCCCTCCTTCCTCCCCCCTTCCCCCCCAAACGTAAGTACATACATAAAAATACCCTTCAATGGGCCCAACCCCAGACCCCAATATCCCTGCCACGGAAACCCTACGTCCCTTTTTCCAACTCTCAGAAGTTTGTTATTTCAAAGCTTTGGCAACCAGCTCATAAGCTAGCTCAATCTCTTCGTCGTCTGGGCAGGTGCTGGCAAACTCCTCACGGGCGTAAGCATTCTTGAGATAGCGGTGGATGCCTTGGAACGCCTCAGGGATGGTAAAGTTGCGGTACTTCTTGCACACCACCTGTTGAGACGGAGAGATCAAACATAATTTAGGCAACATGGCGTATGAATGAATCAGGCGCGCATGCGTTCCGAGATTCCACACAAGAAGGAATTTGGTAATAGGTGCTGAACTTAGAATTCAGTAAAATCAAAGCATTCTGCCTGCTTGCGGAAGTCCGCCTGCTTGTGTGATTCAAAACAGGACAGATAACATCTCACACAACACACAATACAGTGGTACCTCGGGTTACAGACGCTTCAGGTTACAGACTCCGTTAACCCAGAAATAGTACCTCGGGTTAAGTACTTTGCTTCAGGATGAGAACAGAAATCGTGCTCCAGCGGCGCAGCGGCAGTGGGAGGCCCCATTAGCTAAAGTGGTACCTCAGGTTAAGAACAGTTTCAGGTTAAGAACGGACCTCTGCAACAAATTAAGTACTTAACCCGAGGTACGACTGTACCCCGTCCAAGCATTCTTGTTGCCATGTTCATTAACATAGAAGGGACACAGTCAGTGAGATTGGCTGCACTCCACATTTAAACCTGTATCATACCACTGTAAAAAGTCATGTCTTCCCCCAAGGAATCCTGGGAACTGCTGTTTGTTAAGGGTGCCGAGAGTCATAATAATATATAATAATTATTTACTATTTATACCCCGCCCATCTGGCTGGGCTTCCCCAGCCACTCCAACAAAATATTAAAATACAGTAATGCATCAAATATTAAAAGCTTCCCTAAACAGGGCTGCCTTCAGATGTCTTCTAAAAGTCTGGTAGTTGTTGTTCTCTTTGACATCTGGTGGGAGGGCGTTCCACAGGGCGGGTGCCACTACCGAGAAGGCCCTCTGCCTGGTTCCCTGTAACTTGGCTTCTCGCAGTGAGGGAACCGCCAGAAGGCCCTCGGCACTGGACCTCAGTGTCCAGGCAGAACGATGGGGGTGGAGATGCTCCTTCAGATATACAGTGGTACCTCAGGTTACATACGCTTCAGGTTACAGACTCCGCAAACCCAGAAATAGTGCTTCAGTTTAAGAACTTTGCTTCAGGATGAGAACAGAAATCGTGCTCCGGCGGCGCGGTGGCAGCAGGAGGCCCCATTAGCTAAAGTGGTGCTTCGGGTTAAGAACAGTTTCAGGTTAAGTACAGACCTCCGGAACGAATTAAGTACTTAACTTGAGGTACCACTGTACTGGACCGAATCATGAAACAATCCCTGTTCCCCTCACAGTGCTACAGTTCCCAGGGCAGTTTTTAGCCATCAATGCCTCTGGGAACTGTAGGTCTGCTAAGGTAATAAGGGTCTCCCTACAACATTCAGCAACCATAACAAACTGCTTTGAATGTGTAGTGCAGCTGGGGCCATTGTGGCTGAAGATAATTTTTCTTTTCCCCCTGTAGCTCGATTTCAAGAAAGACCAGTGATTCAATTAAGCTCAAACCTCAGCCAACAGATTTCCACGCTTATATTGTGATAAGTTACCATATTTTTCACTCTATAAGACACACTTTTCCCCTCCTAAAAAGTAAGGGGTGCGTCTTATGGAGCGAATACGCAGCTATCGCACAGCGATCCCTCTTGCTGTTCTGGCTTCAGCAAAAGCAACGCAAAGCCTCTTCAACAACATTTGATTCAAAATATTTTGTTTTCTTGTTTTCCTTCTCTAAAAACTAGGTGCATCTTAAGAGCGAAAAATACGGTATTTAGATCTTGAAGTAGCCATCTACCCAGATACTTAACAGGAGAATCTTTCCACAGAGATGCCTATCTTTTTGCCATTTTGTCCTTAGAAGAATGATTTAAATTAAAACCCAATCCCATGCAAGATCTGGCCAGGTTAATTTTATAACCTGAGTCTTGGGGAATCTGAAGTCCCAATTTAATTTGCTCCGCTGGGGAAAGCCCTCTTAACTCCCAAATTCCATCCAACCCTCCTGGCCTTATGGGAGTTGGGGGTGGAGTGGGGCTGGAGGAGGAGCAAAAGAAGAGGTTCTCACCTTCACAATGTGAAGCTTGGGCAGAAGATTGCAGTCGGCCAACGTGAGCTCATCCCCATCGAGGAATTTGCGGCGGGACTGACCCTCGTCCTCAGCACTATTCTCGTCCACCTCCTCCGGCAGCGGCGTTGTCAAATAAACATCCAGCACCTTCAACGCTTTCAGCAAACCTTTCTCAAGATCTAAGAAATACGGGGGGGACGGGCAGGGGGAGAGGGGGGAGGAATGAACGGAACCATTGAAAAGCCAAGGAGTGACGAGGGAAAACATCAGGAAGGGTTCAAGTAGCATCTAAGCTGGAAAGGGAGCCATTGGGATTTGAGGCAAGAGGGAGACACAGAGGGAGCCAATGGCATCCAAGAAAAAAAGAATGACAGAGCCAATGAGATCAAGGAATTAAGGCACCATCTGCATTTCAGGCAGTGTCCTACCACTTTAAATGGTCATGATCCCCCCAAGGAATTATGGGAGATGTAGTTTGTTAAGGGTGCCTAGAGCCACCCTATTCCCCTCACAGGTCTACAGTTCCCAGATTGGTTTAACGATTGATCCCTCTTTTCAAGGAACTTTGGGAATCATAGCACTGGAGGAGAAAAAGGGTCTCAGCACTCTTTTCTTCTTCTTCCAAGAACCTTGGAAGGGGAAGGAGGGAAGTCGTTGAATGTATGTGTATAATGCAGGGTGGATTTGATTTCAATCAAATCGATTTAAATCACAATTTAAGACAGTAAGACTAGATTTAAATCTTTTTTTACAGGAAGACATTCTTGCTGGTATAATCTTAATATTTACAAGCAAATGAAGGTTTCATTTTTGGAATAATAAATTTTCAGAGTAGTTTTTACAGTTATATAAAAAATTACTGATTTGGTTATACTATTAGAAATGCATAGACAGGTCATTATGAAATCATTGTGAGGTTTAATAAGTTATATATTTGGACAACTTTTCTGCTGTACTTTATTGGAAGGAGAAAAAATAATCATTTCCTTAATAACAATTTATTTAACTGAAACAATAACATTATAGCATATGTATCCATGTTTGTTAACTGATGTGGTTAAACAATTAAAAAACAACAACTTAAGATTGAGTTTTAGCACACATGAAAAACTTATAACAAATCCTTATTTCCTGATAAATAGCCTTTGGACTATAATGTAGCTTAAATAGAAAACTATCTTTAGAAAGATTTTTCCTCCAAAAGCATTTTATTTTAAAAATCCTATTTAATAAAAAAATCCAATTTTTTTAAAAAATATGGGTTTTTTGTGTTGTTGTTTTTTTAAAAAATCATTGATTTTTATCCACCTTGGTATAATGAAAGATGTTAATGTGGAAATGGAAAAACTGGAAACTTTAATAAAAATTATGGAAAATAAGGGGGGGTTCCTCAGCACCCTTAAAAAGCTATAGCTCCCAGGATTCATACGCAATTACCTAGATGAATCCCGCCCAATTAAAACGAAGATGCAAGCAAGCAGCAACTGAAGCCCATGGAGGAAAGAAGCCAGTGAGAACGAAAGGATATCCCAGTCAGTTCACTGAGAGGCCTGGGAAAGAAGGGGCCAACTGAAAAAGACCAATCTGAGAATCAAAACACTTGGGAAGAGGCCGCCCAGTGAGGATTTGGGGGCCAAGATACTCACTGGAGTTCTGCCCTGGGTTCGAGTTCTTGATATAGGCAGAGAACTTGGCAAAGACGTCAAGGCCAGCTGTGTTGGACTCGGGGTTACGGGCAGCCAACTTGGGGTACCTGTGGTAGAGAAGGCAGATTTATCATTAACCGTGAAGCGGCCTTGCTTAGTGGCAACTCCTGCTAGAGAGAGCCAGCAACCCCCTTTCCCTAACCAGTTCCCCTAGATCCACAAAAATTATCGCAAAGCATTGAAAGTACTCAATAAACGGAGGTTCTGCCCCCTGCCCCTCAGCAGAAGCCTGCCCCCTTGAAGGGGTGATCTCCTGAAAAATGCTCAAAATAATAATAATAATAATTTATTATTTCTACCCTGCCCATCTGGCTGGGTTTCCACAGCCATTCTGGGCGGCTTCCAACAAAAGATTAAAAATACATTAAAACATCAGTCATTAAAAACGTCCCTTAAAAGGGCTGCCTTCAGATGTCTTCTAAAAGTCAGATACAGTGGTACCTCGGGTTAAGTACTTGATTCGTTCTGGAGGTCCATTCTGAACCTGAAACTGTTCTTAACCTGAAGCACCACTTTAGCTAATGGGGCCTCCTGCTGCCGCCGCGCCGCCGCCACATGATTTCTGTTCTCATCCTGAAGCAAAGTTCTTAACCCGAGGTACTATTTCTGGGTTAGCAGAGTCTGTAACCTGAAGCATCTGTAACCCGAGGTACCACTGTACAGACGCTCCAGGTTACAGACTCCGCTAACCCAGAAATAGTACCTCGGGTTAAGAACTTTGCTTCAGGATGAGAACAGAAATCGTGCAGCAGTGGCAGCAGGAGGCCCCATTAGCTAAAGTGGTACCTCAAGTTAAGAACGGTTTCAGGTTAAGAATGGACCTGCAGAACAAATTAAGCTCTTAACCCGAGATACCACTGTGGTTGTTTATTTCCTTGACATCTGGTGGGAGGGCGTTCCACAGGGCGGTTACCACCACCGAGAAAGCCCTCTGCCTGGTTCCCTGTAATCTCACATCTCGCAGTGAGGAAACTGCCAGAAGGCCCTCAGAGCTGGGCCTCAGTGTCTGGGCTGAACGATGGGGGTGGACATGCTCCTTCAGGTATACCATAATAATCCTTGGTATGCCCATGATCAGCTCAATTGCCTCATATAATTCTTACTTCGGAGGGCAAAGGACCTCCTCAAGGAACTCTTCAATCTTGTTCGTGTCTGTATGAACCTCGGTCCCGTACATCAGGAACGGGAGCTGACCTCCGGGGCATAGTTTCTGCACCGTCTCGGTCCTCCTACAAGGAAGAGAAGAAGAAGAAGAACATATTAGAGTGCTTGTAACTGCAAGAAGGACCCTGCAGCGAAGATAAGCGATGCTGGCCGGCCGGGGAGATGCACGTGCAAGTCCATAGCAAAAGGGAGGGCGCCCTAGGGTGCCCCTGCGGCAATTTCTACCCACCTCTTGGTGTCCACCGTGGTGACGTTGAAGGTCACGCCCTTGAGCCAAAGGACCATGAAGAGTCGCTGGGAGAAGGGGCAGTTCCCGATTTTGGCTCCATCGCTGCCAGCCTGAGGAAATGAAACCAAAACATTGAGATCTAAGCCTCAATCTAATTCTGTAATTCAATGACTAGACCCGTCTTTAGCCTAATCCAGCTCGTCTTATGTACATCATCATTGTTAAGTTGTGGGTGAACATATCAGACGACACAGCGATTCTTCAAAAAGCTCTTGTTTATTCACAGGCCAGAACAGAACTGAACTGAAGGGTTCAGCCAGCCTGCTTATATAGAGCTCCACTACAACGCAACAGTAACCATTTTCTGTAACTATCCAATCACTGAATGTCACTTTCAATCCCTTATTTGCATATGTGGACCTGAGTGTAAACTATCTACAGTATCCCCCTGCTGGCCAAGGGTGAGAACTTCAGTACATAACAATCATCATCATTTATACCCCACCTATCTTGCTGGCTTTCCCCAGCCACTCTGCTAGTTAACTCTGCAGCCTTGGGATGGTACCCAAAACGTAGCTTAAGTAATTGTGGAAACATAGCTAAAGTAATTCCCGCTGCAAGCCAGAGAGAGGGCAGTGTTTGATAGACAGATAAAACTTTATTCGCATTAGCCAATGGCCATAGCAACAGTAAAACATTACAGTATACGCAGAAAAGGAAGTTTGATTTAAGAGCACAATTTAAAAGTTTGAGCACAATTTAAAGTCCTGAATCAGCCGTCAGTTAGTGGCCCTTATTCTGATTGCCCCTGCTATGAACCTAGCAACCTTTGCTGTTATCTGATAGGACAATTTTGATCTGATAGGAGAAAGGACATTGTGGCAGTGGTTGAGTGCTCTGGGATGGTTAGTATGAGTGGGGTTTTTTATGAGAGTCAGAATCACAGCACTTTTACCAGCGACTTGGCCTTCAGGAAGCCACAAAAGCATGTAGGAAAGGGCTGAGACTGACTTGCAACTTGAAATTCCCAGGTATCAAAAAATGTTATTTATGTATGCCACTACTGCGGCCCACGTTTTGCTAGCCCAGAAACTGGAAAACGAGCGAGGTTCCAACCAAAGAAGAATGGCAACTTAAGCCAACAGAATATGCGCAGCTTGCAGGCTTAACATATAGAATAAGAGATATAGAATAAGAGAACAAGAAGGACATACGTCTAGAGAAGATTGGAAAACGTTTATTGAATGTATGGGAAATAACGGTGTACAGCTGAAAACGCTGGCAACATGAAGACAAATTGAACAGTGTAAATAAGTTCTGATGGATGTAATAATGGAATGATGAATGGTATAGTTTTTGTAAAATATGCAGGGATTTATGACATGTAAAATGAGCCATGGAAAGAGAAGAAGGGAAGTCACGGATGTCTTAAGAATGTAGAAATGAGTACTTTAAATTGTAAAACTGAAAACTTAATAAAACTGAGAGAGTCTGACTTTTAACCACTAGAGGGAGACAGTGGCATACGAAAGGCCATAATACCTTCCACCACAGTGAAATATAGTATTGGTTCTTTGCACTTACAAAGGTCACAGCCACCCAAAACTTTTTTTTTTTAGAAAAAAGAAAAAAACAGAGTCACCCTGTTCCGAAGTGGCTGTAAATCACAGCGCTGGTGATCAGTTGGCACGCTTTCCGCAGGTTTCGGTCTCCCCTGCAGGCTGGAGGCTCCTGCTGAACCTTGATCTCTGTTCAGCTTGCCACACAAGAGTCGCTAACTAAGCAGGTTTATCAACCGGGTTCTATACAAGTTCCTGGGAGGGCTCCGAGCGCAAGCCTGCAGCAGGATATCTCCTAGTCCAAAATGAGGAGAGAGACAGGAGGATCCAATAGGCCAAACTGCACTGAAGGGGGCGCCGCGCTTAAGGAGGCGGCCTTAATGGCGTTGCTTTTATTATCTTTTACTATACCTGCGTTTGATGATGTACTTTAGATGCAATGTGCTCTCCTATAATGAGCTTTAAAAAATATTGAAATATTGTTGTTTAGTCGTGTCCAACTCTTCGTGACCCCCTGGACCAGAGCACGCCAGGCACTTCTGTCTTCCACTGCCTCCCGCAGTTTGGTCAAACTCTTGCTGGTAGCTTCGAGAACACTCTCCAACCATCTCGTCCTCGGTCGTCCCCTTCTCCTTGTGCCCTCCATCTTTCCCAACATCAGGGTCTTTTCCAGGGAGTCTTCTCTTCTCATGAGGTGGCCAAAGTATTGGAGCCTCAGCTTCAGGATCCGTCCTTCCAGTGAGCACTCAGGGCTGATTTCCTTAAGAATGGATAGGTTTGATCTTCTTGCAGTCCCTGGGACTCTCAAGAGTCTCCTCCAGCACCATAATTCAAAAGCATCAATTCTTCGGCGATCAGCCTTCTTCATGGTCCAGCTCTCACTTCCATACATCACTACTGGGAAAACCATAGCTTTAACTATACAGGCCTTTGTCCCCAAAAGACCAGAGGCTTTTTTGCTTGGTCTGATGGGAAAGGAAATTAAGATAAAGGGCCAAAGATTATTCATGTATAGGCCACAGCTGCGGCAAGGACTTCGTTGGCCCCAAACTGGAAATCACAAGTTCCTACCATTGTGGAACGGCAGTCGAAAATGATAGATGACACGGAACTAGCCAAATTGACGGGAAGGATTCGGGATAGGGACGACCAGAGATTCCAGGATAACTGGAGTAAATTTACTGAGTATTTAAAAGACAGTTGTAAAAACTTAAAAACACTAGCAGGACTGAAGTAACTCCTATAATGTAAAATAAATAAGATGAGAGGATAAAATACGCGAAAGAATGTGACAAGGGATACCAACTGAAGGGAAGGAGGGAAGTCATGGCTCAGAAGAGCAAAATGGTTTATATGTTGATGTATGTATGAAATGTATGGAAAGAAAGATTATGTAAAGAAAACAGTAACAATTTATTGGGGGGGGGGAATAGATGCAATGTGCGACCCCGGACAGAATGGCCAAACTTGTGGCAAGCCAGCACCTCTGGGGACAGTGGGCTGCATAGACAATAGGGCTATCTTATCAACCGTTGCCAAAGGGAAGAAGATCTCTTGTTCTAGTAACCCAGTCGGGGAGGAGATAAGATGAATCATCTTCCATGGAGGACTACGGCCACCAACCGTTGCCATGGGAACAGATGGGCTTCCCCAAACATCCTCCAGAAAGTTGAGTTGTCGCCAGCTAAACACGGTGCAGCCAGTTCCTACTTCGACTACTCAGCAATGGTTACCCCTCAGCCGCCGCCAGCCTGGCAGGCACAAGGGACAAGAAGTTGCTATAGAAATGCCCAGACAGAAAGGCGTGCGGAGCCAGCCATCAATCAAAATGGCCGCCGCACTTAAGAGCTGCTCCGCAATGTCAATCGGCTGTATTTTTTTTTTGCAATTCGCTATTCCCGTGCAAACAAAAATGAAACGAAAAACCCACATTTAAAATTCTTCGAAACCCTGACTCAGGTTGCAGAATACATTGTGCTGACGTAACCGTCTCAATTTTTCGACTGTCACTGTGCAAGATATACTCAGGGTAGCAAATATAAAATATAATAAAATATAAAATAAGGCAGCTCCTGCACCTTTCATAATTGTACAGAAGAGGGAACTCCAGTACAACCTGTCATGCAAGCTACACGGGGCTTCTGAGCAAGTACTAATAAGTTTGCTTGAACTTAAATAATTAGATTTATATCCTGTCCTTCTTCGCAAAGGAGCCCAAGGTGGCAAACACATCCGTGATAAAACAAAACAGAATTTTAAAGAAAACAAAAACGTATTCAAAACCCAAAAAAGTATCTAAAAACATTTTTTTAAAAAAAATTAAACCCAATAAATATTTTTAAATAAGATTTAAAAAACACACACAAAAAAAACTATTAAATCAGCAGCAGGGAACTTGTGGCCCTTTAGGTGCAGTCAGGACTCCTGCTATCAGCCCCAGCTAGAACTGTCGGTGGCAACAGCGAGGGATGATGAGAGTTATAGTCCAGCAATATCAGTTTTCCCCATCCCTGTAATTAAAGGTGTGAGAGAGCCTTGTTTCCTTTTTCATCCAGCCACACTGCCAATTTCCCGTGACTCAACAGACCGCAATTTCGACGGGCATCCCAGTTGCACGAAAAGTTCCGATGGCAAGAAGAATCTGGCGATCCAGAGAAGAAGAAGAAAAACCTTTCTCCTTTTTTTAACTTCCTAAATTTCCAAACAGAAAATTAGTAATTTTAAAAGGCCGCAAGCGCTTTCCCCAGAACATTTTACATACCATATGTACCATACGTGGCTTACACCACCTTCCAAGAATCTTGGGAACTGTAGTTTATTGAGACTGCTAGGAAGCATCGCTCCGTGGCGGAGTAAACTACAGCTCCCAGAATTCTTTGCAGGGAAGCCATGACTGTGCAAAGTTCTATACAGTGGTACCTTGGGTTACAGATGCTTCAGGTTACATACGCTTCAGGTTACAGACTCCGCTAACCCAGAAATAGTGCTTCAGGTTAAGAACTTTGCTTCAGGATGAGAACAGAAATCACACGGCAGCAGCAGGAGGCCCCATTAGCTAAAGTGGTACCTCAGGTTAAGAACAGTTTCAGGTTAAGAACGGACCTCCGGAACGAATTAAGTACTTAACCCGAGGTACCACTGTAAATATATGTAGCCAGTAGCCCCACCAACGTTTCCCACCCTAAATAATCCCCAGTGCCTTTTCCTAACCACTTTCTGCCATCGTGATGAATTGTTCTCATGGCAACCCTGCCCTTTCCTTTCTTCCAGGGACTAGCAGGTTTAAGTTTTTTAAAACAAAAAACCATGACTCATTGGTTGCTAAATCGGGCACAGAAACAAAACTGCAAACCCTTACATGGGGAAAAAAAGAGAGAGATAGGCCCTTCCCTGGAAAAAGATCAAGCAAGAATGAGCCATAAAAGTGATAAGTCGACTAGCTTCTGGAGAAAACATGTACACAAGGATGGAGGGTGGAGATGAAGTCACATGATTTCCCGGTGGCTTGGGGCGGCCAGCCTAGTCTGATCTGGAGGAGACAAGAGGGAGTTCCCAGGCTGACATCATTCTGAGACTTAGAAGGGTTTTTTAAAAAAAATACTAAGGAGATGTTCATTTCAGCCTTTGAACGGCAGCCAGGAAATTCCACTATGGGCTGTCAGAAGTTACTCAGCCACCCAACGCCCCCTTATCTCCACCTAATACATTCCGCTCTTGGAGAAGCCACGCTTCATCCATTCCCAAGGAACCCAGGAGTCCGGGCCACAGACATTCAACCAAACTCTAAATAATTATGCCAGGAGAGGAGAACCTCACCTTCACTTGCCCTGCTGAAATGCACCCTTGAACTCTGATAAGGAATCCTGCTTGTCTGAATGGAGGGCACAGAGGGAAGGATGTCTGAACGCATGTAGAAACTAGCCTGCCCTACGAAGGACAATTCTCCATTTGTCGCCCTCCACACTTTTGCTCTGCTAAAAGGTAAAGGGACCCCTGACCATTAAGTCCAGTCGTGGCCGACTCTGGGCTTGCGGCGCTCATCTCGCTTTATTGGCCGAGGGAGCCGGCATACAGCTTCCGGGTCATGTGGCCAGCATGACTAAGCCGCTTCTGGCGAACCAGAGCAGCGCACGGAAACACCGTTTACCTTCCCGCCGGAGTGGTACCTATTGATCTACTTGCACTTTGACGTGTTTTCGAACTGCTAGGCTGGCAGGAGCAGGTACAGAGCAACATGAGCTCACCACGTCGCGGGGATACGAACCGCCAACCTTCTGATCGGCAAATCCTAGGCTCTGTGGTTTAACCCACAGCACCACCCGCGTCCCAAAAAACCATGGCCCTCAAAAGGCTGCCTGGGAGGGACTGTGGCCCTCAAGGTGGAGAAGGTTGCCCACCCTGAATTAGGTCCTACTCCACTTGGGACACAGGTGGCGCTGTAGTGTAAAACCACTGAGCCTTGGGCTTGGGGGTCGGAAGGTCAGCGGTTCGAATCCCCTCAATGGGGTGAGCTCCCGTTGTTCGGTCCCTGCTCCTGCCAACCTAGCAGTTCAAAAGCACACCAGTGCAAGTAGATAAATAGGTACAGCTCTGACGGGAAGGTAAACGGCGTTTCCGTGCACTGCTCTGGTTTCGCCTGAAGCGGCTTAGTCCTGCTGGCCACGTGACTTGGAAAAACTGTCTGCGGATAAATGTCGGCTCCCTCAGCCAGAAAAGCGAGATGAGCGCCGCAACCCCAGAGTCGTTCACAACTGGACTTAACAGTCAGGTGTGCTTTACCTTTTTTTTAACCACTTCTCTTAGAAGAACCCAGGAATCCCAACTCTTAATTTTACTTGCCAAATGCTACTCCCCTGGCCAGCACTTAGTGTTGCTGAGGAGTGGTTGGCAACCATGCTAAGGACGGGAGTGCTACCCTCAAAGTGGGATACCCGGCCACTCTCTCTATTCTAACCCCCTAAAAATGGCAGTTGAGGAGACTTCTTCATCACTACAGCTTATTCCCTTTCATGAATTCCTTCCAACCTTCGAATCCACTTGATCCCTCAAGCTCCTTTGAACCTGCAAAGGCAGCCCAGACCAGGAAACACCCACCAATGAGACTGCCAGGTCTGTAATCTGAAAAGGCATCTCCTTCAGGGTGGAACGCTCTTCAGGCCCAAGGGCCGCCGGGCAACTTTTGGGGGGCCACATCAGCAGTGGGCGGGGTCAAGGGCAAAAGTGGGTGGAGCAACAGGTGTGAATTTTTCCTTCCTCACAGAAGGCTGGTTTCAACCAATTCCTTCCTCCATTCAGGCAAGGAAGAGGCATGAATAGAGTTCAGGGGCCCATTCCAGCCAGCAATGACACCAGCATTTCTAAGGAAATGACATTTTGCAGGTACTAAATATAGGCAGAGGGAACCGGGGATCCCTATTTCCGCGTCTCTCTCTCTCTCTCTTCCACTAGAGCACACACACAGAAAAGACATTGTAAGAAGACTTTGTTCCCAAGCGCCACCCCTTTGCTCTCCTCTTAAAGCCAAGCCTCCTGGCACCCTTCCCGTCTCTAACCCAATATTTATGTATTTGCATTTCGCACCATGACGAGAGCAGCCGAGCTTAAAGCACACGTACAACATTGTCTGCCTGAAAAAGGGAAATGGGTAAAAATGAAAAACTGGAAATGACACTTTCAAGTTTGCTGCCTCCCCTTCTGACCAGTGTTACAAACATAGGTATATAAGCTAGGCCCCAAATGGCTCCTTAAACCAAGGTTGTGGTCATCAAAACAGAATGTTTAGTTGCTATTTGGGGGCAAAACGGCTCTAAAGCCTTGTTTTCCGAAAGGTGGACTGTCTGGGATTTGATTCTCAGTCGAACATCTGAGAAGCTCGCTCACAACTTTCTGACATTTGCGGCCGGATCGAGCAAAATTTATTAATTGCAGTTGTTTTGGTAGGTGGCGTTTTTATTTGCAAAATTGCTTTGAGGTATTCTATGGAAGAGATTCATAAATGGAATTCAATTAAACCGACCAACAAATGAATAAATATACTGTCTTTTTGAATTCCCCCAATATGGACCAACATAGCTACATCTTATAATTTTTTTATTGGTAGATAGGATGGTCAGCTGTAAAATGAAGGTGGGGAAGAAGGCAGAGGGCCTTCTCGGTGGTGGCGCCCATCCTGTGGAACGCCCTCCCATCAGATGTCAAGGAAATAAACATCTATCTGACTTTTAGAAGACATCTGAAGGCAGCCCTGTTTAGGGAAGTTTTTAATGTTTGTTTTGTTGTGTTTTTAATATTTTGTTGGTGAAACCCAGCCAGATGGGTGGGGTACAAATAAATTATCATCATCATCATCATCATCATGCATCTTTAATAGGAGAGGGGATTTCAACAAGTACAGCCTGCCATGCAGCTAGTAAAGGTACAGGATCCCCTTTTGCATCTGGCTAACCTAACAGTAGATTCTCCTTCTTCCCTCCTCACCGCCAACTCAAAGAACCCAGGACTCCAGATTCTAAGTCCTCTTTTCTGGCTCCGGATTAGTTCAGAGTACACTCATGCTGGAATAATTTGCTGGGCTTGATAACGCTCTACCTCTGCCACAGCCTTTGGCCTAATCCAGGAAAGATACAGGAGCAAATCAGTGACAACCGACTCCAGCACACGCGTACAGTTTGCGAGAGCGTTCCTGCCCACACATGCACACACACCCAGCAGACGGTGCTCAGATCAATTGCAACTCGGACAATAAAAACAAGGGAATAAAAAGCCAACAACAAGCTACACTGTGAGGAAATGGATTCCAGGGAACAGAGGGAGGGAGGGAGGGAGGCAGGCGCAGTTTCTGTTAGGTGCCACAAATATGCAGAATGCACCTGCTGATTCAGGGAGATCCAGATTCTGCGCTAGGGTTAATTAATGCAAATGGTGCAACATTCCAGAAGCTGTGTGCACACCTGAGAAGGATGTGGCAAGCTGAGGTGAGCGTCGCCGCAGAGCCCTGAAAGCAATGCTGCGGGGAGGACAGGACTTGCCCGCCGATGCAAATATCAGGGGCGCTGCAGCCCTCTCAGGGTCTCACTCCGCAAACCCTTTCTGATGGTGTACACCAGGCACAGGCAAACTCGGCCCTCCAGAAGCTTTGGGACTACAACTCCCATCATCCCCAACCACTGGTCCTGTTAGCTAGGGATGATGGGAGTTGTAGTCCCAAAACATCTGGAGGGCCAAGTTTCGCCATACCTGGTGTACACAGAGGAGGATCCGCAGAATGTCGATCATCCGGGATCAAGGCTTCCGCCCATAGCTGCCAACTTCACGGTACGATCATCTTTATTGTCATTGTCCCATACAGAACAACGAAATTGAAAAAAAATCTACATCAGACATTCAAAAACCAACAAGCCTGCTATCCCAGCTTGGTTAACCCCCTAAAAACTCTGATACCCCATAATTAAATATAATATACTCCCACAGAGTATATTATGTTTAGGGAAGCTTTTAATGTTTAATAGGTTATTGTACAGTGGTGCCTCGCAAGACGAAATTAATTCGTTCCGCGAGTTTTTTCGTCTAGCGAATTTTTCGTCTTGCGAAGCACGGTGTCGGAAAAGTTTTGGAAAAGCTTCAAAAATCACCAAAAACCTCAAAAAAGGCTACCACACCGCGTTCTATGAGTTGCTCCTCAAAGTCAAGTCGCAAATGTATTAACGGTGTTAAGAAAAAGGAAACAAACTTGCAAAAAACGCAATATGTTTTCGTCTTGCAAAGCAAGCCCATAGGGAAATTCGTCTTGCGAAGCAGCTCAAAAACCGCAAAACCCTTTCGTCTAGCGAGTTTTTCGTCTTGCGAGGCATTCGTCTTGCGGGGCACCACTGTATTTTAGTGTTTTGTCAGAAGCCGCCCAGAGTGGCTGGGGAAACCCAGCCAGATGGGCGGGGCATAAATAATAAATTATTATTATTATTATTATTAAGACTACCTTACACTGCGTTTAAAACCAAAATCGCATTTGGATAAAAACTGTTTCTCAGGCGGCTAGTCGTAGTCAAGGTGCTTTCCACAACTTCCTGATCAAATTTGCAGATGACACCAAACTGGGAGAGGTGGCTAACACCCCAGAGGACAGGATCACACTTCAAAACGACCTTGACAGATTAGAGAACTGGGCCAAAACAAACAAGATGAACTTTAACAGGGAGAAATGTAAAGTATTGCACTTGGGCAAAAAAATGAGAGGCACAAATACAAGATGGGTGACACCTGGCTTGAGAGCAGTACATGTGAAAGGATCTAGGAGTCTTGGTTGACCACAAACTTGACATGAGCCAACAGTGTGACGTGGCAGCTAAAAAGCCAATGCAATTCTGGGCTGCATCAATAGGAGTATAGCATCTAGATCAAGGGAAGTAATAGTGCCACTGTATTCTGCTCTGGTCAGACCTCACCTGGAGTACTGTGTCCAGTTCTGGGCACCACAGTTCAAGAAGGACACTGACAAACTGGAACGTGTCCAGAGGAGGGCAACCAAAATGGTCAAAGGCCTGGAAACGATGCCTTATGAGGAACGGCTAAGGGAGCTGGGCATGTTTAGCCTGGAGAAGAGGAGGTTAAGGGGTGATATGATAGCCATGTTCAAATATATCAAAGGATGTCATATAGAGGAGGGAGAAAGGTTGTTTTCTGCTGCTCCAGAGAAGCGGACACGGAGCAATGGATCCAAACTACAAGAAAGAAGATTCCACCTAAACATTAGGAAGAACTTCCTGACAGTAAGAGCTGTTTGACAGTGGAATTTGCTGCCAAGGAGTGTGGTGGAGTCTCCTTCTTTGGAGGTCTTTAAGCAGAGGCTTGACAACCATATGTCAGGAGTGCTCTGATGGTGTTTCCTGCTTGGCAGGGGGTTGGACTCGATGGCCCTTGTGGTCTCTTCCAACTCTATGATTCTATGAACTTTCCACGCAGCCAGAAATCCTGCAAGGAGCTCACAGCTGCGCAAGAGACCCGGAAAAGAGGTGTGCAGGTAAATTTGCTGAGAGCAAAGCAGCCACATGCAAAAAGAAAAGGAGAAGGGGATGATGTTCCAGTGCCTTTAATAGTTCTGTACGAGAGGGAATCTCGCAGGGGAGGCCTGGTTAATCAGGGCAAATGGGCCACTGGCCCACCAACCTCAGCCTGCCAGCACCTGTTTGTCATCTTACAACCAGGACGGGAGTGGCACTATTTTGTCACCTCCCTCCTCCAGGGTTTCGCTGCTGCCCCTGCAGAGCTCATCTTGTGCAAGGGAATTCCATGGTTTCTGACTGTGCCCTGTGCAGTGTTTCTTCCTTTGGCCTGTAATAATACCCACCCTTTAAATAGCACTCTAGGTACATTACCTTGCTGTAATAACACCTAGTAACGCAGGTCAATATTATTATCCCCTGTGCTGAAGACGAGGGTGGGGACCAGTGAGCAATCAAAAGCAAGCTTGCTTTATTTCATCTGAGAGGTTCCTGGCTTAAGTCCTTTCTCCCCATGCCCTCGTATATTTTTTATTAGATTTTCTATTTTACATTTTAGAGTATTCATTTAAACAACCTTAAAGCATCAGTGACTTCCCTTCTTCTCTTTCCACGGTTCATTTTGCATAACATAAAATCCCTGCATACTTTACATAAACTATACCATTCAGTATTCCATTATTACATCCATCAAAACTTATTTATGCTGTTGAATTTATCTTAATGCTGCCAGCATTTTCAAGTGTACACAATTCCCCCCCATATACTCAATAAACATTTTATAGGCCAGTATTGTTAGACCTCTATTTAATAGTAATAATAATAATTTATTATTTATACCCCACCCGTCTGGCTGGGTTTCCCCAGCCGCTCTGGACAGCTCCCAGCAGAATATTAAAAGCACAATAAAACATCAAACATTAAAAACTTCCATTCAGATGCCTTCTGAAAGTCAGATAGTTGCTTATTTCCTTGACATCTGGTGGGAGGGCGTTCCACAGGGCAGGTACCACCACCGAGAAGGCCCTCTGCCTAGTTCCCTGTAACTTCACTTCTCACAGTGGGGGAACCGCCAGACAGCCCTCAGAGCTGGACCTCAGATGGAGGTGGAGACACTCCTTCAGAGGTTGGATGGCCACCTGTCATGGATGCTTTAGCTGAGATTCCTTCAATGCAGGGGGTTGGACTAGATGACCCTCAGGGTCCCTTCCAACTCCACATTTCTATGATTCCCCCCAGTACAAGTTAAGTTGCTGGACCCAATGACCAACGCTAGTCCTACTTAAGAGTAGACCCTGAAGTTAACGGACATGGCTAACCTAAGACTCATTAGTTTCAATCAATGGGCCTACTCAAGAGTAGGAGCTTAGTTGGGCACAACCCATGATCACATGCATCCGTGGCATGGTCATGTGTCTGCAGAAGTACTAAAACAAAAAATGAAAAGGTCAGATTGCAGCTAATAGACAAGAAGTCAAACACTGGTGAGCTGCAGTGCGACCGTCATCTGAAACCAGGACTGTTGACAGTTCATCCCCCTAACTTCTTGGCTTCTGTGTGATTAATGGATTAAGTTAAGTAATTTTAGCCGTTTATTGCAAAATGGCTCTTTTGAGCCTGCTTCTCTGAAGCCTGAAATGGATTCAAAGAAATCTGCTTCAGACTGGCTTCAGGCCCATATTTGCAAGGTCTGATCCAGCAGGAATCTTCTACAGTGGTACTTCGGTTTAAGAACTTAATTCGTTCCGGAGGTCCGTTCTTAACCTGAAACTGTTCTTAACCTGAAGCACCACTTTAGCTAATGGGGCCTCCTGCTGCCGCCGCGCCGCCAGAGCCCGATTTCTGTTCTCATCCTGAAGCAAAGTTCTTAACCTGAAGTACTATTTCTGGGTTAGCGGAGTCTGTAACCTGAAGCGTCTGTAACCCGAGGTACTACTGTATCTGACTTTTAGAAGACATCTGAAGGCAGCCCTGTTTAGGGAGGTTTTTAATGACTGATGTTTTAATGTATTTTTAACCTTTTGTTGGAAGCTTCAGGTTACAGACTCCGCTAACCCAGAAATAGTACATCGGGTTAAGAACTTTACCTCAGGATGAGAACAGAAATTGCCCAGTGGCGGGAGGCCCCATTAGCTAAAGTGGTACCTCAGGTTAAGAACAGTTTCAGGTTAAGAATGGACCTCCAGAACAAATTAAGTTCTCAACCTGAGGTACCACTATAATCGTTTTCCGTGCTGGGAAAGACTTCCTCCTTTAAGGAGAAAAATAGGCAAATGTCCATTTTATAGGTAGGGAATCCTGCGTGCATTTCCAGTTTTCCGCCTTTGAACAGAGCCCCTGCAAAATGCACTCAGCTTATCACCTGGAAGATACCTTCCAGCGAGTCAGACCACGGGATCATCCAGATCAGTTTTGCCTACACTGACTGGAAGCTGCTCTCCAGGGTTGCTGCAGATCTGGGATCTTCTGCCCTGCAAAGCACTGAGCTTCCTGCTGGAGACTGCCAAAAGCCTCAAGAGTCTGCTGCTTTTCTTCTCCCCAAACTCTCCTTGCCTGTGCTTGCTGCTCTCTCCGCTGAATTCAGTGATGGGGAAAGCAGCGGTGAAAACAGCCCTTCCTTATTATTACCATATATTCCCTTTGACTCTGCCGAGTCTTGACCTCCCTCCCTCCCTGCAATTGGTATATTAAATCCATTCTTATCGCGCACATTATTCTTATATCCCTACTGCTTTACATTGAAGGTATCATTCCAGTCCTGCTAGTGTCTTTACACTTTTACAGTTCACCTTTAAATATTCAATAAATTTACTCCAATTATTCCTGATTGTTGGAAAAAGAATACCGTATTTTTTGCTCTATAAGACTCACTTTTTCCCTCCTAAAAAGCAAGGGGAAATGTGTTTGCGTCTTATGGAGCGAATGCAGGCTGCGCAGCTATCCCAGAAGCCAGAACAGCAAGAGGGATTGCTGCTTTCACTGCGCAGTGATGCCTCTTGCTGTTCTGGCTTCTGAGATTCAGAATATTTTTTTTCTTGTTTTCCTCCTCCAAAAACTAGGTGCGTCTTGTGGTCTGGTGCATCTTATAGAGTGAAAAATACGGTATGTAAAGAAAATAATAAAAATTTACTTGGAAGAGAAAACAGCCCTTCCTCTGGTGATTACCTTGGTGCCTGACAAAGACGACAGGCAGCCAGGAGGTGTCCTTCAAACAGAAATCCAAGACGACAGGGAAAGATGTGGCAGAGAGGGAGGGACTCGAAGTCCCACAGTACAGCTCCACCCTAGGCCTGCACAACTTATTTGACCTGTTTATAACAATGTGCTGAATGCCTTTCTAAATACGCCTGCCAACCTTGGATTTGTGGAAGCAGCACTGTTGCCAGTGCCACACGATACTCATTCCACATTCGTAAGAACTTGATCGTTCAGTGTGGTCACACTCATACATTGTCAGTCAGTCATTCAGTCAGTTTCATTGCACATCGCCAAAGGCTGCCGCAATGTACGCAGAATCGTTCAACAATTAAAAGAAAATACGCTGGATTAATACAAAAAAATTAAAACATTTATATTATCAAGACATTACCTACTCTAAACAGAGCTAAAAAAAGTACCTTAATATACAGGTTAAGACATTAAACAATAAAATTTATAGGCTAAAATCACCACATGGCCACTAATCTATTAAAAAATAATGTTGATTAATACAATGTGCAATTATATTCGGAGTTTGGTGCTAAAGATAGAATATAGCTTGATGTAAAGGTAAAAGTAAAGGGAACCCTGACCATTAGGTCCAGTCGTGGCCGACTCTGGGGTTGCGGCGCTCATCTCGCTTTATTGGCCGAGGGAGCCAGCGTACAGCTTCCGGGTCATGCGGCCAGCATGACTAAGCCGCTTCTGGCGAACCAGAGCAGCGCACGGAAACACAGAGCCTAGGACTTGCCGATCAGAAGGTCGGCGGTTCAAATCTCCGCAACGGGGTAAGCTCCCGTTGCTCGGTCCCTGCTCCTGCCAACCTAGCAGTTCGAAAGCATGTCAAAGTGCAAGTAGATAAATAGGTACCACTCCGGCAGGAAGGTAAACGGCGTTTCCGTGTGCTGCTCTGGTTTGCCAGAAGCGGCTTAGTCATGCTGGCCACATGACCGGGAAGATGCACGTCGGCTCCCTCGGCCAATAAAGCGAGATGAGCGCCGCAACCCCAGAGTCGGCCACGGCTGGACCTAATGGTCAGGGGTCCCTTTACCTTTACCATAAAGGTACCATAAGGTACCATAAAAATGAAAACATGGAGGATAAAACTAGCAAGGGCTACTGGCCACAATGGTTACATTATCCCTTGATAGCAAGCCTTTGAATTCCAGTTCCTGAGAAATACAGATGGGCAGAACGCCCTTGTGCTTACAAGCTTTCCCATAAGCATGGGCCATGGCTGGCCACAGTGAGATGGGTCACTAGCCTGATCCAGTAGGGCTCATCTTCTGTTTTATTCTTTTTTAAGAGTCTTTAAAAACCTGGTGCAAATATATCTGGTGTCAAAACCAAAAGGTTTACTATAAAAGTAAATAAATTGGGAAAGTTATCACTGGAAGTGGAATGGGAGGCAAAATCACGTTCGTTTGTAACACGACACACCAGAGGTAATACCTAATTGAGGAGTGGTTTAGTTGCATGTGATTATTGAATCAATTCAGTTTGTGGAACCAGCCAACAGCCTTCACAATTAATTATTACCCTTGGCAAGCTTCATAACCTGCCCTTTGCCATAAACGGAGCACACCACAGGATTTAAAATTGTACCGTACAGTTTGCAGATATTGTGCACAAATGAGCAGGCATTCCGGGAAGGGACTAAGGTGAATTATGTATTTGTGAGCGGTGCCCCACGGACTCCCTATTCAACTTGCTGATTTATCCTCTGTGCTGCTAACGCAGGCAAATAAAGCAGATTCTTGCCAGCCACCGCTCCCCTGTTGCCCCATTCAATCACCACAATAGGGCTATTTTCCCCCCTCTGCAGCATGACTGGGAAAACAAAGAGCTCACCTGAGGTGCTTCCAAGCTATCGATCACTAGGCCGCCTCTCGGAATAAAAAATGGCCCCCAACAGACAATTCTCGTTGGAGGGTAAACCTTGCTCGGAACAAAACATTCCTGATGAATTAAGACCGTCACAGAGGGGACTTTGTCGTGGTATTCAAACAGCATCTGTTTGCTGACAGGATCAGGGTGTTTGGATGACTTTAAACACACAAACACATGCATCTAGACTGAGACGTCTGGAGAAAAGTTCTGTCTATACAACTCTTCCCCCATATTCAAGGTCAGACTATTTTGTCCATTTAGTCTGCTACCGTCTAAGAAGGGGTCGTCAGTGAAGTGCCCACAAGCACCACAAAAACCCCAATAGTCTTTGCTGGTGGCCCCCTGGCAAGGCTCCTGGACTGTGGAGTTGCTTTTAAAAAAGAAGAAAAGAATGAAATTAACTATCCAACCCTCCCCAGGAAGAAAGTTACAAAGCACAGCGTGCAAGTACCCTTCAAAGCAATTTCTCTATTAAAGTTCCTTTATCCGATACAGTGGTACCTTGGGTTACATACGCTTCAGGTTACAGACTCCGCTAACCCAGAAATAGTGCTTCAGGTTAAGAACTTTGCTTCAGGATAAGAACAGAAATCGGGCTCCAGCAGCGCGGCGGCAGCAGGAGGCCCCATTAGCTAAAGTGGTGCTTCAGGTTAAGAACAGTTTCAGGTTAAGAACGGACCTCCAGAACGAATTAAGTACTTAACCTGAGGTACCACTGTACATTAGTTCCACACAGAACATTTGCAACAATAACGGGCATGTCTACTCAGAAGTCCCTTTGTGTTTAATACAGCTTTACTCCCAAGCAAGCGGGTAGGAGATGGCAGCCTATGTTTGGTTTCAGGTTGGCATGGGGGGGGACTGGAGTTCTTGTGCCCTTAGCAGCTGCCCAGCAGGCAGAAATTCAACAGGTTAAGCCTTTTCCTGTATGAAAATGCAACTCTGGGGAAAGCTTCGCCATCTCTCTAATTTTGAATTATGCCATTCCCCCCCCCCCCCACACACAAAAGCAGTCATTTTGTGGCTGGCACCCACAGAACACTCTCAAAATTCTGTTCCAAAAAGGTTGGTGACCTGTGTCTATGACTCGCTGTTTCTCTCCAAGGTCTTTCCTTTCATCTGCTATGATGATACTAAGGACCGCAGGGTTGTAGCTCAGTAGGAGAACATCTGCCTTGCCTGAATAAGGACCCGGGTTCAATCCCAGGCATCACAAGATAGGGCTGGGAAAGACCCCTGCCTCTGCCAGCCAGTGTCAAGAACATTGGGCTTCATGTACCAATGCTCTGAGCTGGAATAAAGGCAGCTATCCATCTCCTAAGGACTGAATTATTGAAACTGTATACAAAATTGTGCACCGTCGCTGAGCTGGTCAAACACACCTGGCCAAACACACCTGAGATGTGTGTTTTCAGCCCCCGCCCCCTTATTCCTGTGACTGTGCTCTGTTCCAGGTGTTGTTTAATTCTGAATTTTAAATTCCTGCAACCCACCCAGGCCTCAGCCAGAGAAGAGCAGGTCATAAATTTAGTAAGGGACAATAATATGCTCCGAGCTCTCTTAATTGACCAGAGACAGTTCCAATATTCTGCTACCTGTTCCTGGTGTCACAATTTGTCCCTGATTTTCCATTCGGGGAAATCTGAAGAACATATTTTATTTTTATTTTTTCTTAAAAAAGAGAAGTGTTAGCATACATATGCACGCATGCACACACACACAAACAAACAAACAAACAAACAAACACACAACCATAGCTCACTGCTTCCCCTTTCTCTATGCCCCCATAGCTACTTATCTAGATAGCAGAAGTTGCTAAAACGGATCTCAGTTGCAGCTAGGAATGCTTGAGGAATTTATCTGTGAATTCTGAGAGGAGCTGGCCAGATCTCCACCTCAGGGACCCGGCTTGCAGATCAGGACACTGGTCGCTTTTAGATTCTGCACCTCTTGGCTCAAAAGCATGCCCAAACAGCAGGTAAAATGAATATTTAGAAATGCACAATCTGTGAGAAAAACACACTGCGCGTGTCTGTATTTGCGTTTATTTTTATTTTTTACAAAAGAAGCTTCTTAGATTAAAGCAAAACAGGACGGGAAATGCTTATGCCTGACCACACACACAAAACCAACACAGGCCAGAAATAAAGACTGATTCGCCAACCCCCTAACTGGAGCCTAAGCTCAGCACCGTCAGATCCATTATGCGATAGTAAGGATTCTGTTAAGCAAGGGCTTTGTTTTTGTTTGTTTTTACACACACACACACACAGAGAGAGAGAGAGAGAGAGAGAGAGAGAGAGAGGGAGGTGGCGTTTTGGTTTACTTCTTGGTTTTAAATGCAGTGTAAGGTAGTCTCTATGGGAGTATATTGTATTTAATTATGGGGTATCAGAGTTTTTAGGGGGCTAAGCAGGCTGGGACAGCTGGCTTGTTGCTCTCTGAATGTCTGATGTAGATTTTCTTTTTTAAAATCATTTTTATTAAGTTTCCCATTTTAACAATCCAATCAAATCACATTTAACGTTCCAAATTATACAAATACATATCAAATAGTCCAAATATTCTGCCTAAATTATAAAAAAAAAATTGTTGGGACTTCCCATGCTTTCAATTTCGTTGTTCTGTATGGGACAATGACAATAAAGATGATCGTATTGTAAATCAGTGCAGGACGGACTATCACAGAGCAACATAACACAAGCAGAAAAGAGCCTTCAGCAATATATACTGTATTTTTTGCTCTATAAGACTCACTTTTTCCCTCCTAAAAAGTAAGGGGAAATGTGTGTGCGTCTTATGGAGCGAATGCAGGCTGCGCAGCTATCCCAGAAGCCAGAACAGCAAGAGGGATTGCTGCTTTCGCTGCGCAGCGATCCCTCTTGTTGTTCTGGCTTCTGGGATTCAGAATACTGTATTTTTTTCTTGTTTTCCTCCTCCAAAATCTAGGTGCGTCTTATGGTCTGGTGCGTCTTACAGAGCGAAAAATACGGTAATAGAATTGCAGGAAGGAATTCAGCATAGCGCTATGGCAGTCATTCTGTCAGCGCACACATTTCAGCTTGCCAGGTGAAATGATCCCCTGCTGCTGTTTTGGGGTTCTCCTGATCCCCACAAGCCAATTCCGGAGGGGGGGCAGCCCCATCGCACTAGCAACTGCTTCTGCAACTGTGACTTTTAAAAACATAATTTGAGAGCTGGGAGGACCCCGATGGCTCATCTATTCCAGCCCCCCTGCTCAATGAAGGACTTTATGGGGGGTGGGGGATGAGAAGGAATTTTCAGTGTAAGGAAAAACAGGGGTGTTTTCCTTTGCAAAACACGATGCACTGGCAATGTCATGGGAGTTGCTTCTCCGTGCAGCAATCCCCATGCTGCCAGGGTAGCACATGTGAATCCGGCAAACACATGGCCAAGGGGGAAAAGAAGAGGGGTGGCCCCACACACTTTCGGCTCTGATCCTGCCTGCTGCTACTATGCAATCTCCAGGGCATCTCACCCACCCACCCCAAACGCCACTGTGGGAATGCAGCTCTCAACAGAGAAAAGGTTGCCCGCGCCTATGTAAAATTAGCCAATCTGCAGGCACAAAATATAACTGCTGTGAAACATCTCCAGCCTCTGGGCCACTTCAGGCCCTCCAGGCCTCCTCCCCATTTGGCCCACAAGGACATTAAGCCCAAGCCCACCTGTCCTAGAGCAGATGTCCTTTACGATGTCGTGTGAGTGGCAGGGAAACCTGCAGATGGCTGGGCTAACGGGGGCAGGTTGCTGATTGTCTGGGCTTGCAAAGCCTCACCTATCAGCTGATGCTGAGGCCCTGCTTAAGCTTCGCTTCTGGCACTTTGCAAGCTGCACCGATCAGCTGATTGGCAGCACAGGCATAAACAGGTCACCTGACACAGTTGTGACGATTGACACGGGGAGATAAGGGGCCAACCCACTTCTTTCTTTGGCGATCGCTCGTAGCCAAGTAAGATTGTCTTCCATAAACACGGTTTTAACAATGAGTCCGTAAGTGACTGCAGAGGCCAATTCTGGAACCACACGTCCTTCAACAGTGGGGACACTGGTTTCCTGGCTTTGACAGACCAGATCTGGTCCAATATTATGTTCCAACAGCGACCAACCAGAGATGCCTCTGGGGACATACAGACTCTGCAAATGAGAAGCAACAGGGGGTATCTGGCTGTCCCCAGCACTGGTATTTATGCCTCTGCATAAAGAAGTTCCAATTTTGCTAGGATGACCCATGGTTGCTGGTAGACCTAAGCTAAAGAATGCTTCTAAGCCAGAGGCCATCACACCTTGCAATATATAACACCATTGATTTAATTATGCATTGTGCAAGGGAGACACACACTTCAAGCAGTGCCCTTAAAGGGAGAACCATGTTTTGAAAACATGTGTCCTCAATTCAGCCACAGTCACCACTGATATATACAGTGGTACCTAGGGTTACATACGCTTCAGGTTACATATGCTTCGGGTTACATATGCTTCAGGTTACAGACTCCGCTAACCAAGAAATAGTACCTCGGGTTAAGAACTTTGCTTCAGGATGAGAACAGAAATTGTGCTCCGGCTGCGCGGCGGCAGCAGGAGGCCCCATTACCTAAAGTGGTGCTTCAAGTTAAGAACAGTTTCAGGTTAAGAACGGGCCTCTGGAACGAATTAAGTACTTAACCTGAGGTACCACTGTACATCGGGAAGAACTTTCTGAGGGCAAGAGCTGTTTGACTGTGGAACAGACTCCCTCGGGAGGTTGTGGAAGCTTCTTCATTGGGGGTATTAAAGCAGAGGTTGGATCATCATCTGTCATGGATGCTTGAGTTGAGCATTGACTGCTGCGTTGCAGGGGGTTGGACTAGATGACCCTCGGGGTCCCTTGCAGCTCTGCAATTCTCTGATATCCCCAGGCAAGTCAATTACTTTTCAGCACCAGTTTCTCCACCTACAGAATTCAAACAATAAGCCTGACCTACCTTCGTAGGCTATTATAAGGATGGAGAAATGGTGTTTACTAGCTCTAAGCCTTCAGGTTTGGGCAAGGTTAAAATAAATTAAATTCTACACTGGCCTACTTTAGATCAAACATTTGAACGTATCCTCCTTTTTTTTTTGCCTGTCTACTCCCTTCTTGACAAAAGTACATGGTCCCTTCTGTCCCTAAACCATGTGATGTTTGTTATAGGAGAAATGACCTTTTAATTCCTCTCAGAGAAATGTCACGGCCTGTCAGTGCTCTACTGTGGGCACCTTGCCCTCGAACAAGTAAAATGCTTGTGAACATTCCATGCCATCACAAAGCCCAAGTCCAATGCTGAGAATGAGTTTATATCCTCACATATTTTTGGGGGGGGGGGGGACACAACTGCAATTTCTGTGCTGCGCATCTTTGGGGTAAAGGTAAAGGGACCCCTGACCATTAGGTTCAGTCGTGGCCAACTCTGGGGTTGCGGCGCTCATCTCGCTTTATTGGCCGAGGGAGCCAGCGTACAGCTTCCGGGTCATGTGGCCAGCATGACTAAGCCACTTCTGGTGAACCAGAGCAGCGCACGGAAACGCCGTTTACCTTTCCGCCGGAGTGGTACCTATTTATCTACTTGCACTTTGACGTGTTTTCGAATTGCTAGGTTGGCAGGAGCTCGGACCGAGCAACGGGAGCTCACCCCGTCGCGGGGATTCGAACCGTGACCTTCCGACCGGCAAGCCCAAGGCTCAGTGGTTTACACCACAGCGCCACCCGCGTCCAACGTGGTACCCACCAAATGCTTTGGACTACAATTCCCATCAGCCTCAGCTGCAGTGACTCGCTGCAGGCAACCAGGGTTTCAGACAGGAATCTTTCCCCAGTACTAACCTGGGGCTTGAACCCAGGACCTTCTGCATGCAAAGCAGATTGCTGAACCACCAAGCCACAGTCCCTCCTCAGCTCAGAGCTGGGAAGGCTGCCTTCTCCCTACAGCTACTCAGGCAGTCAAAACATCTCTAACTCCCAGTGTCAGCCTGGACCTTTTTACCATGGTCTTCTTGAAGAGGGCAAGGTTTAACTGGCCTCCCAAATTTGTGGTTCTCTGGTTACTGATCTCCCCTTCTTTTTCTTTCTCATCTTCCAGGAAATTTATAGACTGTGTGTTTGAATATTCCTCAGAATATGACAGTGCCTTATTACAACACATCACTATTTGCCTGCTCAGCATCTCGTGCTAAGTGTGTGGGGGGGGAGCAACTTCCCTTTTCGTATTAAAATGACAAACGTTCCTGTTTTGTTTATTATCTGCTACCGGCCTGCCCAGGTTTTTGAAAAACAAATGAACAGCTATATAGGTTTTCTGCCAGTGTTAGAAGCTCAAGATATATATATGCTAGGCTCCAAATGCCTCCTTAAACCAGGTTTACCGTCACCAAAACAGAATGCCTAGTTGCCATTTTGGAGCCGGGCGGTTCAAAGGTTTTATTTTTCAATGAGACTTTTTGGTTCCTGAAATTTGTTCTGATTGTGCGGATAAAATGTAACGGATAGAATTCCACAGGATGAGCTGCTAGTGTGTGAAAACAGTCAAGATCCATGGATCCCACCTCTAGATGGTGGAGACGTCAGGCACCATCCTGACGCCCAGACATTTTCAATTGGTTGCAAGTGGCCAATAGCCAGGTGCAAAATGTGCCCAGTCCATTTTGAACGCTGCTCTCTGCCTTGACTTGAGAAATATTGAAGTCATTAAAAGAAACGGCTCTGTTCTATCATTCTGGGTCTCTTCCCTCCACTAGGAGCTTGAGAAGTACCGTACTTTTCTGTGTATAAGATGCCTCCATGCATAAGACGCCCCCTATTTGGGGGACTCACATTTAAGAAAATGGGGGGAGATGGCACAGAATTGCTGAGCATTTTTGGAGAGGATTGCCCAGAGTTGTAGAGCTTTTTTTAGGGGGGACTGCCGAAAATCACTCACCCACCTGCACGTGTCGCAAAACCCACCTCTCGTCTGTCCCATCGCTGGCATAAGATGCCAATCGCCCGCCAAATTGCCGCAGCGTCAGCCAGTCAACACCACCCATTGACGCAGCAACCAATAACACACACAATAGCTGCTAGCAGTAACCAAACTAACCACTACCCATGTATAAGACAAACCTCATTTTTTAGTAGGATTTTTAAAGAAACAAACCTCGTCTTATACACGGAAAACTACAGTATACCGTACACTGCAGTATCTCATTTCCGGCTACTGAGGATTCATATACTCCTGAATACGTTTATAAAATTTTTGTAACCACCCAGGAGACAAACCAAGCTATTTTGTTAGGCCCGGGGATTAGTCTTCTAGGTTAAGGGAGCATGGCAGAGATGTGTAAGATTTTGAGCAGTATAGGAAAAATGGGTAAGGATTTCTCCCCCTCTCATAATGCCAAAAACTGGGGGAATCTGGAAAGTTCAGGACAGACAAAAGAAAGCAGTTATTCACACAGCACATCCTTAAACTAAGGAATCGGGTCCCAAAAGAGGGAGTGACGGGTACCAACTGGATGGTTTTAAAAAGAATTTTAGACAAAAATCATGGTGGATAAGACTGCCACTGGATGCTACACATAGTGGCTGTGTTTTACCTATGGAGATTTGGCTTGTCGCTATGGGAACAAGAGGCTGGACTAGGCCTTTGGCCTGGTCCAGAAGGCCTCTTCTTATGAGGGAAACCTGGAAACAAAACCAGGCAAAGCTGAAAGAAGCAGTAAGGCATAAGAACATGCAAAGATCCTTACTCCTTCTCCTGGACGGGAAGTCGGGTCTATAGAAAAAGGCAATTTTTATTTCAACGTTTTGTGATTATTCTTTGGTATATTATTTTTCTTTTTGTTTTGTGTTGATGCATACAGATACTTAGGGATGCGGGTGGCACTGTGGGTTAAACCACAGAGCCTAGGACTTGCCGATCAGAAGGCCGGCGGTTCAAATCCCCGCGACAGGGTGAGCTCCCGTTGCTCGGTCCCTGCTCCTGTCCACCTAGCAGTTTGAAAGCACGTCAAAGTGCAAGTAGATAAATAGGTACCGCTCCAGTGGGAAGGTAAATGGTGTTTCCGTGCGCTGCTCTGGTTCGCCAGAAGCGACTTAGTCATGCTGGGCACATGACTGTACGGCTGTACGCCGGCTCCCTTGGACAATAAAGTGAGATGAGCGCTGCAACCCCAGAGTCAGTCACGACTGGACCTAATGGTCAGCGGTCCCTTTACCTATACGGATAATTGTCTTTCTTGGTGTGTTAAAGTGAAAAGAAAAGGAACATTCAAATATCCTGCATGGCCCTGACACAAAGTCCATGCAGCCAAACACCCTGTTCCCAACAGTTGTCAGCCAGATTATTCTGGGATGCTTACAAAGCAGTTAACACCCTCACCCTTTTTGTCAGTATCGTGTCCATCCTTGCACCATTCTGAAAGGTAAGGAGGAAAAGGCCACAGAACCTCAGCCTCCCAATTTCAGGCACGCAGGCCAGTTGTTTTAATACCTGAATGGCCTGGGAATATGACCCTTTTCCTGGGTCCAGTTGGGATTTAAAAGCCACTGCTGCCTGCCCTTGGGACCTTTAGCAGAGGTTACATCCTACTGGGAACCCACGGATCAGAAGAAACCCGCCAGCTTGCAGAATAACTCAAAAAGCGACAGAGCTTGAAAGCTTAATGAGCTCCGGAAACTAAAAAACATTAATGAGCTTCGGAAATTAAAAGCTGCAAAGGTGGTGCTTTGTCTTAACTCCGCCTGTTTGCGAAAAGAGCCGCCAGACATGAGCTAGGAATGGGTGAAGGGTCTTAACATGAAGGCAGGCAAGAGGGTGGGTGGGTTGCCACGACAGGAGTACAGGAAGAGGGAAGCAACACAACCAGACAACACCTGCTTTGCATGCAGAAACTCCTGCCTCCAGTTTTAGTTAGTATGGTTAGGAAAGACCACCCACCCCTAGACCTTGGAGAACCATTGCTTGCTGGCTGGCATAGTGGTTAGAACAGGCATGGCCAAACTTGGCCCTCCAGCTGTTTTGGGACTACAGCTCCCATCATCCCTAGCTAACAGGACCAGCGGTCAGGGATGATGGGATTTGTAGTCCCAAAACAGCTGGAGGGCCAAGTTTGGCTATGCCTGGGTTAGAGTGCCAGACTAGGGCCTGGGAGAGAGCAGGGTTCAAATCCCTGCTCGACCATGAAGCCCACCAGGTGACCCTGATCTAATCACTGCCTCTCAGCCTAACTGGACTTGCAAGGAGTAGTAGGACTAGGTATGCGGCCACAAGCATTTGGGAAGAAAGGAGGGCTAAATATGCAGCGATAGAGTATATAAAATAAAAACAAGCACCAGGCTAGATAGACTTGTATTCTGACTCAATACATAAGGCAGCTTCCTATGTTTTCCATGTTACAGAGCACAGAAGCAAAGAGATTGTCAACTGCGGCGCAATGAAGATTCTGCAAGGTAGATGCAACATGAAAACTGTGGCTCGTTCAGATTTCAAAAACGGCACACCACACTGAAAACAGAACTGCAACAAAACAGATACTTTTTTTCACAAAGCAATTTGTGCTTTTGGCATGCATACCTGGACCACGGGCCCATTTAATTGTTTAACAGAAATATAGCGACTCACTGGACAGGAGAGGCAAGGCATCGATGGCATTGCGGAAAAAACACCTGGAGGGTGATATGCTCAGTGGGGGGTTGAGGGGCAACACTCGCCTGGTGTTGTAAGATGAGGGGTGTCGCCGGGGGGGGGGGAATGTGAAGAGAAGCAGCAGTTGGTGGAAAGCACTGAAATGTAAGCATGGAAATGGCACAGTGAGTCTTAGCAGGAGTGGCAGGAGCCTTGTGGCTTCACAAGTGGCAATGGGAGAAGAAAACTGGGGGTGAGAAGAACGTATTTCACAGGCACCCACACTTCTCTCTTTTAGTATTAAGGCAGGGGTGGGGGCACTTTTTCCAGGCTGAACGCCACATTCCCTTCTGGGGGCCACACACCAGCGGTGGTCGTGGCCAGAGGCAAAAGAAGGTCCATAGATTCATAGAATCTGAGGATAATCTAGCCCAGGGGTCAGCAAACATTTTCAGCAGGGGTCCAGTCCACTGTCCCTCAGACCTTGTGGGGGACCGGACTATATTTGGGGGGGGTGATGCAAGAGCGCCACGAGCCTCAGTGGCTGCTTACCTGTGTCTTGTGAGCAGCAGGGGCTGAGGCAGTGGGGTAGACTATGAGCGGCGCGTGAAAAGGCTACGGAGAGGGGCTGCTTAAAATGGCGGCCGCTCAAGCGCTTCTGCTGCTGGCACCAACAAAGCCCAGTCCCCCTTTCTCCTCTAGGCAGGGCGGGGAGAAGCCAGGAGGAGGGGGGGAGGAGGCGGAGGCGCCGCCACCGCTGAGGGAGGGAGAGGGAAAAAACGTGCGTGCTGGCGATCCACGCGGCAATTCCCAGACCGTCTGCAGGCCAGATCCAGAAGGCAATTGGGCCTGATCCAACCCCCGGGCCTTAGTTTGCCGACCCATGATGTAGCCCAACTCCCATGCAATGCAGGAATACGCGATGCAATGATTGCCAAATTTGCCTTTGTGTAGTAGGCTAGTTTCCACACACGCAGCCAGCCCTTTCTATCCCCCATCCACGGAAGCATGACCAGTGTCCAAGGGCACATTTAAGCCAGGCTTAGAAGGCCACAATTGGCTCCCAAGGTGAAGGCCCCACATTCTGGATTGAAACAAACACAGCCAAGTATACATATGCAACTGAAAAGCACTCGTGGCCTAGCAGCCTGCGGAGCCACAAATCAAAAGAGGACCGAGGTTGCCTCACAGCACACTCCCACCACGCAGGGTTGCAACAGGCCCTGCATCGCTCACAGTGCAAGTCTGGACACTGAGCCAGCTGGTGCAAACATGGGAAGCAACTAACCATTCAGCTTACCAAAGGGTCCCCAAAGGCCTGAACTGAAGGAAGGAATGGAGGCAGGAGGAGGGTACCAATTTAAGAAGGCGGGACAGAGACACCACCACATCTTGCCTCATGGGGAGGGGCCTAATAATGATAAAAATAATAATAATTTATTATTTATACCCCGCCCATCTGGCTGGGTTTCCCCAGCCACTCTGGGCGGCTTCCAACAAAGATTAAAAATACATTAAAATGTCACACATTAAAAACTTCCCTAAACAGGGCTGCCTTCAAATGTCTTCTAAAAGTTTGGTGGTTGTTCTTCTCTTTGACATCTGGTGGGAGGGCATTCCACAGGGCGGGTGCCACTACCGAGAAGGCCCTCTGCCTGGTTCCCTGTAACTTGGCTTAGATCAGTGGAAGAACACAACGCAGTGCATGCCAATGTCCAGTCCCCAAAAGCTTCAGCTAACCGTAGCCTTGGGTTAAGAGGTGAGGGTGAAGACCTGAGATCATGGGCAGCAGGGTGAAGATGGGACTAGAAGCCTGACTCAGTCCTAGGCGGCTTCCCAAGTCCAATGAACAAGATCTTACTGATTCCTTGGAGAAGAGCCATAGCTCAGTGGGTCAAGAATGCAGAAGGTCCCCGGCATCTCCAGATAGGACTGGAAGATATTTTTGCCTGGAGCCTTGCAGAACTGCTGCCAGTCCGTGCGGACAATGCCAAACCAGACAGACCTGGTATGAAGCAGCTTCCTCCCCTCCTTTACTTTCAGAGGGCTGAAGAAGCATGCAGACCTGAAACTCCACACCACATCCTGCCCCACGAGTCCTCCTGCTCCTGTCTAGAGATGCCCCACCCCTTCCTGCACAAGCGAGTTGGCCATCTATGGACCAGAAGCACAGAAGACATGGGACCACCGCAACTTCATCAAAAAGGGGATGGGTTTGCCTCGCCTTTCGGAACACGCATTCCACGCAGCTCCCGGGCAGTGGATTTGTGCCAGAAATGCCAAATGCCCTTGTCATCCAGCGTGGCTAAGAGTGTCAGACCAGGACCTGGAAGACTAGAGTCTGACTCAGTGCATTGAGTGACCTCATGGCAATTACTACGGCCTCTAAGCCAAACCTACTGCACAAGGCTGTGGCAAGAGGAGGGAAAGATGTGGGGCTGGAACCATTTTCACATCACTTTGTGGTTCTTGGTGGAAAAGTCGGGGGACAGGACGGGATGGGATGCAAATTTAATATAAATAAAACCCTCTCCCACCTCTTTTCTAACTTGCCATTGCCACTTCCAAAATAAGATTGACAGCAAATAAAGAGGTTTTTTAAATAAAAAACACCAAAAAAAAAAAAACTGCAGGAAAGCAATTTCTGACCAGCAGCACCATCTAGGACTTGGGGGCAGAAACGCAACAAAACGGGCACCTCCCTCGCCCACCCAAATGTGCCAATGCCCATCATCCTGCACTTAAAACAACCAGGTCCAGAGTTTAACATTACAGACATGCCAACCACAGTTTTGGGCAGCCTTTTCCCCTTCTTTATTTTTAGAGTTGCCACATGTTTCTTTGTTTCTCTCCGGCTGCAACAGAAAGGCGGCTTTCCCCTCTCCCCCCCCCCCCCGAACCTCAAGCCAAAAGCCTTAAACGAAAGTTTTGTGTTGTTGTTTTTTTTAACTCTCGGCCATTCTCACGCTACGAGGCGCCGAGATAACCAGACAGATAACCGCCAGGGGAAGTATTTTTAAGAAAAGCAAGCAAGGAAAACAGAAGTCTGCCCAAGAAGGGCGCGGCGGGGGCTTCTTCTCGGCTGGCTTTGGGCTTCCACTTACCCAGCCAGGGAGGAAGTGAGGACAGGGTGGGGGCCAAGGAGGATCGGATGCGTCTTTCCCCCGGAGAGGGAGCTCGTCTATATATGATTTCCCAGCTTCCACGCTCTCCGATTCCCTGCAAGGGACGGAGGCGCAGGAAAGGGCGCGCAGGGCGCAGCGTTGCTCTTACCTTGACGAAGAGCTCGACTTGGGGCTGCTCCTCGGCCATGTCGAGGGAGGCTGGGCGCGCTGGGATTGGGGGGCGGGAGGGAGGGAAGCTGCTTTGGAGGCAGAGAAGTTTCGGTGGATTGAAGGGAGAGGACGATGGGCCGCGCCGATGGGCTCAAAAAGAGAAAGAAAAGACAAGCCTCTCGCAACTTCAAGCAACTTCCCTCCGCCGCTCCGGGCCACGCCCAGGAACTGAGCCCGGGCGAGCCGTGAGTCACCGAGGATGGGCGGATGGGAGCAGAGCGCGGGCGGAGGAAGAGAAGGAGGGAGGGAGGGAGAGAGAGGGGGGGAGAGGACCAGCCCCGGCTGGGGGGCTGTGGAGCAGCCGCGGGGTGGGATCCTCTCTTGCCCCAACCTCCTTCGCTTCGCCTTCTGCTACGATTTCGCTCCCGTTGCCCCTTTTCCACTTTCTCAGCCTCTTCCTTAAGCCCTAAAAGCAGAGGGGAAACTAGGCTTCATTTCACCTGGGTCAAAGTTTGGCACGCACAGTTGTGGTGGCCTGGTAGTAAGGTGAAAGCTTACTCGGAAATGGTGTATAATGAAATGAAAAGGATGTTTAAAATAACGTTTTTTAAAAACAAAAACAAAACCCAGCAGACTTTCTTTTGGGAATTATAAAGGTAAAGGGACCCCTGACCACTAGGTCCAGTCACAGAGGACTCTGGGGTTGCGGCGCTCATCTCGCTTTATTGGCCAAGGGAGCTTCCGGGTCACGTGGCCAGCATGACTAACATGACTTCTGGCGAACCAGAGCAGCGCACGGAAACGCCGTTTACCTTCCCGCTGGAGCGGTAGCTATTTATCTACTTGCACTGGCGTGCTTTCGAACTGCTAGGTTGGCAGGAATAGGGACCGAGCAAAAGGAGCTCACTCCGTCATGAGGATTCGAACCACTGGCCTTCTGATCAGCAAGTCCTAGGCTCTGTGGTTTAACCCACAGCGCTACCCACGTCCCTTTGGGAATTATAGGGGCTACTTAAACCAGGCATGGCCAAACTCGGCCCTCCAGATGTTTTGGGACTACAACTCCCATCATCCCTAGCTAACAGGACCAGTGGTCAGGGATAATGGGAATTGTAGTCCCAAAACATCTGGAGGGCCAAGTTAGGCCATGCCTGACTTAAATAATAATAATAATTTATTATTTGTACCCCGCCCATCTGGCTGGGTTTCCCCAGCCACTCTGGGCGGCTTCCAACAAAGATAAAAAATAAATTAAAATGCCACAGATTAAAAACTTCCCTGATGTCTTCTAAATGTCAGGTAGTTGTTTATTTCTTTGACATCTAATGGGAGAGCGTTCCACAGGGTGGGCGCCACTGCAGAGAAAGCCCTCTGCCTGGTTCCCTGTAACCTCACATCTTGCATTGAGGGAACCGCCAGAAGGCCCTCAAAGCTGGACCTCAGTGTCCGGGCAGAACAATGGGGGTAGAGACGCTCCTTCAGGTATACTGGGCCGAGGCCATTTAGGGCTTTAAATGTCAACACCAACACTTTGAATTGTGCTCAGAAACTGTATAGAAACTTATTCATGTATGCGACTACAGCAGCAAGAATGTGACTTGCCCCAAAATGGAAAGAAAACGGATACAAAAACTTATGGAATATGCAGAAATGGCAAAACTTAGCGGAAGAATAAGAAATCAAGATGACAAACTTTTTATAACAGGATGGAAATGGTTTATTGAATATTGACAGGTAAGTTGTAAACAGATAAGAACACTGGCAGGACTGTTGTAATAAGCTGCAGTTCCATAAGAGTATATATTTGAAGAAGGTGAATGAATGAGCAAATAAGTTAATTTGGATATGCAGGAGATATTAAAAATTAATTTAAGGAACTGCAGAAAGGGGGGGAGGAGGTCAAGCTTTGAAATATCAAAATGATTGTAAAATCAGTGAAATGTATAAACCTGAAAAGTATAAATATAATAATAATAATAATAGTAAGTTTGGCACGCACCACCCACCCAGTTGGGAGGCCCCTCTGGGGGCTTCACCGAGGGCAAAAAACCTGGCTAGCCCCCCAACCCCTTATAGCCTCGGAGGACACTCAAATGATAACTTGTTCCCTCCCCCCCAAAAAATGCAGGGATGTGGAGGGACCTGTGGCTCTCCAGATGTTCACAGCTCATTGCAGCTCCCATGGTCCTTCCCCGCTGACCCCTCTGGCTGGGGCAGGTGGGCGAGGCAGTGCCAGCAGCATCCTGAGGGCCACAGGCCTCTGCCCCCCCCTCCGACATACCACACCTGTTTTAAAGCATAAAACTGGCCCGCCTCTTTCCATGGGCCACGGCGACGTAAGCGACACTGTTTGCCCCGTTGCGGCTGGTCCAACAGGTTTCTCAGGCTCTGGCTATGTTACAAAAGCCTGCCAGGCCTGTTGAGCTGAGGGTAGAGTCTCCCGGAAGCTTATTCTGGCCAATGTAAAGCACTTTTCTCGGGGGGCAGGGAGATGTTGTTGTTGTTTAGTTGTTTAGTCGTGTCCGACTCTTCGTGACCCCATGGACCAGAGCATGCCAGGCACTCCTGTCTTCCACTGCCTCCCGCAGTTTGGTCAGACTCATGCTGGTAGCTTTGAGAACACTGTCCAACCATCTCGTCCTCTGTTGTCCCCTTCTCCTTGTGCCCTCCATCTTTCCCAACACCAGGGTCTTTTCCAAGGAGTCTTCTCTTCTTATGAGGTGGCCAAACTATTGGAGCCTCAGCTTCAGGATCTGTCCTTCCAGTGAGCACTCAGGGCTGATTTCCTTCAGAATGGATAGGTCTGATCTTCTTGCAGTCCATGGGACTCTCAAGAGTCTCCTCCAGTACCATAATTCAAAAGCATCAGTTATTTGGCGATCAGCCTTCTTTATGGTCCAGCCCTCACTTCCATACATCACTACTGGGGGCAGGGAGATAGTCTTGCTGAAATCAAAGCAACTGGGCCGTTTCACGCATTTTATGGCTCAAACGGGAAGGGCCCTAGATTGGGGGGGGGGGCAGTGTCTGCTCCACAAGCAGAAGGTCCCAGGTTCAGTCCCCACCCCCCACCATCTCCATCTAGGACTGGGAGAGTCTCAAACCCTTGGGAGCCTACACTGCCACTCAGCGTTGACCATATTGAGCTGGATGCACCAACCCTCCACTTCAGTATGAAGCCACTTCCCATTTTCCTCTTAGTTTCTAGAAACCTGAGTTTGTCACAAGTAACACTCATCTGAGAGCTGTAGCCAATACAGTGGTACCTCGGGTTACAGACGCTTCAGGTTACAGACACTTCAGGTTACAGACTCCGCTAACCCAGAAATAGTACCTCAGGTTAAGAACTACCTCAGGTTAAGAACTTTACCTCAGGATGAGAATGGAAATCACAAGACGACGGCAGGAGGCCCCATTAGCTAAAGTGGTGCTTCAGGTTAAGAACAGTTTCAGGTTAAGAATGGACCTCCAGAACGAATTAAGTTCTTAACCTGAGGTACCACTGTATAGCTCTCTCTGGCAAAGCATATTTGCACATTTCACACTTTGCAAAGGCCTACATTTGTTGCATTTGTGAGTTACGTTTTCAGGAGCAATTTTTAAAAGAAGATCGCCTAAATGTACACCTTAAAAGGTGGTGGAGATAATTTATGGCCTTCTAATTGATAGGCTTCATTTACATAACTAAAAGAAGGGTGCTGGAGGTTTATAGAACTGGTGTGGAGAGAATGGTTAAGACTTCTCTTCCCAAGCATGGAAATTTGGAGCCAGGTCTTGAATTTGACTTCTTAGTGATTTTGGGACCTGGCAGAGAAAGGGTTACTTCTCCATGCAGCATCTAACAAGCTTGTGGGATTCGTTGCCACAACATGCTGCCTTAAAAAAATAAAGACAAGACAAGACAAATTTATCGAGTACACCTAAGTGGAAGCTGCACATTTAGAAACAGAAGACCTCTTGTTGGGGGTTAAACAGCAATCTTGCCCTGCTTGTAAATGTCTCACAATATCCGGCTAGTATTCCTGCTCCCACTAGTGGGATAGCTAGGCCTTTGGAGCTATTTTCCCTTCTGAGAAAGGAACACAAAAATCCTCTTGCTCCAGTTCTCTCCAATCTTCTGTTCTGTTTCATCCCCTTGTTCTTACTAATCCCTCGTTATTGCAAAAATAATTACTACTACAGTTACTGCATAGCTGTCAACTTTTCCCTTTTCTTGCGAGGAATCCTATTCGGAATAAGGGAATTTCCCTTAAAAAAAGTACAGTTATGATTGCCATCCCACTAAAATGCCTGTCATGGTGACGTTTATATGTCTATGTCAGAAGGGAAGGGCCTGCGAACAAGCAAGGATGCGTGCCTTGAGTGCAGAACTGGGGCACAAAGAACCTTTGGCTCTCCAGATGGGACTGGACTCCAGCTGCCATCAACCTCTGACCGCTGGCCGCACTGGCTGGGGCTGATGGGAGTTGGAGTCCAACCGCATCTGGAGAGCCACCGTTTCTTCCCATCCTTCGTACGGAACTTCTAGCCCAGCGTTTCCCAGACTTGGGTCTCCAGCTGGTTTTGGACTACAACTCCCATCATCCCTAGCTAGCAAAACCGGTGGTCAGGGATGATGGAATTTGTAGTCTGAAAACAGCTGGAGAGCCAAGTTTGGGAAAACACTGGTCTAGCCTCTGCTATTGCTCATTCTGACAGGATTCAGCAGGAGCCCCTCAGAAAGAAAGCTAACCCTAGCGAACAATGTCTGGGTGACCAGTGGCACCATCCGGACTGCGCATTTAAAGCAGTTTCACGCCACTTCGAACAGACATGGCTTCCCCCAAAGAATCTCAGGAACTGCAGTTTGTTGTGAGCGCTGAGAGTTGTTAAAGGTAAAGGTAAAGGGACCCCTGACCATTAGGTCCAGTCGTGACCAATTCTGGGGTTGCGGCGCTCATCTCGCTTTATTGGCCGAGGGAGCCGGCATACAGCTTCAGGGTCATGTGGCCAGCATGACTAAGCCGCTTCTGGCAAACCAGAGCAGCACATGGAAATGCCGTTTACCTTCCCGCCAGAGCGGTACCTATTTATCTACTTGCACTGGCGTGCTTTCGAACTGCTAGGTTGGCAGGAGCAGGGACCGAGCAACGGGAGCTCACCCCGTCACCGGGATTCGAACCGCTGACCTTCTGATCAGCAAGTCCTAGGCTCTGTGGTTTAACTCACAGCGCCACCCTATTCCTCTCACAGGCCTACACTTCACAGAGT